AAACTCGGATCGCTCCCGTGGTTCGCCACGGGGCGGTCGTGATCCCTCAGGACGTCCCTCACCCCAGGTCGCAGGAGATGCACGTCTCTCCCGGAATGAATCGCGGTTGCCGTCGTTCGTCTGAGGGCGGCTACCGTCACGAGATCCTGGGCGCTCTGCTTGTGGCATGGGAGACAAGGGGCCTCTGCGCTCCCAGTTGCCAAAGTCACGGACCTTGCCATCATCGGCCGGCCCATCACGAGGGGGTCCACGTCGCTCACTGAAGTCGGTGCGCCGCTCGCTGCGCGGCAAGTCGGGCAAGGGTCCCTTCCTGTCCCAGCTGCTAAGGTCTCGTGCCGAGTTGTCGCGGTCGCTGCCGTAGTTCCCCTTGGCTGCGTTCGTGTCAGTAGAGCCTCGAGGTATATGTGTGGTGCGGGTAGACTCACGAGGATCCGCAATCTTGATCCGAATGCCGCGGCCTTGGAAGCTCTCGCCGTCCAGCTGCAATGCCTTCTTCAGACCTTCGACGTCACGAAACTCGGCATAGGCGAAGCCTTTCGGTCGCTGCTCGATCTTGTCCTCGATGATGCGAACGCTGGTGATATCACAGTCCGCGAAGAAATCGGTGACGCTCTCTTGGGTCGCTTCGTAGGAAAGATTGCCCAGGTGGGCAGTGTAGGGAGGTCTGGTGGGGAGTTCGGTAGGATATTCGCGGGTGGAGTAGGCAGCTATAGATTGTGAGAAAGTGCTCAACGGGGGATACACAGACAGTTCAAGTCAACGAGGCGTGAGCTTACGTCGGTCGCCACCGCGGTCTCCGCCAAAGCCTCCGTAGCTGGAGTAGCCAGCCCGACCGCCGGCGGGAGGAAGAGGCTGAGAGCCGATCGTGTCCTCGACTTCATCGGCCCAGGATCCACCAAACTCTGCGATCGGTAGTTAGTACAGATGGACTTTGATATATGGCGCATCGTTACAGAGGACGACTGAGCGCCACCCTGGAGAGGAGTGCGCAAGTGGAATCGCATATGGAGGCAGCTGACTTTCTTCCTGCAGGAAGGCCCCGAGGGACATCTTCTGCTGCTGTTCTTTCTTCTTAGGAGCTATATGTCATGGTCAGCAAGCGGTTCTGTATGTAGATTTACCCCACATAGTGAGCGATGACGGCCGCGAAGGGACAAAGTCGTTTGCAGATCTCGGGAAGGGAGTACCTACCCATGATGGCGGTGTTCAGACCACGCGCGACGATTCAAACAAACCACAGCGCGGAGTTCGGCAGTGTTGGAACGGGGCGAGACGGGCAAGTTGCGAAGTCCTTCGATGGTGATGAGGTGAGGACTCTTTTTTATCGATGACGAGATGCCTCCGGAGAAACTTGGGTGTCGAAGCCAATCTGTGGAATTGATTGGCGATGGAAACTTGGTCTGCGGCACGTAGGGCAAGATTTGTCAATGGACAAGTCTGGTTGTGCGGAAAAATCAGTGCAAGGGGGCTGCAGTCGGCGGAAACTGAAAAGTTTCTACGGTACTACAAAAAAGATGAATAATGTTTCCAAATTGCAGGTCTTCGGAGAGGGCTCGATCAATTTTGCTTCTGAGATGGGCAAATGGGCTGGTAGTGGGGGGCACGCTAGGCCTATTTGGGCATGGCGAGCAGCAGCTATAACACTTGGACTGGTTGAACTGGGGTTCGAGGATCGACCAGCATTTGCACTTGGGCTGCACACTTGGCAGTTGGAGGTTCCCATCCATGGCAGACAAGGTATCTCATTTCGTCACTTGCAGTCGGTCACTTACAGTACTTCGTAGCCTCTTTGACGTCGCTTATTGGTGCTTGCATTCACGAGGTCGTTTCATGTGACAATTGACCAATCTCACTTCCACAACCTCACCATCGTTGGAATCTCCATCGTAGCCCTTAGCGGCTCAAGTAGTAGAAACGGCCGAAGGAAGGTTGACGCCTTTTGTCTTACGTCTATAGACGCCATCAGTCGCTGTTTGATTACCACAACAGCGGTCGAAGATGGCTCCAACGGCCAAACCTCCCCAACCTCCTCACTCTCAACCTCCTCCTCAAGCGCAGTCCCCCACTCGGCCAGAGGATGGCATGCCCAGCGCTGCGGAATTGTATCAAATAGCTGCCAAGTCATTGCAGACTGGAGCTCTGACAGGTAAGATAAATTCCGCAGTGCCCTCACCAGGCTACAGCATAAACTTATCCTTGACCATGTAGGTGCCGCGGGACTGGCTATCGGAGCGGGCGGCGGTATTATGCGGGGGGCACCACCAGCACTTTTTGCTGCCTTCGCTGGCCTTCAGTGGTTTGCCCTTGGGTCGAGCTACATGGGTCAGTCTTGTCCTATCAGCAGAACTGAACAAGGGCACTGATAATTTGTAGCCTCTAGAAGTCTTCTTTGGCATGCCTGGGGAGGTGAGCAAAATTTGAGCCAAGCCGACAGAATCAAAAGTAGTGCCGCCGCTGGTGGTGTCTCTGGCATGATCGGAGGCATGGTTCGTAAGTGCAGCTCCAACAAAGTTCCAGAACAATGCCTCCAGTAACTAACTTCAGTCCAGGAGGGCCGAGGAACATTCTACCCGGCATGCTTGTATTATCTCTGCTTGGTGGCGGTGCCACCTTCGTTTCCCAGCAATTACAAAATCGGCCACAGCCCAAAGAGAAAACCAGCTGGCTTGCATCAGAGTGGAGTCCTTTAAGACCACTGTCCGGAAAGGAGTACGAAAGCATCCTGGAAGAGAAGATCCTGAAGCTCGATGCTGAAATCTCGATTATTGAAGAGAATATTGCGGCTATAAAAGCGTCCAGCAAAACAACAGCCATGTCGGGTGAGGGACCTTCAGCTTCAAAGAAGCAATAAGGACTCAAGCCACTCCGCAGAACTCCTGTGGTCCCACACCATAGTTGGCGACTTTCGCCTTCCCATCGATCATACACAGACTCGGGCCGGAGGAACCCGGTACAGATGGCACCGTGTGATTTCCAGTTCCGTCGACTCAGCTGCCATCAAATTGCTATGTTCCATCAGCAAGCCTTCTGACCGCGAAGAGTAATGCGATGATAAGATATGACGATGCGCCATCCTATCACACATGTACGTCGGAGACGAACGCGTTCGCTCAGGAAGAGCGAAGAGCGGCGATGATCAGGATATGCCAAACAAGGGTTGGCACTCAAGAATCTGGCACGGCAGCCAGCGAAGAGGAATGACGTGGCCTACGCGTGGTTCACGTACTGTATCAACAGAGAAAGCCCTACCTATCTTTCGGAGGCAACCCGTTCGATGTATACCTTACTTTCCGATTCTGGTGTATGGAGTCGGCCCCTAAGAAATCATTTGATGGTATCTGTCACTTCCTCCTTAACCCCAACACCTCCCCCAGTAACGCATACTTTTCAATCTTGTTCAAAGGCCCAAAGTTGGCAGAAATAGGCAGGTTATGAATTATCTGATTCCTGAATATTGAAAATAGGTTAAAGAAATCATTCCTGCTCAGTGTCAGTAAAGGATTTATGGAGAGATTTGCATTGTGGTAATCACTGGCACAGACTTTCCTGAACGTTCACGGGCTTTGCTTAGCAGCAAACATCACCTTGGCTCTAGCTTATATCAGGAGTACTGCGACGTGCTTCCCCATGCCAGTACAATCAACTCTTTTTTACCTGGGCAGCGTGAGCCTCATGGCAATACTTCTAGGAAGCCTATGGTCCTTTCGCCGTCCGGACCTTGTGACTGCGTATACCCAACACCTAGAATACCAAAGGTCCTTTATATGTGCTTCAGAGTATTATACAGCCTCTTTCCACTCCCGCCGATAAATCCAGCAAGGTATTTTCTCAAGATTCTTCAGACACTACTTCCATTATTGCTAGTGTGGGGCCTGGCTCCGAGCTTGTTGGCTCTATACGGCGGCATCTTTATATTACCGCCAATGAACCCAAATCTGAAATAGCGGGACTTGGTCAAACATTGCCTTCATTTACGTTGATTCAAGAGAGTTATGTATATCGACTTCAATGCCGAGTTCGATCGGAGACTGACTTTTCACCAAAGCTTGACGTGTTCTCTTGATGTCTAGCCCGCTCTCGCACTTACTGGGTGCTTCCAGGCTTGGTAGGCCACCCAGGTCTGCAAGCCACTCAAGATCGACGATGCAAAACCCAACAGGACGGCGAAGATGAATTCGAGTAGAGTTGCCATGATAATATATCGATCTGCAGTCCTTCTCTCTACCTCTCGGCTCAGTCAGCCACGGTGCCTGGGCCTGCTCATCTCATTGTACACCTCGGAAAGACGGTCAGCAAAGTGGTAGAACGGCGCATTCTCCTCCCCAGCATTGCGATTCGTGTGGATTCCATGGTTAGAACATCGGATCCCACTTCTTCGATGGCAATGACTGGAGAAGTCTTCAGGGCTTCTTTTCGATAGTGGAAACAATATCGACACCGGTTTGAGGGTCTAGACGGAAAACTCGACACGGGACGCTGCGTGTTCAGAAATACATTCCGGAAGAACTCGCTCAGAGGCGCATCCGCATTGTTGCAGTCTGATTTGGGGCATCTTTTTAAGCATTGCTTCCAATCCTGGGGGCCTCGGCGAGTATGGCAAGTCTTTTCTCGTCTTCCGGCGTCATTGCGTCCATACTGCCAGGATAAATGAGTTTGGGTAGGCAGTAGGGCGAGTTCAACCAAGAGCACTCGAAGACGCCAAAGAAAACCTAGCCGCGTTCTGATGATAGGAGCTTGCGAAACTACTGGCCATCATTATGCCTATACGAGTATATGGCAACTTCATACTGCACTTCTCAGCGGATGCAACCACTTTTTCCAGGGACAAAACACCAACACCATGTTGATAGCCTCTAACGCGGCTTCGCAACACGAGGCGGATTTTAAGCAACAGAAACAGATTTAAAACATGGACACAACACTAGAAACCGGACAATTCCATGCTACAAGTATCGACGACGTATTGACAGCCAGTGGTCCAGTGACTCTTGCTGCGTTGTCTGTACCAGGAAATACCACGGAAAACATAGGACAACCAGCCATCGAAGAAGCTGATATTACTCTCCAGGTCAGCACCGAACCCCCCAACTCAGTTCCAAGCGTCTGGGATGGCATTCTGGCACATTCATCGACGAAGACGCAAAATTCTACCAAATTGCACGCACCGCAGGCCAGACAACCTGTCAATTGCGCCCCTGCTTCGACGCCTCTGGCGACTTTTCAGGGGTTCAACCAGGTGGTAAAGAGCGATTGGTGTGTTTTCAAACGTCGCCATCTCACAAGATGCTCTTGATTGTTTTGCTGATTTTCAATCTGTTTTGCAAGGGGAGCGTGCTGGTCTTATTTCTCCAGAAATCCATCCTGAAGATATAGTTCTGTAGGACATCAAGGCTGTTGGCACATTAGAGTACTACTCAGAGGCAGCCATAATCATTCACACCAACCGAAAAATGACCCGGAAGATACGACGGTTCTTCAAAAGGTATCATATACAGGGGTATTTCGAGCGTTTGAGCCAATCCTACATGTCCAGCTTTTACCATATACCCGGCGAATACTTTCGTTTGAGGACTGGATATCACTTCGACGGATGAAACATAAGAACACTCCCAGAACCATCTGTGACATGTCAATGCTCGCTGCAAGGGACCAAGTATCGTGTTATGGAACTTTAGGGGGGTTGATCAACATTGATGGTCGACTACATGGCATAACATCAGCTATATTTTCATGCGGCTCATGGAGGCGATGCCGGAGATGATTATTTCTCTTGTTCTTATATGGAAAACAGCTTCCTAGGGAAAGTCAAAATTTCTCAGTCGAGAAGGAGGCGGCCCGTTGCCGTCATTCGTTCGACACTAGGTGATGGGGTACGACAACCTGATTACCCGAGGGTGTTTTAATCCCCTACGTACGGATTTTAAGTAGCGGAAGATGACAAAAAGTCTGATGACTCTTGAGGGCCATCTAACAGGTTTTTGAAGCATCTGAGCAGCAGACGTAGTTCTGCACGATACCAGGCCACGCTCAATCTCAACCACTTGAGGGTAGAAAAGGCACCATCAGATGGATCATCGTGTGCTCACACTCTAACAGATGGATGAGTGCTGCCTTCGGGGTTAGATATACTGGGGTTGAGTGTGAAGGAAATACGTAATCGTGTGATTGGGTTCAACTCCGCAAACAAGCCCGTATACAGCATCATCTTGCCCTCGGCATTGTAGTGTCTCAGCACTTCGAACATGTCCATTTCAGACGGCGTCGAGCCATCGGAAGACGCCAGTGACATAGAGACGCGGACGATATTTTGGCCGACTATCTCCATCTCCTTTGGCATTGGTGCAGCAGATGTGGCCGCTTTCATTTTCAGTCAAATGTCCATTTGCGACGCAAGTCAACAAGAAAACTTACGCAGAAGCCAGATACTTCAACACTTTGTTCTCCATGCTGCTACTAGGCACAGTCTCCGGGTTACTGGGATTCCGCGGCTAGGGTTTAGAAAGGGCTATTGCTTTTTGCATCGAAATTGGCGAATTATTAAAAGAGAATGATGAGGAATGAGTTGATTCGCTGGGATCGTTGCTTGGCCACAACTCGGATTTATCGACATATCCTAGTACTGGGTGCTTCTAGGTTCCGATAGGATGAGTTGTCAACGCCTTTGAAGTAATGGCTTAAAGCTGTCGATGACGTTATTGATATACATTCAAGTCTAGATTCATGCCAACTTATAGAAGTCGGTAATGCATTCTTGTCATACGACGTGGTTGATGTAGTGGTCGCGCCCATGTACAAAACTCGGGCATAGTGGATAGCATTTGATGAACAACTCTTGAGACCCGGTTTAAGGAGAGATGATTTCAGTTGTTATTGATTAATTCTGATTCTGGCCGAGTGTTTTTACAGCCTAGCTCTACACATTTCTCGCGTTATACCCTGAAGTCGACTCCTAAGTATAATGATAGAACTAATTAGGTAGACTACTACACTTTCTGCGGCGAATATTGAAGCCGCTTTGTGGTAACAAGCGAAATCTATCCATTATTCATATATTATACAATAATTGTCTATAAAGAGTAGTTGAATGGCATGAAACGACAGTATCTAGTAAGTAAACATCGTGGGTTGATCTAAGCTGGTGGGCACCCGTCGGGGGTTAATTGACGGAATCGTTTTCGAATCTTCGGGGATTCGTAGTATCGGTCGTCCCAAGTAGTATAAGACGAAGAAGACACTCATATATCCCGGTAAAGAAGGTACAGGTGCGCCTTATCAGTGTCCAAGTTTGATCTAGAGCTACTAGCATGTGTATTTTTCAGTAAGTTTTTGATCCCGCCCCTATAGGGATTATACTCTCGTAATAGCTAGGCTCCCTATGGGGGAGTCATACAATACCCAAGTACAATATAGGTCTGGAGTACCAGAAATCCTGGATCTACGCCCTCGTACCAAAAAGTATAATAGTATTTGACTAGGTGAGGCTATTTGTTCTATGTATAATTGGTATCCCGCTCTAGTCTGGAACTGGCAACTTAATCTACCTTCCCTACATGCGCTGTTGAGACCATGCCGACAAACCGTGCTACTTCCGTCTTTGACATTTCCGAATCAGTCTTTACACCTCCAGTGATCCGAACTGTGCGTCCGATCCCACTTTGAGCACCCAAACGCATCAGAGTCAAAGATGAATTTCTCAGTCAATCTGTATAGTAATTGGATCCGATCAATCACAGAACATAGATGAAGCAGTAATGCGTGTACCAGCTCTTGGCTTTCCGTACTGCAGCCAGCCGTGCCGGTAGGATCTTGATGAGCCATGTACCAGGGTCAAATCGACCTGTGACTACTCATCTTCGATTACTGCCCTATTCCAAGCCTCGTGAGATGCGTTGACCTTCAGCTCGGCCCAATTGGGCTCTATTTACGTAATTTGGACTTCAGGGCCGTCGCTTCATCTCTGCGTACATTATCCGGGAGAAGCGGCGGCAGATAACGACCAGATGCCTCGCTGCTCTAGCCACTAGCCGTTCTGGTGCACCAACCCGCTTAGACGTACGTGTAGTGCCGGTCGAATTAGCCCTACGCGTAATCTGGGTGGTAGGTTTCAGCTGAGAGGTCCCGAACGCGTGTGCCACCTCCCTCCGACTTTTGCCGCATGCTCTAGCTGGTGGGAACTCGTAAATAGCGCCGTGATTTGCGCTCATTTTGGGGGTAGAATATCGCAAATCCATCGCGAATCGCGGCAGTTGAAGCGTACTAAAATAAAAGTCGTGTTGTTGTGTGTTATTCTGTTTTTTCAATCGGGGCGTGGGGCCAGACACAGGCTTATTGAGGGTCACTATAGCACCAGCCATCAGGAAGACGTATCCGGTACCCCCTTCTTCACCCACTCCCTCAACACAGTTTTCTGAATCTTCCCCGTACTTGTTTTAGGCAATTCCTCAATAATCTCCACCTCCCTCGGAACCATGAACCTGCTAATTCTGTTCTGATTCTTGGCCCACTGAATCACCTCCTGCGGATCCAAGTTCTTCTTCCCCTCCTTGACCGTCAGGTAGGCTTTGGGACGTTCGCCCCAGTGCGAGTCGGGCACCGCCACAACACCAGCTTCCAAGACGTCCGGGTGCTGAACTAGCATGCTTTCCAGTGCGACGGAGGAGATGTTCTCGCCACCTGTTTCCTCAGGTCAGTGAGCTTGTTTGTGTCACGGAAACTTATGGATTATACGTTACCGCTGATGATGATATCTTTCGCCCTATCCTGAATCTGCGCGCTCCCATCCCGATGCCAAACAGCCAAATCGCCCGAGTGAAGTGCTCCGCCGGCGAATAACTTACGCGTAGCCTCGGGGTCCTTGTAATAACCCTTGCAACAGATATTGCCAAAGAAAACAATCTCGCCGGTTTCCTTCCCATCCCTGGCCACATCGATGAGCACTCCGTCCGGCTGATCCGGCTTGATGACTCGGATGGGCAGAGAAGCGACGAAACCGTGCCCTTGCCGGGCCATCTTGGCGTATTTTTCGGCCTCGGGGAGGTTGTCCCATTCGGGTATGGGATAACCCTTGGTGATGGGCCCGTAGGTCTCGGTCATGCCGTAGACGTGGACGGGGCGGAGGTTGAGATCAGTCTTTATGACAGTTAGTGTCCCTCCAAGTAATATTTCACGGTAAAATTACCATTGTTTTGAACAGATGCGCTGTTGGAGGACTGGCCGCCACTGTGACTCGCACCGTCTCAGGTAGCCTCTCGGCCTCCTTGGCAGCACAGAGCAGAGTATTGACAGTCGGTGCTGCATTGAAGTGAGTGATCTTTTCTTCTTTCAAGAGTTTCCATATTAAAGGGTAGTCGATCTTTCTAAGGCAGTAATGGGTGCCCCTGACGGCCGTTACTGACCAGCTAGAAGATCGTCAATACATAGTTTTGCCATCAGGGGCTCAGGGGCGAACTAACGGAAACGTCCATCCCAAGGCATGGAATCTGTGGGTCGTCAGCTGACAGGAACACCATTCTTTGAGGAGTCGAGACTTACAGGGGAAGCGTCCATAAGTATCTACACCTCCCAAAGTCGTAGTTCAACCCGGACTCAATAATGTTCGCCAGGCTGGCCAGATACGCGCCCCTGTGCGTCATCACAACACCTTTGGGACGAGACGTAGTTCCCGAAGTGAACGGAATCGCCATCATGTCATCCTCGTCCGAGGCCTGCGAGTGCAATCCCGCCCAACCTTTGCGTCCTTGAGCAATGTCGTAGTTTAACCCCTCAAGAACAGCATCGTCGAACGGACCACAGAGCTCGCCTTCAGTTGCATCGGTGTCCTGATCTGTTAATTTCTACTGTGCCTATTTTGACCACCCTGACCACTTACATTGTCAATTATAAACGGCACATTAGGATGCAACTTCTTGAATTCATCCAACAGAGGGACAAACTCATGATCCACAATGATGGAATCCACCTCGGCAAAGTCAAAGATATAAGTAATATCATCCGGTTTCAACCTTTCCCACTTCCTATCAGCTTCTCACAACTCCAATCGAATTCTCAAGCCACTCACCGATAATTCGCAGGCACAATAACCCCTCCAGCCGCCACAACCCCAAATATGGACTCCAGAAACGCTGGCGTATTCGTAGCCAGCACGCCCACCCTCCTGTACCCTCGTTTGAGCAAGAAATATGCCAGACCCCTCGCGCGGTCTGCAAATTCCATGTACGATCTCCTCAGGACCCGATTGTTGGCCGTCACGTGGTAGATGGCCAGCGCATCGGGTTCAATGGCCGCCGCGCGCTCCAGGAAGATGGTGGGCGAGAGCTGGTGGATGTGATAGCTGTGCACATACTCCTGGCCCGGTGGTGCGGGCGTTGACGGCGTCGAGATGAGATGGCCTAGTAGCTTCTTGAGGCGGGTTGTCGCTCCCGACATGGTGGTGGTGGTCGATGACGTCGGCTGGTTGAGGTACGATGGGCCCCTTTGGTAACCTATACTCCTCCTGTCTCTGCTTTTCTAGTATAAGTTGGTGGCTAGACGGCTAAGGGATCACTGTAAGTTAGGACGAAAGGAGTTTGACGAGCTGTTTGCTGAGCTTGCCCAACAGCTAGAGCAGCAGGAACGGGGAAGGCCACTTATCATGCTTATGGGCCACCGCACAGTAACCAGGACCCTAGACGATACGCTTTCTGATGCGGGGAAAAAGCTAATACAATCTGGTTCTGGGGAATCCTAGCTCTACCACCCCACACAAGTCGTGTGGGGGTTCCCCGGATTGCCAAGAGGCTCTGTGATATGGTATCCACACACTAACGTACATTAAGCACACACATTGCATGGTTGTAGAGATTTGGTCTACAGTTAGAAGTCCATCCGTCATATTCGGTCCGCGAACAGACACCAGCCCTGGAGGGCACGCTACACAGGCTTTGACACTTTTTTTTTTTTTTTTTTCATTTTTTTTCAATGAGCACTCACATGTTGAAATCACTCATGCGAGTGTCTGAGCTAGTTTCAGTCGCATCTCGTTCGAACTCGTCTCTGTGCTAGGCTATCTGGGTATCTGCGAGATGGTGACAACCTAGAGATATTATAGTATCACAAAATACCACGCCAAAGAAGCCTCCCGCCGCCACGAGTTACATCTCTCATCATCTGCTCGTCTAGCCTTGGAAGCTGTTGATCATGCCATTTCCGGTACAGTACAACCGACACGTCCACCTTCTGAACTTCCATCCACCCCAGACTTTTGGTTGCTAACCACTTCACTGGGTTTCATTATATTTATACACTTCGCCTGCGCTATAAAGCCATGCGATGATTGCTTCACGAACTGCCCTCACCGCAGCTTTCCACTAACTCCTAGACTGGAATCCTCCTCCGTCTGACCCTTCAATACCTAAAAATCGAGGAAGGGGTGGGTATCATACTGGGGCAAAGTAGGTGCGACTAGCTGCGCAATTGTGTCGTCTCCAAGCAACGGAACTCGGGCTTCTTACATGCTGTCAGTTTCGCACATCTACTTACCGTAGATCATCTGGGACCGTTTCCAGATGTTCCACTTTTCTTCGCCTGTCTTGTTAGTAGTCCAATACAGCTCTGCTGTCTTGGGGTCGAGTCATCTTCGGCTAGTTCTGCTGCTTGGTTCAGGCTGGATGGGATCGGTGAATGGGAAAAGGAAGATTGGGGATGAGATGCGGAAGGTCGCACATGGTCAAGATCGATGACGCTTGGCATCTGAAGAGGCATTAGCTTATGTCGTGGCCATGGCAAAGGGGTAGAAAATGGGTGAATCACACCCGTCCTTTCGCCAATGATCCCATTGGGACAACCTGCAAAACGACGGGGGCACCAGACCCTTTCTGCTGCGTTTGTGCAACATACCGTTCTTCTCATCTGCGTCCTCATCCGCATCCGCATTGAAGTCCGAAAGCGTCCGCTTCCCAACCGCCGGAGACACTTGTAACGACTGTCGGGAAACTTTGATATTGCTGCGTGCCTCTTCGTTGTCCGACTCCCACGTAATTTCATCATCGTCTAGAATTTCAAGTTTTGGCGTTGAGCCTGTCTGACCAGTCGGCGCAGGTTCCTGTTCGCCGACGTCGATTTCGTCATCGGAATAATCAATCTCGTCTTTGCCGTCCCCATTCAGAGTGGCAGTTGCGCTGGAGCTGTGGGAAGCAGCCCGTTCCGATGGTCCGTTGTTCGTCGGTACTGCAGTGCTTACTAGGTTGTCTGCTGCATCTATTTCATCTTGAGATCGATGCGTATTAGTATTACTTGGTGCTTGTAGCAGATTCGACGCCGTAACAAGACCGTTCCTCCTTGAGCCACCTTCACTGTGCAACATAGTCTGCTCACTGCTCCGGCTTCGGGCTTCCACCGCAAGCCCAGCCTCAATCTTGTCGAGGAAACACACATCGCAACCGCAACCAGGCAGTCTAGTGCAGTAAAAAGAAATCTGAAGAATGGGGGGGTTAAAGGAATTTGGGTAATTACCCTGTGTAGACAGCTCCATATCTGACTTGTCATAATCGATTTCATCATCGTCTACGGTGGCTCCCGCATTGCCGGCAAGGCCTGTTGCTTCTTCGTCTTCGGGGGCAGGTTTCTCGGGATTGTCGTTTGCATGCATGACACGCGTAGCTTCAGCGAGATCGTCATTGCTTTGCTCGTCGTACGAGGTATCGTCGTGTACGCCATGACCCTGGGCACCCCCTAGGTCATCGTCTCCTAGCTCGCCCAGCGCAGCTTCGGCTCGACCATTGTTGCTTTGCTCGTCGAGCGAGGTTTCTTCGAGCACGTAGAGACCCCGTCCCTCAGAAGGATCTCCCCCAACGTTGCTGTTGTTTTGTTCCGGGGAAACGGCTTCATCGAGCTCATCGTATTCCTCCTGCTGGAAAGAAAGATCCTCGGAGTCGTTTACCTTGTGCACTTGGGAAGCAGTTTCCTCGGGAGATTCATGGATCGGTTCCTCTGAACCAACCCTAGCACTGGCTTCGTTGGAGAGATCGTTACTTTCGCCAGGATATGCCTGCTCCTCAAAAGTGACACCTTCGTGCTGCTCATTATCCACGTAGCTAGATCCATGCCCTTGAGAAGCATCGATATCGTCGTCGTCATAGTAAAACTCCTCTGATCCCTCGGAGGACATAGACATGTGGGGCGGGGCGGGGGGCGTGGGCGGGGGCGCTGGGCGATAAACAGCGACTTCTGAGAACCCTCTGCCAGCAGTCGCCGATTCCATCAACGCTGCAATGCGTTGACGGCAATTAGGTCTTATCACAAGATGCATATAGAGATCGGGCCTATCTCCAGCATCATCGTCATTCTTCAGCAGGGTATCGTAGAGAGAAATGAGGTCACCGAAGGAGTATCCATCAAGAAAGTCACTCGCCATAGTCTTTTGTTCAGTTAGTATTGTTCAGGTTTGGGGCCTCATATATTCCCCAGGACTTATGCCTGGGAATTAGAAGACACAACCGGAAAGGGCAAAAAAGGAAATAAAAGGGGGCTTACCTCTCCAAATTCTAGCCCAAGTCCATCTACGTACATTACGAGCTCGTTCAATGGTGAGATCTCCGAGGATATGACCGCACGAATGCTAGAAAGGAACTCGCGAAGGGGAAGTTGCAAGGCAGACATGTCGCGCAAGAAGTATGAATTCGGATCATCATCCGGTTCCCTGGCAAAGAGTCGGTAGTCCGTGTCGCCATAGTTGACAATCATTTCATGGCGACTGGCTACAGTGGTCGGATCCTCTACGGCCTGGACACTGCCATCTTCATCCGGATTCAGGCTGTCCTTAACTTCAGTCCCATCCAGGTCTGCTGTAGTGTGCTCCGTGATTTGGTCATCGGTGGTGCTTTCATGGAAAAATTCATCACCTGTTTGATCCTCTTCATGGATACAGTCTGCGGTGCCCTCAACCCATGTTGAATCATCCTGATTCTGAAGGACATGTTGCTCAGCGTTCTCGTCCTGGCCAAGGTCTTGCTCGTCTTCAGTTTGATCGCGACCAGATGTGACATCTCCCTCAGGTTCATTCGGAAATCCATCTTCCAGTTTCTGTTCATCAGAAATGGTCAGAGTATCCGCCGCACCTGTAGTACCCTTCGTAGCATCAGGTTCCAGAATTCTCTGCGATTCATCGATCGGGTGTGACGTCAGCTCTGTGGTGTTGGGCAACTGGAGCTCTTCAAAGTCATCAGCAGCTCTCGGTGCCGTGTCGCTGTAAGCTTGGCCTGGTTCTACCTCCTCTCGGTCATCGAACTCTTCAACAGGGGGCTCCATGGTCAGTTCAGTAACGTTATGAAAGCTACCAAAGTCCTGAGAGGCAATTGCCCCAACGGAGCCGCTGTTCTCAAAGCTGGCAGCAACATCACTAGAAGCACTTGCTTCCATAGTGCCTTGGGCTGCCATGTCCCCCATGTCTGCCGATACTCGTGCTGTGACCTCTGCTTGGGCTTTGTAATCGTTCTCATCTCCTGTTGTAGGATTGTCCTGCCACATGTTGGCGTCATCTCCACCAAGATCAATTTCATAGTCATTGTTGGCATTGGCCGAGTCATTATAATCCAGATCGTCCGCATCTACCATGCCAAAGGAGGCATCATCGCGCTCGGCCATGAGCTCATCTCGGGTATCAGAGTTGAAGTGCTCAACCTCTTCGCCGTCAATGTCTCCCAGGTCCAGATCTTCATCGGGTTGGCCAGCCACGAATTCGACATCTATGTCAATGTCTTCGCTTAAGCCAGTGGGTCCAAAATCAGTGGTGATCTCCATTTCCTCGCTGGGCATTTTGCTTTCTATGCTTTTGTAAAGTTTAGAGAGGGTTGTGGACCATCTGTAGATGGTTGAAAGTGCTTAGATTCGGTAGGGCCTTGATGACAACACTGCTATAACGCATGCAAATTAAGCACGTTGTGCCTTTTCCCTCAGGTATCGAGTTCGCCCAAATCTCGTTCACAAAGTTTGGTCGCCGGCGATTGTTTACGCAGTCGTTTGGGAAGCTGTAGAGTCCAAGCTGACACGGCAGACGTCTATGTCTTGTTGAACTGATCAGAGGTAGTAGATGAGAATGTAACGACGAAGAGACGCGACATCGGCCGTGAGATCGTGGCCAAAGTGAATCCAACGTAAACGTAAAGTGAGATAATTCGGTTCAGAATGGGCTCGATGGGCCTGGTGACGACTCAAATCTTTTGAAGGGGGGAGAGAGGGCGGCAGAACTTCTTCAGGAAGATTAAGCGACAGGAAACGGACAATCCACGTCGCCGCAAGACAAAGTAAGACGTGATTTTGGAGACGGCGTTGCACCCAACGATTGATCGGAAGTGATGCACTTCGCACTTCTAACTGTGGACAGAGGATTCGGCTGGGCGTAGATACGCACGGACCATCTACAAGCCTGGTGAATCCTTGGAGCTAGGCGGCTACTGTGGCGAGATTTGGCACATCAGTCTGTGCTGGAAGACGTTGCTTTATCAAGGACAGTGTGGTCTGAATTGTAGGCACGGTCATACATGACTAGCACTTGATGTTATAGTACAGCTTACTTCATTACCTTGCAAAGAGTGTATCTACAGCACTGAGGATTATGATTTAAGTGCTGAAACACATGTAAGTAAGCAAACTTGAGCATGTGAGCATATGTGAGTAAACGAACAATAGTAAACGGATATAATTGGAGGAGCATATGTAAATAAGAGGGGGTTAAATTCATGCAGCATTTGAATGACCCGGTTGGTGTCCAAAATTCACAGTGAGGGGCACCGAATTCCAGACTCCGTTGCATTCATATCAACACTCCACACTGTGCACAAGACCCCAAGTGTGGCTGCACGGTCCTCACAAGCCACATCCACAGTCTAGCAATTGTGGATTTGGCCTCCTGGCGTCCATTGCAGTTGTCTGACCGTGTCTTCTTTGGTGAGGCTAGATTGCATATCACCAGTGAAGCTCCTGTGGTGGACCAGATTGTTTCCCAGTGGCATTGCCCATCTTTTCCTAACGCTTCTCGCAACTACGAACCCATATTGCATGCAAAATGGTAAATTGGTAGTGGACATGGTGGTTCCTCCAGAATTGGCTAACATGCTATGGTCAGGTCGTCCTCGCCGCCTCCATCTGTACCCGAGGGGGTAAAGCTGTCCTCTCGAGACAGTTCCGCGAGATGCCCCGATCACGAATTGAGGCGCTACTGGCATCCTTCCCGAAGCTGGCAGACAGCAGCACACAGCACACCACGGTTGAGCAGGACAATGTTCGATTCGTTTACCAACCCCTCGACGAGCTATACATGGTCCTCATCACCAATCGACAGTCCAACATCCTGCAGGACATTGATTCACTCCACCTGTTCGCCCAAGTCGTCACAAGCACATGCAAGACCTTGGAGGAGCGAGAAATCCTTAGAAATGCCTACGAACTGCTCAGCGCATTCGACGAGCTTGTCACCCTTGGCTACAGGGAGAACCTGACTATCAGTCAGATCAAGACCTTCCTGGAGATGGAGTCCCACGAGGAGCGCATCCAGGAGATCATTGCTCGCAATAAGGAATTGGAAGCTACTGAGGAGCGCAAGCGCAAGGCAAAGCAACTCGAGATGCAGCGCAAGGAGACGGCAAGAAGTGGCCGTGCCGGTGTGCCACGAACCCCGGTCTATCCCACATACACTCCACCCTCTCGACCTACTACCACGGATACGTACGACAGCTATGAAGCTGAGAAAAACAAGACGGCACACAAGACAACTGTCATGAAGGGCAAGGGCATGCAACTAGGCAAGAAATCAAAGACAACCGATATGTTCGAGCGTGTTAGAGGAGATATGGGTGGTGAGGTTGATGATACGCCGTTGGTTCCTGTGGCTACCTCTGCGCCAGTCGCAGAACCTGCCGCTCCTCGGATGTCTTCAACGCTGGATCGAGACGCCATCCATGTCACTGTCAACGAGGCAATTACTGCGAAGCTATCGAGAGAAGGATCGGTAAACTCCATGACCGTCAGTGGAGACTTGACCTTGCGCATTTCGGACCCAAGCTTGACCAAGATCAAACTTGCACTATCAGCAACTGCCTCTCACGGCGCGCAATTCCGCACACATCCCAACGTCGACAAGGGCCTGTTCAACAGTTCCAAGACGATCCAGATGAGCAATGCCGCCCGTGGATTCCCCGTCAACAATGCTGTTGGCGTGCTGAGATGGAGAGCCACACCAAAGGCGGATAATGCCAGCGCTGTGCCCATCCAATTCACCGTATGGGTGACTAAGGGGTCTGAAGGCAACTTTGGCATCACTGTTGAGTATGAACTGACCGGCAGCGACGAGCTCAAGGATGTTAGCGTGGTCATCCCATATGCCACAAGCGAGCCATCTGTGTCGAGCTTTGACGCGACCTATGAAGTGTCCGGAGATAGCCTGGAGTGGTCCATTGGCACAGTCACAGCTGATGAGCCAAGCGGGTCATTCGAGTTTGAGGCTCAAGCAGACGACGAAAACGAGTTCTTCCCCATGCATGTCAGATTCTCTAAGACTACACCATACATCGATGTCGATGTAAGTATCATGACAGGAAATTCAAGGTTGCAAGAAACTCACTAACAATGCTCCAGGTTCTATCCGTTTCTTTGATAGAAATGGACGAAGAGGTAACTTTCTCTAAAGAGATCAAGTCTTTGGCTGAGAACTACTTGGTGGAGTAATGACTAGGGGAATGTGAGGATTGATGTAGCAAAAGTTAATCAAAAGAGTCAGTGAGACTCGGAAGTGGTCCTATAGAGAACTGCGAAATTGACTGGAGAACACTTCCTGGCGTCAAAGCACGTTGCACTGTGAAGCGCTATAGTATACCGGCATCAACATCGAAGCATGAGAATAATGTTCGTCCAAATGCCACACGCCATATGAAATAAATTCTTGGACCACCTTGAGATTGTACATTTGTGCATCGTGGATCATAACTCTTCAATTGCTTCCCACCGAAAGGTTGGGTTTAGGCTGAAGAAGTCGCCAGAAGGTCACTATTGTACCGACAGTGCTTACACAGTGTTTGACACCCGTAACTGCCCAAAACGCGCCGGTCGCGCTCTCAGTCTCAGTCTGAATCGTCATTCCCAAGAGCCCCAGGCTGGATAAAACCACTTGTGGAGCTCGAAATTAGCTACGTAATGGTCAATTGTGTCAATAAACCCATTCCAGGGCCATATTCAAGGCTTCGCCACATGTCTGAGCCAATCCAGCTAGAAACATTGGGCGAGACGAGGCTCGACCCCAAGCCGCACGGTGAACTACTCACCTATAACCCCAGCATTGAGCTGTTTGCCCGAGCAGCCGGGCCCAAAAGCCTCCAAATATGGCGCTCCAACGGTCAGGTCGTCGTCAAGAGCAGCCAGCGGGGCGAGAAGGAGAGTGTAGAGGCTTTGAGATGGAAAACTGATGGTCAGTCAGCCTGCACATCCAACCCCACACTGTTTGTTCACGACGCACATAATACTAATGCGAAAGCTCCAGGCCAATTCCTCGCCGTCGCTTGGAGCGATGGGGTGGTTAGGTTGATGGGACTGGAGAACAGCAAAGCTGTGCATCAAATCCCCGTGTGCGAGGCGGGCAAGGCGAGGATCACCTGTATGGGTTGGACGAGGAACTTTGCCGGGAAACGCGCCGCAGTGTCAAAATCTGTCGCTTCGGCTTTGCAGAAGTTGTCGCTGGATGATGATGATGATGATGGGGAGAAGAGGATCATGCAGAGCTTACCGCGTGAGCTCACGTTCCTCGAGGTGGAAACTGCTTTGCCTAAGATCAGCCCACTGCCGGCCTCTGGGGGCTCGGGGTAGGTCGGTTCATCGTATTGAGCTGAGGCAGAGCTAACATGTTTTTCTAGCGATGACATGTATGTCTTCACCACAAGGGCATCGTTGGAATTTCTGTTTCGCCCTTTCGCACCCGAAGACAGCGACAAGGTGGATGTCATGATCGTCGGCACAAACGACGGACAGATCCATCTGAGTATTTACGACTCTTTCGTTATTGGCAGTTTCAACTACAGTCTGCCCAGAGCCTTTGGTATACAATCACCTTTGGAGCTTATCTCACACGCATCACACCCTGAACTATCAACACATTCGCTGGTGTTCAAGTCTGCATCAGAAGACCAGGCCAAAGCACTGTACTTGGTTCCCATGGATTTGACTTTTGTCTACTCATCTCCGGAAAATTTGTCTCTGTTGGCATCTAAGACAACCACGCTACAGAAACTCCTGCGATACGTCAAGCAGGTACAGATGCATATGATTAATGAGTGGCAATCTACGCGAGAATTACCAAGCAGGTTCCTCAAAAGCATCAACGAGACCCTCTCTGAAGCAGGGACGTACGGGGAGATGGACATTGGGCCGGCTTTATACCATACCGTTGTGACGGGTCACACTTTCCCAGAGGTCAAGGAATGGCTTGTTGACCAACTAGCTGAACGAGTAAGTGCCGGGCCAAAGTTTTGAGAAATACAACCCAGTCTAATGAAATAACTTAGGGCCATAAGAGATGGGACAAAGCGGTGGTATCCGGGTTGGAAAGCCTCCGCAGTCTAGTTCACGAGAACTTCCTTCCAGCATTAGAGCGAATAGCCATCATCCTGAGTCGGCTACTGGGCATAGCCCGCTTCCACGAGTCTCAACACCAGATCGGCTTCACCAGCGCACAGGTCACCAAAGTTATGGACATTGTAACGTGCTTGATACTAGTCGGCAACAAGATTCTCTTACTCGTGATGGAAGAGCTCGACCTATTCCATTGCTTCTCGACCTGGCTGCGCCACGAGATTGATAGCTTGGCCTCGTCGTCTACGAATGAGGAGCTCACCGAGAAAGAGGCTACTATGGAACATGGCAAGGTGTTAACGTATATTCGACAATACCTGCCGGCGAGTCCTCTGCGGTGTTACCTACGCAGTGTACCAAAAGAGGACTCACAGAGAGATTGGGAATTAGCTGAGAATGGCTCTTCATTGCTGGACATGCTGGACAAGCAGATATCAAAGCAGGAATCAGGCCAAGACCAAAGCGCTATGTTCTCACAAATCGACTTCCTGGGCGCGTACCTAGCCAGCAAGGCGAATGTCGTGTTTGATGGCATTGCCGAGGCGGAGAAGCGCAGTGTGCGGTTCGGAAAACCTACCAAGATCGAGTTAAAGCATAGCATCTCCAAGTTTGATGTCAGGATGCAATTAGCTCCAAAAGCGGTAGGTTCTGAAACTATCCGTTGCCTTGCTGCCAGACTGACCCCTGTACAGAAGGGTCTTAGTGGTGTTACATTCACAGCTCTTACACAAGAGCAGCAGGAGAGCAATGGTATGTCCTCTAACCTACAAGCGTAAAAGGTTTGCCCATAGTAATCCGCAACAGTCTACATCTTCCGCACCGAAACAAACATCACCAACGGCATCAGCGGCAACGTCACAACCCAGGTATCGAGCCTCACACTAGGTGAAGCCAAAGTGCTAGATGTCAAATTTATTTACGAGGACTCTCTTCTCGTTCTGGCGTCAATTGAAGGGAGGTTAAATTCAGTTCTCCTCAGTCGATTCTCAATACTGACTTAAACCCAGACCAACTTCGCATCATCAGAATACCGCACCAGTCAGCCGACCTGGGATATCGAGACTACACCGCGGGCACCACCTCGGTAACGCCACATGCGCTAAGTACGGAACAGGTGACCAGCGTGTTCCTGAATTTGATCATGCCAGGCGACGGAGGCTTTATGCCGATGCAGATGGAAGTCAAGGAGGCCTGCTCGGAGAGAGGGAAGTTTCCGGCGAGGGTTTGTCTGCTTGGGGACGACTTGCAGACGTATCGTGTGTTGGCTTTGCCTGCGAGTTTTTTCGGGGGAGGGGCGGGCGAGTAAAGGCTGCATATGGAGAAGGAGGAACTTGGAGGGATTGAGTGGCAGAATAGAAAAGAGCGTATGCATTGTAATAACCGCCGCGGTTCAACATATTGGCCATTTTCAAACTTGCGCCGAAGGCCTCCTAGAGTTTTATGGGCAATAGTCCAGAGTCTCCAAGAGTAAGGTGAAAGGCATAGGCCAATATCTCGCCCAAGATCGTCGACCATTTGCTGACAACTAGTTTTCTTCTATTTGAGTGCAGCTGACTTGTACTCAGAAACATGCTATTTCCAAAAGAAAAAGCAGGAGCCCAATATGTCTTAGCTAGCTTGTTCCAGCGACAACGCATTCCGCTCAACCACTTCCAGCATCCTCTAGCCGCTCGCAGTCCCATTCCACCCGACAACATGCTCCTCCCCACCCTGAATCCCAACCCTCACCCAGCCATCCTCCAGCACAGCGCCCATCTCCACTGTCCCCTTCCCGTCGTAAACTTTGTTCCCATCAACATGTACCTCCTTGCCTTCATTCTCCTTCCCATCCCACGGCACACTAACACTCCCATTCGTCCCCTTGGGCGCATGGACCCAAACATTATAACTCTCCCCACTTCCCTCCCCATTCCTTTGCCACCTAACCCGCAAACCCCCCCTCGGCGTAGGCACCTCCCCCTAGCCCACTCCAATCCCCCGGTCCTGGGCTTAACACTCCACTCATCGAACCCGGGTTTCACAGCACTAACCCCAAGGACATACGTACTCAACAATGGTACGATGCCCGTGGACCACCCATGCGCCATGGACGTAAACCCGTCTTCGTACAAGCCCCCATCCTTGCCTATCCCCTCCCAGAATGTGATTCCCGGGTCGTGGGATGCCATCCACCCGTATGTACGCCGGATCAGATCGAGTGCAGATTCGGTGTGTCCCGATGCAAAGCGGGCGCTCATCTCGAAGTAGGATATGAAAGCATAGACGCGATCGGATGCTTCTTCTACGAGATCATTTCCCGCAGCGTCGTAGAAGGAATTTCCGTATTCGTGACGCATAGACGTATTAAGGTAATTCAGCGCCTTTGCTGAAAGCGTATCATTAGCGATGCCCGCTATGATAGCGAGACTATTCCCGTCCTGGGCGTGGGCCGCGCAACCCTTGCCGGTGCATTTACGGTCAAAGAAAGCCTCTGCTTCCGGGTCCCATAGTTCGGTTACGAAGGATTTAGATACGGTGGCAGCTCGATCCCGCCATCGGGATGCGTCGTCGGGCTTGAGGAGGAAGTCGGCAAGGGCAGCGGCGCGGGTCAGGGAGAGGACGTAGAGCGCGCTGTAGTAGGCAGCTGAACCGTCGCGGGGGATGAATGCATAGTCGCCGTAGCCTTCTTGACGGACTAGGAGGCCTGAGGAGGAGCTGGTGTGTTGAGGGTAGTAAGTGTCGAGTAGCAAGGTCATGTTCGGATAGTAAGATTCGATGTAGGATAGGTTGCCGGTGTGCATGACGTGCTCGTAGCTGCATGATACCCACCACAGGGGGTAATCGAAGAGCTGGAGCCCGTAATTGTTACTGTCCATTTCCATAAGCTCGTGTGTTAGTCAAAGACTGTAATCCAGAACTTACATGCTTGCCGGAGGTATCCAACCATCACTACGCTGGTGCTGGACGAGGTCCTCCATAACGTTTCTAGCCACCTCCTCAACATCATGCGTCAAATAGCTAGTAAGTGCCGAGACAGCCAAATCTCCCATGTAAGGGTCTCTGTCCCGCTTTGCCCCATCGTGGATCACCAATTTTCCAACCAGGGAAGGACTGGTAGCATCCCTAAGCTCGGTGTCGTTGGCGCGGAATACATCGATGCACATTTCACTGGTATATGATCCGTCATACCACCACTGAGTGAGGTCCTTGTCGGAGCACTCGAATGTTCCGGTGAAGGTGTCTGGCGTGCCCAAAAAGCCGTAGAACTGAACCTTGACGGACGATATGCCGACTTCACCAAATGAAGTCGTGTGTGGGCTGTCTTCAGGGAGGGCGTCTAGCGCAATTTTTACGTATCGGAAGCCATGAAGCCCATCTGAACAGACCTGCCTGCTGAACTCGCAGCCCCATTGATTTGTCCAAGTGTAAGGCTCTGACTTGACGGCGATCTGCGTTCACTTGTATTAGATTAGAAGGTAGAGGAACCAGGGTGGTTATTGTTCCACCAGGAACATAAAACGGACCTGGTCGGTCGCATTGGTGATCTTATCATCCTGCCAAGGTCGTCAGTATCTGTACGAGGAATATCATCAGTGAAATTAGAGCCTACCCCTCGACCATTGTCAGATCTCGAAAAGTCACTCTTATCTGCGAGAAACTCAAGCGTCTCCGAGAATATGAGCTTGATCCCTGGCTGGCCATGTGTATAATTCTTGGCGCCAACAAAGTCGATGGTCAATAGCCCAACCACGTTCTGGCCTTTACAATATTCCATGTCAGCAATTCCTCATCTGAAAGGGCAACTTGGACCAACCGAAATCAACCACCACAGTCGGCACCTCACTCGAGTTCTCAGACCGACTCAAGTACGTCGTCCCCGAACCATCAACCAAGCCACCAGCATTCGTGACATTGCCATTGCTATACCCCGCCAGAACCTTCTTCGGAGTCACCGTGCTACTGGACGGAGCCCGAACATACTGGTGCCAACTCGGAATATCGTCTCTCTCCCACACAGCGGAACTAGAGGAGACGAGGAGCTGGAAAAGCGACCACAACACTATATGGAGTAAATAAGATGCAATTAGCATAATGAGATGGAACCGAGCAGAGCAGCGAGGATAAAGCACTGTCAACGAAGACAAACCAAGGGTCCGTTAGACAGACAGACAGGGGAGGACACGGCAGGCAATCAGTCAGATAGGCTTTTGCTCACAAGACACCAAGAAAACAAGCATCAGCAACACGGGATGCTTCGCCCGAAATATGTACGATCGAGGTATGTTGTGCCCGGTGTGGTGGGGCAGTAGTATCCCCCAACTTCTCATGATATTTCGGTTGTTAGATCTGGGAGGAGCGCTGCGTGCGCTTCTGCTTCTGCATGTGTGCCAAGGTCGGAACTTCCCTTTGCCGCAACCAGGAGTCATTCCGTGACCTGCGTCGTCTGCTGATGTAACGCGAATCCCACATTCGGCTCCCAGTTCCTGCTTCTTCTTCTTCTTCTTCTCCTTCTTCTCCTCCTCCTCCTCCTCATCCCCTTCATCCCCTGCGCTGCCCTTGCCGTGATCATCGCCATCATTCTTGCAGCATCTGAGTCGGGATGACGATGGCGGTGGTAAAGTTGGGTTGCCGATGAGAAGAGCGGGGTTCCCGCAGCAGGTAGGATCCTTGATCCCCGTGGTTGTCATGGTTTTTTGGGGCATCGAAGTGTGCAGATCAAGAAGCTAGCTATTAGAAGAAGCTGTAGTCTCCCAGACTAGTCCGTTGTGCCGCAGACGTGCTGCGTCGATCTAGCGTGTGCCAGGGTCGGCGTAGCTACCCTATGGACCACAAGACCCGGGTCCGGGGTTATTGCCCGGGAGTCAGCAACAATCTATGTCTCAATTCAGTTAATGAATACTCCAGCGAGAGTTTCGATTGGTCAAACCTGTCGCAGTCAGCGTAATGATTACCAGACTTGGGTTGCTCAATTTTGTCCTAAACTTTGCAAGGTAGCTGGTTGTTGGTAAGGTGGGGTACTGGGTTCCCGGACGCCGAGAATTGGACTACCTCAAAGCCGCTTGCATCTGTATCACAGGTGACGTGCCTGTAATGGAGGCTTGAACGACAATTGAGAATGAAAATATGTTTTGAGAGTCATCACAGAAAAAGTGTTTTCATGTGACAGGCCTCAGCCGGATAGTTCGGCTTTGGTAAACTTTCCGTAGAATAATGAAAAAAAAGAAAATGAGAAAAAACACAAACTCCCATTAGGCCAGGTCCATGCTCACAATACAATCAGCGCTCATCGCGAGGTAGATTAGAAATGAATTTCAGCTATGCTATATATGCATGCTCATCTAACATCTATGAGGCTATCAAGGAGAGCAAATCATACAGTCCGTGTATCGCTAGTCTATTAACTCTCCGTTGAACTTCCATGACGCCGTTGCAAAAAGGAAATATCCTGTTCATCGCTCATCACATAAGCCATGTTTTGTGCTCATGGTTTTTGAAACACCATCGCCCAGACTAAACCGCTAGATACGGTTGTTTCCATCCTGCCTTCCCTTCGTTCATATCACGGCTGGAGACACGTCTGTCGCCGTTGCACCAAACTTCGTACTGGGACGCTTATTTGATGTTGGCCATTCTTTTCGCCATGCTGTGTTACTGTTAGCATCTATCCAAGTAATCCATGGGTGGAGTCAGGGAACTTACAAGTCGTAAAAGGCAAACTGGCTGGGCTGAGAACCAAACTCATAGACGAACCGGGATGCCAGGTAGCTGCCAAAGATGGCACGCAGATATGCCTCGGGAACACGGGAGACAATGGTGTCCAGGCCGATCTTGTCCAGCAAGAGCTTGGGTAGGGCGTCAGTCAGCACGGCCTGGCGAATCTTCTCGTCCTTCCACAGGTCAGAGTGTTGTAACTCTTCGTCCAGTTCCGTGATGGCATTCGACAATTTGTCTGAGAGGATTGAGCGGGCAATGCCCGTCTGCTCATGCTCCCGCCAAATGGCCTCGAACTCCAGGCGGGCATTCTCGCAGATGGTTGCCTGGACCTGCTGGACATAAGCCTTGTAGAATGCAGGTGCCTCACCCTTGGCGTTATGACACATGTGCGTGACAAAGCCTTCGTCGTCGAAGCTGAGCGAGGCAAGCACTTCGAGGGATGAAGACGTCACGCCGCCCTTGTTGGCAGATGCATCCTTGAACAGGACACACCCAGCCTCCTCTAGGCGCAACTTGGCATCCTGAGTGATGAATAGATTGGCACCCTCCACAATGTAGGGTACGGTCGACTTTCCGTCCTTGATGAGCTTGCCAACAGACACCAGATCGATCGACTCGGGACGGCCACCACAAGGCACAAAGCAGTCGGTCAGGCCGCTGTCTCGCAGGTGGTAGGTGTTGCGGAACGCGGTGCCGTTGGCAATCACCTCACCAGTGGGAAGCTTGACGTTGGTGTCTTCGCAAAGCACCCGGAATCCGTCGTTTGACAGCTTGGAGATGTCAAAATGAGAGATCATGAGTCGGCCCTTAGCCAAACGGACAAGCTCGTCCTTATTGATTCCATTGGGGTCCACAAGCACACCCGCACCATCGACGATGGCTGTGTACTTCTCGTTGCTTAGCAGGATCTCGTTGCTTCCCAAGTCGCCATCTGGCCCGCCAGTCTGCATCTTCTTGACCTCGGCAGGGTTGAGCTCCTTCTTGCGGTAGATACCCTTCACGTACTCTCGGACTGAGAGTGTCGTCATGCCGTAGGCATCGTGAGGGATACCACCCAGCTTGGGAGATTTCCCAGTGAAGAAGGACTTCCACCAAGGAGCCCCGCGAGCGCGGGCATGCTCGGTTGCCCAGTCTACCAGGTCTGCAGTGTTCTCGTCCGGTCCCATGAACAGGATCTCCTCTTTGTGGTAAAGATCCACCAGTGGGTTCTTGATACCTGGCGTCTGAGCAGGGAGTAGCAAGTCGAGGATACTATCGATGTATTTCTCAAAGGCCTCATCGGCCTTGTCCTGCTGCTTCGCGTCGAGGAGAATGACCCCCTTGGATCCGCCCTCCGGAATGTCCTTGTTCTTGCGTTGCTGTGTGCTAGCCAGACCATAGTTCTCGTCAAACAGATTCCTGGCGTTGATTGAGTATGCCTCCTTCGAACGAGACTTGACAATCCGGATACCACCACGAGCGACGTCCTTAAATCGGAGGTGGAAACCTCGGGATTCTGCACTGATGACAAGGAACATGCCGTAAAGGGGTTTGGGATATTCAAACTCGGGCAGGAAAGAGGGGTCAAGTCGGAAACTCAGAGCAACCTTGGTCGGGGTGAAGTAGTTGGTCTTCAAAATGGAAGTATTGAAGATTCTGAAGGCGGTCATGACCATCTCCTCGTGCTCGTTAGATACGTCGCGAGTGATCTTCTCCTTCAGTCGGGCGTCCGACATGACATCCACCGCAGGGGTAGGTGCAATGAACTGTCTCTCGAAGCCAGCACCAACACTCAGATGCACATTGGCGAAGGATGCATACAAGGCACGGACAAGATCGGGGTAGTTCATGATGATTTCGAGGATATAGTCCGGAGTGAAGGTCTCGGTACGGAGACGGCGCTTCAGCTTGGACAGGATCTCCGCGTGCTCGTTCTTGTTGGGATCCAACGCCTGCGATAGAGAGGCATACTCAGACCCAAGTCGATTGAGGAAGTGCTGCACGTAGACCCAGACGCAATGTCCGTAGATGGCTTCTTGGAGACTCAGCAAACCAGACGCAAAGAGAGAGTGCAGTTTGTTCTGGGGGATGCAGTAAAGGAGGGATATCTCCTTGGTGATCTGGTGGATCGACTGCTCAATGGGCGGCACATCGGCTTCCAGGTGGGCGGCGGGCTTGAGGTAGAAACTCATGACGGTGATGCCGTTGGAGAATTGCTCGACGTATTTTCTGGTGCTCGTGACACCATAGTAGTGGTAGAGATCGCTCAGCGCGCTGAACATGCCCCTAGCTGTTCGCGAGCGGAACGCCACCACCAACCGCTTCTCCTGGGAACCCTCGATGTCGAATACCTCAATGACAGGACCAGTTCTACTGACTGCTAATTTGATAATCTCTTCGTAGATCTGCTTCGTGTTCCTTGTCGCCTTGTTCAGAAACATACGGTCGCTGATAACCTCAAGCCGGGTCTCTTCTGGGGCGGGGTTCGAGTCAACGAACTGGCATTCGTACACAAAGTAACAACGTAAAGACGTCTTGGACGAGGCCTCGGGCGACAAGGTGCCAGTGGAACGGAATGTCTCCACCCGGAAGCGTTTGTTGTCGGTGTTGTCCAGGTACTTGGCTTCGAGACGCTGCTCGTACCGGGGTCCGCCCATGTTGGTCTTGCCCGGCTCGCTCGTGTCAATGTAGATAGCGTGGTCCGTGGCCTCCATATCTAATCGAATTTCTTCGCGTTTGTCCACTCGCGAGTTTGCCGCAACCTTGGCAGCGTAGAGAGACTGAATATGGATCGCTATGACTTCGACTCTTTCAAGTTGAAAGTATACATCGTCAATGCCCAGTGAGGTATAGAACCACTTGAGCTGATCCTCAACGTGTGATTCCGGGATCCAGCCTTCCTTAACGAGGATCTCCCGCACTTGTATAAGTGTTAGTAACAAAATAGCAGTTGGAATAATCAACAGAGGCCGCTTACCTTGTTTCATCTGCTCCGCCTTTCCAGCAAACTCGGGGTTAATATACCCAACGGTTGCGGATCGAAGGATTCTGTGTCCATTGCCGTTACTTCTCTGGGGTATAGAGAAATGAGTTGGCTGAGGCGAAGGATGACGGCTTGGTTCGTCTTGAATCTGGGACACCAGCTTGTTAATCGGTGCAGTTCCGTTGGTGGCCATGGTGACGAATGGGTTAAAAGATTCAAGAGGATCTGCGTAGTCTGGGAATCTGTCCAGAGACAAGTCAGTCGTCTGAAGGGTCAATATCTTGGCACCCATAGCGAATGGAAGGAACAAAGGTAGTGAGGTACTAGAAGGACGAGAAGAGCAAAGGGAGAATGGAACAAAGATTAGGTTAAATATATGGGACGTCTGTTGCGGTGAGAGACCAGACCAGACCAGTCCAGTCTGGGGAAGCGGAGTTTGGATCGTCAAGGTAGAGTGACGGGGAGTGATGGGAAGGGCAGTGCGGAGGGAGCCATTGCGGCGGATGTACAATGTTTATCGCCAATTGTACTGCAGACTCTCTTGTGGTAGATATCAGGATACACACAACGAGTGAGCAGATAATTACGAGGTCATTGACATGCCTTGGGGAATGATTGACATACAGATGCCGGCATCGGGAGAAGCAGGGAACAGCGTTGTCATCATCAACAGTGACATGTTGCAGCACAGGTTCGGCCGATGCATGTCAAAATGCCACAGACAGACAGCATTATCTCCTGCCTTTCTGACACGGAAGCTTCACCGCTTGGCCTTTGCATGCTGGCTTGGGAATCTCAGTGCTTGGGGGGCTTGGGGACTTGGGTGCTCGGGTATTTCTGCTTATTTCTGCTTATGCTCCGGATAGGAGGGCATGTTGCACAGGCCAAAGCAAAATAGAACGTACCTTGTGGCTTTAGAGGAAATGCGACCGCCGTATGTAGCGTGCTAGCCCTCTGTCGAGTCCGACTGGGGAATAAAACAGAGTCTAACTAGTTCAGGGCGAACCGGGAACTTGCCCCTTGAAGCTGGCGACGCGCTGAAAGACGCGTTGGGCGAGGAGTTTAATTTCTGTAAGACGGGTGACGATGTCTTGAGCAAGACGATCGAGGGGTCAGGGTGGGTTTGTAATGCTGTAGAGAGCCTTCAAGGTTTGGAAAAAAGAATGCTTGATACCGCAAGAACCTTGGTCTCCGGTGGGCAAAGAGAGTTCTAGGTTCTTATAGTACACCTCGCTCAGGACCTAATTGACCACCTGGCTGATGCATACGAGAAGATGAGAGGTAAAAGTGAATTATGAGGGTTCTGGATGTTGGCTTCTAAAAGTCGAATGTGGTAAGGGAGGCACAGCCCTTGAGCTTGGGCTGGTCGAGGATGACGGTTTATCAGGCGATGCCGACAAGAGATAAGGGAATTCAAGCTGAAAATAGGAAGTGTTCCTTGGCCAATTGCTGGCTATGACGTTAGAGGCGATGGACCGGCGGAAGCACTCTCCCTTTTATATTTGCAACTAGAAAACTCCAGACGAACCAGATACAGTAAGTACAAGCTGCAATGTGCCTTCCGAGCACCTCATTCAGTGGAAAATTCCAAACCAAAGCATGATTATTTGATCACGATGGAGTAAGTGTTACTACTTCCCATTGTTTTACTCAATGAAAATAAAATACATGCCATCTCCAGGTGCTCATGTACATTGCGGGCGTTTCTGCCATTGGCCCAACCATTTGGTACCTGGCAATCGTGCCTGGATGCGCCGTCCGTCACATGTAACCCTGTGGAGTGAGTGTTAAAGTGTGGATGGATATTGCGGGCTAGTTCGTTTTGCGTACCCCTGACAATCAGTGGACGGTTATTCGAGGCTGTTGCCATGATCCACATTTAGATAGCAATGACTAGTATTGTTACTTTTTGCCCTGCTGAGCTCCTTGCTCTTCTCCTTAAGAGGATGCTGAACTGGTTGGCCATGTCTTGTTGTCTTGGGCCGTCTGATGGGGTTCCCAGATTCCAGCGCCCTTATCTCTGCGGCGTCTTAGCTGAGATACGAGATCCAAGGATCTGCCTGGACCCCTAATGGCGCACAGGGCACACGCCTAGGCGTCGTCGGTTCGTCCCCGGTCATCGTCAACTCCCCTTACCGCCTCTTATTCTCGTCGCTTCAATGATTATAGGGTTGGGCGCATCTGTCCAACTCTATTATCTACGTAATGACTAAGTACGTTCTTTTGGTCAGCAAGGTTGGGCCGCAAGAAACAGAAATACAGTAGAATTGGTCCACGATGCTCCCCAAGGGGGGTTCGAAGGCGCATCTCGTGACAAGCAAGTGGGAATGGGAACTAATGCTACGGGCCACAGGACTTCTTTCCGGACCACACTCGGGAGCGGTAGAGATCCACTTGGGCCCGCGATCCCGGGCGCCGACCTTGGCTCTTGTGGATTTTGCAGTTGGGGAAATTTCACGGGGGTAATAGAAACGTAATGTTCAGCCACGGGATCAAACAGCCTTGACGCCAGGCCAAGTACACGACCTCAATAGGCAACTTGAGACTACACGCTGACCGCTGTTATATGTCGGCAGTCGAGAAATGACTATTCTATTAGTAAACTGTTGAGTCGGGCATGGTTGCGAGTGGTGGATTGAGGTAATATTAGTTCCGAGTCCACGTCACGAGTGTTGGCGAATATCGCACAATTATTGCGTAAACTTTAAACACCGAGTCTTGCATCTAGCCTGGACTTTTGGTATCACGACAGAAACCGCAGAATAAGTGGATTGAAGTCTGGGGTTGGCCTGGATGACTCCTGTCCTTCGCCGTACCTACCCCGTGGGCAGTTGCTTGGCTTGGCTCTTGATGGTGGACTACATGGTCACATTTTCAAGAGACGAGGGTGTCGGCCAACCCGCGTTGCTAAAAAAGCTTTGTTTTGCCACTTTCCCCTCGGCTATGGTGTTAGAATAAGGAAGGCTTCCAGAACAGACAATGCCATTCGAACCCTCTTGGCACTGGCTGTGCTATTTTTACCCAGATCCGCCAATACTCCTCTTCAGGCATGCAGATTGTTAGCGGATGAAATGCCCCGTTTTAAGCGACTCGTCAACACATACAAATTGTGTGAGAGGTCAAGTACCGGCTTACCCAGGACAAGTGTATCGTTACCCCTTCCCAGCACTGGAAACGGGGGTGGAGACCAAGTATTGTGGGGTTTGTATTACGCTAACAATCTGTACGTCTGGAGAGGTGTACTTTACGGTCTAGATCGACTGCCACTTTGATAATTGGACGAGTGTCATAAGCGCAGCCACAATGGACTTTGATGAAATACGAAAAGTGTAGCCAAGCGTCGCCTCGGGTATAGAGGGGTACAAGGCGCCCAGGCACGAACTTTTGTATTTAGGGACCCCCGGGGGCCGACTGGGCAGTTCATCCCCCGCACCTTCGTACTGCCAATACAGCAACCAAATACTCTGGACAAAAAGCATCAGATATGGCTGTAACACCCTGCAAAGCACTGCAAAGCACTGCAAAGATTGCCAAGCAGGCCTGTTTCTTGTAATTTAAATGAAAACTAACACGTAATTTAATAGTCTCCATTATTGATGACCATAAAAGTTCATCGACTGACTCTATCTAGTAGCTGGACCTGGGTCCGAAGCATCGACGGCACACTCGGGTTACTAGCGCTTCAGGGCCTATAAGGTCGTAGAGGTATCACTGTTTCAAGTTACAACGGACGGAGCAAGAATTGCGTATCGAGAAGTGGCGCCTGTGACTTCGAGCATCAGCAACAATGCTGTAGCCCGTCCGTGAGGCGGTAGAGACGCTTCACTTTGCGAGAATTTTCTTGGACAGTTTAAGTACCTACCTGCGAGCCAAGTACCTAGGCATATAGGTCACGTCAGTGGAGTAAAGAAGTTTTCAATCCAATGCTAGAGTCGTACATTTCAAGTAATAAACCCTGGAGTGGACAACGCTTTGAAACTACAAGGTATTCACGACGTTATACCTCTTGAGGTAGGTGCACGCGGCTGCTACAAATTTGTCGAAGTCGTGACTGCTTTCAAATTTACCCCAGAATAATCTGAGAATAATCTGCGCCACACCCATCCAATAAGGCGGGTGTTGCAGATCCCCTGCCCAGAGATAATTTCGCTTCCATAAGGCGGCAGCAATCCTTCATCGCATAATTCCCACCGCGGGGTAACTAGCTTGTGGTAAGTTGCGGATCTAGATCTGCCAACGATATCCCTAACTCAATTTTGACCGCTTCCGTCGCCAAAACGCTCCATATCAAGACTTCTGGCCTCCCATCTCCATAGCCGTTATTTTCAGCTGGTCGAGCTCAGTTCATTGGCCTCCCTAACAACGAATCAAGATGAGCATCCTCCAAGAAGAGACGATGCCTCTCAACCTTGCCGCGCAGGCTGCGGCGCTTGACGAGGAAGATGAGCTGCGCCACATCAGGAACGAGTTCCGCATACCAACCAAGGCTGACATAAAACGCAATACACTTGCCCAACAAGGTCTGCTCTGAGTCATGTTACCTCAGCTGCGCCGTCAAGCTAATTTTCCCTAGATTCGGACAAGTCACTCACAACCGGTGACGCGTCAAGCTGTACATATCTCTGTGGAAACTCGCTGGGCCTACAGCCTAAAAGAACGGCCACCCGGATCAAGCAGTATCTTGACACCTGGGGAACGCAAGGTGTCCAGGGCCACTTCAAGCCCCTGGACGACTCGCCATTGCCGACATGGCTCGATGCGGATGCGCGTGGTGCACAGTTGATGGCTCCGATTGTCGGGGCGGACGAGTCAGAGGTTGCAGTTATGCAGACCCTGACTGCCAATCTGCATTTGCTCATGACGGCTTTCTATCACCCTGACCCCAAGGGTAGGCACAAGATCATATTGGAAAGCAAGGCCTTCCCCAGCGATCATTTCACGGTTCTTAGTCAGATTTACCATCATGGCCTGTCGCCGGAAACATCCATGGTTCAGATTGAGTCTCCTTTCTCGGAAGACAATATACTTAGCACGTACGACATCGAGTCATTGATCTCGCAGCACGCAGAGGATACGGCAATCATCTTGCTTCCGGGTATTCAATACTACACGGGCCAACTTCTCGACATTCCTACAATTACATCGTTCGCCCACAAGCACGGTATTTTTATCATCTGGGATCTCGCTCATGCAGTGGGAAATGTGCCACTTCACCTCCATGACTGGGACGTTGATGCAGCGGCATGGTGCACTTACAAGTACCTCAACGGTGGACCCGGCTGCATAGGAGGCATGTTCATCAACTCCAGAAATAGTCTAGTGACGTCGACCATCACAGACGAGGGTCCAGAGCGCGGCTATGGCAAGAGACTGTCAGGATGGTGGGGAAACGACAAAGCCACTCGCTTCACCATGGAAACCAAGTTCCATCCCGTAAAAGGGGCTGCCGGCTTTCAACTGAGCAACCCAAGTATCCTCGACATTACAAGCCTCAGCGCATCCTTGGAGGTGTTCGAACTCGCCGGCGGCTTGGCACCTGTGCGGGAGAAGTCAAGGAAGCTGACTGCCTTCCTGGAATATTGCTTGGAGGGGATGTCTGATAAAGCCAAAGAGCTGTTCCGGGTCATCACGCCATCTGATGCAGATCAGCGAGGTGCTCAGCTGAGTCTCCTTTTGTCCGATGGGCTACTAGGTCCGGTCATGAAGAATCTCGAGGAACGGGGTGTGGTTGTGGACGAGCGCCAACCGAATGTCATTCGGGTTGCTCCGGCGCCTTTGTACAATAGCTTCGCAGACTGCGTGGCATTTGTGGAGGCTTTTGAACCTGTGTTACTGGCGGCTCAAAAGGGGGAGTAGGTGGGCATGGGGTCGGGGGAACCCTCCAATCGTTTAGGTGTAATGATGTCCCGACTTCATGACCGTACATTGCAATGTTATTCCCGGACAATCCCAAATACTACCATCTACGTACAGCCTACTGACCATCGCAGTGAATCCGTGTGTCTATTCGCTACTGTTGAGCGTCGTCGATCACCATCCCGATATTGACAATACCAATACGAGAAGAGTAGAGGAAACTTGTAAAGACAAGTCCTTCAATCTGCCGGAAGGAACCGTTACCTCCAATATAAGTAATTGCTCCTTTTGTCGGGATATGACCAAAATACGGGGGTTGAACTGCGTTGCGAAGCAGTTTTAGAGGCCCGGGATTTCTTCATTTGACGGTTCGATCTCGGTGTTTGAAGTTGCGTAGTCTGGCATGTCCCGAATGCCACGGCATTGGCATATCGGAAGCCTCAGAGGCAACACACCAACACGAAGCACATGAGCCGCTTTCTGAAACCGCCGAGTTCCCGTTAGTCAAGTATTTCTTACGGTCATGCTTTAGGCTATTTTGTATTTGAATCAGGTGTTCCCATTTTGAATGTTCTTTTATTCTCGGGATGCCAATCCAGGAGCATGCACAGGTGGTCCCTGAAGCTGTCGTCTGTGGAAGGCTGTGCGAATTAGTCGAACGTAGTTAGATTAGCAGCGCCTTGGCAGATATTCTTGGCGTCTTCAATGTTGGGAGGCCTTTGTGCTACAGTGAGTGGACTTGTATGTGGATGCACGGTCCATCTCCGCACCCTAACTTTGCAGTCAACACAACCTTTGGATAGGACTATCGTAGCTGATTCACACTCAAATCTCCCGGGCATAATTTATATCAACGACGGGCAGGAATGCCCACAGGTTAAGGTAATGAAGATGGAGACGGACCACAGGATCCTTGAGGAGATCTGCTGTCCGGGTGGATAACAAGCAAGCCCAAGAGCCTTGTCGCTCTGATCAGATCAACGGAAGGGACTCAATAGGCACGAATAATTGACTGGGCCTTAACAGGTTTGAACGACAGAAGTGCCTCAACTTGCACGAATCATCATGAACGACTTGAAAAGTAAGAAATTTCTCGCCTCTCTGGTTGTCTTCTTCTTCTCTTTTTCTTTTCTGCTGAGGTCCTTTGCACCTCCTATCCACAGTGCATCCTTGGACTTTTAAGATCCTTCTACTATAGTCGATTCTTCCAGAATTAGACTGATTGCACATTTCATGCGAAAATATCCTTCAAAAACCCTTGTCCCCAGGTCAACATACTAACCCTATAGTAACATCCACCTACACTAACTCGATTAACTCTCGAGTATATGCCTTATCTGACATATGTAAGGCATGGCCGCCCGTAAACAACTGCCCCACAAATACCAAAAAATCTAGCAATGCGAGCATTTGCTAATACCTTAACGCAGTGGTGGGCAAGTGAACGTGAGACGCGCGCTTCGCAAGCGTTGTGAAGTTTGTCGGTGGGGTTGTCTCTGGACACCGTGAAATGTCTTTTGGAGTCGCGGACTTCCACATGGGAACGGCACAAGCGGGGAATTTCCGGTAGATAGAGGCTTCGGTAAATAGCCTGCAATATCCTTCTGAGATTTTGTGGTCATCAACATCAAAAGCTAGAATTCCAAGTTGTAAAAGCGTTTATTGTCAATTGTTCGATGGCATTATCAGCCACCCTGAGCAAGCTGTAATAAGGTTTAATTTCAGTGTGGCTTAGCTCCCACAATGTGGGCCATTTCGTTGTCTAGATGCCCTGGGCATACGTCACTTGGTCACGGCACCGGGCGGTACAGGTTGAATGGTTCGACCTGAGTTCATGGCAACAACACACGTCGACGCCAGCGAAACTGCCAAGACGCTGTCTCAAAGACTTACTTATCTACCTCCAACTTCCTCTTCCACGTTCGCAACCGTCTTTACGCCTTCGTATTCTACACCCATCTGTCTGCGAAAGCCTACCCGACATCACACGTTCCGTTCCAGTGAACAACTGAGAGCCACTCCTGTACGTGCCTTGCTCCCCTACACTCTGATACGGGCATTCCATTAGTGCTAACAAAACAGCTTCCAGATACCCCTAAACAACTTGACCATCAAAATCACACCGAAAATGCCTTTCTTCTACTCAAAGCACTTTGGCGGTCGCCACTTCGGCACAAGCATCCACGCAAGTAAAAACGGCGTCCATCGCGGTCCGTGGCGTTTCAGCTTCGGAAAATTCAACTGCTTCAAGTCCCGCTAAAAACGTAACACCTGAGCATGGTACCGAGTCTCGGAGGGAGTCTGGTATCGCTCCTGATAGTGGAAATGGAAACCGCTGGGTTCAGAATGCACGGACTGGTTGATTGGCCCCGAGCCGATACAAGAGCGGACGTTGCGACGACATGGAATGGTCTTTGCGAGGAGTTCAGGATGTGCACAACTGTTCGATGCGATTGGACAGGTCGATTGACGAGAGCATGAAGCGACTGCTTCTGCGGACATATTTGCAGTAGTTGCGTTGCTTTTTAAGGAGTCAATTCCAGGCAGTTTGTTGTCTTTGTGATTCCTCATGCAAGACCCAGCTATTTTTGTCCAAGTTAACGAAGCAACAAGATCACATACCGATTTGTGTTCTACAACTTGAACGCAGCCAGAGTCTTACTTCCGAGGCCATATTATACATGTCAGTCTCTTATCCGCCAGTGACACGAGCAGGGCCAGTACCTGCTGTGGTAGCTGTGATAAGGCACGGTGAGGATAACAACTACACATATCTGCAACCCACTAAACAGGCCTCAAATATGTACAACGCAGGTCGAATTTCGCATTTCGATAGCACAAGTCAACTGATGTACTAACTTATCTAGTCTCTAGTCATATCTGGGATATCAGCATCGTAACAGGGTCTTATCCAACCTCCAAGGTGACTAAGTAAGTGGTGTTAAAATCAATGTCACAAGTTATTAGTTGACACATACGTAGTTCTTTCTGTAGTGCCAAGGGTATAACCCCATTTTAGGCCCACTAACATGTGCTCTCCAGTCAACGTAAGGAGATAACACGAATACTACTTTTATAGTCCCAGCATTGAACTAGTTAGCTCACTTGCAAAATCTCAGCATTTTCCGGTCAAAAGACGACCTGTCGAGTTTGGAATAGAACCGAGAATTCAGTAGACTAAATCCTTCGCTCGTTTTTGACAGGTCGTCTTAACCAGTGTGTACGTTGACCGGTACGATCAAACCTTACTATAGAGTGAAACTATCCTAGTAAAATTTCCAACCTCCTACACATACAAATATCACTTGGAAAACTCACTGGTACGATCCCTGGAATTTTGGTGTGAAACTACCATAGAAATGCTCATTCTCCAACATCAGAGGTTACCTTCGAGAGCAGTGCACACCCAACGTGACCCTCGTTTGCAGCATTTTCTTTCACTTTCTATAACGCAACTGCACGCTGCTGGTCAGCTCCCTCTTTAATAACGAAAAGCACTTTACAACTACACAAGCACTCTTCGGACGAAATATCCACCTATCAGAAATCATCATGGCTTCCTGGACTTACTTCAACGGCACTCCTAAGCCCCCTACCCCGGATTCCTCCATTCACAGCCTCAAAGACGTTTCCACTATCCTCGATTATCTCCACCACCCCCTCATCCTGGTTGGAGATGCAGCCAGCTGCAGAATGAACGACACTTGGCACAACACCGACATAGTCGACCTACTATTGACAAGTCCCGTACATGAACAACTTGGAACCATGTTAGTCAAACTCGGAGGATGGAAACAACCATTACCAGATGACAATGAAGTCTCTAAACACCTTCTCAGGACTTGTTCCCTCGAGGTCCTCCAACGGGACGCCGACGTCCTTCTCCAAAGAGTCGACCGACACCCAGGACAATGTATCTTCCTCCGTCTCTGGTCCAAAGAGAGCTATCACCTACCCATAAACATGAAAAATATGGTCGAAATTCAACACTTGCAAATATGGCCAGAGGCGGATATCCCCCAATCGCAAAGAAGAAGCAGAAAGTCCAAACAAAAAGATTTCGGGGGCAAAGTCTTCATCCCCAACTTTGAAACGTTCATGGATACCATGGTCTACCAAAGCCTGCACTACTACGACATCAAAGACTTCCTCTGCTCGGACGCCATGAGCCGGATCCGGAGGCTAGTTGACGGAAACTTTTTGGAGCAGACGCCCTACTGTGAGCAGATCCTTGCTCTAATAAGCCAGGAGTCGGCCGGTTGGCTGGGGGGTTATCTGGATAATTTCGAACGAAAGGAAGCGCCTGATATGAAGGCGTGTTTGGAGAAACTGAGAGAGCAACATACACGAGAACGGTGCTCTTCGATGTTGGAGGCTTCGTCTGCTGTCAGCTCGGAAACGGTGGATGTCGAAATGCGAAATGCTGGGGAGAAAGTCAGGGATTGCATTGTTGTGGCAAATTGAACCCAACCGCGAAACAATGATATTCGAATACTGGTTCGGAACAGGTAAGTCGAGCCTCGGAGCTGGGAGGACTTTCTTTTGGTCGCGATACGCTTTACCCCTTTATACCCTTTCCGAGCGACCTGAAGTCTGGAGTTTTCAGCTTTAAGCCACAGAGGCAATTGGACATGGAGGATATTGGATTGAAACCAATATGAAGAGCCACTTGATGTATTTTAGAAAAGCTTGACGCTGGAAGCCAAGGACATTACATATTATAGCAACGGTGGTGGAGGGGCAGTCCCCTATCTGGGAACTCCCGGGTTAGTGGTGGGACATCCAATAACTATAAACATGCTTATATTACAGACGATGGCCCCCTTTTCAACGTCTCTCGTAGTTGTAAATGTCGCAGCTAGAAACCAACCGCCGGAGTTTAGCTGCAGATTTCGAACTCATGGTGTAGAATAGACTATGGAACCAAGAGTTCTATCAACTCGAAAATAACATGCAAGCAATTCCACTGTCAGCCGTGAGTAGGTGCTCTTCCCTTGTCAGTAGATCGATGGAGTCCACCGGGGAGTGGGATGACGTTTTGAGAAGTAGCAGTTGCTGTAAGTGGTAAGTCCAATACTTAAGTATAGCGATGCATGAGCCGACACCGCTGTAATTGCCCACTGAACCCCGGTAAAGTGGGCCTACTATAGCTCCTCGCTTCCTGCGACCTGGGTGACTCAAGAAGTGTGATGATCCAGCGATTCGCTGTTCATTCAGCTTTCTATAGTTCTTGCCAGGTCCCCCGTCTTTTGTTCGCCAACTCAACTAAACACCAATAGAGGTTGCCCTCCATGGATTCGCCAGAGAACCCCATTAGGGCCAGTCAGATCTACATTCACCCCGACCCCCGCAAAACCATACTCCCACAGCTTCGCTCTCGCGTGGCCGCCCTGCCCCTCGTCCGACGGATTCAATTCCATCTCCAGACTCCAAATGCGAAAGTCCTCGCCACATTCCCGCCTTCATCATCGAAATTGCCTGAAGACTATGCAATTGCATACATCGACCGAAGCCGCGCACCAGAGACAGAATGCTGGGTCTTCTCATCAGTTGAATCAAGTCCGCAATTGCAACCCCCGCCAGAGACTCAAACCATCTCCCCGAATTTCAATCGTGCTCGTGCCCAGTTACTGTCCCTCCTAGAATATATCCGGACCCTCCCCCTCCCAGCCTCCTACCCCAGCAGTCAGGACAATACCATCCTCCTGGTCGGCGCCGTAAACCGGACCAGCCTCGCTCTTCTGAAGCAGGAAAGCGGGAATCAAATCAACGCACAAGATGGAAAAAAGGTCATCTCCGGGACGAACAGTCTCCAAACCAGACGGGAGACCTACGCTACTGAAATGAGCGAGACGGCCCTCGACGAGGCTAAGCGGGAAGGGAGTCACGTCCACGGCTCGGCGGCTAAGGGAAACCCCGATGAGGGAGGCGTTGTCAGGGGGCATACCGTGCCGTATTGCAAATTCGTCTTCTCGCCCTCCGCACACAATGCTAGGGGCGGGTCATCTGTCATTGAGGGGAGCGAAGGACTCCCGGCGGGGATGGAGTGGACTAGGGTCCGGCAGGATGAATTCAAACTCGTCATCTCGCGGACGGAAATTCCGCGCAAGGAGAGAACGCTGCGATTACTTCCGGGAGTGGGGATACGGACATCTGCTTCATCGGATGCGGGTGAGGCAGGCAGGTTGATTGCTTGGGCTTTTCTGGGCGTGGATTGTTCGTTAACCTCACTTCATGTCGAGTCTGAGTTTCGGGGGACGGGGCTGGCTAAACTGCTGACGAAGCAGGTCTTCTCGCTTTTGACCCCGTCGCTTGCTGAAGACGGGGGCGATGGCTGTGATTCTGAGGTCCTTGATGATCCGCGAGGAGGGTTTCTGGGGATAGAGGAGGGCGAGACGCATACTCATAGTGACGTGGCAACGGATAATTCGGCAAGTACTGGAGTTGCTAAGGCGATGGGGGGCGTCTACTCGTGGGATTGTTTCTGGGCACTTGTTGATCTCGATGCTGTGCATGAAGCTTTCAGGAAGCTGGCTCGGGAAGCTTGAGCACGACAATCTGAGGACGCACCTTTGTGCAATTTATCTGATTTATAGAAGCGAGAAATGCAACCGTACTCACAGCGAATCACTGAATGCGGCACTCGCACTTCAGATTTCACCACTCTATCCCAGAGCCTCATAAGCTCCTGCGTATTTTATTCCTATGGAGTACCGACCGAGTCTCCCTCAAACGGCTTACGACTATATACAACGTGGCTAGAATAGTAATAAGTAACGAAATTCTCAATGACGACGAAGCAGACATACAGTGGCATATAGATCGGACAATCAACTACATTCACAACTGTGCTGTCCCGTGTCAGTCGCTCTTGCTATGGGCATATGGTGGAATGGCAGTTTCAACTCCCATCCTACCTCCTCAAGCCAGCGCTTGTAGTGTCTTGTCAATGGCACATCTCGCCCCAATGCCGCCGATCCATTAACAATGGCGTCTCCCACGTACCGAATTCCGAGCCTGGTAACTCAGTTTCAAAATCGATCCAGAGCTGGCTAATGACAGTTCGCGACTTACTTGTAATGTTCCCATCGGCACTGCCGGTCTTTGCGTCACTGTCTTAAAATCCTATCCACCCCCCTGGGGCCAATTTGTCAAAAGATCGCTTCATAACGCCCCGAGTTTTGTGGAAGCAATTGAAAACTGCCCGGAAGTGGATGTAGACAAAAATGTAGGGCCTGAGGCAGATCCATTCCTCCTCGGCGTCCTCCTGGAAGGTGTAGTTTGACGGCTCATTCGGTGCCAGTACCGCACGTAGATCCGTCTCAACCACCTAGGCCTCCGGGTTCTGATCGGCTGATGGGGTTTCAGGTAAGTATTTGAAATCTGGAGATTGCCACCGTACTCTCGTACTGTTCAAAGTCTATCGCCCAGATGCCTGTTCCCGGGGCAATGTCCATCGCACATCTCGGATTGGTCATTGGCCAATTTGCCGTCGAGGAGTATAGTCATTCCAGCATGTTGCAAATGAAGGCGTTCTTGCTCTGCCGCATCGTTGATGATGAGGTATTTGCCTTCCTTCCAGCCATGGTACATTTTGCCGAACACGCCAACGACTGAGTCTTCATCTAGACTGATGCTTCGGTTCTCAGGTGCAGGAGCTCATCAGGGATGTATAAGTGGATGGTTCCACAAGTATTATGCTTGCACTATGAGTCGGGCTTGAATGTGGTTCATCAGGCCATGTGTGCAACCAAACACAACAGCTCTGGTCGAATGAGTATGGGTGTCATAGGTCGAGGCTAATGCAACATCCTCTTCCCATCCTGGCATGGCTGATTTCACGAAAGTTGTGTATGCATAGACTGTCAAGGCATCAGAACATGGATGGTGGATCGTCTTGTCCCTGCAGAGCACATAAGCTGGTGGCAGACATGGTGATTTTATCGCGGAGTAAGACAAACTGGACAGATTGGAATAACGACAGCAATTCCAAGGTTGTGCTCATTCCATTGTGACTAGCCCGGTTATTTTGTCACCTCTTGGGCTGACTGCATCTCTTCGGAACAGTGCCGAGTTCCTTCAGCGATTTTCCAGATCGCAAGTGGAGTGGAGAGGTTAGAATCACCAACAAACTCATCTGCGGAAAGCCGTTGTCAACAGAGCTGACACGATCCAAGGTCGTGAGAGACTATTTTCTTCTTTGCTATCCCCCGTGAGCTAAACACTGTAATCTTCGACCGATAAATGAGATGAGTCCGCCAATGGTTTCCGATACTGAAAATGATATCGAAGAGGAAGCACATGAATCAGCAAAGAATATGAGGGAATAGCGCAGACGTGGCAATGATAAAGATTCTCACTAACGCAGAACCGATACCAATGTGCGGCAGGTAGAGATTTTTCTGTCTGTCGTGGAAGGGGGGGAGGGGGCAGAGAGGATACCGATGATCTTCCTATTGAAGCGCCTTCTCCAAGTTCTGCGTTCCTCCTGATGTACGATAGCGGGAATCCATAGTAGCCGTGGCTCTGAATACAGCGGTGCGCAAAGTCGTCAGTTTTTTCAAGACATATCTGGCGTTGGTCTGATGCTCTGGGTCCACGTTGAGCATATGTGTCTCCATCATGTTGACGAAGTCTTGCATAAGCGATTACAGGTCGGATGACTCCCTAAGGATTGCATCCATTGAACCAACTCGGCTTCACCGTGCCTGGGCCTCGAGAGACTCGAAAGAAAGAGTCCGATATGAATCCATCCGAATCAGGTTCTTGGCGTGCTTTCACAGAGGTGCTGCTGACTGCGTTCCAGCCCATCAGGTACCACGTATCAAACTCGAGATACGCACAACCAGGATTCCATATACCTGACAAGTCCGATACGGCGGCGGTGTGGGTGGAATACATTTTTAGGAGCCTGGAAGGCTACTATGTCAAATATTTTATCGGCTAGATTAGATGTTAGTGTTGGCAGAGTCTCGTCTCTTTGACCGAGGTCGCCTAGGACCAAGTCCGAATAATCAAGCCTCGGGGAATCCCTTTCTCTTGAGAACCACAATATATTGGAAGCCTTGATGTCGCTATGCCTGCTGATGGTTTCATATACACTAGCTTCCTTACCGTCACCAACTGATCAGGGCCAGTGATGATCGGTAGAATGTGTTCCTTTGAGAGAAGGACGTATTCTACCATGTCTGTCCCCTCGGGGGCCAACTTGGGATTGATTCCCCATGTACCTTCGAAATACCGATACAGCCCCAGGTGGTAAAAATCCGACGGAAGGTGTAACAGGCTCTCTGCAGAGTATCCTCCAGAGAAGATGCCATCTCAAATAATGTGGTTGTGGCTTGCCATTCTGAAAGCAGCCCTGGAAGTCTGAAATGTTGCTTGATGCTGCATCATAACCGTAAAAATAGGTTGGGACCAACAAATCGATTCCACCACAAGAAGCCTCAAGACTGTTATTGTGAGGTTGAGATACAATGAAATCTTCGGGCCATTGAACAGTGAATCAAAACATGCTGAATATTTAGTAATTCATACGTCGGAGTTGACGTTCGTTTTGTAGGGCAGGAAGGTCCCTGAATCCCAGCACCCGATCGAGTCTTGGCAGCCACGGAGCAGGGATTCACGCCACCCCGCAGTGTTAGCATTTGATCGAGTGCTGGCTGCAGTGGGCCATTGCAGACTGAATGAAGCCGAGCAACCAAACCACCAAAAATTCGACATCACCACTTTCCAAAACAATCTAAACCCTCGGGAATCCTGAATCGACACCCTCGCAAGCTCTTCTCAGCCCCACCTTCCTCAAGATGTGGTATGTCCCCTTTTCTGCCCCCACTAGCCAGCTCCTCCCACCTGACTCATTCACCAGCAAACACATCCTCAACGCCCAAGTAGCGATTCGCTCACCCTGCTGCAAGAAATGGTTCGACTGCGCCGAATGCCACCACGAGTCAGAGTCGCACCCTTTACTGCCCTCAATCGAGATGACATTCGCGTGCAAGAAATGCAGGAAGTGTTTCCGTAAGGACGCGCAGGAGTTCGAGGAGGCCGACGAGTACTGTCCCCACTGTGACAACCATTTCGTGCTCGAGGCCGTAGTGCCCAAGCCCGCACTGCGCGTCGAGGGCGAGGATGCCCGCGTGGACGCCCGCATGCTTAAGGATGAGCGCGTTAAGCCGCAGCCTGGGCAGGAGCTGAGGACTATTTTCGATGCGGATAAAGAGGCGGGGAGGTTGGGTTGATTTGGAGGATGGAATGCAAGATGATGCCGAGAGAGGAGCGGTAATAGAAATGAATGGATGGAATAGAATGAACATAGGGCCATGAAATAGGGAGGGAAAAGGTGTTGGGGCGTATGATACCACTTTTAGACTTTACAGACACATGGAGACATATGGAGACGATATGATTACACACGAGACGGGAGGTTTGGACAGAGACGCGTCAAATGCTCATGAGTAGTGTACAAGTTCGTGGCGTCCATCGACAATCTATGGCTCTGGCTCTAGGTAGTATCCTCATTCACTCCGTGCCATCTTCCCAAGCGCCACCTCAATCACTTCCGCCCTCCCTTGACCGAATAGCCGCGCTGCCTGTTCCCGGCGTGCGGCCCGTCTTCTTCTTGGCGGCCTCCTCTTGCTTCTCCTGTTCAATGTTCTTGACGTAGCCCTCGATATCCTCGACCGGCAGCATCTCGAGCGTCTTGCCCGGTGCCATGATGGCGATCTCGATGTTCTTGGCGCCCGTCTGCACCACCTCAAGCAGCGACTTGATGGCCAGCCGAATTGTCGCCTCGCGGTCCATGTCCTCCTTGTAGTTGCGCTCCAGGAACTCACGGACGGTTTTGCTGGATCGGCCGATTGCGTTTGCTTTCCTGTTTGAGATATGAGCTTGCTATTCAGACATGTGTGAATATATGATAAGATAACATGCCATGCAGAGTAGATACCACTGGGCTCAGTCTGGTATAGTCTGGGGACGGTGCTGTTCTTGTCGAATCCCACAATCATGGTGCTGATGCCAAACGGCCGCACACCACCACTCTGCGTGTATCGCTGTTGCACGCCGGCCACGTATTTGGTGATGTACTCGATGGAGACGGGGTCTTCGACGGTCAGGCGGTGCGATTGCGCCTCCAGACGAGCCTTGTCGACGAGTATTCGGGCGTCAGCGTTCAGGCCGGCGAAGGCCAGGCACACATGCGTATCGATGAGGCCGATCTTGGAAGGGGTGATGCGGGTGTCTTGCAGCTTCATAGCCGAGCGTTTCTCGCAGCCTAACACTACGATGTCTGCACCTTTTACGCCAACGGCGCAGGTTCCTGGAAGGAGTCGTTAGGGAAACGTCGAGGGAGCGATGATGGGATGGGTTAGGTACCTCGCTTGACGGCTTCACCGGCATATTCGACTTGAAAGACATGTCCATCGGGACTACAGACGGTCAGAGAGCTGGAGAATGCACCGCGACAACATTTGACACGAACCTGAAGACTGGAGAATCAATGTTAGCATACTAAGGACTGGACATCATGATGCTGAAGCAAGCTTACCTGAAAGTGCTCTGTCGTATCCTGACGCCATGGTTTTGGAACTTAGATGGTATTGCGAAAGTTAATGAGGGTGATTCAACCTCGAAATCCACGTGTTGGGTATCTTTCGTGGTCGTCTAGTTCGCCGGGTTGATGAGGTTCAGATGTCACGGCAAGGCTGCCAGAAGGGTACGAAGCTCCATCGTCCTTGCCAAACAGTTGAAGCTCCAGCCCAGCTACCCGGTCCGAGCGCTCGGCCAATTTGCACCGCCACAACTCGCAGCTTAGGCCCAAGATAATTGTGGTCCAGCTCCCAGCTTCGTCAGATGTCAACGCCGGGAATCACTTCACGCACAAGCACTATATTTTCAAGACTATGAGCCAAATTACTAGAATTTTAGGTATCGAATTTTTGAATTAAGTCATGTGGGAAAGACGAATAGGGATAATGATACCTTCTACTTTGCTAACGCCAAATCCTCCTGTACAACGTAAATCTAATCATGTACCTCCTGTCCAGCTCCTTAGACCTCTACATACATTGCACTCCATGCAAACACCTCAATAATGAAACCCCATGCACGAAATCAACGACTCTAGCTTTCAATACCCTACACTCTCACCCAAGCCTCCCAACCTCAACCCACCCCCTCCCCTCCCCAACCATCTCCTCCTCAACCGCTTTCGCCCTTTCCACCATTCTCGCCCTAAACCCCTCGCACCAGAACCCCTCGAGCTCCCCATGTATCCCCTCATAAAAATTCTCGACAACCCACAGCGGCGCCGCCATCAAATCCGGCTGCCCTACGCCCGGCCCCAGCGCCCAGTCTAGTCCTCGACACACATTGGCCGCCAGCTTGCGGATCTCCCTACAATTGTACTTCACCGGGTCTAGGGACGGGGAGAGGTCCGTTAGGAAGCCGTAGTTATTCGTTGCTGTGTTAGTGGTGTTGTCAACGATAGAAGCAGCTTGGGAAGAAGACGCAGCAGGACTAGCCCCTCCTCCGCTCTCGAATATCGCCTCGATTAGGGAGTGCATGCACGTATGCAACGTAATAAGAGAACTCCAATAATAAATATGCGCCAACCCCAGCGCCGGACTCGCAAAAGCGAACGTGTCAGCAAAAGGGATCTGAGCATGCAGGCTCGGCTCGCCGATCCAGTAGAGAAGTGGGTTATCTCTATTAGCCGCTGCGGCTTGCTCGATGCCCGCGTACCAGTTCTCCAATTGTTTCTCGATGCTGGCGCAGTTATTGAGCAAGTCCTTAGCTTTGAGCCGGCGGCCCATCGACGGTGGTAGGGGGGTGATTTGGTCTGCGCGGGCAACAAGGGTGGGCAGTAGGGCTATGATGTCGAGGAGGTTGTCGAGGGAGGTTTTGGGGTGTTGTTTCCAGGGGTCTAGCATCCACTCTGAAGATGCAAGGTGGGTTGGTCGGCGGTTGAGGAGGGAGGCGAAGATCTGGAGGATTGTGAGCCCTTGGCGATGAGAGAGCGCATGCTTGGAAGGGGAAACTTGTCTCACGGCATTGGGCCTATATATTCTCGTAAAGAAGTGATGTGCGGGAAACGTTTGGCAGTATCCTGGTCCCAATTGACGGATCGGGTTAATTATGGCTGCAGGATCTTTCCAAGGTGCCTTGTTGCTATATGCCGCCGACGAGTTATGCTAGATGACGGGATTAGCATACAAGCGAAAACAAGTGGTGAGTTCCTCACCTCGTAGATGAATAGGCACAAGCCCTCGTTGCTGTTCTTACCAGCCCGTTGACTGCTGCTGCTTTCCGGCAGATGAATAAAGCATTGGGAATTCAGTTTGAAATCCTCTTTTCTGAACGTCGGACGAACATCAACACGCTGTGATGTCGGTAACACCAGCTTTACTTCCCCAGTTTCTGGGTTCCCAGCCTGTTGTTGCCTGACCGAGTCAAGGTTGGTATGCAGGGCCACAAACCGAACTTGATGCAATCCCCCAACGGATGCGAGCGCTATCGTTTCATCCCAGGCCGGCTGTAGAGGCTGGACAGCCGAAAATTCTACCTTGGCAGGTTCGCTGCTCTCGGCACTCGTCTTCGCTTTCTTACTCCTCTGCAGGTTACGCGGCGGGTGCAAGGCACATCTGCCCTTGTCATCGACCGTCCCAACAATGAATACTGTCTCCCGCTCGTAGCCCTCGCACGCACGACCATGATCGATGCATTTCTTGCAGAAGGGGCGAGTGTTGTCGCACTTTTCGACCCAGGGACTGATTAGTACACTGCTCAGCTTCCCCAGTGTGTCAATGAAATGTTCAAGTACCTTGACCCGTCTGTTTCGGCAAGTGTTGCAACCCTTGTACTTCCCCTTGACTCCTACCATGACGAATTTGTGGACCGAACCTCTTCCAGACCTCTTCTTTCACGCTGACAGCGAAGCGGGTATGGGTTTCGTTAGCACCTGTGCTGACGACAGGCACACATGGCTGACATCGCTGGAAAAGAGTGTCCTCACCAACGTAAGAAGACCAATGAGAAGAGACGAGACTCGACAAGAGTAACGCCGCGAACTCATAAAACGGACTGGAAAGAGAACAAAGGGGCAGCATTCATCGCTACAGAGAGAGTCAAGGCAGGGGGCGGTAAGCACTCTATAAGTAGTGCGGTACACCTTTCATGGAGACAATCGATGGCGGATTTCAGATCTTGAGCGGCAAAGACCCTGTCCAACTCTCCCCCTCCCCCCCTCCCTTCCTAGCGAGGTCGTTCAATTGGCCTTCCTCGGCCAGACTTGCATCAAGTGTCGAGTAAGCACGAATAGGCTACCGGACCTTCCATCAACAGATCTCTTCAAATGCCCGAATATCCCGAGCCCTGCCTGCTGATGGGGGCAGGGAGGGATAAATGGCATAGCATGCCACGACCGATCCCCCGACATTGTTCCAACGAGCAGTCCTGCCCAGAAGCGGTGACGCTATCTAGATGTTATGGCCGAGCTCGTCTGCACCGGCCAGACCGGATGTTCCCAGGCCACAGCCTCAGCTGGCGTTATCCACCACGCTTTCTAGCCCATCATCCCACGCCATGACTGCCGAGTCCACCATGCCTGAAGACTGGTTTGCCCCATTGGTTGATCGTCCGCCTCGTAGGGCTGCAGGGATCATGGTGGAAAGACGGGTCGGGTGGGGGAAGTTGGAACGTAAAGTCGAGGCTTGATTCGATAAGATGGCGAATGGATTTGCCCAGGTCAAATCAAGCGTGGCTTTCGTACTGCAGCGAATCGTAGTGCAGCATGCCAACACTGTATGTCAGATTTGGTCCACTCCAATAGGGTATGACGTCCCGGTCTTACGGGGGTTGGTCTAACAAATAGCCATTATCTCTCTATTATTGCTGAAGACGTCTAATGAGAAATGTAACACCTGTTGTATCATGCTGTTTGACCGCCTCTTGTCATCCAAGTTGCCATGCGCATTATACTCTTCATCTATCATCCCCCCTGATTACGATACCACTTTGAATGAAATGTCTAAAGAGTGCGATTTACCGTGCCCGAGCTTGCCCTCTCCGAAAATGCCGTTATTCATATGTACCTGGTTTTCCGAGCAACAAACAGCGCTACCAAGCAGAATATAACCAGGAAAGAAAGGATGCCAGCGAAAGCGTGCAAGTTTTCCGTATCTTGCCATGGTACGTGAACATTCATACCAAACAGACCAGTAACCACATTGAGAGGCACAATGACTGAAGCCAAAAACGTGATCTTGCTCAGTCCCTCATTCGTCTTCGTCCCTTGAGAAATGCTGTCAATCGTCAACTGGGCGAGATAGTTGCTGTGGGCTCGGGAAAGAATTTTTTCAAAGTGCGTCAGGTTGGTCATCATTGTGACGACGTGATCCTGGATATCACCCAAGTACATTCCAATGTCCATCCGGGGGGTGACCTTGTAATTCTCGTTGCAGCGCTTCGTAAAGCCCCTGAGGACGTCCGCTTTGCCGCCCAGGAGGCGCATGAGACCAAGAGTGTTCTTGCGCACAGCTCCAATCCGTCGCAGGAACGAGTGCATGTCGTCAGGACGCGCGACAAAGACTGAATCCTCAATTCCTTCCGTGATAAGCTCGATTCTCGAAATTGCGGGCGCAAAAGTATCGACGATATTATCACTGGACTCATTATTAGCCGTTGCTGCCATGGTTTCGGGGGTGTGAGACATACATTAACGCGTAGCAGATCCAGTCACTGCTCAGCGAGACATAGTCCTTGAGCATCGAGATTCTCTTCCGAACTGCCGACGCATGGCTGTTCGGTTGGAAGCTGAAGCTTAATGTACCTTCACGGAATACGACCACGTAGATGTTGTATGGTTCGTAGTCGGGGCCGTCTTCCTCCTGCACGACATTGAAAGACCGGAAACAGGCAAAGTAGTATGATGGGAAGAGCTCAATCTTCTCGCGCGTTTCCTGGGTGTTGATGTCTTCCACCGTGAGGGGATGTATGCCAAAAGCCCTGCAAAGCGTACGAACTTCATCTTCAGCTGGTTGGTTCACATTTAACCACCATACTCCATCCTGTTCGCCATGGGGGAATTGAAAAAGACCCCGGACGTCTTCTCCTGGGAGAACAAGATCGCTGAAGTCAGTAGCATGAATGGTAGACTCCCAAGTTGAGGAGAAGAAGCTGAACCTGTTCGGATCAGTCTGCTCCTTAGAAGCATCGGCCTTGAAGGCGTCTGGCGCCTTTTCAGGATTTTCAGAATTTTCGACCTTCTCATCGCTGGTGGCGGTTCCAGGTGGTGGGTGCAAAATATCGCCATCGAGTGTGACCATGGGCGGCGTACTCGCTGAAGCGGAATCGGGTTGCAGGTTGGGAAATACCCGGACGGCCTCTTGAACCTCCAAGCTCTCTCTCTTCACTGCGTTTTCCGCAGCAATGAACGTCTCAAGAAAGTCAAAGTCGATATATAGCTTGTCGCGCCGATGCTCTTCAGGCACTGGAAAGCAAACATCCTCCTCCGCAGACTTGTTCGTGGCTAAGCTGGCCCTATCATTGTCGATCGTCCCAACCTTGCTGCGGGTTGTGCGAGTAGACCGGTGACTACGCTGGCTTTGTCGGCTGTTGCTCGAGAATGTCCGGTGAAGCCTCTCCTCTTCATCACGCTCTCGTGCTTCCGCAGACACCGAGTATGTTCGTTCGCGGCGTCGGGCCTCAGCAAAAGCCTTGACGGAATTCGGGGGTGATACCGCACGTTCATTGGACTCAACCGTGGGACGACGGCTCCGTGGAGCAATTAGGGATGGGGCGTCCTGGTCTTCATCAATCACAGCTTCCTCGAAGTCGCGGACACGAATATCAGACGAAGAGTATGGTAGTTCCAGGTGGCGAGAACCATATAAGGTATCAACAGTGCCACGTCGAGGACGGTCGGGTCTCTGAACGGATGAGCTCTGGTGGCGGTGATCGTCTAATTCTGGGACAGGAGTATCGTAGGCGTCCCTGACAGACAAACCTTCGTCCTGGTCTGACATGTTGACCGTGGTTTTGTCGCCCGCGGCTTGCTTCGGAGTGTCGATGAATATGATGCAAAAGCACTTGGCTGGCTTCGGATCGTCAAGGAACTGTCACTATAGAGGAACCGAGGAAAAGCCTTCCGCGCGCTGATCAAGGGAAGGCAACCATACTGGATCGCGCTGTCAAATAGCGAGCATCCGTGAACAGCAGCAGTGGGCGTGGGCAGCACGCCGACTGCTTAAAGAGACTTGTCGGGCTGCAGTCCAATTTTGGAAGAGCGCTCAGAAACCTGGTCCTAAAGGGGAGGTAGCGTTGCCTGGTGGATATGGTGATCCGTAAGTGATATCAAAATTGTCGCGGGGTGTATGCCAAGTTACGGCGGCTTCTTGTTGACACCGCTGTAGACCCAGGACACCGGGCCGAGAAGCGGTCGAGAGAAGGTGAACTTTTCGCTGTTAATGCCCGCCAACTTGATGGCTTGTGATAATATTGCGGTGTCCACCGCAAAGAAGAGCTCGACGTGCTGTGGTGATTTACGCAGCACAGGAAGCTCTCCGACAAGGTTTGTGGGCGAGTGGGGATAAAGAAGGAAGTGAGTGGTGTGGTAATTATCCAGACCTGGTCTTTGCCTGGAATCTTCCAGTGGATATCGTAGCCGGATCGTAAGGAGGGGAAATATGGTTGTCGCTCAGCTGTATCGAACGGCGGTCAGCGTCGAGAATTCAGGGAGGTGTGACTGGGGCAAGATAGCTTGGGGTGCGCAAGTCTTGACCGAGCGAAATCTTCGAGCTAGGAGCTCGAGACTAGAGCACATGCAAGCGGTCCGAAAAGGATGCAGAGCAACTCGAGCAACCGAATAGCTTGTATCGCGCGAACAAGAATCATGCAGGTTGCGAAATAGTGGAGCTGATTCTTGGTGTTAGTTGTTCAAAAGAATCATGGGTGATGCAAAGAGAAGAAAGAACAATCCTATGATCTGCGCTGGCTGACTGAAAAGAAGGAAAAAGTGTGGTTGGAACTTCGGGCGACAAGAAGATGGAAATGGCTCTTGTTTTAGTTGAAAGACCAAAAACCCTGGCTTGCCGGTGATCGCTGCTGCCAACGCTGCCCCTGTCTGGATTCTCTCGTCAGTGAATTCCTGCATCCCTGGCGCAGTATCTAATTTTGACAATTGACGCCACATTCGGCTTTGGGCCCAATTGTCGATTCCCAATTGTCCGGCACAATAGCGACGGAGTGATTGGTTTCTCAATTATAATCGAAATTTCCAGCCTCTAATGCCATGTCTACTGGTAATTATACCTTTGATTCCTACCATAATTCAATGTACTTGTGAGTAAGCGGCAACAAGTTATTGTCTCATTTCAAGTCCCGTAATGTTGGCATCAGTCATCGTCTGATGCTCAGATTAGCTTGGCAGAAGCGACAATTGGAACTGCGGCTTTGGACAAAGTAGACAAGGAATAGTTAACCTTTTCCTGCTCCGATATTGAGGCTTGGCTCCCGGGGGTCTGACCGCGGCAAGGCTGAAGACCACGTTGCACGTCACCCGCATCAGCTCTGCGCAGCACCAATGAGCTTCTGGGCAACCTTGCTGCATGCTAGCCAAATGAATCTGTGAGCAAAACATGAGGTCAACTTGATACATCTCAAAGCCCCATTCTAGTGAAACTGCCATCACAACGCAAACATGGCCGAACAGTTGTTGGATCAAGTTAGAGATCTGGTTGATGGCCAAATTGTTAGTTCTCTGCCTTGCTACTTGCGCCATCACTTGGTGCCGTCAGTTGAGCTAACATCGCGACCACAGGACTTCGAAGGCCAGAAGCTGGCCGAAATTCTTGCGACGGTTGTATTGGCACTTGTCGGCGTACGAACCCTCTCACCCAATACCGAAATGCGAGTACTTCAGCTAAAGTCTATGCATAGGTCGTGTCATTCCTTGTCGGCTTCTTCTTGCAAGACATCGCCTTGGCCCTCAAGGTTGGTCTTGCCGGCACAGCTCTCACCTTCCTGCTCGTCGTTCCGCCGTGGCCATTCTTCAATAGACATCCCGAAAAATGGTTGCCAATAGGAGGAGGTACGGCAATCACAACAAGCACGCACCAGAACGTCGTGTTTGACGACAAGGCGTTTGCAAGGCAGTAGATCCTGAAGAAGGTATGGATGCAATACTACTGCTTTGCGTTAGAGATAGCCCTGGCGGCGGGATGGGATGAACATGTTCTTCATTATCCGGCTCTTGTAGAGTTCTCCATCAACTGGTAGCGATGATATTTATGACCCAACATCAGAATTGAGGCTATGCCGATAAATCGCACACGTCTCACCTTTGTGTATGCCCAAGTGATGCGCCCAAACAAGGCAGCGCGAACCTGTGCCATCTATGTCCACGTCCCCCATCCTAGCGACCATACTTCTGGAATTCCCAGTCTCTGTTGTCAAGCGGGCAGACTTGTCGGGCCTTCAGCCAGCGTGAGATACAGTGGAAGTGGAATGCGTGCTGGTAAATGTCAGTTTTTTCGTTCGCGCAACGTTCGCTCCTGGTTCCAGAACGGCTACTCACGTTGCAAATTCCCCATGCTACAGTACACTCCTCGCTGGTCGCCGAGGCTTGGTTAGCCTGACACTCAATGCAGAGGTCCATGATGTGGTTACGGCAGATGGCGCAGTTGTCGACCACGATATCCCAGGCCCATAGTGCGACGGCGTTCCACTGTCACGACAAAATCAGCGCAGGATTCCAAAACGGTGTCGAGAGTATGATGGGTCTGACCTTCTTCACCTCGAAGCGCTTCTTCTCGCCCTTGGCATCAGCATCACCGCCTTTAGCCTTCTTCGCCACTGTAGTACTCGGAACATCAGTCATATCGACGTCCGCCATCTTGAAGTATGTTTATGGTTGAGGTGTACGTCGACTGGTCGAGTTGCAGGCGCTTTGGTTCTGCTGTCTTACGGGGAGCTCTGCTCTCCAATCGATTGGTGTGTCTGTGGGTGTCTGTCTTTCAGATAAAGTAGAGCGCTGTAACGGACGACCCAAGGCTGCGTTGTTGATCGATTGCGTGGGACGAACAGCCGGATAATCAGAACTGCTTCAAATCAGTTTACAAAGTAAAATGAACACAAATTTGATGCCAGAACCTGTTCTTCTTCGCACAGAGGAAAAGAAAGATGAAGCAACTTCCTGCACTATTCTGAAGTACCTTGCCTGCACCGGCCTTCAAGGTTGTTTGTTTGTTCATCGACTAACTGCCTTTGCCCCTCCTTCAGGCTCCAGCTCACTTCAGTTGCTGCCCGCATCGACAAAGAGAACCTTCCCAGTACTTTTAACAGGCAACAAGCTAGGCATTTTTTTAAGTACTGATATGTATCTTCAAGCACTGATGCCCCAACATCGCGCCTGCACCATACCACCCCCCATCCCCCCAAAGGCTGCCATCAATCTGCCACTCGCTGTCCCCGTCCCAGCTCTCAGGCTCAGCGCCTTGACTCTGCGTCAATCATTATCAGCCCAAGCCGTTGTCCGCCGGGCGGCATCTCCACATTCTCGTCCTTTTTCCTTGATTCTCGCCATCGTCACTTCCATTCTCTTTCATCCAACATCAACAACAAATATGTGTCTAGTACAAACAGCGACAAACACAACTTACACAATCTCCATTTCCACAACACATTCACCCAGGAGCTTGCGACCACCAACATAGTCTGCATAGACCATTTTGACCGCTGCTCTGCGCCGTGACTCCGACTCAAGGATTATTCAACCTCATCTATTTGTTGGCCTCTGTCACTTCGCAGTAAATCGCTCCCTAAACTTCCTGTTTCGCACGCAACCTTTGGCAGACGACGCTCTTCCACTTGAAGTTGACCTTCTCACTTCTTGCAGCCGCTCCGGCTTGAACTCAATCCCCTTCTCCCACACCAAAAAGACGAATACATGTCACCATCACAACAAAATGCATCAAGCATCCCAACCCAAGAATACCCCTGGCCGCTCGCGACGCGGAGGTCGAAATGGCACCCCCCAGAAAACGTACGCTTCCGAGAATGACATGCCCAACTACCGCCAGGTCCAGCCCGACAGCCCTTGCACACCGCAGAAGCTGGCTTCCGGCAATGCGGCAGCTACACAGAATGTTCAGTCAACAAACCAAAAGCAACGCAGCAAAGCCACGAACAAACCCCGAAACAAGACGGGCGCTGCGTCGCCAGGCGCTAACGTCAACAAACTGGAGCGCCAGAGTCCATCATTTGTAGCTCCCGCTTTCGCCGGCGCCACGTTTCACCACTCTCCTGCGCCTTCCGCTCTGCCAATTCCGAGCTTCCTGTCACGAACTTTTTCGGCTCCGGATTCGCCCAGTCAGCGGGCCTCGCCAGCCGAGGCTACCCAAGAACCATCGCCGCCCACTACGGATTCGGAAGATGCGGGCGAGCTGAGCCCTCCCCCGAACGTACCTCGCAACGACGATTCGCCGCTAGAAGTTTTTTTCAAGGCTCAGCGGGACGAGAAGGCGCGTACACGTCGGGCGAGCTCTGCCAACGCAGTTGTCGTTGCTCTAGGTCCTTTCTCGCCGCCCAACGATTCGCCCCAGGCGTGCAACACGCTTCCCAAGGCAACTGCTCCAGCTCCACCTCGGCGCCCCCAAGCATCGCGAAATCAATCTTCTGGAATCTCTTCGAACGAACTTAACGGTATACCTGGTGAGCCCCTTGGCCCGGCCTTCTCAACACCCTACCAAGACCGAATTCGAGCTGCACGCTCGAACAACAACTCCGGTCAGGCCACTCCAACGTCCACTAGGTCATCTGCGCAAAAGGTCGATTTTGATCGAAGTGAAGCCTTGAAGCGCTATCTGTTCGCTGGAAAGCTAGGGCCTTCCCCGCAACTGCACCAACAGCAAAAGCCGCAGCCGCAGCCGCAGCACAGACAGCAACCAGTTCCTTCCCAAGACGCACACCCCAAGATGCCGCGTGGTATGTTTCCTGCTACGGTACTAGGAGGCAATCCGAATCCCCCGGCGACGCAACCCCAATACCAAGCTGCAACGGGTCTTAGGCCCGACCAGATGCGGACTATGGAAGACAGTCTTCGGAAAGTCTTGAAACTGGATTCTGTCAACTAGTTGCAGGATCCCGATATTTCCTTTTGCGTTCGGCATGGTGTTACAGGCGTTGTTCACAGTCGCAACAGGTGAGGATCTGGGCTAGGCGTCCACGGGCGACAAAGCTCAGACTATTTGTTTTGCTTCTTCTTCTTATTACGGTTATGTGGCCCTGCGTGGCTTGTACATCGCCCTCCTATCTAGAGTATGGCGTTCGTTGAGCTACGAAACTCATTGCTGGTCATGGTTACGCATTTCAGACATCTATGTCTTCTAAGAGCGCCATCTTAGAGACGGCATTCGCGGTTCGGTTTTCATTCGATAACGTATAACGGCATGCATATGAGCGTTGGTGCCTTGGTATCAAACCTCAGGATTGGTGGATCTGTGTCAAAGCCTCGGTGGCTGCCCTAGAAGCAAATATTGCCAAGCTTGATCACTCTTGTCGACGGCGATGCTTTTTTCGGGGTTCGACACGTGATTGGAGTTGGTACCTTGACACCTGGATTTCGGACTACTAGAGAAATGGAAAGCATCAAGCCTGGTGGCGGCGGCATGGAATGGTTTGGCTCAATTGAGAGATCCAACATCTGGTAGAGTTTGGTTCGGCATAGCTACTAGGTCATGGCTTGCGTAGGTGGCACGGCTCAAATGTCTCCGGATGTCTTCCTCCCTAGAAGACCTTTGACGAAAGGAATACGGATGGGGTGACTGACGGTCATGTATGTCTTGGCGACATTTCAATGCTTCCAGACATGGGGACGACTCGACATGACAACAAACAAAAAAAGGAAAAAGAACAGAAAAAACTGGTGAAATTTTTCTGGTGATATGTCTTGGCATTCTGGTTGGACCTGCACGGATTATATGGACATGGTTAGACCTTTATGCGCTCAATATAATAGGCCGGACCTGACGGTCTGGTCTCATATATCATCAAAAACACGCACGTCCTCATTGACTGCTGACTGTGAGTAGCTGGCGTGCAAAAGGTTCAATGTTGCCGAGGAAGTTTCGGGAGACGATCACGCAATTTGGTCGACATTTAACTTCCGGGCTTCTCTGGTAGAGCAATACTGTCACCGAGTTCATGTGTGCCTGAGAGTAATGTTCATGTGGCGGCTGTCCCTTTTAACGAGAAGCACTACCTAGCTGCCACCAGCCGACGTCAGTTTGCTATGAATTCCATGCCCATCGGCATATTATTCTTCCGTATGCACGCTACGCGCAAAAGTACGGTGTATTTAGTAACGATCACAACAGTGGTTGCCTGTTCCAATCAAAGAAACGATATTGGATTTGATAGTTCAAGGTTGACAGATCAGGACGTTCGGGTCGTAAGTGGGCATAACCCCTGAATCCGCTCCCGGGTCGCGTGGCTCAGATTGATATATTGCCTCCTTGCGAAACAACCATGGAATACATTGGTCAATTGAATCGAGTTTCCTAACTTACGAAGGAAAGGGGTGGGGTTTGGAGAATCACATATTGGTCGAGGTTTGGAGAAATCCTTCTCATTTGGTCAGCTATATAACTACCAAGGTCATTCGCTCTCTGCAGTTCGTATGTTAAGTCAAGTTTTTCATAGACTCCTTCCAGGTATTGTTTATAGCGCCTGGTAGCAGCGTTGATCCAACTTACGCGGAAGCTCCCCTCTTTGATTCCATGTGAACCTTTTATTACTGTGTTAGTTGAAGGGGAGCTGTAAAAGGAGGATGATGTGTTAACTCCCAGTGTGCAATAACGCTGGGTCGGCGATATGACTCGTTGTACATTCAACGTCTCGTCAACCACAGCATCTCAACGCCGTCGATATAGCTAGATATTAAACAGTAACATGGTCAAATGGTGAAGAATCGATATGCAATAATAGGAACTGACACTGTTGCCTCTACCGTTACACCAAAGCAGAAAGGCTCTGCGAAGAAGGGTTTGATGCATGGGTTCAATGGCTGCATATAATATTAGCTTACGAGCGTTTACTAGGTTCATATTCCGACGATTAGGAGTATAGGGCTACCTGTCACGGTCTATGACCGGTATGTGGCCTCTGCGACGCCTTCGGCCAGAAAGACCCACGGAAATCTCTGAGTAAGCTTCACTCCGACAGCACTTGGACCCACGGAAAGCTCTGAATAAGCTTCACTCCTACAGCACTTGGACCCACGGAAATCTCTGAGTAAACTTCACTCCTCGAAGATTCCTGAAACGACGAGACGGGAGGACAGAAGGATAAAAGGGAGAAGGGTTCACCACACTGAATGTATCTAAGGTTTTTCTCTTCATAGATGGATAGTACTCGTAGAGTAGGCTAGGCTAATTGCATCGACATTACCCTTGACCCTTACACTACCGGTATGATTCTAGTAGGTACCTGTATGTGACGTTTGTCACGTGATTGACCTACACTGGTTTGAATAGATTGATAAGTGGTTGCAGATATCAAAGTCAGGGACTTTGGTATTGGTTTCTTTTGGTGAAGACATCTGGTACGGTGGCGTAGTGGCAAGGATTGAAACCCCTAGCACGGCGTGACACTATAGCTTCGGAAGGCGAGCGATAGCGCGGAGTACTATAATTAGGCTATAAGTATATACGTTATCGTAAGCGATTATCAGGCAAAGGTTTTCGAGTAATAGCTAGACCGATATTATAACGTGTGTGTACTGTAACGGGGTAAGGCCGGATATCAGGGAAATAGGTTACGGGGCTAGAAGAAAGTTTATTTTCTCTTCTTTAAGAAGCACAGAGACGGAGCAGGACACGAATCCTTATCATAACCTTCTTCATCTTTTTTTATTATCTTTTTTATACTAGAGAGAGCTTCAATTCGACACCAGAGCCGTCTATTCAGTGTGTTAGGTAATAGGTACATCCTACCAACCGCCTGATCCCGTTTCAATGGTGATCAGAGGGAGGCCATACAGATGCTTCACGGCACTGAGTCTCTCGCGCGATAGATGATGGAGGACAGCAGGACCGTACGGATTAATTACGAGGAGGGCATGACGGAGACCCCCAAATTCTTCTCGTAGTAAGGACACGGACGTTTCGGAAATAAAGCCAGGACTAGCGAATTTACGGCGGCGCCGCGAGGTTTCTAGCTAAAGCCATATAGCACAGAGTATCAGCACAGAGTATTAGCACAGAGCATTAGCACAGAGCATTAGCATAGAGCACAGTACGGAGGACAGAGCAGAGACAGAGCAAAGAAAAGAGAAGAGTATTAACAAGAGACAGAGATACGACAATCGGTATCGACAAGAAGAACAAGAGTATCAAGAGGATCGAGAAGATCAAGAATAATGTGAGTATCAAGAGTATCGACGAGAGGAACCACGGAATCGGACCGAGAATATTAGCCACAAGAGTATCAGCAAGAGAGAAAAGAGACGAATTATTAGCGATCAGAGCGGCAGAAGAAGGAGAAAAAGGAAGCAAGAGTAGTACGGGATTGGACCCGAACACTACGGCTTCAACACTCCTTTTCTGAAGAAGAAGAACGCAGAGAGATTCGGACACAGCGATACGACCAACCTTCCGTACGATTATATTAAGCGACGACGTCCTCGACCACGAAATTCGACAATTATATAGGCCTGATTAGGGCAATCCAGCCGAGAATCTGAGAAGCCTATCGAGATAGCTCAAGTTTTCGCGATACCATATATCTTCCCCGATGAGGCACAATATCCAGACCTCCGCTTTGACAGCGACAGCGTATCCAGCTGGATTGAACAGGTCGCTCGTATTTTCAAGAGAGCTCGACTTAGCGATATCGAGAAGATCGCCGAAGTCCCGTACTGGACTAAGAATGAGACCTATCAGAAAAGGGTGAAGGCCGTCGTTAATCGCCTCGACAATTGGAACGCCGCGACGAAGGCTTTGAAAAGTACTTTTGCATTTGGAGATCCTAGAAAGCTTCGAAGTACTTATAATCGTCTTAAAGACCTCAAAAACGAGCCTCCGCTATCGAATCCGTCGAAGATCTATACGTACTATCTTGATCACGAGATCCAAGTCGAAGAGACGAAGGATACTGTACGAGTACTAAGCGATCTTGACTGTACTCGAGGCCTGTTTGAGAGGATCTACGGCCACAGTCTTGAAGATATCATGAGCAAAGGTAAGATGACGTATGAAGAGCTCTTCAAGATGGAGTACTCTCAAGCCCAGAAGTTGGTACGAGGATGGGCGAGGACTAAGGTCAATCTGGATATGCACACTAAGCGAGCTGAGAGATACTTTCCGTCTGATCAGGACAAGAGAGGACAAGAGGAAAGCTAGCCAGATATAACTACTCTCACGGAGAGGCTCAGAGCCTTGGAGATACGGTTATACCAAGTAGGCCCGTCTGATCGGAGACACCAGATGGAAGATATAAGGACTGCATACCGGCCACAGCAGCCATAGGGCTGCCAGCCACTCGTACACTGGGCCCAAGGAAATGCAGTCAGGACTCGTCAAGACATCCCTCGTCAAGGACAGATGTACGACTACGAGACCAGACAATACCGTCCGTAGAATCGATGGGGCACGACAACCAATAAATGTGTCTTCTGTATTATGCCTGGCCATCTTGTCTCACAGTGCGGTCGACTTGAAGATTTGAATCGCGACGGCTTTCTTCGATGGGACCTGACGTACAGAGCCTACTTCCTCGGAGGAGACTACAAGAGACAGACTGCGATTCAGGTACCGACATATATCGAGAGAAAGGCGACATAAGAGGGCAAGCCTATCCTAAAGGAAGTATGCGACTGGGTCATATCGAACAATCTTGACCCTCAATTCCAGCGGCTTGCGGCCTATTATCTCAGAAGAGACTTTAGTATTACGAAGAACGATAAGAGCGCTCTATCGATTCAGAGCTCCTCTCAGCCGCCTCAAGTACAGGATAATCGACTACAGACGCCAGGGCTAGTACAGCCAGAGACAGTGAAGACGCACTTCGTCCTTAATCCCGAGGTCCGATCAGCCGATATTATAGTTACCAAGATCCTCACTGGGTCGATCGTCGAAGATTTGGACAGCACGACAGTTAAACCGTTTTTACAATCGTTTGATCAGACGAAGAGGAACGAGATTGCTGATACCAAGAGGCCTACCGCTACGGACGAGGCTACCATTGATAAGAGGACTGCCGATACGGACGAGAGTACTGTTGAAGAGAGGACTACTGCTACGGACGAGAGTACCGACTCTGAGAGGACTACTACCGATACTGAGAAGATTGATACGAGAATCCCAACAGTCCTGCTATTCGGTTTGGAAGTAGACGACACTTCTCGGAGGAGCTTGTTAAGGAAGAAGATCCGTAAGCTACCAAAGAGGACGAGGAAGATATCGGACAGCCAGGCAGAATCGAGAAAGATGAGCGTTGAAGACCTTGTTAGTCCGCCCTGCTACTTCGACTGGCAGGAAGATAAGTGGAAAAAGAAGAGTCCTAGTGATACGAAAAGGTAGGGGGACCCACTGGTTAGGTGAATCCCATTCAATTAGATACTATAACGTTGCGCACTGCGGCATTATAGCATCCTTCCCCCTAGGTGCACGCATCACCTAGGGAGGAGTAAAGAGGAGAGAGGGGTACGTTCTGGAGAGGAGAGAGTTTCAATCTGGTAATAAGGCTACGAGAGTAAGACTACGACCCCCCCCCCCCCATTTTTTTATTTCCTTTTAAGAAAAAAATATACCGCTACTATAATTAGAGGAAGACCTTTGTCTTGCTTACCGAGAGGATAGGGGAAGGATAGAGAGACGAACCTAGGGGAGGATAGGTGAAAAAGAGTTTTCTTTCAGGTTCGAATATCTCTATCCTTAATAGGAAAAAGGGAGTTTGTTTTCCCCCCGTTATTTATACAGGTTCGACTGTCTCTGAGGACAGAGAGACGAACCTGGGGAAGGAATGTAACGGGGTAAGGCCGGACATCAGGGAAATAGGTTACGGGGCTAGGAGAAAGTTTATTTTCTCTTCTTTAAGAAGCACAGAGACGGAGCAGGACACGAATCCTTATCATAACCTTCTTCATCTTTTTTTATTATCTTTTTTATACTAGAGAGAGCTTCAATTCGACTCCTAGAGCCAGACGTCTTATTCTGAGAATTATTCCGTCACAAGTATCCAAGACACATCCGACCAACTCACGCACGAGACTTACAAGAGCTTTGCTCTTGTAATTAGTTCCACGATCTTCGTCTGATCAGACTAACAGATGTGATCTGTTGGTACTGAAGCCGTCTGTTCAGTGTGTTAGGTGGTAGGTATATCCTACCGACCGCCTGACCCCGTTTTAGTAATAATCTAGAACTACGACTTTATTAAGAGTACGAAGGTTAATAATAGCTCTGCTTTTTCGTTTACTAACTTTATATCGGTATACGACGAAAACTAGATATCCGAAAGGTATAGGCTCGTTGTAACGAAACCTCTAATAGTCTAGCTGCGTAAACCACTAAAGAGTGTAAGGGTTTGTGCTAGTAAGTAAGTCCTGCTGCGGAGTCCTTAGCAATAATATCGGGGTCTGACGTATGGAGTATAGGGCTCTGAGTAACTGAAGTATTCAAGTAGGGTAACTGGGAATAGAGTCGTCAAGGCAGTTTGCCTCACCAATGGGTTAGATTGATGCTTAGATTGATCACTGAAGTAGAGACTGTCTATCTATGAAATGCCTGGGAGTTCTGTCCCTTATATATCCATCTCTCCTTCACTTATCCCCACTTGGTTGATTGATTGATTGAAATTTAACGTCTCATCACGTGAGACGTGCCGGGCGCAGTGCCGGCATGGTCTATGCTAGTCGAATCTATGTTACAGGGGACTGTCTTCATCTAACATTCCTGTTCAGTGCGATGGGCAGATCTCAGTAAAGAAATTGGTCTCCTCCGCCCATTGACAAAACAAACGAGCTCCCTTGGCCGTGCCTAGGAGGGAATCTATACTATTCTTGGCCATATGCGCTTTTAGATGACCGGGCGTGGCCTTGCGGCCGCGCTTGCAAAAGTAGAAGTGGACTGGTGTCTTTGTCTTTCCACACCCGCAGTTGAGCAGTGCGTCGCGATGCTGGAGTCTCTCGTGGTAGGTCACGAAATCCCCGTGGTGCGACCTCGCTGCGAGTAATCTGCCTAGGTGTTGCCGGGGCAGGCCAAGTTCGGGGGGTCGCGGGTGGATAGCGATCCCTAGATCTCGATACTGTTGAGGGCAGGTAGTGGCCCATCGATCGTTGAAACTCTTCCAAGTGTAGGATCTCGCGATTCTCTTTATATGTGCGAATGAGGCCGGGTGTTGTGTCTTGGGTGGTTGCTCACAGGCCGCTTTGGCCTGGACATCTGCTTCTTCGTTTCCGGGGATGCCTACGTGTCCTGGGCACCACCAGATATACACTTGTCCCGGGGATGTCCAGGGTTTTCGCTCTCTCTGTGACCAGGTTTTGGACAGCTCTTGGAAGGCGGTGAATTTTGCTTGACTGCTTCCGGGACTTGGACAGATGAGCCTACCCGCAACCGCGAGATTATCGAGGCAGATGTGGACGTTATCTGCCATGCTGTTGGACGGAAGCTTTACAGCCTCCTGAAGCCCCCGTAGTGCTGCGTGGGCTTCCGCATCGTATACCTCTATCTGAGAGCCCAGTAGTTCGGACCCGCAGAGTAGTCTTTTACCGGCCTGGTAACCAGCCCAGCCTGCTCCAGCTAAGGTCCTGTCGCTATGGGTAGCCAGCGAGCCGTCTGTATAGATTATTATATCGCGCTTTGAAAACTCGTTTATCCTTTGTAGAAACGAGCGGGCGTTATCCCCACTTGGATATGTTGGATATGTTAGCTATCCAAGCTATCCACCCTGGTAAGTCACGTGACCTGTCGGTCCTTTCCTTTCTCCGATGCGGGGTCCCGTGATCCTAGCGTCTGTATCCACCTGGCCTGCCAACGGGCCTGTAATGTTGGTTCAGGGCCAACGGTTCGTAACATAAGCTTATTAGTATACAAGGCGGATTCGGTACCTATCCTTTATATATCCGTCTCTCCTTCACTAATCCCTACTAGATCACCTTCCTTAGTAGTGATCCTGTAGTATAGCTTACTAGCTCACTAGCTTACTACGTGATCTAGTGATCCGTCACGTGACTTCCTATCGGTCTATCTTTCTTCCGTTCGGCTCTGTGGGCTTATTCCTTGCTAGGTCTCTTACGTATCCACCTCAGGCCTGCCAACGGGCCTTCTGCGTTGGTTAGGACTAACGGTTCGTGACACTATATAGACGGATTCTGCGCCAGTGGACAAGACCAACTTTGTAAGATACTATAACAGAGCCCGCAGGAATGGAATAACTGCATAGAACACAAAGTCTCGTTTTAGTATCAACTGGCATATTAACCGTTAAAATGCGCTTAATCGTCCATTTGTGAAGCAACCTCAAGCTAAAACTCCAGAGCCAACTCCAGAATATAATAAGGATGAAGCCAGGACATCTACCAATGGCCACCAGACTATGAAGATCGCCGCAATACTGCCAATGACTCTCAAACTGATTTAGCTAACCAACCGGCTTTTGAGCCTCAGGGGGGAGGGGGGAGGTAGTTGAGGCAGAGGAAGTATCAGAAGATGGAGGCGCTGAAATCGACATCATTGCGTGTTATTGAAGGTATTGATTTTCATGTGTACCAAAGCTGATTTGGCTGTCTCGCTGGTGGGGAATTTGTCGTGTAGCACTCCGAGTTTGCTGTCATTCGAGACTTGTCCCGTACGCTGGGTGTTCCCACTCTGTATTATGCGGCTATGTATAGGTAGAATCTCGGTTAAAGCCTCATAAATACTAAAGAAAATGGTTGGTCTACACACGACGTACTCTATCTATCACATGGCACCGGTATCGAAGGTCGAAATCTAATAATGAACCACCTTAAAGGCTCAGCTCCGCATAATAACAACATAACTGCAGTTGAACTCGAATGTGGTATGCAAAGTACAACTGCAGGCTGTCAACTGTCCCCTCCCCCCCCCCCCCGGGCCCCCCAATAAGAAAGGACGTTTCTTATTCGTTGTTGTGTGTTTACTAGAAAAATTTAATCGTGGTATAACTCAGCGTAGCTAGTATGTAGAGGGGGAGCACTGGTTTGGAGGAGTATTTAATGATTATGTAACCGCAGTCAACCCTGTTACAAGTAACAGCTAGTTCTGCACTGCCGTTAGGCTTCATGCCTAATACTGTAGCTTAAATTTCTTAGACAATACTTGGTAATATTCGGATTTCGAGGCGTCTATAATTATGTTGCTCGGGAGAGTCTTTGTTAGCAGTAAGGTGTGGTAAATCTCGAATGCCCCATACTAGAATTTCTGTGGCGGTCTGCGACTATCTTGCCTTTCATGTTTTGTTCAGTATCCTCTTAGTACACTTCTCATCCACAAGAACAGCATCTACTACAGCTCCGACTATGTGCTCTTACCATGTGCTCTTTTTTGCTTGAGCATTGTGGACACAAGCCCAACCTACACTCCTTATGTAATCCCGCTCAGTACACACCTTCCCCTCACGTTCCTATAGACTATCATATAACTTGCATTATTTCTTAGTCTGACTGCCTGGTTTGTGCCCAGACTCGTAAGTTTTGTTTCTGCTTCTCCCCTTGTCCACTCACGCCCTATGCCCATATAGCAAGGAACTTCTACATTACCCCTGATCGCAGACTGTCTCTAAGTTTGTTTCATTACCAGGAAACTAGGAATAGTATAAATCGAGTCACTTCCACGGGGAGGTTTTCGACCCAAAAGAGTACAGCATATACTGAGATCACCACGTCTCACGCTCGGTCATCTGCGGTTCTCACTCAGTAGCAGCTCGAAGAGTATCCGTAGCTTCGACAGCATGCGACAGCTGCGAACTAGGACACGAATATCAGCATCGAACCTTTTGCACAAGATGGAGGTACGTATTTTGCGTCATTCAAATTATTCATTAAAGGGACGGCAACTCGCCAGAGTCTTCAACTTAACAGGTGCTACCAGAAGTTGGCTTGCTCTTAGCCTTGTCTCCTCCACCTCACGCAGTATCAGAATATCAATTTACGTATGCGCGGCTTCCAGCTCAATCTTCCTACAGCATTACATGTTCTCTCAACTTATCAATGATGGGACACTGTAAACAGCAGACCTATTTCACATCGTCATCTGCTTCATAGTTATTACGCGTAATTGTGGACTACGAGATATCGGTTACAACGTCAGTATGATAAGCTTAGATGATTCACTAACCGTGCCCAAAGTCAAACCGGATCTCTCGGTCGGATGCATCGCAGTCGCGCGAGCAGTTCTTCAAGCCAAGATATCATTTCAAAAGTCTTCAACTGTCAGGAGTGCCCAGTTCGCAAATCCGCTCTGGCATAGGCCCACGTGCAGCTGGCGGGCTTGTCAAGCTGACTCGCCAGCATAGTGCCAAGCACATGGACCAAGGCCACCGGACCCATCCCCATTATCATCATGAACCCTATCTGCGGTTGTCTGTCGCAATCAGATGATCAATACATACAGACCGAACACTCTACATGATACCGGTAGCTTGGAAAACCCCCATGTATATGAGCAAACCCTCGCTAGTGTATGAATAGTTCTAAGTGGAAAAGCCACTGTCGTAACAAGCATACCAAACATAAGTTCCACATATTTCCCCGCGAGGTTACCTATCGAGCTTAGCTAATGTAATCCAAGCGCTGCGCACGTTTTGGTGACTCGTTATCGACTTGGACTGAGACCATATAGTATGTACACGGCCCCAAGAAGTACATCGAGAGCTCCAAAGCGTCGGGATTGGCGGGAGTATTAACGTAGTAGCCAGAAGATGAGTGATTGCGCATAATCCATGTCCATCCGGGGGTGCATGTCACATATCGATCCGGCTGTACCGGACCACGACGTACACAGTATAATCTCATTGTATGAGGTTTTTGGGCGATTTTTAGACATCGAACGACTTTTCCTTCCTCCCCCATGCTTCATTTCAGTCTGAAAATAGGCTGAACCATCAACGCCTGAACTAGGAGCGCTGGAGCCGTTGTGACAGGCCAAGCTGTCCATAGACGAGCATGCTATGGACTCCGCTGGATAATTTGACCGGGAAAAACCCGTTGGTGCTCTATACTCATATTGAAACTCGGATGCCAGTGACCCATAACAGATCGGCGCTATGATCGGGATCTCTTTTTTTTCTTTGTCTCCTTGAAACTTATATGAACTCTGCGCTATCATCCGGTGGAGCAAGACTTGCCGCGGCGGGGCGGAGGTTGAAAAAAGACACCGAACAAGAGAGGAAGTGGGAGAAGAAAGAGATGTCAAGAATATCCCGCAGTGGAGGACGCAACGCGTGGGGGTACGGACAGCTGAGGGCCAAGTTCTTGGGTTACCACTGAGCCCGCTCCGTCCATCTCAATCTGTGGCTGAGTGGTATATGGAGCCTATACCACATGACCCTGTGCTATGAACATGGATAGGGGTTGGGAGGTGGGGTCAATATTCTTCGAGTGCGATCAACCGTACCAACCGTCTTGCGGGGACGTGTTGCAACTGAACCGCATTGACCACCTTTTTGCATGCACCCCATTTTGCAGGGAAATTCTACGCCTCAACAACACGACGTCTCTCAATTTACCTTGAAATTACTCCCTAGCTACGTACAAAACAGCTGATCCAGTGTAGAATAGTCCGGACGATTTTGAGCAACAACTCGAACGCGCTAAAGAGCTTATCCGTCAGGGCTCTTCCTAGGCCGTAGCAGCTCATCGGTACGGTATCAAGGGGACTATATTATCCTACGGTATTCGTTACGGTAATTCGTATCGCGGCGCGGCTTCCGGGTAACAAAAGTTGACTCTAGAGTAAGAGGAGGTTATCGTGAACTGGATCCTACACGAAGAACTATACGGACGGGCTCCTAGTAAGTGCTATGTGGCCGACTTTGCTACCGAAATCCTCCTTAAGGGGATAATAATACACTAGGCTAACACTAGGTGGATTAATTTGTTAGCCGCTATCCACAGATACGTACTAACATTAAGGGCGTCGTAGATACTAGCCGAGTTAGAGCGTCCGATTCGAATAAGATCCGAGACTTCTATACCCTCCTCGAACGCTTACGTAAGAAGTACCGTATCAAACCCGATAATAAGTATAATATAGATAAGATAGGTATCTAAGAGGGGGAATTTAGGTATAGTACGGTTATTAGGACGTCTAATTCACGCCGGGGACGCGTATCAAAGTCGGACGCTTCGTCGTAGTACTCCTAGTTAGAGTATATTTCGTATACCTAACGGGCACACCTATCTACGTATTTTCCGGTAAGAGAGTCTAGGCATAGTAGTTCCTAGACTAAAATATCCCTAAGTAGGAATATACCGCGACGAGCAAGGGCTAGAGTAACAAAGTTATCGTAAATAGGTAGATTAGGTTTTCCTCCCCGAGACGAAGCCTAGGGGTACGAATATCGACCCCTTATCCTCGACGGCCACTAGATATATATTCATACCGAATTTATACAGAAAGCTTACTCGAATAGAGTCGCCGTGCTTTATTTACCTTTATACTGTAGTAACGATCGCTAACCGTACGATATCGGGCTGTTCTTACCTTTGAAGACGTACTACCGCTAAGAGCTTAGGGCTTACGCTTCTTATAAGGCTATAGCCCTAAGTTATAAGTAACGTATGCTAGAAGCATATCTACGTGCCTCGGAGAGAGCCTTTACTACGGAAAATATCAAATCTAGCTAGCGGAAGACTAGTATATAGCCCCTAAGCTCCGAAGGACTAGTCGACGTATCTTACAATCCTCCGGAGCCTTATATACTAGATCCTCCGCCTTATATATTACTACCTGTCGGCTGGTGTAGTTGGTCACTTCGCTGGTAGATAAGTCCCGATTTCAGCCTCGCCCACTTGGGTCGGTGACGAGTCGCGGGTTCGAATCCTGCAGCTGACACACAAGGGGGTTTAGTCAACCCTTATGGCGCGCTGCCCACCTTGTTGACTTCGCCTACCTAGCGATAATAGGGAGATTGGTGCAGTTTAGGATTACGAGCATCCTAGCCAGTCGACCGTCAAGCACTACGTCGGCGGAATATAACTCGACAGCCGGTCCAGAATTCGAATCGTTAATCCGGCCCCTTATCGGACCTCGCCTATCCGATAACGCTCGTCGGCGAACCCGTCCCCTCACGATAGAAGGCGCGCAGCACGCCCTCTCGCCGCGATTCTTGCGAGCGTCTAGACCACGTTACGGTCTATCCACTTGAGCGTATGGTTGAGATGTATACGCTCGACGAGAACCCCAATTAGCAGATACTACGACTTGTCGCGACAAAAAAAATAGTCGAGCATCTTCTGCACATCAGCAGCATCCCACCCCTGAGGACGAATTTAAGTGCCACATTACCACACTTATCGGTAGTTCAGGCAGGGGTTGTAGCACAGACTTAGGGAGGGACAGGAGGTTTAGTAGTCGTTTGGCTACAAGTTTACCTGTATAACCGCCCGACGCGGCTTAAGGGCCCGCTATATCATCTATAGCCCCTTAAGGGAGTACTTGTAGAGGTACCGAGGGTTAACACCTACGGCGTATTTAATATTATTTTTTTATTACTACCTCTAGTTACTTTTACTACTTAGAAAGAGTAGTAAATATCTAGCTAACTATAGTCGATAGAGAAAGCCGAGGGCGGGGTATCTCGTAAGATTCGTATTCTAGTAGGTAAGGCGGGCAAGGCCCTTACACTCTAGGCCGCCGAGAATACTAAATTACGTATCGAAAACGAGCAACTATATAAAGAACTCGATAAATACGCTCTATATATACGCTAGCCCATCGAGCCTAACCCGAATACAGTGTTCGTTAACTTGTTAGCGATCTGAATAGCCTAGGATAAGCGAAATAAGCGAATACGGCCTATTTTACCCGATGAGTAGTTAGAAATTAATACCTTTCTCGAAAGAAGGGTCCCTCCTAACAAGAGTGCTCGGAAAAATATATCTAAGTCTTCGGACGCTTAAATTAAGTATGTTCTGTATATAATACATACGGATGAAGTAGTTAGGTTGATTCAGTTAGACCCTGCAAAATAGGGGTGTATGCAAAAAGGTGGTCAATGCGGTTAGTGAGATCCCTGACGTACCTCAATTCACAAGCCTGGCAGCAGATGATCTAGACCATTGCGTTCGGAATTTAAGTAATATGAATACGAGGTGACCCCCGTAGTCGCCGTGTGGTGATTCCGCCGTCGCCGGGTGGGTCGGTGCGTAAGTGAACCCTTGTTGCAGGTTTGGAGTGAATGCCGACGTCCCCTGGGACCCTTTATCCGCGGCTCGCCAGGCATAATCGGTACAACTGCCGAGACAGCCAACATGTTGTCTTTTTCTTTGAGTGACCATTGGCTGACTGCACCAGGGACACGGCTAGAAACGTGTGTTGATTCTAGAACAAGCCACTCACCGTCTGTCACTTACAGCTCTACCGAGCTCCCAGACGGCTGATTCTGGACAACAGAAAGTTGCGCCGGCTCCGGCTCTCGCAGTATTGCCTAACGCCGACTATGCGCAGCGGGGAACTGACTGTGCCGCGGGATTGGTCTTATGGGCCTTCACCCTGCGATGCTACCCATGATTTGGAAAGCAACCTGGTAAAAAAAAGATTGAGCCCAAGGGATTGGCACCATCATTTAAGACAGCGCCCGTGGTAATGGTTCTGCATCAGCCTAGTTCGGGTCGACCCGAGGAGGGTCCATGCGTGACTTCGAGTTAGTCCGGAGTAGCACAATCTTGTCCGGCATTCAACACTATTTCGACTTCAATGACAGGAGAATTCGAGACATAGACACACGATCAGTGGAGGAAACGGCGGAAAGTACATCAACTCACCAAGCATCCAACTTTCTGCGTATCGTCACGACTTCTATTGTGCTCAGGGCCACATGCAGTCGCAATGCCTGGCCGTTGCGACCTTCTCCCAAGCTGGAGCGCCGGCTCCATCCACTCTCCTATGCGGAATGATCCATTTCGGATCCCAAGTGGTATGGCCTCTCTCTTCGGCGAGCTTCGTGGAATGAAGCCCAGGGCACGATGGTGTGTCCGGATCAGGCGGGGGGACAGGTCGATTGGTGCCCACAATACCTTGTCACTGACTCGTGGCCGCGTATTCTTCCATTGGCCGAGTGAAGGACTCAATTTTCGAGGTTGCTATTCGTGTCAACCACGCACGGTTCAGCAGAGCCAAGTGGATTGGGTGACTTGGTGGCCACAATCGGATTTGGTCAGTCTCAATGCTCTGCGCTTGGCATCGTCACATATGATTTAGAGAGGGACACCAAGTTACTTCAACGGGATGGCCATGGGCACGCCAAGAAGCGCAAAGCAGTGCGTAGCTCAGCTTACGTAGCTTTTGCCCTAAGCCATCCAGGGTCGCAGTGAAATTTTGCCAAGGTCGCAGATATTCCGCAAAGCTCAACTCGGTATACTTACATTCTTGGCGCTGGGTTGAACCGTGTCGTGCTGCTTCGCGATATTTGCCAGTGTGCTGAATATCTCTTGGCAAGGAGTCGCATCTTTCTTGACCACAAGGCCATGCAACCTTGGCAACCAAGGTGGAATAGTCTTGACGGCCAAGGTCAATTGGATTTGGTGCAGCCCTTGAAAGGTGCGCACATAGTAAGCCACGGGGGTTCTCACTACGGGTTATAGTCGACAAACCTTGTTCGGTCTTGGCGCAACAGGACGTATCAGTCGCGGCTATGAAGTTGAAATAGCCTTGGCTTTCAAGGGCGAAGGGGTCTTGGCCAAGAACTTGATAGGACCTTAGCGCAGCAGTTAGGATATTATTGGTCCTGAAACAAACGTCCATTGCCATCAAGCCACAACGGCGTCTGATGGTAATATGCGAAAATAACCATGAGGTATAGTAGTATCGTTGCCGAAGGCTTGCCAACAGAAGGTGATGACCACCTTGACTCTCTGCAACTAACGCTGTCGCTCAGAGGGGTATTTCGGTGATCTGTTACTGTATCGTTACCGAAGGCTTGGCGACAGAAGGTGATACCCACCTTGACTCTCTGCAACTAATACAGTAGCTCAGAGGGGTATTTCGGTGATCTGTTACTACGTTGATGTTTCATCCAGCTGGAAGCGGGCATAACTCTTTTGCCTCGAGCGGTTTGGCTTCTCTTGGGTCACGTTGACAATGGTCCATAGCACCTGCCTGCCTGGCCCCAGGGGTACAGTAGGATCCCGAGCTACTCTGTGCGGACGGAACAGTAGTCTTTCGGCCGGATCTCAATACAGCATGCAGCGAAGGAGCGCGGTTGTCGGGAAGCAAGGATTGCTTGATACCGCTCAGTAATGGAAAACCTGTGCTCACCTGTCGCAACAAGCGCTGCAGACCCCTTCAATGAGGCACAGGGGACCATGTACGACAGGAAAGTGCGGAACAGGAGGTTCCAGATCAACCACGATTCTGTTTTCCTGCCTGAACCGCATTTGCGTGCCGATCTCCATGCGCGGCGGCAGCGACGGTCTCGCGAGCCCAAGCGGACGAAAAGACAAGATCTCATGCATATCTAGTAGTTCGCCTCATCGAGCTGGAAAGAATCCCTGAACCGTCCGAAAACAAGCAAGCACAGGGGAATTCTCGACCACCTCATGCCCACGGCTTACCATTGATGAAGACGAGGAGTGGCGAGAACAGACAGCTCGCCGACCATACCTGCTCTGCATTGCATTAAATGGCGAAACAAGTGGTCGCTTGGCGGCCCGCTGTCCCATCGTGTCCAAAGGTTGCCAAGTTAGCCCATAGACGCGACCCAGCTCATTTCCCGCTGTCTGTGCGAGAGCTCCATCTCAGTCGTGACCTGGACACGAATGTCAAATGAACTCGACGGGGAGCTGAGGCCCGTCAAAAGTTACTTTTAGCAGTGTTACGCCTGGGAATGGCATACGGAGAGCAAAATTGGCGTGTAGGGCTCGAGGGCTCGCATGATGCAACTGCAACCTATAACGAGTTGTTATCGGGTGGCTGCTAGATGATCAATGTGACGTAAAAATACCGAGCCAATAAGCCCTTGAGAAGGAGGGAGGGGGTGGGTTCCTGGATAAATGTTGGACAGCCAACTTGAGGATGTAACGGAGTACGATCGTCACGGTGATCTGGATGGACACATTGGTGGCTCTTCATCGCGCCTAGTGCGCATTGTTCTCCCCTAACGTCAGGTCAGGGCTCGGCCCTTCAGCCCATGTTCAGAACATGAGCAGTGTTGGTGCCAGGCACCATGTCTGTGAATACAATTGTCGAGATCAGCGCACAGCTCAAGGGTAGTGGCTCTTGCGGAATATAGCAGCGGGAGGGAGATGCTGGGAATCTTCCGAGAAAGGGATAGTGCGCCTCTGACTTGGGTAACAACGCACGCCAACCTCGAACCCTGGTCGAGTCGGTCAAGAAATGGGGATTAAAACGTTTTGCCCATCCCTTGTACGGTTCGTCTTCACATGTCCACTATTTGAAAGTTGAAACATGGGAGCCCATACCTGAAAAAAGAAGGCCGACAGAACTGCCGTTTGTCGTCGTGTCAAGTTCTCATTAGAATCGGATTGGATGCAAGGTATATCCTTCTCCAATGGCTTGACATGGATATGGGGTGATGAGTTCGCCCCAGGTAGACACTCTATTCTCTATTCTGCCCGCAGTTGTCGCAAAGCAGCGGGATAAAGAGAATCAATAAGGAATTGGTAAGACCCGATCCTGTTTCCCGCTCGTAATCGTGTCCAGTCCCCGTAATATCAGCGAGCTTGTCAAATTGGCACACAACAAGCAAAATCGTTCATTTCATAAGCGCGTTTAGGGCAGCTCTGACACTACTGGACGCTAGACTGATTCTGTCCTAATGGCCACATGCCATCAAACTGTCAGGCCTCACAGACTTGATTCGAACGGCTGATGCAGTCATGTAAATAGCGCGGTTTGGAGTAACTGTTCGCGACAGTTGTGCGGTTTTGATGAACGGTCCAGTCCAGCTATAAAACAGTTGCCGTGCAACTGCCGATCGCCATCGCATTGGCGATCAACGCCAGGCCATTTGATCATAGAGTCAGGGTGTATTCAGTTCATGGATGCCCAGGCGGCGGCGGCTATTCCACGATTCAGGCTAGCCGAGCTCAGGTGGCCCCCAACATGACCTCGGGAACCTGGGGGTCACCATCCCAGGCTGATGACCCTGTCTTCCTCAACATCGTACTCGTCAACAGCATTTTAGCTCCGAGGCTTGGCTTTGAGATTTGATGCGGGTGTGGAGACTACCAGGTAAAGTACCGCATTGGTGGTAGCCATGCCGCGGTAGTGGTCGGTAGTGTACATACCTGGTTCCGTAGGTACGTACGTGATGGCGGTTACGTATCTGGCAGTGCCAGGACGCACCGGGCCCGGCATGGAACATGGAAAGGGATTGATGACTACAGCTGGTGTCGTACGTCATGCCAGCAGAGCGTGGACTCGAGTCTGCAGACAGCTACTTGGATACAAATAATTTACATGTGCTTCGTGCTCCACCATCACTCGGAGAGACTCTCAAATTGAGGATTGACCCACGACAGCGATTTTGCAGTGTTTGTAGCAACTTGGCAAGGTCGTCTAGTGTCCACTATACGAGGACCTTGATGAGATGTAATGTATGTTGAAAAGGACGCAAGCCAGGCGGGGTCATGTCATCGGCCGCCTGACACATTCAGAGTTGACGATATCGACGGTTGTGGCGAAGCATTCGAGTTAATGATTACCAGGTCACCGACTGCGTCACCATCTGCCTGTGTGGCTGTGACCTAGCGGCAACAAGGATGCAGCAGGTCGCCGCGTGGTTCCCAGGTTGACGCGGTGGATGGACTGCGAGCAAGTAAGGTTTTCGACATCGCAACGAGGGCAGATGGCATTTGCCAAATCGCATCTGTCGCCGGCCGTCTGGGGGTTCTGAAATCGCGTCTGATTAGCTGCTTGTGAGCTGCAGAAATCGGTTTGAAAATCCCTGAGGGTCTTGGCGGCATGACCCAATCAAAGTACACATGAACCTCTAATAAGGTTTATTCCGTCAATTCACAGCAGGGTCAAACCTAGCATCCTCACCAGACGCCCAGCGCCGATTGGCTTGCATGGGGCCCCATTCTCTGTAACTGATCCTAGTTTGCCAGGTTTCCACAAAGCTCTTTCCTACCCTACCCAGATTACCTCTCGGTCACATTCGGTACCTACAATTACAGGTACATAGTATAGGATCATTATGACAACGATTTCAGGAACCAAAAAAAATACGCCTTGCCAAACCCCAACACATGTGTATTATGTAGCGGTTGTCCCCGTGGTCGGAGATGGCAATTGCGCAAAATGCCGATGGGACCCGCTGTTGCTTGGCTGCCAAAAGGAGGTTCTTCCCTGAAGGCGACGAGGTGAGATGTCCGTGGTGGCGTGTTGGCGTGTTGAGACAGCGTGATTTGTACTGCGCTGCCCGAGCTTGTCATGACAACGGCCAAGTCGACTGTCCAAGGTATCGAAGCGCCAGGTGCAGGCAGAGACGCTTTCTCATCTCTCACGAGTTGCTAATAGCCCTGGCCGAACCTGGGCCGCCTAAATTGTATCAGCCGACCACGGCTTCACGACGACCGGCGATCAGGCCAAGACCCTGGTATTGACAATCTGCTTCTTAATGCCCAAACACTTGGAATAATTGCAGGAGCAACTCCAATAATACGTTGCTGTCCTCACTGCTTGGCCACCCAAGCTCTAATATACCAGTCGAACCGGCTTCTTCGTCTGGTCTTTGTCTTGAAGAAACCATGCGGCACAGCCAGGTACAAGGGCATCTTTGCGAGAGCCAAGAGGCTCGGTGAAAACATCTCCGCAAAAGGTATCCACACCATAACTAGGAACTCAGGGAAAGACATACAGACGGAGACTGCTGCTGCTGCTGCGTGAGACCCAACAAACGTCCTGGAGCAATATGCAAGAAATGAAGGCGATGCTACAATGCAAGGGCAGTTACCCACTCGACATGTCTTGGGATTCTTGGTATCCCATACGCCCCCAATTCTCATTCCCAGATTTGGACAGGTATCCACTGACTGGGCTGATGATAATGATGCCCTATTGTACCCATGCTTGCCGGTCTGTTACGGCTTTCTCTGGTTGGTTCAAGGTTGCTATGTAACACTTTTAGTAATATCAAATGGATTAGTAGAGCACGGCAATTTTGCGTCAAATCCTCTCCAATCTCACGTAGATGTTCTCGTTCCCCAAGGATCGATAGCCTTCTAGTCGTGTTCTCGAGAGCGCAGGGCAGGCTAGCGTGCTGGTGGGACCTGTCGCACAGCAAGACACAATTTGCCCAAGCATCCAAAACCAGGCCCCAAGCTCTTCAGGGCAGTGTCTGTAGCATTGCCTGTCCACTCTCGGACAGATCCATCGAGCCGTCTCTGGCAGTGCTACTTGGCATCCCCCTTGGCCACGAAGTGACCAGCACCATCATCGTCAACCACTATATCTCCAGCGCCTGCCTGGTCCTGCCTTGAAACCTGGAGTCTGCGTTTCGAAACAACAACTCGCAACCAAGCCGTCACGGCCACCAAAAGACGTCAGTGTTTCCTACGACTGCAATCCGAACCGGCATTATAGCTCGACGAGAACGGGACCGACTTGGATGAAACCAGGTCGTTGCTGCTGATAATTGACTTTACTAGCGTCCAAGTGCTCAATACCTCAGGTCATCTCAGTTGTTAGCTTCATTGTGTCCCCGAGGGCCCGTAGCCTCCAAACCTTATTGTGCCTGACAGACAGACAGACGATTGCACAGGACCCTAGGCCTGATTGTGCACGACGAACACCACCCATCAGTGATTAGGCCTGCGTACAGTTGGCGGAAACCTGGAAATCACTTGACGTCGTCACGACTGGCGAGTCGTCCCAAGGTGAGCACGAACTCCTCTCCGTCTTACTTGACCAAGTCAGGGTTGCGACCACTGCCATGGTTCCACCCCCCAGCGATGGACGGATTTCGCAGAGGCCACAGCTAAGGGGCATCAACCGTCCTCGGTATCCAACTCCAGGTGCAGCAGCTGCGGCTCAAAGATCGAGCTGCAGCTGTACAACTGAAGGTGGAGAGCACGAATCTTACTCGTATACTCAATCTATCTCTTTGTCGGCTCGACGTCAGAGCTCCCTGGGTAGCTCCTGCTCTAGTGGGTTGCAGCTTCCAGAAGAGGCTCCATCGTCGATGCTCCCCTCAGGGTCCCACCTGCTCTTCCCCGTAGTGGCTGGACATCGTGGCCCCTCCCTCGTCCTTGCCCTGGCCTCCTTGGTCCAAGCCTACAAAAAAATACACGGATACAAACACACATAATCTACGTACCACGGCAAAGAAAAGAAGGCATAAAATCCACTGACCATATCTTGTCTACCCCAGAAACCATTGACCCTATCCGGCACACTTTGTGTCTCTCTCTCTTGGCCAGCATCACTGTGAACATCCTTCGGACAAGACGCCTCAACCTGCAGCTTGCAGCAAATCTTGGCCTTGGCTTGGCCCCTCGTCGTCGTCTTTGCTGCCGTCCAAGTAGCGTCAACAGCGTAGCATTCGCTTTCACAGCCGCGTGCTCTTGCGAGCTTGTCAGCGTGTAAGCTTGTGAGAGACGCATGTTGCACCCGGCAAGGCGACTACCTCTCTTGCCGCACGCCCATACGCCCATCGACGCCTCGTACCCCATAGTAACGATCACAAGAACAGCCTCATGCTGGCTGGTCCCACTTACAGTAAATAAAGGTACTTGCAAGCATATCACAGTCCATTGATTTCAAACCTGACTGTGTAGCCCCGGGGCCCTTCTTCCTCTCGTCCCTTCCGGCCAGAACGCTGCGAACTCGGCGAAACCCTTCCAGCATCCAGCGCCCAGCACTCAGCATCTAGCACCACTTTAGAATCATCAGACGAGCCTCGTCAGCCCGACTGCCCAACTATACTCTTGGGCGATAGCCGGCGACTCGCTTTGTTGGACCAGGACACCCCAACAGCAAACGCTATCTACAGGATTCCACCACCGCATTACACCGGTAGACACCACCAGATCGGAGTCCGGCAGCCCTCACCCCCTCTCCCTTGGCCTCCTTTAAAAAGCTAAACACGCTCGTGGCACCCGCCGCATAGCCGCCTCCGGCTCTATTCGACAGCTTTCGTGGGTACAGTGTCCATTTCTAATCCCTCCCGGTGTGTGCTCAACGGACTGAGATGTACCAGAGATGCAATAAGTCTGTCCATCTAGCCGGACGAACTCTAAATTGGCACGATTAGCCACCGTGCCCCAACTTGCATCAACCCAAGACCCTCGCGAGGTTTGCAATTTTTTGAAACCCCTCGCAAAGGCCTCGACACAGCGATTTCTGTCCGGGGTAGCGCAGCCGAATGAGCAATTGAGTTGGTGGCTACCGCAACAAGATTCCTCACGTACCGGTTCACAGGGAAGCACTTAGACGACACGCACTACAAAGCTTCGCACCCTGGGCGTGTCCACAGACACCCACTTTCCCTTTTCTCCCCCCCCTCCCCATCCATCCACAGATCACCTATCTTTGGGTGCGTGTTCTGAGCGCGTGCCCTCGGCTTGGCCACAGCTTTTCCCGCTTGTTATAAGAGACTGACCGAGCACACGAGCAAAAAGATTACTGCAGTCCAAACGGCTGCCATAATATCGCCTTGCCCTTCCCGGCCTACGTTTCACGACGTCTCTTGACTTTCGACGGATCTGCACCTTATTTTTCCTTCAGACCCAAGAGATCCAGTGTGGGGGTGACCCTTCTGCTGGTCCTCTTTAACAAATATCAACTTGCGGCCGGCGTTAGTTTCGAGAAACACGAGTCGGCAATTTCTTAAAAGATATACTTTGGCCTGTCAGCACACCTGGGACGCCTGGCGGCAAGCTTTGAATTCATACAGCTTGCGTTCATTTCCAGCCGCCTAGTCACCATCGTAGCAAACTTCCTGCGATAGTCAATCTTCCCATCTCCATCATGGGAGACCGCATGGGAGGAGTGCCTGCGCACCCTCAACAACATGCGGGAGCTCCGCTGCAGCCGACGTTCCAGGGCTACATCGCCACAACGATGGATGCCTTGATCCTGTTCGAGGCCTGCCTAACTGGCCAAATGTCTCACGTCCCACGGCGGCCACATGACCGAGAGAGAAACCAACTCATCGTCAGCGGCAACGTCTTCATCTACGAGGAACACTCGAGCGGTATTAAGAGATGGACTGACGGCGTACCGTGGAGTCCCAGTCGCATCCTCGGCAATTTCCTCCTGTACCGGGAATTGGACAAGCCTTTCCAGCCCGGTGAGAAGAAGCGCGCGATGAAGAAGAACAAGGAGAATGGTGTCTCCAAGTCCATCGCCGCCCCGCGATCCAACTCGGTCGGATTCGGCGGCATGACCGTGGCCAGCACCCTGCCGGGATCGTACGACAACACTAATGGTCGTGACGCCGAACGAGCCCTGGTCGGGAGCCTCGTCGACTCTTATCAGTTCAAGCAGGACGGTCTGGTCAAGAAGACCATCAGTGTACAATACAAGGGGATGCACCACCACCTAGTCTCATACTATAACATCGAGGACGTGGTTCAGCGAAAACTGATCACTCCAATGGAAGCACCGACCCTCCAGAGCGTGACTCCCCGCTCGCAACTCATATCTGCGGGTAACTTCCGGGCACCAGTTGACGACCACGAGATGGTTCTAGACGACCGCATGCGCGGTTATGTCATGGCCAACGGTGGCCTACCTTACGAGTATGGCGTGCCCAACGTATCGAGATCGATGTCGGTTCCTCACGTGAACTACGCCCAGCAGGCTTGGGGAGCGCCGAGTCAATATCTCCCCCAGAGCCCTTCTGGATACAGCATGCACGGGCACATGAGTCACGGCCTACCGCCTCCGCCGGCGACGTTCCCTCCCCCGACAAGCTCCAGTTATTCGTTCGATGCGTCGGGCGTTCCGCAACAACACCGACTGGCCCCGCAGAACTACGGTCAGATGTCGCCCAACCTGATGCGGAGACACAGCCACATGTTCGATACTAACGGCAGCGGCAACGTCGGATATCCATCGCCACTTGGTTCGGTGAATCGGGGTCAAATGAATGGCACGCCGCTTCTGCCCAGTAGCGGCAGCGTTGGGGGCCATGGAGGCTCTCTTCACAGCTCGTTCAGCAACCCTCAGCTGTTCGAATCGGCCACGGCCTCCAACGGACCCAGCCAGCACGGAGGCATGTACGAGCCTACTGGCACTCCACGCCACCACAGCGGGTACGACAACGGCACGCCGAGCCAACGCACGCCGTCCTTCACCTCACATCTGAGTTCGACCTTCGACACGGCGGCTGTCAGCCAAACCACGAACGAGTTCGAGTCGGGACTGCAGTCGCAGTCAGCCACGGGAAACTTCGGGTCGAGCGAAGACAATACACCTAACGGCGGCTTGGGAATGGATGACGACCAAGCTGTGACAAGCCCGGGGCTGGGCGATGACCACGGCGGAGTGTACGGAATGTCGTTCCAGACGTCGCATTCCCAGTCAGTGAGCCCGCACTGGACCAGGCATATCATGTAACAAGGCGCTAACGACGAAAACTAGTTAATCGCATTTCAAACAGCCTAGAACTTGCTTTACGGCGCAGGGGGGCACGGAGCATAGGCATCACGGGATTGGCGAATAATGCCACATTTGGATGGATGGGGGTTTTCTCGTGGCGTCGGCGGAGTTTTTTTTCTTTTTTTTTTTTGATTTCTGTTTTGGAGAGTGCCGGACTGAATTACTGTGTGGAAACCGAGACAGCTCTCTGTTGCCGCCACTGGGCGATTTCCGTTTGCGAGGAAGCTACGAACGCCTGTTACCCTACTAAAAGCATCAACGACGTGTGGATAGAAGCTCCATCCCGAATGGGGCGTCTTGCTTTGGTTTTTTTTTTGCCCTCGGTGGTGGGAATTTCTGTTCTCGTATCTCGAGGGAGACTGACATCGAAGATGCCTGACCCTTTGCTGACTCGGATTTAAGACGAAAGATGAGTTGGGATGACGAAGCACAGTTGAGCGCAACTAGACGCTACGTCGGAAAAAGAACAGTACCAGTACCCAGAGTAGTTTCCAATCAATTCATTACTTCGTTTGCGCCTGAGACTCATGCGATAGATCCAATCTGGTGATGACTTCTAGACTAGTTGACCCAAACGCCCATACGGTAGGCATACTGAGCTGAGCATTGGTCATGCTGAGCGACTAGTCAAACTGCACACAGGTCCCGCAGGCATACATGCAATTCCACGCTGCCACTAATGGATAGTAATAATAGTCTATCTAATGAGAGGGCGACCGTGTGGGTGTCTGGGAATCTCGGTTGGAAGCTGGCCGACGATGGTAACGACACTAAGCGCGCGGAAGCCACCAGTCCGTCCGACGTTGTGCAGCTGTAAATGGCCAACCAACATTGAAAATAGTGTCGACTGCACCAAGCGCACTGTGGCGACTGGTTGGAGTTGCAGTTGCCCCGCTCGGAACCCACCACTCAGACACAAGTTTAGAGCACAAGTGTAGAACACAAGTTTAGAACACAACATAGACTTTTGACTACGGCCTTGCCTTTTCTCCTACGGGACACAAGCCAGCACTCCGCTCTGAGTCAATCTATCGGCTATCTGCCGTCTTCTGTCGATCTCGGGCCTGGAGGATTAGAAGCTTAAGCCGGTCGTGGCTGGGCCTGCCCCATCTGTCTTACGTCACTCGAATTGGAGATCCTGCCAGGTCTAGTGCCAGGTACGAAGTACTGCGGCTCTGCATTCGCTCACTTGCATTCAGCGATCCAATCTGCAACCTGCAATATCCGTCCGGGTAGCCGTTACAACACTATGCACCTACCATTATGACTTCCTGGGCATTATGCAGTGGCGCGAGGGCCTTCCGCAGCACCAACAACGGCGGCTTTCGTAGCCTCAGCCTTGGGCCTGGCCCTGGTCTCGGTGCTTCGTCTTGGGCTTTGATGCCAGTGTGGGGTAGGCCCTTGCATCTGACGCTGAGAAACCATAGGCAGCTTCATAATGAGGCCATGCCCGCGGGGGAGGGGGGGTGTCATGCCGGAGTGCGAACCGCCTGATGACAGTAACTGCTCATGATGGCATCAGTGCTACGTCGTCTACTACGGGCTTGCGGCATCCTTCCCCCGAATTACTAGGCACGCTTACGACTGGGAAGGTTCAGGGCAGACGGGCCTCCAGCTTGACTGACGGGGCGCCGAGCTCGCGCAGATGCTTTTCCTTCGGTGTTAGACGGCGGGATCGTGAGGGGAAGAGCAAAGAGTACGTTCGCCCCTGTTCCTTCCAAAGTCAAGATGGCACTTGCTCTCATCATCTTTGCCGCGTCATCCATGCTTGATCCCAATCACGATGGGGCGAAACCCACGCTGCACGGCGGCAACTTAACCTTGACCTCGTTGTCTTTCAAGACTCACACCCTCGTGGGTCTCGTCCATCTGGACATGACTTTGACGGTGAAGCCCTGACGCGGTTGCCAACTCACCAAAACTGCATCGAGAGACCTTGTAACTAACTCCCCACCAGCACACCACAAACCCTAGCAACTCGCGGCATTCGCAAGGTCCTGCCTACCAGCATCGCTGCCGTCACGCCGCGGGAGAACATCTACACGGTCCCGAACTTGCTGACCTTTAGTCGCCTCATCGCCGCGCCTTTCATCGGCTATGCCATCCTGCACGACGCCCATGCCTGGGCCCTGGGCCTCTTCGTCTACGCGGGCGTCTCGGACCTGCTCGATGGTTGGATCGCCCGCCGGTGGAAACTGCAGACCGTCGTGGGCAGTATTGTGGATCCCATGGCCGACAAGATCCTCATGACCATCTTGACGGTGTGTCTGGCCACCAACGGCGCTCTTCCGGGTACGTTCGTGTTTCTTCTTCCCCTCTACTTGCCAGATGGGGTTGCAAAATTCCGATTCAGGTACAGTGTAGTTCTGACTTTTGGGTTGTACCGCCCCTCCAGTCTGGCTGGCAGCAATCATCCTAGGCCGCGACGTCGGTCTGGCCATTTCCGCCATCTATTACCGCTGGATTTCACTCCCGCCCCCGAAGACCTTCAACCGATACTGGGACTTCTCGCTGCCTTCGGCTGAGGTTCGGCCTACGACTATCAGCAAGTATAACACGTTTCTGCAGCTGGCCCTTATGGGTGCGACGACGGTGGCGCCGCTGGTGGCGATTGACGTGGGCACGGCCTTGACGGGTTTGCAGTGAGCCGCTTTTCGGTCCTGAGTTCGTGTGACTGAGCAACGCTGACATGAAGGCTAGGTACGTCGTTGCCACTACGACGGTCTGGAGTGGTTTGAGTTATGTGTTTAGCAAGGATGCCGTCAAGATTCTATCGCAGAATAAGGATAAGAGCAAAGATGCGGATGAGTCCAAGAAGGAACCATAGTCATGTCCTTAACTTGAGGCGTGTTATCCCAAACGACGAGGGTGTGCATTCAGTTCGCTGAAGGTATCTACAGTCACCAGGGCGACTCGGAAGTTGATGTGTGTATACTAGAAAGCATTATACGCGACAAGCGAGAAACGGGACACATAAGGGGGGACCGAAATAGATATAGAAACGGCATCTAATGTATCATACCTTGTTTCGATGGATCACTATATTTTACACGCGTTAGTAGTAGCAGAGTTCGTGGCATGAACACATTTACTTATAAGACCCACGGATAACTCTCTTATTGACTCTGTATTGCCTTCTAGGTTACCTTCCCGCCAGGCTTTGGAGATGTCAATACAGACTCGACTCCTCTCTTTTTGTCTTGTTCATACTTGCTCCCGTTCTTGAAGTCTACGAACGGAAGGGAAAGTCTACGATATGAAGCATCAACAGAGAGGCAGACGGGTTCGCAACGGGCAAAACCCAGAGCCTGTTACTTGTTGTTAAGCCTCCCGCGTCCCCAGAAACAAACCTCTTGTCGAACCATTTATGTTCACTGTCTTTGGCTTCCGTTGGCGTTGGAAAGCAAATCCTGCGCCAAATGGCTACGATACGCAATATACCCGTCGATAAAGGCTTCAACGGCCGATACCCCACAGCCAGATTGTTCGTTTAACCTCCCGCCAACGCTTTCCCCTGATTTGAGCGTCTTCTCAAAACTTCTTTGGCTCCCGCTGGAAAGGCTGCGATGCAGATACAATACCTTACTTTAATACCTGTCGAGATGCCAGAGCCAGATTGTTTATCGCCCGCACGTACCTCTTCTGAACTGAACTGAACCTCTACTAGATTTTTGCCTCTCGTGGGAACGTCTGCGACATGCAAAAAGCAAATACCCGTCGAGAATAACACTAACAGCAGGTCAACCCAGGGCCAGATTTCGAACTTCTCGGTTTTCCCTCCCTAGGCAGAATTCTTGCGAAGTCTTGCTCGTTATGGGAAGCCTGCAACGTGGATGGATGTGCATGCCTACATAACTCTAACAACCACAACCCAAATGGCAGGTTCTGGCTTCGAAAACGTCGAGTCCTATTTTGGATTATCAATGTGCTTTGAGTGTGGCCCTCAGTCTTAGGTCCATTTCTTCTCTATATAAATAGAGGACTATACACACTGGTCCCCAACCAAGGCCTGTCTATTTACGCCCCGCCATGCTGTTTCGTTTATTGTAAATCAAGACATTACATACTATACAACCCAGCCAAACCAACCATCACCCCCTTTTCCATCTCACAAATCCCTCCCCCTAGCCTCCGCATCCAAAGTATCCACCTCCGCCCCCAACGGCGCCAATTGATCCCCCAAACCAGCCACCTCTTTAAACCTCTCCACGCGATTCACAAACGCCAACAACCTCACACAACCGGCCGGGGTCATCCCCTCAATCCGCCTCGCCTGCCCCAAGTTTTCGGGCCTCGTAGTTTTCAGAATAGTCCTCTCATGAAACGACAGCCCGAAAATAGAGTCATAGTCCAGATCAACGGGCAGTTGGAGGCCCTCGTCCTTGGTAAAGAGCTGCTGCTCCGCACGCTGCATCTCAACGTATGGCGCATAAACAGCCTCGATGCCGACGCGGGACTGTACGCGCGCCGAGTAGCGGTTCACCTCGGGGATGCGCTCAGCAAGGTCGGCCAGCTTTACGTTAGCGAGGCGGAGGATATCGAGGGCGGAGCGGTGCTTGGCGTCGTTGCGCGTCTTGAAGCCGGCCGTGATCCAGTGCGGGGAGGTGAGGGTGTAGTCTTTCAGTGTCGACGTCAGTTGGTCCATCTGCGTCTTCTCGTCCGTGTATGCGGTCCAGCGTTTATCGGAGATGACACCCCATTGCCGGCCCATCGCCGTTAGGCGCAGGTCAGCGTTGTCGGCGCGGTGGCTGATGCGGTACTCGCTACGGCTAGTAAACATACGGTAAGGCTCTGACACGCCCTTGGTGATAAGGTCGTCGATCATGATGCCGATGTAGCCGTCGGCGCGGGTTATGCTCACCGGTGGCAGGCCTTGTGCCGCGCGACCAGCGTTGATGCCGGCTACGATGCCTTGGCCGGCTGCTTCCTCGTAGCCTGTCGTGCCATTGATCTGGCCCGCGAGATACAAGCCTGAGATGGCCTTGGTCTGGAGAGTAGACTTGAGGCTGCGCGGATCCACGTAGTCATACTCGACGCCGTATCCTGGCTGGAGCATGGTGACATCTTCCAGACCGGGGATCGTGCGGAGAAGCTCCTCCTGGGCCTCAGCGGGCACGGTCATGGAGAGCCCATTGGGATAGATGACGTTGTTGTCGAAACCCTCGGGCTCGAGCCAGACTATATGCCGCGTCTTCTCGGGGAAACGGACGATCTTGGACTCGAGCGAAGGGCAGTAGCGAGGACCCTTGACCGACTCACGAATGTGTATGGTTTTATCCAGGTTAGCCCGTACGACATCGTGCGTCTTGTCGTTGGTATAAGTCGCCCAGCAGAGCAACTGGTCTTGGACCGAAACTTTCTCGTTAAGATAGCTGAAAGGGTTCGGAGGATCGTCACCACGTTGCTCTTCCAGTATCTTGTAGTTGATGCTCCTCTTGGCTAGACGCGGCGGCGTGCCTGTCTTCAACCTACCAAGTCGGAAGCCGGCTTCCTTGAGCGACTTGCTCAACCCAAACGTCGCAGCCTCGCCCATCCTGCCGGACGGGAACTTTTCCAACCCAATGTGAATCTCACCCCCGAGGAAAGTCCCGGTGGTAATGATAGTCTGGCCAGTGGGTATAATCTCCCCTGACTCCAGTTGCACGCCGGTAATCTTGTTCTTGGCCGCATTGTTCGGATCCGCGCTCTCACTAACCACGATATCCGACACTTTTCCAGGTATTATAGACAGGTTCGGGTACGCCTCGAGTTCCTCACGCATATACTTATTGTATAACGCACGATCGATTTGGGCCCGCGGGCCCCAGACGGCCGGACCTTTCCTGCGGTTGAGGACTTTGAACTGAACGCCGGCTTTGTCTATTATCCACCCGGCGAGACCATCTAGCGCGTCGATCTCGCGCAATATCGTGCCCTTGCCAATGCCGCCAAAACTCGGGTTGCAGGAACATACGCCCAGGTTGTCGAGCTTCGGTGTGATCAACGCGGTTCGTGCGCCCGAGCGCGCTGCTGCGGCGCATGCTTCGGTTCCGGCGTGCCCGCCTCCCACTACTACAACATCAAAAGGTCTGCCACGGGATTAGCAACGGAGAGACCTAGGCGTGTAGTGTTGATCGCAAACCTCGACTCGTTGGCGACTGTAGCGAAAGGTCTATGCCTTGCGCATGACCTTGGAGGACCTCGAGTGAGAGCCTTCGTGGGCCGGCACAAGCCCCTTGGCTGCCAGGCCTTTTTCATCTTGTCAAAGATGGATTTGGCACAATCACCTGTTTTCTGCCGCTCCGGGATGCGACAAACTCGGTTATTGAAGTCCAAAATTCTTCGATAAGCTTGCGATAAGAAACCCGCTGGGGCTAAAAGTGGCAGGCGGTCACGTCGATCATCATGCGCAGCACCGCTAGGCTACCAGGTTCCCATTCGCTGGAAAAGAGGTGCGAGTCGGCAGCTACTCCAGTAGAATAAAGACGAAATGGATATATCAAGTATTATTGGCCTTCTCATGCTTTTCTTGCTTTATACTACCTTCTGCCAATTTCCTTGCGTAGCCTGCCTGCTGCTGTCGTCGGTGGTGGCTCTGGCCAGCTCGAAACAGCATCGTCAACCTCTTCCAAGAATGTTGCCGCATTGTGAACTGCAGTACCTCCCAGGACCACCCTGATGCCCGGTGAAGATGCATTGATGCTAGCCACCATCTTTGACTCCTCATATGTTGCACCACCAATAATGAACACCACAATGTCTTGGGGTTTGTCCTTGGTGGTTCCTCCACCCTCGACGAAAGGATATTGCTGCTCCCGTAGCCTTCCCTTGATCATGTTCTGCAGCGTTGTCTCAAGATGTGGTGAATGCTGGGTGTAGACATTCTCCACACCTTTCAGGCCCTTGATAGCCCGGGCACCCGAGAAGATGCCTCCGGTTTCGAAAATGTCTGCGATACCTCCAGCTGCCTGTGACTGCTGTAGAGAGCCGTGGTACTGCAGCACTTTTGCGACCATATCCGCCCGTCGGGCCGATACACCTCCCGCTGCCGAGAGAAGACCTACTAGCATCGGCAATGACTTGGACGGGTGTTTTTCATAGCGCAAAGCATATAGCACCACTAGGCCAACCTTGCTGTCCGCCGACACTGAAGGATTCTGTATTAACTTCTGGACATTCTGTTTCAGAGTTAGCAAGGGTCGAGTGTGCAGAAAGCAACATGGGCAACACCGACCTTCAGATCCTGGGCGTGGTTGTCGTTGCACGCTAAACTCTGCTCAACCTCGCTGACTTCCAGCAGGTTCTCGGCGCCAACCCTTCGGCTGAGTTCAGAGACCAGGGTGACATGCTTGCTAACGTTGCCGGAGAGTTTGCGGAACTCGGGGTATTCTTCGATGAACCTTTTCATGTCGGTAATGGACTCAATGTTGGCGTTGTTTTTCGTTTTCGACTGATATTGCTCCACGTAATCTTTGATGTTGCCACCCAGATCACCGAAGTTGAGATACATGTTGTTCTTGAAGAAGGGGTCCTGGTCTTGCGATAGGACAATCTCCTTGAGCTCTGGCCGGATATCAGGGACGTCGCTCAGGTCCACGCGTCCATTGTTGATCCCGAGGAGATGATGCACCATGGCCTGGTACGTCCACTGGTTCAGGAGTGGCGTGGCAGGGTCTTCTCTTCGGTCCACAATGAGGAGGATTGGCTGCGTATCAACTTTACGGAAGTTGAATAGCTGCTCTTCTTGGGTCATGTGGTATCGCAGTTCGGTGGCCAACTTCTTGGCTAGGAAGCTGTTTTTCTCATACCTGATCAGGGGCTTCTTCTTGAGCGCTAGTAGCACCGCCATCAATCCTTCTGTCGTCCTTTGTAACGAGTCCACGTGCCACATATCTGGACCGCCGCTCCATATCCGTTGCTGGGGTAGTGTCAGGTTGAGAGAGAACAGATCCGGATTGATGACAATGAAGTCGGCAAAGTGTTCCTGGACCGACTTGACCACCTCATGATCATCGGCCTCTGCCAGCCTTTCTAGAGATGACTTCTTCACCACGTTACTGAAGTAGATTTGGTACTCGCCATACTTGGGGTCCCGCAGCTCATCAATAAGGAATTGGATGGAGTCTGAAGATGGTCGAACAAAACATATACATCGGAGATGCCGCATTTTCTCTCGGTTTTGATTGTCCAAGCGATCGATAAGATAGACTTCGTGATTCAAGAGGGACGACTGGTTAACGGCAGTTGAAACAATTGGCACAGTGTCTTTGTCCAACATGAGTATCTTCATCTTGGCAGATGGCGTCCCTGTCATGCTGTCTCCGGCCGATATCATCTTGGAGATGTAGCCGGAGACGGCCTGAACGACATCCATCTTGGCAGGCACTCGAAGCAACCAATATCCTAGGGTCAGGTGGGTAATTATTGGTCCATGCCCAGAAATGTCAGTGGGATAATGGAGTTGCCTTGCGTAAGCAAAAGGATGACAAGGCTTTGATTTTGCTGTGTTGCGACTTGTTTTTATGCAAGCGGCCGTGTGAGTGAGGACGGAATAGTGAGTGCAAGATGCAGCTGACGTTGCGGCTCTGGAGCTCTGGATCATCAACCCCGGAATAGCAACACTGGCCCGTGCCCATTCCGCCAGGGATAAGGTCGCGGGTACCTTTTTTAGGGACGTGTCTTCGTTCACCAGGGAGGTAGCGCTACTCTGCATAGTGATTAGATAAAGAAATAATTATGAGGTCAGACTTCGATTGAGCTTTGAGCTATCACATCAATGTCAACCTCGATATCCGAGTTTCGAACTTGGCATTCACGCTTCATGGACAGAGGTGACGGAACCTGACCATCGCCACGAGCTTCAATGCCGACTGTCTATTCTTCGCCATGGCTGCCACAGACATGTGTTTGGCGAAGCCCGAACCAACGTGAGAAGGCCCAAATCCCTGCCAATGTCACCCAACTTCCCTCCTCCAGTCAGTCGCTGAACTCTCGAAAGATTATCCTTCACTCAGGGTTTTATAGTCGGCCAGATCTCCATCGTCCTGCTTATAGCTGCATTCATCAAATTCTTCATTTTCGGCGATCGCCCTTCTGCTGAAATAACGGCTTCGCTACGAGCAACGGAACGCCAATCCAACACCCTCGCGCACAAACAATCTCTCCTCACCTTGCGGACCGACAACCCCCGACAAGCACATCCCACTCTGAATAAGAAGAAGTCAAGCATACTAAGGAATCCGCCCTCCCTTACCATCGGCTCGATCCTCAATAAAACCTACTACAATGTCGACAGCCATCAGCCCGAGTCCCTCGACTGGTTCAATGTCCTCATTGCGCAGACCATTGCACAGTTTCGCAGTGATGCTCAACACGACGATGCCATCCTCACCTCGCTTATGAAGGCATTAAATGGCACAAGCCGCCCCGATTTCTTAGACGAGATCAAAGTCACGGAATTGACACTGGGCGAGGATTTCCCAATTCTGAGCAACTGCCGCATTATCCCGGTGGACGAAGATGGCCTGAGCCTTGACTTTGGTGATAATGGCGGAAAGCGGTTTGACCCTAATAGCCCTAGGGCCACGCGGGAAGGAGCTCGGTTGCAGGCACGCATGGATGTTGACCTGAGTGACATGATCACATTGGCACTCGAAACCAAGATGCTTATGAACTATCCTAAGCGACTTACGGCTGTTCTACCCGTTGCCCTGGCAGTCAGTGTGGTCCGTTTCAGTGGGACTTTGTGTATCTCGTTCATCCCGAGCAACCCCTCGCAGTCAACGCCTACAATGATGGCATTCAACTTCTTGGACGACTACAGATTAGACTTATCCATTCGCAGCCTAGTCGGGAGCCGGTCTCGTCTTCAAGATGTCCCCAAAATTGCGCAGCTTGTCGAATCGAGACTGCACAAATGGTTCGATGATCGGTGTGTTGAGCCGAGATTCCAAGAGATTGCGCTCCCAAGCCTATGGCCGCGCAAGAAGAATACTAGAGGGGGAGACGATGGGCTGGAGAGTACGATGGCAAGCGTAAGCAAAGGGAAAGGGCGTGACGCATCCAGAGACACCCGGGATCCCAAAGAAGAGGCGCGGAAAGAGGTTGAACCCGAGCTGGGAGTTGGTTCAGAAAGAAATCCAGAGACGGGAAGTCTCCGATATAGGAGATCCAGGCTGGATAGCATTGGTCAGTTGAGCATGCCGGGTGCCATGCCGGGTGCCATGCCGGGGTCCATGCCCAGTAATGCGGTTGATATGGAGACTTGAAGCACTGGGAACAGGACACGATACAATCTCAGGACACATGCACGGGTCATCAACACGACAGCTTGTGGGTACATCGAATCCGGCCTCCGCGCCTCGATGGTAACCACGTGGAGATTCCCAACTACGTTCAGCTTATCTTCTTAGCATTAGGTCTGCTGTCATCTGACGAGACCGGGAAGCACCATCTATAGCAACTTTATCTGGTAAGACCACTCAACCAGAATTAGAAGATGACTCCGGAGGTATGGCCAGGAAAGCTCTGAAGCTCACAGGATAGGATGGCGCGTTCTCCAAAGAGCCACTGGCTACTCGGTCCAATGGAACCCTAGCATATGCAATACATAATCCATCGATATATACACCAGTTCAAAGTATAGCACCTAGACTGTAAGCATCATCTCACTAACTGTGTCCATGGACTTCCGATGACCACCGGCGCCTGTGCAACGAATCGTTGCGCTTGCTCCTCGGACAGTCCAGCTGCCAGCAGCGTTTTTGCCGCAACGCTAGAGATCCTATTTTCCATGTTCTTCTAGTTCAACCGCCCAATAAACTTGTACTTGGGATCTGTCGGCCAGAAATCCATGAGGATCGACTTGCCCGTTTCGTTGACGTTCACAAAACCGGCCTCGGTCAGCCACTGCACGTACGACTAGGGCTTATCCATATCCCGCCCGAGAGCGCTGAAACCCTGGCGTACATACTACGTCCATCTTTGAATAGCCATTCCTTCGAATGATTGATCGTCGCCGTAGAGATGAAGAACCAGGTCTTGAAGCTCAATCCACCCGCCTTCGTTCATGTTGAAGGCGTGGCGCATTACCGTTCGTACGTCTTCGAAACACTTCACCACGGCGCACAGGTGCACGTAGTCGAACTTGACGGGAAAGATCCAGGGGTCCTCCGAGTCTTCGCCGGCAAACTGGCAATTAGGAGACTGGTTGGAGGGCTGGATGCGGCTGGGATCCGTGCCGATGACGGTACAGTCTGGATTCTGCCCCGCGAGGTCCAGAGCCCAGATGCCGGTCCAGGCGGCTACGTCCAAGACGTACTTTAGCTTCCCTACCGTCGCGACCACGAAATACCCGCCCAGAAGCAGCCGGAATACCCCCTGCTGCGGGTCTGGTGTCTATGTACGTAAGCATCTAGTCAGTCATGGTCAAGTACGGCCGTCATATTGAAATTCCCGCTGACCTAGGCGATTCTGCTCCTCGCTAGTCGTTGGGCAAAAGAACACTGGCTCATTGTTAGCATAGCAGGTTCAGTAGGTGTAGAAAACAACAAAGTCACGTACTTCCTTGCTTATACCCATGAAACGTTATTCCCATTCTTCTGTGACGGCGTCCAGATCTGTGATGGTTTTGCCGCTGCAGTATTCATGGTCAATGACTGCCAACTCCATATCCCATCAGGTGCTCTATCTTAGTACTTCATGCCTCAATAAACTAAATAAGGTATTTGCCGGATACATTGCCGGGTGGGAGAAGGCATGAACATGGCTCTTGCCAGTTCCCGATTGAGTAAGTCGACCGAAATAGAGACGTAAGCTGTTCAGCGTCATTTGAGTAAACACCTAATACAGTCGTGAGACTATATGCCCTCGAGTCTCTTAAGACTGCGACCAGGTTGTAATCGAATGTTGTAGCCGTAGCTCGGCAAAACACTCACTGATAAGACACTTTCTGCAAGTAAGCATATTGCTTTCTGGCCATATAAAAATGAGCAAGGGAAGTGATGGAATGAGATGATGTAGGACTTGTTGAATGCCGGTATCAACAACAGCCCAACACTGAAGACACGTTATTGTCTTTCTCGGCCATGTATACATACAAATGTGGTACGCAATGAAGCATGTCCTACGATAGAGATAGACACTGTTGCAACGAAGCGATGGCGCTAGAATTGCATCATCACTGCCCTCAATGGATATAGCTCGTCGGCCTCATGGCAGAGACAGTTATTTGATTGGCATATATCAACGAGAAAACCAGTCACATCTTTGCCATTCCTCAAGCACGCGGATTGACATGCTACATACGGATTGGACCGTTGCCGCAACCGGTTACATCTGCATATTGCCATACTTATTGTTCGTACAGCTAGCTTATCAAAGTCATCATATGGGAAGGGTGCGACGCCAATTACAAGGACCATGATTTGGAAATTGCACGTCTAGTTAAAGTCTCGGCCAAAGATTCCGAAGAGTCAACTGTATTATCTCAAACATTTCAAGATGAATCCCTCATGACGGCCCCAACGTTCGATATCGAGGCCTCTCTGGCGTGAAACTTGAAGACGAGACGGGAGTGTTTAGAATTTTGCTGAGGTGATGCAGATATCTGCTCGACGTTGTGTGCTTAGTTACGAAGTCAGCATCTTGAGTATCTATAGCCACCTTTGTCATCCGCCACCCCTCGACTCTGATTTGCTCATCAGAGACTACAAACAGGCCTATGGCTCTGAAGGTTGTTGACAACGCCCCCAGGTATCTGTCGCCATGGGAACATGCAAACCATCGCTGTCCGTAGACATAAACAACTGAGCAAACAATTGAGACAAGCCGAGAGTTATCGTGTTGCTATTTGGATTAGACATTATGTTTGTTGATACAGATGTTCAGATATATATCCTGAACGCTCGGTGAGAATGCAATACACAGAAGTACACTGCAATCAAACCTTAACGGGAACCAACTGATTAGCGCTTTCTGTCAGCACGCCAAGATTCTTCCACCACAGACCTGCTCCTACGACAAGCAGCACGTAGTAAACAACAGTCCAAGCGACCGAAGACCTAGCACCATAGCTTGCGCCGGAGGGCTCCACTCGGCCCCAGAATCGCGGGAACCCCATGCAATTGCAGAAGGCGTGCACGACGAAGATGGCCAGCAGACTGCCCGTCCGCAAAAACAGGAAGGTTGCATATGCACCAAAGAGCGACGTGTAGGTCAGCTGGAACAGCGAGCGTAACAAGGCGGCCGAAACGGGAACCTGCGGCTGGGAGAGCCTGAATTCGTAGAAATGGTGCAGATGAGCAAGGCCGAATATGAGGGGCGACATGAAGATCGTCTTGGTCACGGAGGTCTGGGCCAGCAACATTAGAGGCACGGCGGCGGAGCGAAAGAGAACCTCCTCTGTGAAAGGGCCCTACGGTTGCATATCAGCCGGAATTATCCAGAACCATACATACCGAAGCATGAAGGACTTACAGCAACAATGTTACGCCATGTGGTCCATTCGTTGAACAGGTCAGAAATGGGCTGGAAAGTAATCAAGTCACGCCAAGCTTCGTGGACCACAATGGTCTCGTACAGCGGGCCGACAAACAGCACGGCCGTCAGAAGGAGCGACTTGGCTGTCTCGAACAGGCCGGAGGGCCAGTAGCCCATGGAGTGAAGGGCGTCTGTGTTAGAGGCGTTTCCATTGGATGTTAGGATGACAAAAGTCGAGACGGAACATATGACGCAGGTCAGAGTGACGGAGGTAATGCGGGCCCGGATGACGGACGGGGCATCCCGGGACAGAGACCTGGATGGCCGCGTGATGGCCGACAGGTAGAAGGGTAAGACATACACCAGCGTGTAGATGACCTGCGACTAGTCAGAAAGCTGGGCAAACTGGGTGTGTCTCGGGGGCCTTGAAACGGCCGGACGGGGTGGCTCACAAGCAAGACCGCGGCGGTCCCGGCGGTGATTGGTGGTGGTTTGGCTGTTCGCAGTCAGAATATCAAAACAAAAATAAAGAAGCACGGTTATTGGGACTTGCGTTCTTCGTGGGGCAAGTAACGGGACAGGAAGCTCTGGATGGACGGCATCGTGGATAACGGCTATGCAGGCTGCGATGATGCCAATTTCTAGTAAACAGTCCGTGGGGCCGGGTCTGTGTATGTTGACACGCAATTTGAAGTTATGTATCTGATATCGGTATTGGAGAGGTGGATGGGCAATTCCAGGGAACAGGGCAAGTCCAGGAACGTCTGGGCGATCCCGACAGATTCGGCGAACGCGTGGAGAACAATCTAGGTTAGGTCGTACCGACGATCGCACTCACTGGTAGAGCCGCCCAGAAGCGCACAGATTGCAGTATCCCGGTTCGCTCGGAAGAAACAACGTGGCCCGAACGACTGGGACAGTGTCGTTACTGCTCCTACCTCAGACGATGGAATATCTGGAGTCGAGGAAGCAGGATCAGAAACAGCAGACCGAATAGCGGACCTGATGCGGCTACAGGGCTAGCTGCGCCTCACTAAGCGCGGGCGCTCCAAAGGTTTCACCGACCACGACAAAACAGACGATGTAGGAGGACCGACTCGTGCGCGGTAAATGTGTGAGAGAGAAGCAACGGGCAAGTTCGAGCCGGGACCACGTATGGTGTGACGCCGCTCACGATCAAATCGATTTGCTTCCTTCGTGGCCATTCCCAAACTTCTAAAGTTGGGAGACCTGCGGCAAACTAGTGGAATCTGGCGGCAGGGGTGAGCAAGTAGGAACGGACGAACTCTAATGCATCCGCCGCCGAGTCAACGAACCAATTCTAGAATTCCAGCATGTCTGCAGATACCGAGGCAGGCTTTCTGGCTCGAGTGGAATATTTAGCTCTCAAAGTTTCTTTTACTCAGCCTGCGTGGATTGACTTTGTTCGTCCATTTGCATACCATGGTGCGCGAAATTTACGCGTCCAGCGAATGCGCCGGCGTCTAGAGCTGTAATTGGTAGAATCGTCAGCGTGCCTATCGAACGGCAAGCTCCTGCTGTGCACTGCTGTGCAGCCCAATTCGTGTGGCTCCCCTGCTCCGTCAATCCCGACTGGGACATCGCGCTTCTCTCTTGATTATCATGGACCCCTTCGACGCATATCCACACCGCCTCTGATGAGCGAGTCTTGTGTTCTTTAGGGGTCGAACAAACGCTATGCCACCTAATGGTCCAGCACCCCCTTTGAAACGTCGCCATGGCAATGACACCAAAATTTGCCAACTAGGAACAATCCAGGAAACAAGCTCTGCACTTGTTCATCAAGTGGCGCCTTGTGAGACGACAGAATATAGCGACGGACATTGGAGTCGAATGGCTTCGGCTGGCTTGAACTATGACCCAACGCTTGTGGTACCTTATTCTCCTAGTTGTAAATGCCCGCGCTTCGCGATCACTCTTCTGCCTGTTGTTTCTCTCATTTTATCGTAGAGTAGCCATGCAGGAGACCTGCAGCCCCCAACGTCGCTCCAGTGGATTCGTCTCCCCAAACAGGTCACCTAACAACGCACAGTGGGCCTTATCGAGCGTCTAATGCAGCCGCGTCCTCTGCAATTCTTGGTAAAGCCATAGAATCGGTGACAAGTTGGCAGTCCAATTTCACAATCCCAAGCACTCCGTACGGTTGTACTTAAGTGACAACCCCTGTAACATTGGCGTCTGCTTCCATCTTCTCTGCGTCAGGTCTCTGAGTTCCTTGTCGACCGCGTAGTATTCTCTCGTTGGGCCCGCTGGAAACGTCCTTGCACTACGCTAGGTTGCAGAGCTAGACACCCGCCATTTCTCCGGCTGCCAGCCAATCGATCACGATAATTGCATGGGTTGTTATTGAAGAAGTGGTAGCTTCCCTCCCATCTCCTGACCTCGTTTTTGCCACTGTTTTCTTCCCTTCGAAATCTCCGCCCACTCGTTTGCGCGCGGTTGTGTGGTTGCTGTTTAGCATTGAGGCTACCGGCTGCTTCCATCCAACACACTCACTTACGCCTTTCTTATTGCGACAAAGCTTCTATATTTTTTTTCATGCTTATCTGACCACACACACTCATTCGCTTGTCGCTCGCTCCTACAGCTATACTACTTCATCAATTGGATTCCCAGGCCCATCTTTCTATCCTGCTTCCCTTCTTGCCTCTCTTTTGCTTCCTTTTCTCCATCTTATTACTCATCACTCACTACGGCCTTTGCCAATTCTGTCAACAGCTCCCAACCCGGCTGCCCCGAACCGTCCATTGTCTCAAGAGCAACCTAGACGGCCACATGGGACGGACGCGCTGAGGAGAAGGCGCCCTCGAATAGGACAGCACGCGATTCATGCCTCATAACATCGAATTGTCGGCGCATTTGCATTCGTATGAAACGATATGGAATCGCAATCATAATAATCACATAGTCTCTGGCTGTCAAACCAAAGCAGTGCTGCGATTCACGCAGCAAGTCACCGAAGTTCCGGGCCGGGCCCACGGCAGAGGATGTCCTCCCCGGCATCTTCTTCGTCATCCCGTTCACCGCGCAGGCGCCCTCTGCGCGAGAGGTCCAATTCTCAACAAAACACGCTGGCTAGTGGTATTCGTCTCGTCCCATATTCTCCCCCCCGGCCCGAGACAACCAGCAGTGCATCGGAGACGGAATCCTCCCGTCAGGACGAGGGCGACCATGACGCCACACATAATTCCAGTCCGACGGCACGGAGAAAAAGATCGTCGGAAAAAGAGGCTTATCTTGCTACGAGCCCAGCTTCCGCATTGTCCTCGCCCTCGTCTTCCACGTCCACTTTGGTAAGGGCCAAGGGGAGAAGCGTTTCAGGCACGAAACTCGGTTCGGGCTCGACTGGTGCAGGGCCATCCACCCCTCCCCCTGCACTTCGCAGAGGCTCGTATGGAGGCAATGTCAGCGTCGTTAATGCACCGTCTCGTCATGACCGCCCCCTAGCCTCCCCGTCCAGGAGGAGTCCCCGGCCAAGAGTGGACAAAATCATCTCCGTCAATTCTGACAAGACCTTCTCTATTGTACTGAAGCCCACACGTGCACCTGACGGGACGGCAGCCGACCAGGATCGCAGCTCGAACACCCCCTCTCAGTCTAACTATTCGACGACTAGCTCGCATGAAGGAATCTCGTTTGATGCACCACAACACGATCGGGATTTCGAACCCAGTTCTCCACCCACTTCCGTCGCCGAGCGTAGTGTCTCGCCTTACTCACCTGCTTCAACGCCAGTGCCCGAGGAACACAACAGCAGCGACTCGCCTTGGAACTATTGCATGGTCGGTGGCCTGCGTAAGGTCCCAACTGTACCCGCCGCACACCAAACAGGCAAGGACAAAGAAGTAGCTCCTCTGTCCATTAGTCTGCCACCAGTGGCAGAAGACCCGTCATCGCAAGCCCAATCTTCTCCGCTGGCTGCGAAGCCGTCATTTAACTCTGAGAGCTCTGAGCAGACAAATACGACCATAGAGGAGACGACCAACTACAAAGTGCTAGGGCGCAGTTCCCCACCGTGCCACTCAGACTCGGACAGCGTCGAGGCAACACCATCTAGCCATTCCAACTACCAATTGCTCGGGGAATCCTCTCCCGTGCATCCTTTCGTCTCATCTCCCCTGCGGGAATTATCGAACACTGATACACCAGGGAGCAAGAACTTCATCGTCCACAACTACCCGTCCTTATCGTCCTTCGATACTGACTCGAGAAGCCCACGTCCTAAATACTCCGACGACAGTCTCGCTCTCCCAGGAGAGCAAGACTCACTACTGCAGGAGCAACCGTCGGAAGAGAGTTCAGGTGTACGGGGCAAATACTCGCAGGAGAGCTTAGTTGTACCGCCACTAAAACCACGCAAGAGGTCGTCGTCGGAAAAGTTTGGATACTACAAACAGAGGTCACGAGAATCTCTACGGGGACGTGCTAGCTCGTTCTCGTCCATCTCTAGCATTATTAACCAGGACGTCACCTCAACCTACCTGGCCAGTACCCCTAATCTCGTTCGCCTGGGCAGCACCCCTTCGACTACGTCACTGAATCAGCCTTCATGGGCGAGACCGTCCAGCGCCGTCCCTTCACGGTTACGCATGGAACCGGAGCCGCATGTATGGAGCTCACAATTGTCGACAGTCATGTCTGAATACGAGGGCAGCGAGCGAGACTCGCGAGCTCTGTCACTAACGGAATCCCACTCGCTGCCCTCGCGCCAGGATTCCCGTAGCATGAGTGGTCTCAGTATGACTGGCGGCCGTACGAGCAGACACAGTCGACACATTTTGAGTATATCCTCTTCGGTAGCCCCGGCAGAGGAGGTCTCTCTACCGCGGTCACAGCCCGGAAGTGACTCGTTAGACCGGCCCGGTCCGTCTTTCGCACGAAGCCCGCGGGAGCTTCCCTCCCCGCCGATTCGCATGGTCCGCGACGTCGACGAAGACGGCGACGGTCTGGCTGATCTTCACGACATCCAAGAGCTGAACCATAAATCCTCACGTCCCCGTATGTCGCCACGCCTCGCCAGCAAGTCTTCGGATAGAAGCATTCGTTCTTCGGCAAGCTCCCGAATCGGAAGCATATCAATTTCGTCCCTTCCGGCATGGGCACGGTAAGTTCTTCAAGCTGACGGGACAATAACCCCAATACCAACCAATACTGACGCGTGTTCAGCGTATATTATGGGAGTGGTGAGAAACGATTAGCAGTGCCATCCGTCATGTCCTACTCCGACGACAGCCGGCCCGGGAGCTCGTGGGTTGGCAGCGCATCGCCCTCCAACGAAAACTTGCCGATATTCAGTCCCCGCAGGCGTCCGAGGGAAATGCATCCGAATGGAGATAGACCCGACTCGATGGAGATCACACCCGTGAGCATGGGTAACTTCCGGCGCGGGGTGCGGAAGATGACGTCCAGTATCTGGTCGCCCCATCTCGATCACGATCGACGAGCAAGCCGCTACAGCATGTGGCAGCCGCCCTCTATGACATGGTCAGCAGAGGGCGGGCTTGGGCGACGCAACATCCAAGTCGTCTTGTTCGCTTTAGGATTTATATTCCCATTCGCATGGATGATCGCCGCCTTCTTGCCGCTACCCCCGGCGCCACAATTCGACATGATGGAACGGGACCACAGCACCACCATGTTTGGCATTCCCGAGGAGCCGGAGCCATTTCAGAGACGTGTGGAGCGGGGTGACGACACGCGGTACCAGAGTGCTCTCTGGTGGCGGAGGCTGAACCGGTTCATGTCCTTCGTCGGCTTGCTCATTATCGGAGCCATTGTTGCGCTGGCTGTCATTGGGGTTCGCCAGAAGTGGATGCAAACCATGCGAGGATGAGTTTCCTACGGCCTTTCCTGCCAACCAATCTCCAGTTACGCAATCACACGCACAGCCGACCGGGCTTTTTCTTGGTTATCGAATCACGACGAATTACGAGCCACGCGAGCGGCCTTCTCTACGTATAGAATCTACGGGACGACCCTGGCTTCAGGTTACATATACGCAATACGCCTGTCTTGGCGTGCAGGAAGGCACACGGAAATGACTTTCCGATCTCTACAATTTATCTCTATAAAACTCATCACTATTACGCTTTCTCAGCATCTACAGCACCGAGCAGTCGCCAAAATGCATATGCCTATTTCAACCTTGTATTCTATTTTTGCCTTACATCCTTTTATTGCATTACACCACGACGCATTGCTTCTCAGCCAGCGGGCGGCATTGTCCCGCTTTGTATATTATAACCGAACTCTGATTCGTCATTTTCACGACGGATACATTTCGCGGGGAGTTTCACGGAACATCCCCGCCCACGAACGATACCCTTGCTATTCGCCCATTTTTGGCGATGTTTAGAGCAAATAGGGGAGTTTTGAGGAGTCTTTAGAGAGGAAACCAACCGAGCCAGCAAGTCTATGAAGATGGAACAACCACAAACCTTTTTATCGAATATCTAATGATGAATAAGTCGCTAGACGCGGGAGGAGGAAGGATGGAGCCCCGACTGTCCACGAGGAAAAGATACTTGGGTAGGTCTCCAAGGTGGAAGTGACGGTATAACGTGGGAGAGGCAAAGATGAGATGTCATTCCGAGATTTTTACTGTGTAATTCAATCAGGGAACTGGCCGGCCCTGACTACCTTAGGAGAAGGGCTGGGCCATAAGCACAAAAGCCATCGACCTTGCGAAGCTGGACAAGACGGCTTCAGACTGGGTGACAGACGGCTTGCGGGACGCCGATATGAATTGATGAAGAACTTCCTCGAATGATTCCAGCTCGTCTTCGTTGATTGTGAATGCGCAAAAGTCTCGAAGAGTTTGTCTATTCGTGGTAGAAGAGGGTCATGGCCAATGGTTCGAAGCCGTCTAACACGGCATTCGTGCGGGGGTTACTGCGAGGTCCACTTCATGATTCAACAGGTATTCATTTCCGTATCACAGAACGCTCCACCATCCTTTGAGAAACGGGGAGTTAATAGGCTTTCATTACATGACTCCTGCAGGCCCGGCTCAGTCGGCCTTTTCACCTAGAGCTATCATCATCCTTGGTAATCAGTATGTAGTAAGCAGGCTCTCCCCGTTCTGCCCAAGCAGCGTTTACGAACTCTGGTCGAGCATTTCCTAGAATAGAGCCTGCCTGCTCTAGTACTTACCTGGGTGAAATTTCTCTGGCACCCAAGCAAAACAGTCTGTGGTAGTTCAGTGGGGAGAGCTGGTGTTCTTAGTACTTCTGAGAATAATCTCAATACTAAATTGGTGGATAGATGCCACTTCGTCATCATCTGCCTTTGCAGTATCATTGAATTTGACCAAAAATTGGTTGTATTGTGCCGACTTCCCGATGCTCCCGTGACCTACTAATATGATATCCGACCCAAATTGTCAATCACTCACAAAGCAATAACAAATATGAATCCCACTACCATACGCCCTAAACCATCTCTACCACGCATATGCTAGTTGTGAGCACTTGAATCCCCCGCTTCCACCCCTTTCCCCCTTCTTTGATGTGATAGTAGATCCTTCTCTTCTTCTCTTTTGTAAGGCGACGCTGCTGCTGCAGCTGGCAATCATCGAAAAGTCGAAGCACATACACCACAAATTATATCATCTTCTTCTCCGCCCCATTCTTTCTCCTCTCCTGCTCCTTCTTGACCCTATCGACCTCCATTTTGATCTTTCCCACCATCTCATCAATATCATGTCCTGGGTCCTGACTCAAACCCAAAATGGGCTCCTGCTTCTGCCCACCCGCCGTCAAGCTCTCGGTGCTCGAGCTGCGCATAAACCGCGCGCCCGCTTCGTTGGCACGGCGCTCCAGCACACCGCGCATCCACTTCTTGCCTGGGCTGGCAAAGAAGGCCAAACTGGCGGCCGTGCTAACAATGGCGTAGAAATAGACGCGCCCCCAGACCGTAATGGAGTCGTTGAAGCCGAGGATCACGAAGGGGGTCACCACAAATGAGAAGGTGACCTGGGTGGCGAGCCACGAGGCGATGTCGTAGTATTTCTTAGAGGGGAGGGGGTTTTGGGTTACGGGGTCGAGGAAGAAGGGGCGTAGGTTGCGGCGGTAATCTGGGTGTGTGTTAGTCGCATCTAAGAGGTGCCGCTGAAGGGCGATGGAGATAAACGTACGCTTGGCGGCAGTCTGCACGAAACTCGCAAGTATAAAGGTCAGATAGTAACCCGGGTAGAATCCATGCCAGAAGGCACTGGTCCCAAAGGTAGCCAAGCTGGCGCGGAACCCGGGCTTCCTGCCACGTGGGGTGACGCGCAAATAGATGTAGTACCGTAGCCACTTATTGGTGTTCATGTTCCAGTTTTCCAGGTAGGCTCGGCTGTTCTGGGCCGCCTCGACGCCCCAGGGGTTGATGTTCTGCAGTCGGTCCCAGCTCACCTTGCCCGTAACGGGGTCGACGCCTTTGTAGCCCAATCCAGCCAAGATGCAAGCGCCTTCAGTCAGCGACCACACGCCATAGTACTTGAGGCGCGCGGTGAAGCCCACCATGTGCAGGTAGAACACCCGGCGGACGAACGAGTATTGCATGAAGTCCGAGTCGAGCATGAACGTCCAGTCGAACCAAGAGTTGAAGTTGAGAAACAAGCCGATCCAAAGAAGGCCGCCGGCTGCTTTCCACATGGCAGGCGTGGCACTGCGAGGGATGCGACGCTTCTTGCGCGTGGGAGGCTTCTTGGAAGCATCTACCGATGGTGGTACGTCGAACATGCTGGTCTCAATCCAGCGTTTGTACTCGTTGTAGTCGAACGACGGGCCGGCCATGAGCGACGGGAAAAAGAGGATGTAGCCCGCGTAGTCAAGAAGACTCGGCAGCTCGACGATTCGCCTATCCTTCTGGAACTCGGACAGCTGGTCGTCGGGCAGCACACCGTCGGCCACGTTCCAGCAGAAGGCGCTCAGCTTCATCACCAGGACCATCTGCGCGCCCGTGATGTCCACAGTCGAGGGCGCGTTGGAGAACTGGCGCGAGAGCTGATTCGCCGCCATGTGGCTCATGAGGCCCACGAAACCGATCCATGGCATGTAGGGGCTAGTTCGCAGGTAGTAAGCGAGCGCATAGGTGCCGCTGCCCGCCAGCACGATGGTGCGCAATCCAGACCACAGGTCGAACAAGCCCACGAGGTAGAAGGCGGAGCAGGTGATGATGAAGGCATTTTTGTATTCGGGACGGGAGTCGGGTATGCGCTTGAGGAGGCCGGCAAGCGGGTATGAGATCAGGAAGCTGAAGATGAGCTTGACTGGAACGGCTGTCAGAGCGAAATCGGAGACAATGAAGCGACCGCCATATTGATAGATAGATCTCGGGGTGTGTTTTTCTTTTGGTGTTGAGACTCACGTTCGTCTGTAGAGGCGCCGACGGCTCCGGCGAGCAGATTAAACGCTGTTCAGAAGAAGCACGCGTCAGCTACGAAACAACATAATCAACCGTGTATTGGAGCCCTACGTGTGTTTATGAACGGCAGCATCTTGCCGTTCGCGTTGTCTTCAGCAGTTTGGGACTATGCTGCGACGACGTGGCCACGCGCAGAGAATCTGGGAGACGGGAACGACTGTTTCTGGGAGAGGAAAAACACATTAAAAGGTCTGGGCGAACTAGTCAACACATAGTCAATGCCAATCAGAGCCACGAACGCTGAACACCTGAGAGTTGCAGTAAAATAAACGTACTCTGCGTTGTCGCCGAGGCCGGATATTTGATAAAAAGCAGTTGTCTTTGAGAAAATATCGTCTGAAGGTCGGTGATGTCACCTGCCGGGCTTTGCTCTCTCCTGCAGGGACCCTGAAGCATGTGCGAGAGAAGAGTTTAGCGCTGATCACCTGCCACACCACTAGCGGCCGGCAGCCAGCGTTCACTGACAACGGGGGCTTTACCCATCACTTTAGACTGTTCAGGGTAAGCTAGTCAAACGATTTGGGTCATTCCCTCGGCATCCTTTTTATCATCTGATGCACTTAAATAAACCTTTTGGCTAGAAGCACGCCGAGTTTATCTGATAGAAGGGCTGAATGGGCGAGTTTGGCGCACCATTTCCATTTGGAGGCTGCGGAAAGCAGTACCGGTGGACTGGTTCGTCGTCAGAATCCGCCTTTTCTTACTCAGCATGCATGTACGATTCAACAATTCCATTAGAGTTCCCAACCAGTTACATTATGAAATGCCTAAACCCATGACACCACGTCAACCATGCGTTTCACATCCCCGAGGATCAATCAATCAAGCCTTTTGCTAGGCAACCTTTTTGAACCTTGGCTGCCCGCCTTGACGACTAAACATCTGCTTTCCAGTCATACGCCGTCCCATGTATCAAGTGAGTTTCCCATGCTTGGCGGTCCCGTGTCTCTCGTGATGGTCTACGCCTGGATGTGTTCCGGCAACCCTACTCATACGTAAAAAGGAAGAGATCAAATATATTACAGTAATGGTATAGCGAAGAAAAACCGGGTCGCTCCGCCGTCTAGCAGGGTTCGCGGCCCGATCAAGAAGTTGAACCGCTGCTGCATCAAACGATGTCGGCATTTCCTCGTAAACAGCCACAAGTACACACTAGGGGTGCACTTATGAGTTGGCGTCACGGTTGCTCTGAGAACTTGCGCTCATGGTCGGCTGGGATGTCGGCAGCACGTTCTTGGCAACCTCGGATTGGCGTACCTTTGCCCAGGCATACACGATGCCACTGACGAAACCAATGAGAATGGCAGACACGCTTCCCACAGTAACTGGTGCGGAGAAGAACACGAGACCGCTGATAGCAATGGGAAGCTTGTTCAAGGCTCCCACCATGGAGTATGTGGTCGAGGAGGTGACACGAATGCACCAGGCCGAGCAGTACGAAATGAATATGGCCGCCGTTCCTGAGTAGATCATCCCGAGGAACAGGGCATTTCGGGACTCGGGAGGGAAGTTCTTGGCCAGGTTCTCGCTCGACCAATCCTCAACAAGAAGCGAGCAGATGATGAGAACAGGGATAGTGAGCAGATTGTTGTAGAACATGGCTGCTTTCTGTTAGCATTATGTCTTTTGTTGGACCACGTCAGCAACTTACTGTCCCAATCCTTGAAGTTCATGTTTTTGATGACCTTGCGCATGCCCAGAATATACGATGCAGTGCAGAAGACGTTGAGACCCATCCAGGCATAACCAGCATTCAGAGTGGCCAGAGCAGCCGCAGCCTCGGGAGTCGAGCTGGCATGGGCGGTGTCGGCCCAAGCGGCAACGACGGAACTGAGCACCATGAGACCAAACGACAGGAGGGCCAAGGGGGTGACACTTCCACCGAACCATAACACCTCTCCGTAGGCAATGACGATGATGGTCAAGTTCTTGAAGATGGTGTAGACGGGGACGGACAAAAACTGCAAGGCTTTGATGCTAGTGTAGATCATGCCGACGAGGAGCAGTGAGATGGGGAACCACCGCTTTCCCTTGGCCACGTCGAAAGGGGCCAGGTTCTTAATCATGCCCATTTGCTTGCAGGCGAGGATGGTGACTATGCATACAACCGACTGCCAAGGCTGTTAGCTTCGAATGGGCCCAATGGCGATGCGATCTGGCATCAAGTGGTACTGTACCTGAACGGCGAGATAGAAGAAGTTCAGGTTCCACGCCGATCCTGAAACAACGTATTTATTCACGACTGTCATGCTAATGGACGACAGACAGTACGCGAGAACCGAGATAGGGGGGCTGTTCTCGATCTTGCTAATCGGCAGCGGTATACTGGTGTGGTGCGACGGCGTTCTCGCAGGTCGGGGTGGCATGAAGGGGTCCTTTTCCCTCTCGCCGTAGGGGCTGCGCGAGCCCGACACGTCGCCCATCCTGATGCTGAAGTCTTCGTTCTTCTTGTCCGTCATGTTGGCGATTGGGAATTTGAGAAAATCGGCGCGTTTCGAGAGGATTGAAGTCGCGATACGTGGTGGCGGCTGCCGAGGTGATGGGTTGGATCAAAGGCTCCTGATCGGAGGACGGAGAGGCTACTTTGCAGTTGTGGATTCCTAGTCTGGAAGAAAGGGGGAACAGCTTGTCAATCGGGGCTGATTGGAACCGTGGCACACGGACGCGTATTGCGGCACAGAACGGGCAATGCAGCGGAACGAAAGACACCAGAATAACAATTCTAACCGTAGGATAGTCACCAGTCTGACGGATGCAGTGAAGCACGAGACGAGTGGTGAAGGGGGGAATCTTCTGTCAAGTAGAAAACGAGTATCAGATGGAGACACTCGCGTGTCAGATCCCTAGAAGTCGAAAGCTTGGAAAATGGAGAAATTTTACGAGGTTCGGTACACAGTATTGGGCTGGTCTAACCATAAAGTAGCTAGCGGAGAAGTGCGCTAAAATTAACCAGGCGTGCCAGCGAGGCTCAGTTTCATGCATGAGTCTCGATACCTGCATGGGATTACAGAATAATCAATACAGCTGATGAAATCTCACTGAATATTTGCATGTCGTATATAGTCTGGCCAGCCAATTATGAGAGCTTACAAGCCGTGCTGACGTGATGAGCCATCTAAGCCTCTCTTGGCTTCCCCTGTAGATAACCTTTTGTTCCCAAAGGGAGGAAGCATTTACATCATCGGTTCCCACTCGGGCATGTTGTCTGAAGACTAACGAGCATTCAGCTCCCGGCCTGTCCAGGGGCGACGTGCTTGCCATCGCTACGTCTGTCACGTGCGTACGTGCCTAGAAGTGATAATGCCAAATGATTTCGAATATCTCTAGTTCAAGGACTCAACGCATCACTGAGGATATGTTTATAATTTCGCAGATCCCGGGTTGTATCAAGTAGAGTACCGAGCCGAGCATACATGGCTCCCGACATGTACTGAATGCAATATATGCCCCTTACGAGCCCGGGTAACGGGAAACTATCATTCAGTTAGCGCTCAAATATAAAGTCATTTTCCGACGTGGTTTCCAAAGATCCAATATCGTGACCCATCAAGTCATTGCCTGATCCTGAGCCTCTGTATTTGAATCCCCCGTATCTTCATCCCTCTCACCCTTTTCAGTCGAACCCTGAGCCTCGTCAGGGGCAACGGGGTGATGAAGATGTTTCCAGTCCTCGAGTTCTTCGGTGACTGAACGTAGCCGATCCCGTATACTCTCAATAGCATAACTCCCCAACACTAGCCTCAACGGCGGGAACGAGCAATGGCCCAGCTGCCACACCAGCTCAGCGCACTTGATCGCGCTCGTCGGCTGCTTATCTCCCAACCACTGCACCATCCTCTTCGCATGCAGCGCCGGACTAGTAGCCTGCGCATATGCCTCACTGGCCGGCTTGATGAGGAAGTGCCCCCACGTCGGCAGCGGGTTCGTCTGCGACTCAGACTCGTCCCTCCTAACCAAACCAGGCTCGACAAGCGACGCCTTGATATTGAACGCATCGACCTCATAAAGCATGGCCTCGACCAACCCCTCAACCGCGTACTTAGTCGCACAATACGGCCCCAACCCAGGGACTCCCAGCGCCCCACTTGTGCTGCTAAAAATGAGATACCTCCCGCCATTCTGTGAGCGGAAATAAGGCAGCGAAGCCTGGATGATATGCAGGGTGCCCATGAAGTTGGTTTCGAACTGATTGCGGATCTCGTGCTCGTCCTGGTCCTCGCAGGCGCCGATGACGCCGTAGCCGCTACAGTTGGCGACGATGTCGATGCGGCCGAAATTTTCAAGCGCGCGCTCGATAACGCGTCCCACCGAGTCGCGCGCCCGCACATCGCACAGCAGGCCCAGGCTGTTGGTACCCAAGTGCTGCGCCGCCATGTCCTCGGCGCTTGTCTCAAAGGTGCGGCCTACGGCCACTACGAGGTCACCGCGCGAGAGGGCGCATTTCACTAGGGACCGACCCATGTGGCCAGTGCCGCCGAAAACCTGGGGGATCAGTGTGTAAGCACAATGCATGGCGAGGTGGGAAAAAGAGGAGACCTCACGACCCATACTAACTGCTTCCTTGGTGCATTGGGGAGGGGAGGGTCGCAACTCGCAGGGAGGAGTAGTTTTGCCCGTGGCGCATCTACAACGATGCTTCCGGCTGGAGAACTTTGAGAAGCCTCTGATTCAACACTTGCGTCCATGTCTGGAGTACTCTTGAATTTGAATGCCACATGTTGAAGCTGTCGCTACGCGATTGAATGTGTAGAAAGGGGATTTGGTTCCACGGTTTTGTTCAAGTAGCGAACCCCGCTTATTACCAAGATGAGTAACGCTACTACGGCTATCTGGTCGGCACCTGACTGAGTGTCGATTTAACAGTAGAGAATGCTTCACTTTGTATGGGACATGATTGATGTGGAAATAACATGACTCAGAGCTTAGAAGCATGAGATGAGTCCATGTATCTGCCGAACATCAAAACTCATTCATTGCCAAGGAGCAAGTGAAGGAAATGTAGAAGTCGTCAATGTAAGGTAAGTACTTTGAAATGCCGTAAACCCTTAAAATTCCTTCATGAACCATCCTATGCATTCCCTTGCCTCCACCTTGACAACCAAGCCCGATCCCGTTTTCCCATGCCGTAACGTCGCTCATTCATCTGTCCATTTTGATTACCTCCTGGTGCATGCGTTTTCTCAAGCCCCTTGCTTGAGAAATTGAGTAATGTATTGCTTTCGGTACTGGTTGCCATCGAGCTCATCGCTCCTGTTGAGCGGCGTCCACTTGGGCTCCTCCTTGAATAGGCGCATGGCTTTGATGTACTGTTGGTGTGATTAGCAAATTCCCGCGTAACAACCACAGACCGATAACTCACATTGCTGGCATCCGTCGTAAATCTGTGATAGATACCCGCAGGCAGGATAATCAAGTCGTCCTACTACCTGATCAGCAACCTCCGTTCATCATAATCCCTCACTCCCATCCCCCCATCCTGAGCACAGAAAAAGCCACTTACCTTCTCTAGCTGAATCCGCACCCACTCATCATCCTTGCTCCGCACATCAAAATACCCCTGACCATCCCGAATATACCGGATTTCCTCATCCTCGTGCAAGTGCTCATGGAAGAAACTCTTGACCTTCTCCTCATAGACGTCGCCCATCTTCTCGGGGCTGACGGTGATCACATCGCGGTTCTTGTATCCGCGCTGCTCGGCCAGCTGGTTCACTCCGTCCAGCTCCGGGCATCGGTAATACAAGACGCCGAGCTTCTCCAGCTCCGCGGCGTCCAGGTCCCTACCGGCGTCGTGCGCATCGCGCTGGTCGCCCTGCGTTACCATGAGCAACTGGGCGCATTGGATTGCGTGATTGTGGGGTTGAAGTTCGTACTTACGGGCGCGTTGTCGTACCAGTAGGCTCTCATGTTGACTTATGGATGATGGGGGAAGGAACTTCTTATGTCTTACAGATGATCCAAGGTTTCTCAATCAGAATAACAGCAAGCGATGAACTTCAAAGGGTTTATCGTGCTGTAAATGACTCGATGAGAAATACTGAAGGCGGTAGATATCGCGAATTTCTGATAGGCCTAGAGGCAAAATAGAAGCTTGCGTTTTGCCCCACCAAAATTTTGTCAGATAGTTTGACAGCCCACGTGTTGACGTCGGTCTTTTCGGAACATTATCAATGAGTCGCATCCATTCCCTGGTAGTATTTTGGTCAGCTTCCTGCAGTAAATTTACGTCCGGGGAGTGTGACGGATGGTCAACACGGATCAGCTCGGAATGCTTCAATCCATTAACACTCTGTTACCCTTCAGCTGATTGAGCTATTCCGACTTCGCCCGAAGATGCTGCACTTAAATGAGTTCGGAAGACACCATCGCTAAAATTGTGTAATGGCGTTCACCAGCTGCCGCGCAACGGGCAAATTGATCGTGGTAAACTTGTGGTGGAATTCGTGTGCTTGGAATGACAAATGCCAGCATGAGGACCTTTAGCATTTTGATTTCGGTCCCCATAGAGATAATGCGGGCAAGTAAATTCCAATAAAATCATATATGAGATGGCTTGTGTAGCCAACGTTCGATTCGCAAGAGCTCGCGGCTGAGAAAAGTGCTGTCAAAAATTGCACCTACTAGATCCACGAACAACGCTGTTATCAATAATGCAATATGTAAGGGTATTCGTGCCGTGTCAGACTGCGAATTTTAACCAAGTTGCTCATTCATACCATCCCAAAACCAAGCCTGATAACTCCTCTGAGTGTCCTCAGTTGTATGCACCCTTGAACCACTCACCAAACGCCATGTAAAAATGTGGAGTGTATGACCCGCCACATTCAATGCTCAGATGCGACCATTCATCGAATCTCAGCTGCCGCCAATTCGGGCCCTCCAGCAACGGCAAACTCGTTGTCGATCACGGTCGCCGGTTCCTCTCTCCGTCTGCCCTCAAAGAGCCGACGCCACCAGTTGGGAGGGTCGAGTGGCCTTGAACCGTTGTGCATCGGAGGATACACATCTGTGAAGAAGTACCAAATGTGGCCAATAACCACACCCATGATCTCGTCTTTGGGGACCGTTCCGTGCATAACCAGGCTGAAACCCATCAACACCCACGGCAAGTACGGCGCCGTAAAGACCATCAACCCCAGGAAACTAAGCCTAGTCTCTGGGTTCCTCCGCGACCAGATGTAGACCAAAGTCGATGACAAGGGGTGGCCCAGGAAAGGCATGGAGACGAGCGGCGAGAGCATCAACAGGAATGCCGTCGAGTAAACAAGAAGCCAGGAGAAGTGCGCAGGCGATCGACCGGACGACTCTTCGAGGAGACGCGCGTAGCGTTGGAGGAAGTAGACATGGAAAAGGAGGTCGAGAGAAAAGGGGCCAAAGTACAGAAATGTCGTCAGTAGCCGCCAGTACTAGAGCGATGCGAAGTCAGCGCATCGTACGAAACAACAGAGGTGAAACGGGTTTCCGAGGGAATGGCAATCGTACCTCTCCTTTCTGAAACACTGTTCGAACGCTATAGAATAGCTGGAAAGGCGTCACCATCTGGCATTGGACCAGCGCGCTTGTCAGGACTGTTGCAGTTGTCCACCACCGTGTGCAAATGGGCATCTCCCAGAACCAAGCCTCGAGAGGGTTTCTGCCACCGTCACCGGGAATCATTTGATCCATGGTTGCAGAACGCTCGGATGAACAATCGGGTACGCAGTCCTAGTGGAGGAATCAATCACTGAAATATCGATAACAAAGACAAAAAATGTGAAAGGGGGAGTTGGCGACGGCTAATATGCAAGGCTCTCCTGATGATTTGATGATCTGGCTTCTATGGTGTTGACAGTTGACAGCCTCATTCGCAACGTCAGCACTTCACTTAGTGAATCGATGGCGACCCCTCGCGCCTCGCTACTTGCACAAATCAATCTATTCCGCGAAGCAAGTGGGTCTTTAATCAGATGATAAGTCACCGAACACTCCGTGCTTTCCTGCGAGGCTGAAAGATCAGACGCTACAAGTTAAGAGCGACAGGTTCCGGGTACCGACTACCGGCATAGCCCAAAGATGAGTTGCATCGAGGATAGCTTGCCGCAGGTACTAAAACTCCTTTCAGGGCAGCCATGGATGAAATGATTGCGTAAGGGGGTGTATGACTCGGTATCTCACCCTTCGAGGCAAGTTTGGTCGGTTTGAGGTGAGCACTCCAGCCTCATTGAGGCTAGTGGCAGCTTTAATTGAAGAGGCTGGGTAATGGGTAATTAACGCGTCAAATGGGGAAACTGCGACCGCGTTTCGCGATGCGCCAGGGAGCAGCTGCGCAACCAGCCACTCACTTTTCTGCGCATTCTTCTCCCTCTTGAACTGTTTTTCACACGCATCCGAAAACTTCTATCTGAAGTGCATTTCTAATTCCTTCTACTACTGCATGCCACTTCCTTCAATTTGAGCTTATCTAATTGCCGACCTCAGTCTATCCTTACGATAATCAATTCAGCTTGTCGCATAGCATTGGATCACTAGTATCGACTTTCGCCTGGTCGATGCTCGCGCGCTCTACTACGAAGCTTGTCGCAACCACCAATTGGAGCTCTGCTCGCAAAAGCCACACTGACCTTCACTTTCAAACAACTCTTCGATGAGGAGGTCGTCTGTTGGCGCCGCTGGCGGGAGGGGCCACGGGCGAGGAGGAGGGGGAGGAGCAAGAGCAAGTCGAGGCGGCAAAAGGGCATCAGCAGCCCAACGTAAGTCTCGAGTTAGCCATCCTATGCTAAGGACTCAAGTAACTGATTCGATCTACAGCGGGGGACCCAGTTCCAGTTGGTCGCAAGAGGAGATATAGACCCGGCACCCTGGCGCTTCGCGAAATTAGAAGGTTACAGAATGGCACCGAGTTACTGATGAGGAAGCTCCCATTTTCACGCTTGGTATGTCCACTGGGTCAGACCGCTATGAGGTGATGATTGTGCTAACTTACTACAGGTCAGAGAAATCGCATTGTCGTTTCGACCAAGGGATGATGGTATGCGCTGGCAGTCGCAAGCGATTATGGCCCTACAAGAAGCCGCCGAAGCGTTCCTTATCCATCTTTTCGAAGACACGAATCTTTGCGCAATCCACGCGAAACGAGTCACGATCATGCAAAAGGACATCCAATTGGCAAGGCGGATACGCGGCGTATGGGGTGGGATTGGCTAAGACGATGCGATAATTGCTGGCACAGCATCACAGCTGCGCAGCTTGCGGGTTGAGGTGGTTGAGGCGACTTGTTACAATCGAACGGAGCTATATATGCTATTGGACTTTACAGCGAAAGGAGTTTTCATGGCTGGCATTTTTGGCAGATCCCAGATGGCGTTTAGGAATTTGTGCAAATAGGGTAGGCTTTTCAGTCAGCTCTTGATACCATATTTTGTTCTGCTGGGGGCGAACAGCTTGTTTCACACATTGGAGAATCTAGACGTCGCTACACATTTTGATTTTACTGGGTCTTGCCCACGGACATTTCATCTCCCTTGCTGTGACTAGATGCTGGTTCTTGTCAAGGATGTCAGCTTGAAGAATTCGCATTCGTTCGTCAATGGGGGAAGAAAGGAAAGGAAAGGAAGAAAAGCAAAATAAACCCTCGGCCAAATTGCCTAAAATCTGTTACTCGCCCACAATAATGAATAACCTCCATACCCTGTCTTCATTTGCTGCTGTCGTTGTCCAGCTATCTTCAAGACTACAATCCATGTTTTGGGACAGAAAGGACACTGAAAGTAGTGAAGTAGGCGCCTGGTGAAGATAACTGAAATACACAGATCACCTCTAGACTTAGAGCAATGAATACGCTCTATACGCCAAATAGATCACCTGTATTTGTCCGTCCATTGTCTTGAGAATAAACCGTCCCGTCTTTTATTCTCAAGGTCAGCCTTACGTGTCCATATTAACTAGAACGAGAAACAGAGGTATTCGGAGAAAAGAGTACAAGGAATTTGCCTAATTCGTATTTGGTCTTTCTCTGGCTAACATGCCCATGACAACCCTTGATCTAGTGTTGGGAGGGTGTAAGTCAAAGTGGCCTGTCTATGTCTGTCGGTTGGACTATTTGTTTGGTTCATAAAGTCGATGAAAGCGACATATGCCGGTGTACAGTTAAAAGCATGCTACAGAAGCAATGGTTTTCTGAAGCAGAAAAAAAAGTTGTTTATTACGTGGAGCTTGGGTACGGAGGAGGTCCTGTAAATTGTAGAGCTCAAAGATGAAGTCGGGAAAAAGGTGGGGTTCTTGCTATTGAGTGTTATCCGTTTCCAGCACACTGGATATGCATTGGTGGCTAGCCACAGAAACTACAAGCTAGCGGTAAGCGCATTGTACGTAACGCTAGTATGTGATGTCATGTTTAGCTCCTGCAACACTCGTCAACTCGCACTGACAACGAGAAGCAGATTCAGCTCTCAGGTCAACCATAGTCACACCAGCGGCAATTGGCTTTACACAAGGCTCAAATACCTAGAGAGCCTCAGCCAAGAACAGGCATTACCAATAATGTCAGCTCTCCTCATGTCCCGCACCGCCCTCCGGCGTTCAGCGCTCGGCGCCGGCATCAGTCTGTCCATCGGCTCGGCCATGGTACTCACACAGCCCAAGCTTCGGATGGACACTCTTGCAACATCGCGTGCAACCATATCCACCAAGTCCGGACCTTCGAAGGAAAGGCTGGATCCCGACGTGATCAAGCAGCTGTCCAGCGGGAGTATGACAGGTAAGGGTCCCTTGTGGTGGAGTATTCAGCCGTGGGAGCGCAAACTGACAAGCTCGGAAGGTTTCCTGGCAGGGTTGCTCGTAAGCGTGTTTTCAAAGGCACTGGTGCTACTCATGGGTGTTTCTTTTGTCCTGGTACAGGTAAGTTGCTTTCGGAATTTGATATCAGTGGTACCACGCAAGTTAATAACTGGTTCAGGTGGCTGCGAGTTACGGTGTTGACCTGATAGGGCAGCTCAGAATGAAGCAACAGCTGCAAGAGTCGAAGGTACTGGCGGCACTACGGAAAAACCCGACTTTCAAAGTATCATTCGGGCTCTTCTTTGCCGCATCGGCATTTATGAGTTTCTAGGCTAAAAGTAGGAGGCCAAGAATTGCAAGATAATAATACTAAGTCGTGTCTAGTGCTTTGCACTGCTGCTCCACCAGAAACACGAAACCGACATTGCTACAAATGTTTGACGCCCAGAATGTGTACATGCTCTTTGCCCAAATGCCAATCATTGTGACCAAAATGAACAGTGGTCAATCTAGGCCATAGTCCTTCAAAACTCGACACTAGACTGACATAGGACTGTTAGCCAAGAGACAAACATCATCATATCCAAGAGGATATAACTAGAATGGCTTTGTTGCCTTCTCCAACCATGCCAATGTGAGTTTGTCGTCCGTGAAGTATGTATGAGTCTTTGCCCAAATGTCGGCATTGTAGTCGTTGAGCCACTTCTTCTCCACATCCGTCAGCAGGCTGGTGTCGATCAGGCTACGGCAGTACGGTACCATAGTAACGTGCTCGAAGCCAAGGTACGGCTTGTCACCGAACGAATGCTTTGTCTTCACTTCTCGGACCATGAAGATGTTCTCGATACGGATGCCGAACGATCCGTCCTCGTAGAAACCAGGCTCGTTTGAGATGACGTTACCGGGTGCCAATGCTACTTCGGAATATTGGACGCGGGTACCGATACCAATGGGTCCTTCGTGGACGTTGAGGTAAGAACCAACGCCGTGGCCAGTTCCGTGTCTGTAGTCAAGTCCTTGTTGCTATCAAGGTGTCAGTGGTCCTCTTCGATACTTCGTGAATAAAACAAGACAGAACAAGTCCTCTGTCAATTGTTGCTGCGATTTGGGAGCTTACCCATAAGTATTGACGGGCCAGGCAGTCCAATGCAAAGCCCGTGGTACCCTTGGGGAAAACTGCCAAATCCAAGGCGATATTGCCTTTGAGAACCAAAGTGTATGCGTGGATTTCAGCTTCTGTTGGGGTTCCAAAGTGAAGGGTCCGTGTCGTATCAGTTGTGCCGTCCAGATATTGGGCTCCAGAGTCGCAGAGATATACAGCGTCGGGGTCAATTATTGAGCAATTCCCCTTCTCCGGCTTGTAGTGTATCACTGCAGCATTTGCGCCAGTTGACGAGATCGTGTCAAAGGACAGACCGACGAAGTCCTTCTGCTTGGCGCGAAGTGACTCGAGTTTGTCGGCAGCCGTGACTTCATCCAAAGTTGCCTTCTTTGTGATCAGTTGATCCTCGAGCCACGCAAAATACTCAATCAATGCAGCACCGTCTCGAATGTGGCATGTTCTCATGCCTTCCAGCTCAATTTCGTTCTTTACAGCCTTGGAATCACCGACTGGGCTTCTGATTTCCTCCACCAGCTCGTCGCCTCCCAGAGAGCGCTTTAGGGCCCACGACGCTCTGTTAGAGATCAAAAACTTCTGGGACTCGCCGGCTTCTTCGCTTATGTTGGCTTTCGCCGCCTCTCGCAACGCCACAGTATCATCAAAGATGGTGTCGTATGGCTTGATCTCAACACCGTTGTCCCCGAGATATGTGTGACACCCATTGCTCAGCTTAGATGCATCAACGTACAAGGTGGCCTTGTCAGCCGTAACGATGGCGTAGGAGAAGAACACGGGGTTATAAGGGATGTCGTTTCCTCGAAGGTTGAATAGCCACGCTATCTCATCAAGCATGGAGACAACAAAGCCAAGCGACTTCCTCTTTTCCAGCTCTTTTCGGAGGTCGGTCAACTTGTACTTCACATCCTTGCCGGCATATTTATCATCCAGATGAATTACAGCCTCACTTGGTCGGGCTGGTCTCTCGCTTGCCCAGACGGCGTCCACCAAGTTGTCTGGGATAGGTACCAGCTCCTTGCCTCCACTCTTCTTGATCTTCTCGGCAAGCTTCTTTGCTGTACCTGCGGTCAGAAGGGTAGGGTCGACGGCCACGACCTTGCCCTCCGCCGACTGCTCGGCAGACCATTCCTGCCAGGTGGGCACATCCTGAATTCCTTGCTTCAAGAGAAGCCAATTGTCATCCAATTGCTTGGAAGCCTGGTTGAAGTACCGTCCATCCGTGGCTAGCGCAGCTTTGTCGTGCGTAATGACGGCGCAACCAGCCGAGCCCGTGAAGCCAGATATAAACTCTCGGCGAGCGTCACAATGCGCGATGTACTCCGAGGAGTGTGCATCTTCGGACGGCACAATGTATACATCGACCTTGTGCTCTGCCATGAGCTTTCGAAGCTCAGCCAGCCGGCCGGAAGTATCGACTTTCTCCATTTCGATCGAAGTAGCGCGGTAGAATCGAAGTAGGGGTGTCGTGCGAAGAACCGAGAGCGGCGTATATCGAATGTGGCTAGATTGGGTGAACGAAGTCTTGCGGACCTGCTGCGTAAACGCGAGTCGAAGGGAACGGGTGGACAAGGCCGATAGAGGCCGAAGAATTCGCATCGGCAAAGTTCTAGCTGCAGTCACCTGCAATTGCACTTGCCGCCTGAGGAAAGCGCGTTGTATGTTCCATGTAGCGAAACCCAGTTAAAGCCATGAACTGAGCAGGTGGAGCGAGCTTCCGCCCGCAGCTTCCTCCAGACTTGGACATGTGCATGAATTGACTGGGCATGGAAGTAGCATCATATGTAGCCACTGTAATTGCAGATCTGCAAGACCTGAGGAATTGAAATAACTACTTAAGTACTGCGTGGGATAGCACAGGCTCATTTACTCTGAATCGAAGCGCTCACCGCAAGCGGGTATTCGCTGGTATCCAACCCGTCCAGTTTCCTCTCTAACACACAAAATGTTCTTCCAAACGTGGTAAAGTGAATCAAGTTGTGAGTACTATACTTCACTCGCCAAAATACAACCAGTTATCTGCCGGTAGTTATCGCTGGCTGGATCTATTAGTTTGGGCGTTTACCATCATCTTACTCAATAATGACGGCTTCGGCGGCTTTAATAGTACACAAGTACCGCGGGGTCCTCTGCCCCACCATGGATGACTGGTGCCCACCGTGCAGCGAAGTCGCATTCCAGCTTGGGCAGACCTAAAAACAACTCCAAGGGCGATTCTGTGCCTAAAGCCATGACTACCAGCACAGTGGGATGCCAAGTGAATCTACAAATTGACAGTAATCGACGTTTCAAAGATCCACCAAGATTCGGAATGACCTGAATCAAGGCTCGCTTCATATCAACCTGATATGGGAATTTGGGATTGTGCTTCCTTGCCGAGATTGAACCTTTTACCTGCTCAACTTGCTTTGTTCCTTCACTACCCGACTGTCATTGCTTGCATATACCTTGGGGTTCACGCTATTTCCGGCAGTAAGAGCGACTCACACACCACCTCCTACGTGTATTACAATTTCTTCCATCTCGACAATAATGGATGGGAAAGTCCACAATCACAGTGATGGACGAAATACCTATGCCAACTAGCCTTCAAGAGGTGGAACGTGTGGGTGTCTCCCTTGACCATCCTAGCTTGGGCTTTCTGACACATTAGCAGCTGGTGAAGACGCTTTATGAGCCCAACTCGGCTCAGACAATATTTCAGGTCCAGGAGGTCCTTCAAAGGCTTCAGAAGTCGCCCGAGGGATGGCAGCTAGCCGAGGGTCTGCTCAGTCGCCCAGATGACAATCTGAAGTTTTTCGGTGCGCTCACCATTATCGTGAAGCTGAACACCGATGAAATAGATAACGATGGTGCGCGGTCCATCTTGCAGAACATCATCGCTTTCCTCCTTGAATCGTTGGACAACGGATCAGGGGCTATCGTTATCAGAAAACTGTGCTCCGCCCTCGTCACACATTTCATCCACTTCTCCCACCTCTGGCCGTCGTGTGTCCGGAATCTGTTGTACTGCTTGCAGCTCAACGAAAGCGTAGCAATTCAGGATGTGATCCAGAGTGGCAAGAATGTGCCTCCAGTAGCTGGGATGATTGCAGCACTGAACCTGCAGATGACTGTGGCTGCGACATGGTTCGCGACATCGCTGGCCGAAGAGGTGGCAAAGACCGATGCGAAATCGACAAAGTACATCAATCTGCATGAGCGTCTCTTAGAAAACTCGCAGGATGTGGCAGCGCTATTGGCATATTCGATTTCAAATTTGGCAGGGTCGCCGGCGCAGAAGGAGTCGATCGGCTGTTTTCAGGCCTGGGTCATGTACGGTCAGCGAGTACCTACGGCACAGTTGATAACGAGTCTTCGTCCTCTGATACAGCCTGCCATAAAGTGCATTGCTTTCAGTGCGCTATACGAGACCACTGTCGAGCTATTGACTGATGCCCTGAATAACTGGACAAACATATTTGCCCATGAAGATTACAAGGCGCTCTATTCTCTCTTTGAGAGCGACTGGTCTAGAGAAAGATACCAAAGACTCTTGCAGGGAGACTTTGATTTCGACTCTGTTCAGTTTGGTCTATTTATGGTTGCATTTGGCAGTGCTCAGATCTCGGATTTGATGGAAACGCCCAACAGTGCCTTCTTGGAAGCGCTTGTTGGCTTGCTTTCAGCGCAGGGCTATGCCGTCGCTGAAGACAAGATATTCGTCCCAGCTCTCGAGTTTTGGTCCGAATTCGTCGAGACAGTTGGCGATGAAGTCGATTCCGGATCAGCCGACTGGAAAATGCAAACGCTGTCAACTATCATGCAAGTCGTATCTCACTGTTGGCGAAAGATACAGTATCCACCCATCAGTGACTTCAGCTCCTGGGATTCGACTGAACGAATTGGCTTCGGTGATGCTCGCAAAGATGTTGCGGATTTGCTGCAATCTGTATACACATTTTCTGGTAAACAGTTGCTCTCATTGTTCGCGGACCTGACCCTCCAGGGTCTCTCGAGCATGGCTTGGGCAGAGTTAGAAGCTGCTGCTTTTTGTCTCGGCTCGCTTTCTGACTGCATTCCGGACGATGGCGCTTGCGACGACGATCTGACCACAGTATTCGGCTCACCCTTGTTCGAGCTGCTGCGGGAAGGTCGGTCTACGGTGCCAGTTCGAGCCAGGCAAACTTGTCTCTCTTTGATAGAACGCTATACGGACTACTTTGAGCGTCGTGCTGAATTTCTACCAGCAGCACTGAACCTCCTCTTTACGGCCGTTAACGAGCAGCACCTGGCTGGCCCTTCGGCCAAGTCGATATACAAACTATGTTCGTCTTGTCGCGGGCTTCTCACGTCTGAAGTAGACGCTTTCCTAGACCAGTATGCATCGCTGCGCACGAATCCAAACTTGGACTCATTGATCGAGGAAAAGATTGCCGGCGCTGTTGCGTCGATAATTCAAGCGATACCAGAAGAATCAAGACGATTTGATGCCTTCCGACGATTACTCCTGTTGATTGCAACTGATGTCGAGCAATGTCTGCAGCTGAAGGCGTATGATGGAACAGTAGATCCCAATGATCCTGTAGTCCTCAGAGCTTATGATACATCGCAGCGTCCTGAGGTACCCGTGGCTTCATCGGAAGTCTCCTCGCAAATCGCCGTACGAGCCTTGCGGTGTCTTCTTGGTACTTCCAGAGGTCTACAGGCACCGTCGGAATCGTTGATAGATCTGGAGGCAGAAGCTAAGGCAGCTTTGCCTGTGAACCCTGACTTGGAGCAGATACAAAAGAGCATAATCGGCATTCTTGATCGCCTCAAGAATACATTTGCCGAGAGCAGCGAAACACTGGTATGTGCTCTCCAGTCGGGGCATGACCGAAATTATCATCATTCATCTGCTCCGAGACGACATTGGCTAACCGTGACGACTCTTTAGGGTGTGATTTGCTCGATACTGCGGGCTGGTTTCTCGGAGACAGAACCAGGGCCGTTCGTGTTCCCACCTCAGATGGTGACGGACTTTCTTACGAGCCCCTGGCAAAACAGAGTTGCATCAGCAGTTTACACTGCAAACGTCTTTGTGAGCTCTCTTCATAACGGGAGCAACAAGAACCAAGAGGCGGAAGCCATTTCACAATTCCTACCATGGGCCATCAGCCTTATACAGCAACTTGCAGGTAATTTGGGTCTCCGCTGGGCTTTAGGATACGTCCCCATTATTTTCCTTCGGTTCTTGTCTGCTAACACAATTTCCCCGGCTGATATAGATCCTGCCGACGACCCCGAGTTGGCTCAGTATGTCATCGAACTCGCACAGCAAGCGATGACAAAGCGGCCAGATATCTTCATGCAGCTGCAGCCGACAAGTTCACTTGAGTACCTATTCATGTTCTCAATCAGGTTACTGAATGGCAGCGAACCATTGCCGAAATTCGCAGCTGCAGACTTTTGGGTAAAAGAAAAGATGCCTCCCTTCCTGTGCACTTACTAACTAGAATCAGACGAGTTTCATAACGCTCAGGGCCCCGGACGAATGCACCAATACGGCAATCAATAGTGCCTCGACCCACCTGGGCCCAATCCTCTCAAAGTCTCTCATACACAATGTCGGAGGCAATGCATCACGTAGCGAGCTGGATAAGCTCAGTGATCCGCTCAAGAAGATGGTCGTACAGCATGTCAATGCGCGGCATTGGTTGGAGGCAGCTCTGGGTGATGCGGCGTTTCCCAGTACGAAGGTTTCCAGCGACGATAAGGCCTTATTCTTGAAGAAAATTCTCAAGTAAGTAGGCCCATTCCAACATATTGGTGATAGGCTTCATGCCGAATGTTTGGACTCGAACCTGACCTTTCCAGCCTTCGGGGATCGAGAGCAACGAATCAGGTCATTCGCGAGTTCTGGCTCTCTTGTAGAGGATCTGATTTTGCATATGCATCATGAAGCAGGGAGCGGGGTTGGTTATAAGGAGCACGACGGCATAGAAATTGGTGTTATGCGCACTATGTGTTTGGGTTGAGGGTCTGAATGTTCATGAACGAGGTGTTCTTTGGTAATACTAAGTCAGAAATTCTGCCAACTGTTGTCCAGAAACCCTCTCGAGAGGCGGCATAACCCTGATGTCCATTCCCAGACGTGGAAGACTTTCTAGTGACCCCTCAACGGCCTACACACGTCGCAATACTGCTGGTCCTGTACGGATTGGGGTGGGTATTGTTGAGCCGCTATGAAGGATAAGGCAGCTACTACTTCCAGTCCCCCCAATCAGTTTCCGAGGTTCGGCGGCAGTAGAGCGACTGAACATGGAATAATCAGAGAACAACCACTCACTGACCATTACCATCACTTCTGGCCACCGCCGGTGCCACTCATACAACGGCTTGTGGAATGCCATGAAAGTCGGCGTTAAGTTAGGTCATTCTGCAAATGGCTTTCACGCTGAAATAACCACTCTGTGTGCCTTCCCCTCGGCGGTTTCCCCCATAACCATGTCGCTTCTGTCTTCGCTGGATGAGATCTCCTCATCACTACTAGGATCTTGAGAAAGACGACGTGCTTTCTTGGTACTGTGTTGATATCAGTATACTTTCCATGTTCAAGGCTTAAGCAACGTACTCTCGTCGGTGCAGTAAGATAGCAGTCATGAATCCGGTCCAGAGAAGAATGTAGAAGACCATCGCCACGGGCCAGCCGTGACTCCAACGTGGAGCACCGTTGGGGCCAGCTGTGGGGAAGAGGAGAAGGGGAACCCAGATGTTGAATGAGTATCCAAAAGTCATCATTGAGCCCTGGAATCCCCATTAGTAAATTACTTGAGCGAGTCGCATCAAGCTGGTTCCTCTTACTAATATCAGTGCCCTTTCTTCCGCATCATCCTTGACAATGGTGTTGACGGTGGAATATAAGATCGGACTGGAACATCCGGCGAGTCCGAAAAGATACCACGCCACGAATCTAAGGTAGAGAAAGGTCAGCAGATGAGACAAAGGGCGATGTGGAATGACATACTTTAGGGCCTTGGGTATTCTCCAAATGGTCATGCATATGGTCGAGAAAACGACTGCGCCGGACTGGACTGTGTATATCGTCCAAGCTGGGTAAATAGCAGCCAGTGTCGTTCCCAGCCATGAAGCAACGATGTTGATTGCATTGATGACCGTTGGGAGCTGGTTGATCTTAACGACCGAGTAACCCTCGGCCTTCAACCAGAGATTCATGTATCCACTGGGGTATGAGGAGATGATCATGCAGCTGCGATGCGTGAGTTACGGTTCAAGACCAACCCGGGGTTTTCTCACCAGTAACAGAACACGAAAACCCAGATATGCCAGCGGCGAAAGCTTCGCTTGAAGACATCCAGGCTGAGCTTCCCGGGCTTTTTGACTTCAGCCTTCTTCATTCTCGCCTTGGCAAGTGCTATATCCTCGTCGGTAAAGTAGAAGACCTTGTGCGAGTCGGGAATACCGGGGAAGAGGACGAAGCCGGCTAAGGCGACTGGTATTGTGAAGACACCATCAATTATGAATAACCATCTGCGTAAAATTATCAGTCTGAGTCAACATAAGGCGATTGCGAATATCTCACCTCCACCCCGGCATACCGGCTACGCCTGAAAGGTTGGTGTAAGCTGCTGCTTGCAGGTACCCGCTGATCATTGACCCCAGGGGGTTACAGATGAACCAAGCTCCCGCTCTCTTGAACAACTCTGGTCCGCTGTACCAGGAACCTGCGCAAGGTCAGTGATGAAAGGATAGTGTGGAGTCGATCGAGGAAACGCACCCAAGATAAAGTGAGTGCCCGCAAATACTGGAGCTTCGAGCATGCCGACCAGAAATCTCAACGCGTATAATTGGTGGACATTCGTAACACGAGACTGGGCGAAAGTCAAGATTCCCCAGGCAATTTCGAGAGCGGGAAGCAACCAGCGGGATCTGGAGTGGTGAATACGCAATCAACGAACTACACAAGTTTCCTGGCGTTTAATGTACTTACAGTTTCGGCCGAGAAATAAGGAGTATGAATGGTACTTGGAAGATGACATAAGCCGTAAAGTATGCTACGTTGAAGTAGTTGAGTTCGTTGCCGTAGAGGCCAAGGTCCTCTTTGAGACCCGAAGTGTACGCATTGCTGATGTTCGTTTGGTCTGCACGGATTACTTCAACAGCTTTTTCCCGGGAGAAGGGAGTTTCTACAAACCGAGATATTTCACAAAGACTGCTTCTTGTTAGTATTCCTCGCAAGTTACGTTATCATGGTACACTTACAGCACAGGCAAGCAAAGACAAGGATGGACAAGTCTAGCTTGAACAGGAGTCTGTAATTAAGATTCGGTCAGCTTGATTTTGACTTTCAAGCCCATAATATTGCACTTACTTTCTCTCCGCAGCAGGATAATCAGAAGGATACCAATTAAATATTTCCTTTACCAATTTTGGAAATGTCAGTCTCTCTCGTTTAGCTTCCGCCATCATTATAGATTGTCAGAAATTACTGGCTTACAAGTGCAGCTCTCAAAACCAAGAGCAGCTTCTGTTTATATAACATTATCCATGACCGATGAAATGATGCCAATTTATTCGTCCGAGAGCTAAACACAGAATACTAACTAAGTTATCCGGGTATGTGTTCTCTGAACGTCACATCGTGTGCAAGATACTGGACTTTTCTGATAATTGCCATGCCCCCACTGAGTGTCACCATACCCTTTAACCTCAACTTGGCCTAGAATACATCTAATATTGTGCAGGAAAATCGATATGCATGGGATGTACAGGGTGTATACTCACGATGACGGCGTTGCCTCATGCAGCTGTGATGTCTTGCGTGCCACCATCCCCGCATGGCGTGCTCAACCGCACATCCAACCCCCTTAAAAGCACATATATTAACACCTTGAGCTCCACCTCAGCACTTGATGACAACTTCTTCCCTTTAAATGGATGAGTTTGATTGACTGATGCAGTTCCTCGGTGATAAACATGCATGTGATTTATGGAGACAAGTAGCACTTGTCCTCGTCGCGAGTCCATCAACCGAGGAGAAGCACACCTTTATGACTCTTGACTGGTGGTGATTGGGTAAACCGCTTAGCATTGATGTGTGCCTCCAATGATGATGAATACCGGAGCCGATGAATGAAGCCGGATTTGCGTGATCTTCTCCTCTTTCTAGTGTGAAACTGCTGAGCAACCCCACGCTGGGTGTGGCACACAACGGGAAATATTTCCAACGAGACAGTAGATATAAGTGAGTATGTATCCAGAGCTTGAATGACAGGCAGGCCAGAAATATACTTTCAAGTTCAGTTCACAAATAGCAACCACCATCCTCACCAACAACCTATACCATTAAAACCCATTACAACACATCAACCGCTGAAAACTCTAAAATGCCAGGAAAGATTCTAGAGAAATACGAGCATGTGCCCGTAACAAAGGAAGATTGTAAGTTTGGGAATTCTTCGTCATCATTCAAGAGCTCTACTGACTGAAACAAGTGGACTGGGCTGAGCTCATCACTCTGGACTTGAGTTTGTACGAGCAGCCAGGGGGCAAAGAAGAGCTCGTCAAGCAGCTCGACCACGCTGTGCGCAACGTCGGCTTCTTCTACGTCAAGAACTTCAACATCAGCCAAGATGAAGTCGATCAACAGTTTGCTCTCGGTCGCGAGTTCTATGGGCTGCCCCTGGAGGAGAAACTGAAATATCACAATCAGACCGATCTGGAAAGCGGTGAATACAACGGCTACAGACCGGCTGGTCATCGAATGTGCGTGATTTCAACTTCGAAATGCCTAGCGTGGCTAATATAATTGCAGTCTCGGCAATGGAATTAGGGACAATGTCCAAGTTTACAACATCCCCAAATTCGACGGCTACCACCGACGCCAGCAACCTCCGGTGTTGGCCAACAGCATCAAGGAAATTGAAGCTTTCAGCCGAGTAAGAACCTCCCATTTGGTATGGCCTAAACCCCTAACTAACACTACGTAGAAATGCCACGACGAAGTCGTAGTGAAACTTCTCCGCCTCTTCGCAATTCTCCTCGAGCTCCCAGACGAGGACCAGTTGGTCAAGGACCACCAATACGACGTCAAGGGCGAAGACCATCTCCGCTACATGCACTACGCAGCCCGAAGCGTTGAAGAAAACGAGAAAGTCGGCGACTTGTACAGCCCTGGCCACACAGACCTCGGCAGTATCACACTGCTCTTCCGCCAGCCAGTCTGCGCCCTCCAAATCCTCAACTCCCAGGGAAAGTGGAAGTGGGTTAAGCCTCAGGACGGCACCATCACTATCAACACTTGCGATGCGCTTACGGCTTTGACTGGCGGTCTGATCAAATCGAGCGTCCACCGCGTCCACGCACCTCCGCCCGACCAGGCGCATGTTGATCGCTTGGGTGTGCTGTACTTTGCACGGTAAGTCACCCCATGTAAGCACTCTTCTATTTTTACTAACCAACGTCAAACAGACCCAACAACCATGTGGTGCTTGACCCCATTGCAAACAGCCCCGTGCTGCAGCGTCTGGGACTGACATCCAATGCGTTCACGGAATTGGGACAGCATTTGACCACTGAGCAGTGGGTCAAGGTCAGACAGACTCAACAGCAGCGGAAGACGAGGGAGGCCAAGGTCACCAAGGATGGAAAGTACAATTATGAACAGAAGGATTTGGAAATCATTCCGGGGCTGCATGCTACTATTCACAACTAGGGTTTTGCGTCCGGAGCAGTTGTCATGTACATATCTGCGAATTGCCAATGCAAACTGTTGTTACCACTGAATTGCAGGCTTGAGGATTCAAATTGCTCGAAGTGTAGTCCACAATTCCACTTGTTCAATCCTGAATGAGATTTTTCTTTTCATCTATGCCCTAGTGCTTGGATTCCAACAACTAGTATATAATCCCACCACTCGCCAACAGGAACAAACCTGTAATGGGTGATTTATACCACTATTATTGCGGTGCTATAGTTATTCTCTTCATATGAAGTGTCATTAGCATTCTCATACTTTTTCAACCATTCAAAGTCGAAGCGCTAGTATGTAAAACGCCAAAGACAAGACAAAAGAGACACAGGTGAAGTAAATAATGGTATGCTATGCAACAATAAACAAGCCAAGACTTTAATACCACCTCAAATTTGGTGCTTTTAATATTACACCAGGATGATATGATCGTACTGTAGAATACATATAATTTTCAATCAAAGCATCTTAGTGGTGATCGATCTATACCTTATCATCCTTTCCGGTATATCTCCCCTTTCTCTATCCAAGTTGCGCTAAAAATCTGGATTGAGTTCCTACTCTCTCGATTGCTGCTGCATCTCGCAATGGCATTAGTATCTCCACATTACGAACCATGGGAAAATGCCGACTTTCTACCCTGAGTTAAGTTGTTGTTGGACCGTGTTGCAAGGATCATGGAAAAGCAACGATAGAAGCGACTGGAACTTACCACTCTGGAATACCACCTCGTTGGACGTGCGTCTTATTGGTTCCGAGGCCATAGCGACGAAGTCAACCAAGCCGTGCGAGCTAAGCTCGAGAGACTTGACCAACACCCTAGCAGTTCCAGCAAGCTAGCACTGGACGAGTGCCGCACCACTCGTAAGACAGGTGCCATAAGTTTTCATAGGTGCACAATGGAACATAGCCGAGAAGGGTTGAAGATATCCCTAGTATGGAGATGGCAATACCCATTCCTCGAGAACCAGAAGCCGTCACAATATTTCTAAATTTGAAAACATTCTTCATTGATATTTCTGTAGTCGACTGAGCGCACATCTTATTACAGGCAAACTACTAAAATGTATCAACCGAGACCAGCCTGAACTCCTAGCTCCGCTCAATGCCGTGACTACGTCCCACTCAACCTCCAAACCATTATCCATCACGATCGTTTCTGGCCCATCTCTTCCAAGCCGGCATCATCCCAGTCTTCACCCCATTCGCCGATTTTCCGGCCAATATAGATGCCACCGGCGGTAACAACGCTGGCAAGCAAAAACCAGCCCTCAAACCACCTGTCCACGAACCCCGGCTCTAGCGCGCTTTCCAGGGCATCACTGACCGCGCTGCTGACCTCCTTGGGCAGATTGCTGCGTAGCAGAAGAGCGGCAGAGATGACGTAAATAGCGCTGATCTGTCCAATGAGTAATGCGAGGTTCGCCTGCGCCTGGTAAAGCAGGCCCGGCGTCCACTTAGCGAAGAGGTGGAAAGTCTGGAGGGCCGAGTTTGCGCTTGCGGCGAGGATCACGCCGGACAGGAGGAAGGATATCTGGCGAGCCCAGGCGATCTGGTCAAGCTTGGGGTCCCAATGCTTGGCGAGGAGGCCAAGCAAGCGGTTGATGGGGTCCGTGGAGGAAAAAGAGGCGGAAGGTGAGTAGATACGGCGGAAGGTAGCGAAAGTAGTCGCAAAAATGCGGTATACGCAGTACAAACTGAAGGCGTAGGTGGGTACGAGGAGGAGCTTGCCGATAGGTGTCGCCGCCTTGGCAGAATTTGCTTGCCGGGAGCGGAGTGTAGAAACGGCGTGCGCAAGGTTGGCTTCCATCGCTTCCAGGCCAGAGATCTCAAGTCGTAGTCCGCGGATCTCAGCCGCATCACCGCCACCGCGGATTGAACTGAACACTTTAGTGACTAGGCCAGGCTTCTCGGCAGCTGACGTCTCGGCGATTTTGCGCTGAAGGGTCTGTAGACGATGGCGCTTGGTAAGAAGCATCTCATTCGTGGCATCTAGTCCTGCTTGCTTCCGTGCAATGTCTGAATCCGTCACAGGTCGTCGCGATGTCGGGCTCCCAAAGGTGTGCCATGGCGAGGAGACTGACGCAAAGCCGGATAGCAGTGCCATGAGCGAGATGCCGATAACACCTATCCTCTCAAGACAGGCCCGCGCAAGTCCGCTTGAACTCTCGGTCGTACTGCGAGCCATATTCGCGCTGGGGTGCATGACGTCGCTGCCCACAGGCACGAGGTTCCCGAGGGACCAGAACCCAAACAGCCACAGTCCGAAAACTGCAAACTGGAGGACCCAGGCAGTTCTGGGAATGCGTCCCTTGGAGGTACGTTGAAACGTCCATCCCGAGCCAGCGACCACAGACTGCAATTCCAGGAAGGGGATAACCAAAATGAGGAAGAACAGCAGCGTAGGCACGGTGATCTTCAAGGCTGTTGCGCGCGCAAGCGGATTTACCAGCTCGGAGATCTCACACAATATCAACTCCGCCAACACGGCAGCTAATCCTACAGTCGTTGAGAATGCGGCGGCCGCTACCCGTCTGCGCAACGATTTCGAGCCGTGTTCCGCATGGGCCTGTTGCAGCGACAGCGGCGCATCGGAGGGCAGGAAGTGGTCTTCGCCATCGCGCGAGTTCTGCACCCGCGACAGCTGGGGGAAGATCTTCTGGTGAACGAGAACAGCGACAGCGCCGAAGGTCAGGATGAAGGGCGACAGGGACACGACGGTCGAGAGAGTCGAGGGGGCGAAGCCTGGCGCCGTACACAGGTCATCAGCGCAGTCGGAGGCGCGCATTGGTGATGGGTTTCGCGATTAATTGCTGATGTGGAGTACTACTGCCTAGGGTTGGTCTGAGAGCTCGCAATGTCATTTCACGAGCTGAACACCATGGCAGACTGCTTTGGAGGATAGTAGGGCGTAGGCTATTGCGGGCAGGGTTGCAAAGTGCAGGCCAACGCAGGCCACTTGTCTTGTTTGCGTGCTCCAGGTTAATTTAAGGTATTACTGTGCCGCCCGTGTTGAAACGAGCAGCGAGGCCAAGAATTCAACGCGGTTGCACAATCAAGATGACGACGGCTAATGCACGGTTCAGCAAGGAACCCCGAAGATAAGTTTTACCTCAATTAGTCTTAGTGGGATACGTATGGTAAAACTTAGAACCGTGGGTCTTGATGATTTCGCCGGAGTTTCCGAAGTATTGGCGGAGCTACCCTGGAACAGCAATCGGCGGTACCTAGTAGCTGTATATGTGGCTGAAAATGTTACTAAGCCCATGCGGACAGAAGCTTCAATCGCCCGAAAAAAGTTCATGCGCAACTTGGGATCCTGACGTGGAATCGTGAGCTTGCCAGACGATCCAGAACCACGCCTCAATATTCCGCCCCGCGTAGCAGGGAGAGAAGAGCTTTGGTGTTTTCAGAGTATGACTTCTTCCAGTAGAGGCGGCAATGCGGCTGCTGCTTTACTAAAAAGTCAGTGGAGAGCCCCGTTTGTTCCATGTACTTGGCCTTCCATTGCTAACTGAGCCTAATAGGGAGGCCAAATGTCTGTGCAAGCTGCAGAACGACCCAATTCCTGCGCCCATACTCAGCAGGCGCCGAAACATCACAGAAAGCTGAAGCAAACCCCCATCCACCCACAACCTCCTCTCGCAGAGACGAGTACCGCATCAAGTCGGGCATAATCCTGTCCCGGGCGCCCCTTGTTACCCGTGCCCTATCCCCCTTTGAGAACGCCTTCTTCTTCTACCAGAAGCGTCTAAATGAGCGGTTAGTTCTCCCCTTCCGCCACGAGCTCTTCTTCAAGAACGACACAGCGCCCGATCTGGACTGGCGAATCAAGTTCAACGAGCGAGGACAGCTGCCGGCGAAGGAATTGGGCAGATATTACCCTAAGGGTCGCAATGCGTGGAACGACGAGCTTCTGGTTGGCAGTACGTTAAGCGACGAGGAGAGGATACGGGAGATTCTCTTGAAGGATGCCGAGAACAGGGTCACGGAAGATGGCGAGGAGGCTCAGCCGGATGAGATTGTGCCGGTCGAGCGGCCAATGCCGAGGGTCACAGAGGCGGATAAGACGAACGATGTGAGGCGGTTGGATAGGAAGCTGGACAGGACACTCTACTTGGTTGTTCAGGCAAGTGATGGAGTATGGCAGTTCCCCAACGACGACGTGCCGACGTATGAGAATCTGCACGAGGTGAGCGACAATCCTGCAAATTACTTCGATATTGGTGCTGACGGCGATGAAAGGCAGCAAAGAGGGTCCTCGACACAGCAGCAGGCGTCAACATGAACACATGGATCGTGGGTCGCGTACCTGCTGCACATTATGTTGCTCAGCCTGAGTTCGATGAGAAGACAGTACTGAAGCGGCGAGGCGAGAAAGTGTTCTTCCTCAAGGGCAGGATCATGGCGGGCCAGGCGAACCTGAAGGACAACGCATTGGGGTACAAGGATTTCAACTGGCTGACGAAGGATGAGCTCAGGGAAAAGCTGCCGTTTCCCTATTTCCGCTCTGTGAGGAACATGATGGCGGATCGTTAGACTTGGGCAGCTACGCTCATAGGTCAGCCGCGTGTATTATACAGCTAAAAATGTATACAGGTATGTACTCTACTGTACTTTGCAATGGAAACTGTACCATGCAGACACTTCGTGTCATGACAGTTCGTGAGGAGGGACCAAGACGGGCACCATGTGTTCATCTTTTAGACGTGTGAAGCGGGCAAACGCGCGTTCGAAATCAAAGGCCAGATGACTGCAACCGGCTAGGTTTGTTCACTTCCGAGATATCGTGAGTGGAGGAGCGGCAAGGATCGCGATGGGGAGAACATGGGGAGAGGATACGCCTCCAAGAGCAGATGAGACACGACTACAATGGTCCAGGTCTGTTTACCTAGAGATATGGTGACGTAATGGTGTAGTGACGATAAGGATCAAGATAGAGGACGCGAAAACAAGAGCACAATGGGAGGACATCACGACAGGATCACCAGCGCAAGAATGATGATGGAGATCGATTTTCTTCTTCGCAGCCCCAGACAAGCTGAAGCATGGAATGAAAAAAAAGGTAAATCGCCAAAGGCGAGAAGGTTTCAAAATTGCCAACTCCACGGAGTGAAGAAGGACTTGGTTTGCTGAACGCCAAAACGCCAACACCAGCAACGCCCCTAGCCCACGAAAAGCACAGAAAACAACCGGAACTCCAAATACCTGAACGCCCCCAACCAAACTCCAGCCAAACACAAGAAAATAACCAGAACTCCAAACATCTGAACGCCCCCAAACAAACCCCAAACAAAAACAAGAAAACAGCCGGAACGCCAAACGCCAACTCCCCAAAGCAAGCAAACCTGAAGAAAACACCAAAGCAGAGGTCGAGCATCAAAGTGTGAGGGTGAATTGTCGAATGAGTATTTGAATGGCTCCAAGACCCGAAGGCCCCGACGCTCTCCAAAATCTGTAAGGTCAATTGGGAGGAGTAAAAGTGAATAAAGACAGGGAAAGTAAGTTGGACAAGTTGAGGGGGACGAAACGTGAATGAAAAAGGGGAAAGTAAGTTGGGACAAGTTGGGGGCGAGCGGCGGGAAGACCTGTATTTATGCATGGGAAATGGCAGAAGGCGGTGTGGCTGATTGCGAACTGCAATTCCAAAATGGGAATTCTGCCGCTTCAAAAATCAGGCAGCGAGGTTGCTGATTTGATTTTTGGGAATTCCAAAAATGGTTGCTGGGCTGCCGGTATTTTCGCCGGCTGATTACGGCCTTTGCAATCTTGTGATGTTCCAAATCGGCACCGAATGCCCCACTCTTGATGCCGTGCCAAGACGGAGGACAGAGCGATCTGCAAAAACTACGAATATGCGATAGTGCATTTCTGTTCTAACGAAATCAATTGCAAGCACATCAATGAATCATTGTTTCCTAGCACAATAAAATCATCTCTTTGTTCAAACATCTTGGTAGAAGCAAAATAGTTATCTTCTTCAGCCGGAGCATCATTGGCACTCATGATTCCATCTATGCCGGGCCAGCTTTAACTACAGGGGTTTGAACTACATATGTGTGCCTAACACCTTCAATTGTACACATGATGTCCACTTATGAAAATGCTCCTCCAAGAAAGTTTTCATCTCATGGGTTGAGGTCACGACGAGATAGGTACGTAAGTTAGGTAGCAGACCAAATTGAGACAACTTGATGAGAGGTTTATTTTACCAATGTCACACATTTCCGAGAAAGTGCACTTATATCTCTGTTTATTGCTGACCGCTCCCACCTGTGCCACGGCCGTCTACCAGATAAAATGAATGGCTGACATGTCTGAGGTCTTCGAGCAAGAAAGTACAGGAAAATTTGGATAGCATGCAATTGAGTATTTCTGTTGGCATTAAGCAGCCTGTCCAGAAATATTTCCTGCATCTGGGGGTTCTTTACGGTGTTATAACTGTATTTCTCTCTGCACTATAGTTAGGCACAAGTAATTACGCTTCATTTAGAGTAGCGAGCAGGATCACAGCCGTCAATTCTCTCTCTCTCTTGCATGGCGATGATATTGAGCATTGCCTGGACCTTCAGGTGGTCGGCCTCCAGGAGCCATTAGATGAAGACATGATGACCCGCATGTCAATTGAATTAGTACACACTATGAGGGGGCTTGTTTCGAAAGCTTTTCCTTACATGAGCATTCCGTGGCTCGAGGGTGAACAGCATGTAATATACCAACAGACTTATATGAAGCTGCATGATGCAATGTGCACATGCATATTTCTATCTACTGCCATTTTTAGCCTCCTGGACCTTGAAATGTAGTACAGGGAGCTTTCTACTACAGAGATCGTTATTTGGCAGCATATTCGACTGCAGGTTGTTGAAAATGGCACACGTAGAGTAACGCTGAAGTCGCATGATTAATGGTATTTTTAGGCCGGCATATTACATTGGGGACTTGTATGCCTACTTCCATTGGCCATAGAAGTACGAGGCAACTATTTAGGGGAATCGCAGGCACTTTCAGGGCCACAATAGACCAACCGGGAAAAATGATAACGGTTCCAAAACTATTCTACACCCAAGTTTCTCATCAGCCAGCATATCACGGAAATATCTCTTTAATTTTTGCATCTCCTTGTCCCAGTAGCCGCTGATAGGAGAGAGAAAGCGCTTCGGTCCTCACGGTAGGTACAGAAAGCAAGTCTCTTCATATCTCCTTTCTTAATGCCCATGTCGGCCTCTGCTGATGAGACCCAGTCCTGCTACACTTTTCTAGCGTTTCATATCTGAAATCATCTAGTATGCGTTGGTTCTGAGAGAGATACAACCATGTGTAGTGTACACAATATCCGGTAGCCGCCGGCCACAAATTCAGCTTCCTTCTCATCATCCACGAAGCCTTCCATTCTCGCATATATTCATATGCAAAGAGAAGCACCCTATCATAAGTTTCACAGAACAACCAGTGTGAAACTTCTAAGAGACCCCTGTCTCTTTATTAGTCGAATGACGGGCGCGCATACGGGTTCAGTTCCAAAGATGCGCCAGATAGGATCTTTTCGGAGCGCAAGATTAATCAGTTCCTTCGGAGGGTGAGTCTCGCATGGCGTCCCCGCCAAGTGAGTTTGCATCAGTCCAAATAAGGGAAGACAAGGCACAAAGGTCATGACATGGCGAAGAGAAGTGAGTCAAGTCTCCTCGGTGCCATCTTCATCGAGGAGGCTTCGTTGTCCCCAATTTACAATGCTGATTAATCAGTTAGAGGCTTCAATCTCGAGTGCGGTGCACCTTGCATTGACTCGTTTATAACCTGAACCACAGGCTCAGCCGGCGGATGGAAGAATATCGTCTCGTTGAACACATTGAGATGCGCGTTTTCTTGTACACATCAGGACTCTGTCTGAGAAACACAACGGTGGCCATCCGACCTCAAAGGTTCATTAGCTGTCTCAAGCAATTTGGGCCATCTCTGAACTTGCCGTCAAACCCCTGCATCGTGAATGTTCCACTTTTGGCCATCATACCCAAAAGGCATCTTGGGTTGTACGAAAGGGCACTGCTACTTAGGAAGACACAGAAGACCTAATCTAGCGGCATATCCGAAGACGATGCAGACCACTGCAAGCTCCGTGGTTTGCATCAACTATCCTCGGGAACAGCTAGTTAACCGAGACGCGAAACTCTGCCAGAGTCTCGGTGGGTGACAAAAATGAAGTCTGGTGGATCAAAAGCAAGTCGTAGAACAGATTTTGACTTACAATAATGGGGTGATGTTTCGGTTGTACCTCACAATCTGCAAAACCGAGCCCCTGGTTAAATTCTGCCCATCCACCGCTCCTTCGGACTGGGTCGAGTTATCAACCCAATGCTTGTCTATCGGAGCTGTGAGATCGCTCCCGCAAAGACCCGGATTATATTGCTCTGTCTTCATTCCACACTTCCTCAAATTCAAACTTCATCTTGTTACCGCTGCTCTTGACTGCGGGACACAGGAATTCAAGGCTAAGTAGTGATCTAAGAAGCTTGAAATATAAAGAGTTCGTTGGATCCTCATACAAATTGTGAAGAAACATGGGGTGAGCCTCACGTCTCATGGGCCATATTAATGTCTTGCATCAGAAGGGGCATTGCTACATACCTTAAGTTTATCATCCTTCATCCAGCTCATGATGTCTCGTATTACTCTCTCATATGGAACTCTCGAAAAGGTTTGTCTAGTGTTCCACGGCTGACGGTGTCAAAGTGATTGGCAATGCTCCTGTACAACCATCTCTCTCCATCTCGGCTAAGATAGCTTGCTCCACCACTCAGACTATTCTCGACGTTGAAGTCGTTGGCAGCTAGGAATTCGAGTGTACCTGAGAAGAACTACAGAGTTCTGTCTAGTCTTATCCCCTAAATATCCCGAAGCCCCTTTTCACCAAAGAATGGAGAAAGGGGTTTGCTAAAAGAGTGTACTATACACGAAGCTTTAATAAACTCGTATTAGTTAGGATAACTCATGGAAACACCTTAGGAGTGATAATACTTACCAGTCAGCTCGTCATACCACAAGCATGTACGGCAGAACTGCCCAGAAAGTCTGACTTGACGACTATTGTGTACAAGTATGTGCAATGAGGTTTTGCGCATTTCAGGCACGATGCGAGAATCTATTGTAAGTGAATCGGCAAAAAATAGAAGGGTTGGATCAGGGTACGTACCATAATCAAGAACAAGAGATTCTACCAGTTGAGCTTGTAAACCACCAAAACATGGTTGTTTTGCAGGCAAGCATCATCATCCCCCCGTTCTCCCCGCCCCTCAAACTACGACATTGAACAGTTGATGTATACTCGGGCTAAATTTCACCACACATACGAAACAAGAATGCGCTCTTCAGTTAAGTTTGTGCCAAATCAAGCGATACACAGTACTACGCAATTTCTTTTGCTTTACGGATCTATTACAAGGGAGCTGGCCATCACATCACCAACGGCATCACGGCACTGCTAGTTTGCTTATAATCATGGCTTACCAGCTGCACCGTTTTCCGATCTTGATCCAAAATTGGAGCCCTGAGCGCATGTGATGACACGCCTCACACATTTGTTACTCGGTTCGAGATGCCCTTTTGGAGACAACGACCGTCCACCAGTTGTCTATTTAGCGAGCCATGTTTGTCGTATGAAAAAGATCATATGAATGGCAGCATGTGATTGGCTCTATATATGCAAGCTACATTTCGGAGTTTCCAAACATCGGAAATTTGAATGGCAGGACTGTTACATATGATAAGTTCGAGGCTTACTCAAACAAACTAGTTTGCCCTGGCACAACACCGATTATTGAGACCATGGATGGGGTTGTGTGCGAAGCAACCGAACACTCCAGATATGTTCGAAACAACACATCTTGATTCGTCTGATTCGTCTTACATTAGAGTACTGTTTGGCACGAATCACTCGAAATTTAGTTCTCTACCAACCTAATTCGAGTACCTACACCCGAGTTCCGGATGTCCACCGGGTTGTCTATCATCACCAAATTGTAGTAGAACTCATAAGTTGTAGCCACCTTGATCCAGCACTCAAGCGAGGGACATGACAACCATGATTTGTGGGGTGGTTTGCTTCTCCATGTGACTTTGTGCCAGGACCATAAAAAGGCAGTGGAATAGCAGGCTGGTATCTGTATTGACGTGCCAAAGCTGTTGTATATGTTGACAAATGATCTGTGTACATGCCTTATTTCGATATTGGCTGAGGCGATCAAGTCTCTAGAGTTTCTCACGTTATGAATCATTCACACGTTAAGACACCATACCTAGGCCATTTCCGGACTCGCACAAGTCGATTTCTTTGCTATACTTTCAGCGGCTTTATCTTGAAGCCAGATGGTATCTGCTTGATAGATCTCTGAAGATATAAAAGAACCAGCACAATCGTAGGCTACTTCTTCTGAACATTGTATGTTGATATTCGTAGAAAATCCCAATGTGAATGGGAGGACCCTGTAGTCTTGTCGAGGATGCCTTGTCCAAAAAGACGTTCAGTAGTAGATAAGTCTGATCGTGAAGTTCAGATGGCGTGCGTCAGGGTAATAGGCCGAGGATCCAGGGTCCCGTTCATGCACTACACAGGTACTTTAATCGAGGACATGCAGGCTTTTATAAGTCGCCGAGATCTGACAATTGGACTCCGAGGGGATGCAGGTCTTGATGCTTTGATGAAGCCGATGAGCCCACATGTTCTAGGTGTTAGAAACAGGGCTTGGTAAACATGCGAGAACTTTATCCAATGGCGATTCGACTCGACGTGGAACAAGTAAACCAAGTCAAAGCGACCGCAAGTAACTTGCGAAGCTCAAAGTCAGGTATATTTGGGTTCTTTTATTACGTTCTGCCACATGTGTGCGCCCTACTACAGCCAAGGTGTGATGCATGAACAAGCTGTGCGTATTCGCTATTGTTGTGATTTGTAGACTGAATCGTAGGTCCAAAGACGATGGGTAATGCGACATAATTCGTCATCTGATATTAGAGGATACATTGGGTGATCGTCTGATTCGAGGCCACTCCCTATTCCGCCTGGTCATTGTGTGGTTTGTAATTTGCGAGATGTTAAAGGAGCCGTTCTTGTCTCTGTCACATGGCTTAAGTTCAGCTCATGCAGAGCTGGGGAAATGGCCCAACTGAGGCCGGTGGAGCCTAATTATTAGGCCATCGCGGTGCTGACTCCCGGATACGGTACCGGCCATGCGCGCCTGCAGCGGATTGCAGCGTGGGATGTTTTTACCCAGACCCCCTGCCGCCGACATGCCGAGGCTAAAAACGCAGCTGGGCAACCGCAATGACCGAAAGCTTTCTTTCGCGAATCGAACGAACGAGCGAACCAGCCTCTTTCTCGTCTTGTTGTCAAGTGCAAGTCCACGTGCCAGCTAACCTTCGCCAAGCGCGCATGCGTAACAACTCTCAACTGGTCTTTGGCATTCCCATGCAGCTCGTCTCTTCTCTTCGCATTTTTTTCAATTAAATGTAGCCCACATAAACCTGGCCGGCCAATCTCTTCTCCATCGCTGACGTACCTGCCCATGCCAATGCTTTAACTTGTTTTATCTCCGCCAACAACCAAAAGCTGCCAGTATGGCGTTCAACGGGTCGTATACAGCGACGCTGAGTCCCACCGCCTCGGAAGGCTTTGACTCTTCTGTGCTCCGGAACTCCATCTCGTCGCTATCGTCGTCTGCGTCCTCGCGCCATTCAGCGTCGCGCATTTCGAGAACTTACCGCCAGTCGTCGCAGCTGTTTTTGACGCGTCGCCTACCCGAGGCCTTGTCCACGGTTCTGCCATTGATCACCCCAGCTACCGAGGAAAACGGAGAGACAGAACCAGCGCCCGTTGCGAGATCATCGAGGTCGACGAGGATCAAGGTCTGGAGTCTGTATCTCACCATCTTGAACGCGATCCTCGAGCTGGATCCGGCCGAGGGAAAGGACGCCTTTGGTACGCAGGAGTGGAAGGCGCTGTGCAGCAAGGTGCGGGACGGAGATGTGTGGCAAGAGGTGGTCAACAACGGCTACCACGGAGTGGAGGGCGAGGTCGACTCGGATGTGGTCATAAACTTGTCAGTGTCAGACCACATGTTGGCCGTGAACCACGTATGCTTACACAAACTACAGAGCCACACTGCTGCTGGCGCATGCTCGCACGCAAGAAATGAACCAGAAGCGGTTGGAAACGTACTTGGCGGTATCCCAGGAGCCAAATCTGGACCTTTCGGAGAGACTGCAAGATGCGCAGTCGCCGCGGCTGTCCTCGAAAAGCCGGAGATCAACGTCCAAGTCCAAGGGGACTAGCGGTGCTGACACGCCGCGGGATCTCAACGCAAGGGTGAAGATTCTGGAACTATATACTCTCCATGTGCTTCTCAGAAACAACGAGTGGGATTACGCCCGGGAATTCATCAGCGTCTCGTCGGTATTGGACGAGGAGCGAAAAGAAGCGTTCCTCCAGGCGCTTCAGAGTCTCCAAGAAGAGCAGCAGGAGCAAGAGCGGAGGGAAACCGAGGAGAAGCAACGCCAGGACGACCAGCTGCGGAAAGATCTTGACGAGGCAAGACAGCTAAGAGCCGACAACGAAGCAAGAGAACGAAAGCGAATCGAGGAAGAACGAGCTCGGCGGGCAGGCAGCGAGGTCGATTACGGAATCGAAGACAGCACTCATGGCCCTGTCGGATCCAGTAAGGGCAGACTTACACGATCCGGATCATCGGCATTACCCAAACCCAAATCTTCGATTGCTAATGGCAAGGCCGTGGCCTCGTCGTCTCTCTCTGCACGAGTTACCACGATAATGTCAAATTTGAGCGTGGTCATCCGACAGATGACCGCATCACTGCGGACAAATCCAGCCCTGTTGATGCGATTAGTTGCATTCATTGCTGGACTCGTCATAATGTTTGGTAACAAGAGAATACGGGAGCGGATCACTCGTACCCTGGCGGCGGGCTGGGACAAAGTCAAGACCACCGCGGGCATGGGGGTCAAGGTCAGCTACATTTAATGCCCACCTTGAATGGTGGATACATGGCTCTGTAACTACTTGTACATATTTATTGTTTGTATTTACGAAGCATGCACGAGGCGCAAGTGGGATTCACGGAGCGGCGGTTTGGGCTACGAAATGGTTATCAACTCTTTGCAACAATTTTGTCTTTGTGCTCTGCTAGCTTGGGTATCGAACCTCGCCCAAATGTACAAATATGAACCTAAACGCCATGATGTGCCGCCAATACTTTATTTAGCCATGTTCTTAGAATGGCATGGGCGGCGGATGCACTTTGATCCTCTCTCCAGTCGTGCTGTAAAGTAATCCACCCTGATCTCCTGCACCTAGTTGACTGGTTACTTACTGCCTTTGCATCCATTGCCTGACTTCGTGGTGTGCCCAGTGTCATGGAACCCTTCGCGCGCCGTGTTTCCCCCGCGACAGACAACCCTGAATCATCCAACGCAAACTTGTGCACACACCACATCCCTCTCCCTCTCTCTACCCCCGTCCGCAACACCCCGAGAAGCCCAGACCTGGGCTCCCTCTGGGTTAGTACCCCGTCCGATTCGTCTTTTTCTGGTAGAACAGATCGGTCCGCGAACTTCCCAAATTGATGATCTTGGGACAGCCGTCGCGGTCTTTCTCGAGGCGGGTGCATTCGAAGCAGTAAAAGGCGTCCGAAATACCCTCGCCGCCGCACACGACGCACTTGTTCTGGTAGTTGCCGAAGCTGCACTCGTCGCAGATGCGCACCAATGTCGTGGGGCGGACGTACGAGTCGCATACAGGACACTTGCCGTCGCATTTGTCGCAGAGTCGGCCGATAGCTATGCCGGATTGCTTGCGGCACATTACGAGATCGCTGGGAAGTAGGGGGGTTAGCTTTTGAAAGGAAGGAGGGGAAGGAAGGGGAGGGAGAGAGGGAGGCAGAAGACTTACGGATGATGGCGCGACATTTTGTAAGTATTTCAAGTCTCAGGCGAGGCTCGAGATGTAGTTGGGAGATGCAGCGAGGGTAGAGGGAAGTGAGCCACGTCGTGTGGAATTGAAATTGCGTGAGATGAGGCGGGATGAAGCTCGATTTCCCAGCTTTGACTGCCACTTCGGAGATTTCTTTGGTTTGACGTTGAAGCTTTTCCCTAGCTTCCTGCCGGCATAACCATGTACAAGTGTGGAACTTATGCATTTGGGGACCCATCTGCTGCATCTGTCTTGAACCTCGTTGTTTCATGCCGAGACACCTGACGAAAGGGACTTGAAAATGTCAATCCATTAACAAATTTTGACTGAGCGGGTGCAGAATATGTCATTGCAAAAGTATAACCAATGTAGTCATGTCAACTTCGTCCAAATTTCAATTCTGTAGCTCATGTACTTCGTAAACACTTCAATAACAACTATCGGATAGACGAATTCCTCGAATGAACCCCAGTACTTACCCTTCAGTGGTATGCATATTGCCAGGAAAGCTATCTGTTAGCGATCGTAGCGCTATGCAGCCTTGCGACTTAGCTGCTGCATTCACAAACTGTAACGACCTTGCAATGAATCGATAGCAAGATGAGCTGACAACAACCGCTCTGTGTATCACCTTTAACTGCACTCGACTTATCTGCTGGAGCTCTTTTTGCAAACATCCCATCAGTTTTGTACAATGTCTGCTGAGAACAGGTGTGTTGTGGCGCGATCGCATCTCTTGAAATACCGATTGGCTGACTGAAGAACCCAGCTCACTGGTAGCATCCGGTGTCGGGCCATCTGCCACAGACGCAGAAACTCATAAGGAATCCATTTCTGCTCTCAAGCGCAAAGCATCTCCTCCGCCAGAAGATGCCGTTCTCCAGTCACCGAAGCGGACGCGGCCAGACAATGCGGCAGAGCGACGAGGATCAGCGGGATCGCCACCATCGCGACAGGACCCAACCACAGAGCGCCGGCCGCAATCATCCAAGGAAGAGGAGAGGAAACGTGGGAAGCGGTTATTCGGTGGTTTGCTGAACACCCTAAGTCAAACCACTATCAGCTCCCAGCAGAAAAAGCGACAGGAGATTGAGCGACGACAGCAGGCAAAAATGCAACACCAGCGAGCCGAGGATGACAAGCAACGCCAAGAGAAGCTTGCCAAGCTCAACGCTGTCCGGAAAGTGGAACAGGTCAAGTTTGATGAGCAAGTCGTACGTTGACCCGTCCATACTGCATCAGCGCCTGTTGACTAACGTTGTCCAAGATGCAAACACGGCATTCCCATATGCTCGCGACGGCACGCTTCATACATACCAAAACCGAGCCCAAGATAGTAAGATATGTGCCCACGGGGAAAATGCCGGCCATGTGCTGACCACAGTAACAGTATTACCTGCCCTGGGAGCCCACGGCAGACCAAGAAGACATCGTCAAGGACCAGATCCGCGACGCAGAAAAGGCGGTTGAAAAAGAAGCCCGTGAGTTCAAGCAACGGAAAGATGAGTGGATGAGGGCACTGGGCGTCCTGGTCGTCGAGTCTTCGGATACACAGAAGCCTGCGCCCGAGCCTGAGGCTGCTCACGAGGAAACAGTGGGTAAAAGTGCCGAAGCTCCTCAAACCTTGACTGAGTCTACTAATCCTACCTCCCCCGCTGCACACACAACAAATTCCAACAAGGTTGGTCAAGAAAAGGAGTCGGACGAGACTGGTGACGTTATGGTCGAGGAAGAGGAGGACACGGTGATTTACTAACTTGCCTTGTTTCCGGTCGGGCCGCTTCTTCGGCTTCCGTCCTGGTCTGTAGTATTTAAGCATGATCTTGGTGCTTTGGGGACTTTCTTGTCTTGCAGCATGAGAGAACCGGTGAAGGGAGATTCGTATTCATCCAGGTTTGATGATCCACGATTGGGAATGGGAAATTGGAGCCAGTACCGGCTTGTCTTTGTTTTGGAGAATAGTGGTATCCAAATCTCCATGTCCACAGGCGGTCGATTCCAGGAATTTGACCTTGATATGTGAATCTGGTGTTGAAGAGCCGGTTCTGAACATCTTACGATATCTTATGGAGAAGCTTTAGGCGGTCCACTCTAGCGACCGAGTCAATGGCCACCCGGGCTCTGCGCAAGCCAGGGTGCGGGCAAATCCTGCGTGGTAAGAAGACATAGCCGCTCTTGAAACGTAGGTACTGGAGGTCTGAGACGGGTGAGATGTCTACTACTACGGTACGAGCGTGAAATACAGGGCAGAGATTGTGTCCAGGACTACGGATTCAGCCGTTACACGGAGTTGAAGTCGGCTACACCGCATCCGCAACTTTCCGTCCCAAGGTGCTCTCGATGATGCGTCACTCCTCAGAGGAGCCACCCGATGGACACCCCAGCCAATCATGTCGAAGCCGCCAAGTCCCCGGCGGCTAGGCGCGCGCCGTCTACGAAGTATACTACTTGGAATTCGTAGACTATCCCGTTGGCTCCGTCCGAGTGCCCCGCATAGTTGTGGGGACCTCGGCCGTGAGATCTAAAGTTGTCATAAACGACGGGCGGCTTCGGCTTCGCAGGAATCGTGATGGCGTGGTTTCCGAGTATTTTTTCTGACGCATACTTAACTCCTCAGCGACTCACTTTCTTCGAGATAACTCTCCAGTTGCAGTACTGAGTCAAAAGTGACGAATTTTATCACTATGGCGGCGACTACTGTGGATGCCTTGGTCCCTGACGACGCCCGGGTCGAACACCACAATGCCAAGATCGGAGCCTACAACTACCACTACTTGCTAGCCAATCCTCCCAACGGCGTCACTCCCGTGGACACCATTCTCCTGTGCCACGGATGGCCCGACCTGAGCGCCGCCTGGCGCAACCAGGTTCCGTTCTTACTGTCCCTCAACCTGCGGGTCATTGTACCCGACATGCTAGGCTATGGCCAGACATCGGCGCCTCATGATTTCAACGAGTACAGCTTCAAGAAGCTCTCAGCACACATGCGGGAGTTAGTCGAGCAGGTCTGCGGCAGGAACCCGCGCATCATCCTAGGCGGCCACGACTGGGGAGGTGCATTCGTCTGGCGCATGGCCATCTGGCAATCCGACATAGTCTCGGCCGTCTTCAGTTTAAATGTGCCGTACACGCCGGCCCTGCCCGTATACGTCGATACGGAGCAGATCGTGCAAAGGATTCCCACTTTCAAATACCAGCTGCAGCTCGCCTCGCCCGTCGCGGAGCAAATCATCGATAAGAGCCCTGACCGCCTGCGTGCCTTCCTCAACGGCATATACGGCGGCAAGACGCCCGACGGCCAATTTATCTTCAGCGCTGAGCATGGCATCAACGAGGAGAATCTGGATAAGGGCGTTGGTCCCGCTGCGCTGATGAGCCAAGAATGGGTCGATCACTACGTGCGCGAGTTCAGTAGGAGCGGGTTCCATGGGCCGACGAACTGGTATCGCACGCGGAAGCCCAATTTCGAGGAGGAGCTTGAGTTGACTAAAATCCCAGGCGGGTTCAAGTTCCAGATCCCCTGTATGGTCGTCATGGGCGAGAAGGACATTGCGCTTCCGCCTAAGCTTGCTGATGGCATGGAGAAGTGGTTCGCGGGGTCGTTGAGGAAGGAGGTCGCTCTGGGCGTGGGGCATTGGGCTATGTGGGAGGATCCCGTGGCCATCAATAAGCTCATTGGCCAGTTTATTGGGAGCGTGCTTGACGAGAAGGTGCAAGGAAAGCTGTGAGATATATGTTGCCCTACTTGATAGGTGTCATAGCCTGCTTGCTGTTCGTGACCTAATGTGGGATTAGGAACGAATCTTGAATAGGGGGCTGCTCAGGCACGGCCGGATTGGGAGCTGTGCAGCTCAGCTCGTGTGGCTTGAGAAGATTTGTGTCGAGGCGCGAGGGCAGGTTTCAGAAACGACCGTGTTAGCTAGTGCATCTAGGGATGGTTGTAGAATCACAGGCGCACAGTTGTTCCTCCCAACAGACACCGACGCTTTTTGCGGCTCGTAAAGAATGAATTCTCGGCCGGGATGCTGACTGTTCGTTGTTGGTTGATCATGCCAAGCTGCAGCGTCCCAAGGACCCGGTCCTGATACATGGCCATGAGGTGATTACTTATGCTGTGGTAGCCAGCTAACTTGCTGAAGTACGTAGCAAGTAGATGACATAGCCCCGGCTGCTGCATCCTTCGTACGTATTATATAACGCTTGGTGTCAAGATTGCCCCGAAGCTCATAAACTCCCATGTTATATGCGCCTGTGCAAGTCGTCAATGACAAAGATGCCTGGATGCCTCTGAACCCGTACTAGCATAGATCGGATTTCATAATTGAGATCCCCTGGGGCAGATGTGGCCGAAATGACATCTCCAACTTCTTGTGGACGGATCCAGATGGTCTTGCCTTTTGAGGACACCCCTGATAGTTGTCGACTAACCTGCGGTAAGTGATAAGACGAACAACTTCTTCAGTCCGCTACACACAGCTTTCCGCGCCGCACTGCTGCGTGTCGGTGGATACGTACTTCGTACGTGATTGCTAGTCACATCTAGGTTAGTTACATCTGGAGCTAATTATCGATCGGATCTTCGAAGAAATCTTTTGAGACGGAATGCATCAAATCGGACCCAATAGTTGGCCACGCAGCAAATCAGCGGACGGGGCCTCAATCAGGGGCTCCAGTTGCTGTCATTGCTTTGTAGTGTGCACTTTCTTCAAGGTTGGGGTAGGCTGGGGGCAGTCGAGCAGCCGGACCCCAAACCGTGCGGCTGTTTTCTTTGGCGGTGCAATTGGAGGTCCACTTAGCGGCTTCGACTGCTAAAGTGCCAGCTTTTGACTCGCAGAAATCCTTCTCGTAAGCCCGCTGACTGAGGCTGTGCAGCCGCTTGGCAAAGACCTTAGGCCTGCTACTACCTGCTTCGGGTCCTTCCATGCAACAGGCCGAAAGGCCATACGAAGTGCAGTGTCATTCCAAGTCCAAGCAAGCAACGCTTAGATCCCAGGTGTCAGCCCAGCATCTTGCATCGCAGCCACGCATCCGACTCTTACTTTTGACGTTCAGCTCCATCTGATCTTCACGACTGTGAATCTCCATTTCTGCTGCTGCCGCTAGGCCGCGATTCCAGCTTTACCATATTTTGATCCGTTCCACCAATTACCTCTACCCACTCCGTCGCGCCCCGGATTGCTGCTGCTTATTTGTTGCGACCGCCGGCTTGACTAAAGTTGTAATAACTAGTACTATTCCGCATGCCTCCAATCCTCCCTTCTTGACTCTCCATTCCTTTGACTGCCGGCCAAATCGGACATGTCGGGAAGAGCGCCTCCTGGAGGCTCTTCCAACACCCCAAACAATGACCTTCTGCTCGACTTGGACGACCAGCCCGCGTACGGCGGGCAGCGAACCACGGTAAACGAGGACGAACTGCTTCGCGCCTACGACAACACCCCATCCCGACCCTCGGTGTCCTACGATGATTTTATCGGTGGTAATGAGACGACACACCCTGCTGCGAAAAATCCACCACCGGGCGCAGCAAGCTCGGCTGGTCCGCGCCCCCCCTACTTGGCAGACTCGGATAGGCAGTTTAGCCAATCGTCGGACCTGCACAACTTCCAGAGATATGCTGACGACTTCGACGACTATCCCGACGACGGTCAATCATACTATCACCACGGGGGCTCTTCCGTAGGCGCTGGGGCGGATCAGACGGGTCGCGAGAATGCAAGGAATCGCAACAGTGTGCTAGGTCTCGGCGGAGGGTTCTTCGGCAAAGCTAAGAACATGTTGGGAATGGGTCAGGCCCAGGGCTACTCGGAGATGGACCTACCGTTGACCGAGCCGGGACGAGGACATGCAGATTCCGCGGTCGAGCCGCAATCGAAGCAGAGCAAGAAGTTCGAGCTGAAGAACTTCAAGTTTGGACTGGGGCGAGGCAAGCCGGACCCGTCGACGCTGGGTCCGAGAATTATACACCTGAACAACCCGCCGGCGAACGCTACGACCAAATACGTCGATAATCACATCTCCACGGCGAAATACAACGTCGCCACGTTCCTTCCCAAGTTCATGTTCGAGCAGTTCTCCAAGTTCGCCAACATCTTCTTCTTGTTCACAGCGGCTCTGCAGCAAATCCCGGGGTTGTCCCCGACGAATAAATACACTACGATTGGGCCCCTCATTGTGGTGCTCATGATATCTGCAGGAAAGGAGCTGGTGGAAGACTACAGGAGGAAGCAGGCCGATAGCGCCCTGAACAATTCGAAAGCGAGGATTTTGAGAGGGTCTACCTTCGAGGAGACGAAATGGGTCAACGTGGCCGTGGGCGACATCGTAAGAGTGGAGTCGGAGGAACCCATTCCTGCCGACGTTGTGATATTAGCAAGTTCCGAGCCGGAGGGGCTGTGCTACATCGAGACGGCCAACTTGGATGGAGAAACCAACTTGAAAATCAAGCAAGCCTTGCCCGAGACATCGACCATGGTAAGCACCTCCGAGCTTAGCAGATTGAGCGGCAGGATACGCTCCGAACAACCGAACAGTAGCCTGTACACTTACGAGGCGACCTTGACTATGCAGGCCGGCGGGGGCGAGAAGGAGTTACCCCTGAATCCAGAGCAGCTTTTGCTGCGTGGAGCAACACTGAGAAACACGCCCTGGGTCCACGGCATTGTCGTCTTCACGGGCCACGAAACCAAGCTCATGCGAAATGCGACTGCGACACCCATCAAGCGAACCAAGGTTGAGCGCCAACTGAATATGCTCGTCCTGGCTCTTGTCGGCATACTTCTGGTTCTGAGCGTCATTTGTACCGTCGGTGAACTGGTCTATCGATCCAGTCGGGGCAGCTCTCTCGTATATCTACAGCCATCTTTGGGCGAGCTCGACGATGCTAACACTGTCGTGAAAACCATCTTCAAGGATCTGGTCACGTATTGGGTCCTGTTCTCCAGTCTGGTACCCATCTCCCTTTTTGTCACGGTAGAACTCGTCAAATACTGGCACGGCATTCTGATTAACGACGACCTGGACATCTACTACGACAAGACTGACACCCCTGCAAATTGTCGAACGTCAAGTTTGGTCGAGGAGTTGGGCATGGTTGGGTTTGTCTTTTCGGACAAGACCGGAACTTTGACCTGCAACATGATGGAATTCAAGCAGTGCACCATTGCGGGAATTCAATATGCGGATGAAGTACCCGAAGATCGCCGGGCTACAACTCAAGACGGCGTAGAGGTCGGTATTCACGATTTCAAGCGACTGCGCGAGAACTGCAAGTCGCATGAGAGTGCCCTTGCCATCCAACATTTCTTGGCGTTACTTTCGACCTGCCATACCGTCATTCCGGAGCGGAATGAGAAAGGCGGCATCAAGTACCAAGCAGCATCCCCTGACGAGGGTGCCTTGGTGGAAGGTGCTGTCATACTTGGCTACAAATTCGTCGCGCGCAAACCGCGATCAGCCATCATCGAGGTAGAGGGCCAAGAGTATGAATATCAACTGCTGGCCGTATGCGAATTCAACTCAACGAGAAAGCGGATGTCGGCCATCTATCGTTGTCCGGACGGAAAGATCAGGTGCTACTGCAAGGGCGCCGATACCGTCATCTTGGAGCGTTTGAATGAGAACAACCCGCATGTCGACGTCACTTTGGTCCATCTTGAGGAATATGCTTCCGAGGGTTTGCGAACATTGTGCTTGGCCATGCGAGAGATTTCCGACCAGGAATTCGCGGAGTGGTATGCTATCTTTGACAAGGCTCAGACGACTGTTGGGGGCAATCGAGCCGATGAGTTGGACAAGGCTGCCGAACTTATCGAGCATGATTTCTACCTCCTCGGTGCAACTGCTATCGAGGATCGGCTCCAAGATGGCGTGCCAGAGACGATCCACACTCTGCAACAGGCTAACATCAAGGTCTGGGTGCTGACTGGTGATCGACAGGAGACGGCCATCAACATCGGCATGAGTTCTAAGCTTTTGAGCGAAGACATGATGTTGTTGATTGTCAACGAGGAGGACGCCCCAGCAACTCGCGACAACCTCCAAAAGAAGCTTGACGCAATTCGTAACAACGCTGAAGGCACTATTGAGATGGACTCGCTTGCCCTGGTCATTGATGGCAAGTCCCTAACGTATGCGCTGGAGAAGGACATGGAGAAGCTCTTCTACGATCTCGCCGTCATGTGTAAAGCCGTCGTCTGCTGCCGTGTGTCGCCTTTGCAGAAGGCGTTGGTGGTCAAGATGGTGAAGAGGCACTCGCCCGAGATCCTTCTCGCTATTGGTGATGGAGCGAACGACGTGTCGATGATCCAAGCCGCTCACATTGGCGTGGGTATCAGCGGTATGGAAGGTCTGCAAGCCGCACGAAGTGCTGACATCTCCATCGCTCAATTCCGATACCTTCGCAAACTCACTCTCGTCCACGGCGCTTGGAGCTACCAGAGAGTAAGCAAGACCATTCTGTTCTCATTTTACAAGAATATCACTCTGTATATGACACAGTTTTGGGTAAGTTCTCAGCCAATAGCACCGTCACATTCAAGTCTAACCCTTCTAGTACACCTTCCAAAACGTGTTCTCCGGTCAAGTCATCTACGAATCGTGGACTCTCAGTTTCTACAATGTCTTCTACACGGTCCTGCCTCCCCTTGTCCTGGGTATCCTCGACCAATACATCTCTGCCCGCCTTCTGGATCGCTATCCCCAGTTGTACACCCTCGGTCAACAAAACCAGTTCTTCAAGGTACGGACGTTCTTCAACTGGATTTTAACTGCCATATACCACTCGATAATTCTGTACATCGGCGGTGAACTCTTTTGGTACGGCGATCTTATCCTTAGCGACGGAACAATCGCCGGCCATTGGGTTTGGGGTACGGCCATGTATGGCGCTGTCCTCGCAACGGTTCTTGGCAAGGCTGCGTTGATTACCAGCAACTGGACCAAGTACCACGTTCTCGCCATCCCCGGAAGTATGGCCATCTGGTACACCTTCGTGGCTGTTTATGCCTTCGTTGCGCCTAAAGTGGGAGTATCAACGGAATACGATGGGCTTGTTCCCAAGCTCTTCTCCAGCCCCGTGTTCTGGTTGCAAACCGTCGCACTAGCTGCTCTGTGCCTTATCCGAGATTTTGTTTGGAAGTACGCAAAACGCATGTACAAACCGCAGACATATCATCACATCCAGGAGATTCAGAAGTACAACATCCAGGATTATAGGCCCAGGTATGTATTCCTCTCACTTCTTGGATCTGCAATTTCGCGTAGAACAATAATTAATAAATGCAAATAGAATGGAACAATTCCAAAAAGCAATTCGCAAAGTCCGCCAAGTGCAGCGCATGCGGAAACAGCGCGGCTACGCCTTCAGTCAGGCCGATGAAAGTCAAACTCGCGTCATCAACGCGTACGATACCACGAGACATCGTGGACGGTATGGAGAGATGCCCATGGCGTCGGAGAATTAAGCGGAATGGGGGAGGTTCTCACACACACAAAGTATCATGTTGATTGCCACAATAGCAGAAACACACACCTTAGGGTTCTCAGTCGGTTGGTGGTCGATAATTGATGGCGGGATATTTCGGCTTCGGCTTTGAAAGTTTTGGTCAAGAGGACAGACAGACAGACAGGGAGAACGAGAGATGCAGGACTTTCTCTGTCTCAACAAAAGAGCCCCCATGATTTTCATGAATGAAATGAGATGTGCGATATTGATCAAAGGATTATTATTTAGTAAACATTGATGTCTGGCGCTCGGCATCTTTGCATGTTGTACTCTTAGGTATGGTTTAATGTAGTTTGGAGTCTGATGGAATGAAATGAAGATAGGTTCCGTTGAGGGTGTTGCCGTACCTTGGTTTGCTATTCCATGAAGCAACGTTACCTGCGCTGGCAATTGTCTTGATTGCGCTCGGGATTGTACCGAGATATTGTCTGTCGGTTGGGTTGATTCACGGTAAACTCCACGACCAAGATGGCAACCAAGGGTTTTATGTCTCGTGAACACATTGGCTCCAGGAAAGAACTGATATCTCCAGAATAAAGCGACACTTGAATAGAATGTTCCATAGTTGATGTCGAGGAAATAAGGTTGGTCATGATCCACTGGCTGTTCTTCTTGACCTGTAGTGCTCGTACCCAACCTTGCTGAATATCTGATGGCCTTCTGAGGGTAATAATTTTTCATAGTTGCTTGACTTTCCAGTCAACAAGGAAGTAAATTCTCGGTTAGTATAGTGGTCAGTATACGGGCTTGTCATGTTGTGACAATCCGCCCGGGACCCGGGTTCAATTCCCGGACTGAGAGCAACTTATCTTTTTCCAGTTTCTGGAAACTTATTGTGATATTAACCGACATGTCTATTTTTAGCGTTCTTATTTCCTTCCGAAACGTTGGGTTCGGTGTAATACAGCTTGCTAGACAGACGACTTGAGACAAAATACCTAGGTAGTAAGTAAGTAGGCTTTCGTATTATGTATGGTAGGAAAAGTTGAATTCCAAAGATATCAACACTACTAGCTAGGATGGACTAAACTCCAATGGTATATATATACATATATATATTATATATTTTGTCTTGTAGCCCAGTGTAAAATTTCATTCGTCGACTACTACACATCATTTGTTTCCGCTCGGTATATACCAGATTGGACAGCTTCCTTAGCAGGGCATATGAGAAGAGACATTAAAAGGCAGTACGAAAAAAGAGAACCCGTGGTTTCCTAAACTCTACGGAAAGGGGCTTACATGATATGGAATATATGGGCCGTCCTTAATCAGCATGATCTTACACCATTGCTAACACGATAAGAGGGCTGTCCAACGCACTGATTATGATCTTGACCTCCTTCCCCTCGACTCGAGAAAGAAGTCATCCTGGATTTCCCAAGAGAGACCGCAAGTGCCACTGTATAGATAGACACTGGTGTCTACGGAGGATCCCACCCGAGCTCACCTGAATCACCGTGCGTGGGTGTGCATTCCATTATGCCATGGACACTCCTCTTACACCCATCGATCCATCTCCGTGTTGCATCCTTCGCAAGATCGCATCAATCCGCCGCACCGATGAAAGCGAGAGTGTCATCAGATGGCAACCCGTCTAATCTGATTTGAGACAGGCAGTCATTATGCCCATTGTTGTTGGTGTTGTCTACTCATGGACCGTGTACTAGCCGCCTGGTGCGGATTGCCCAATGACCACGTTGAAAAATGCATGTCCTTGAAGCAGGTGTCCGCCCAGTATAGGGAATTTGAGGCGAGCTTCGTGTCAAAAGGCGTTACGGAGGTGTTTCCGCAAGCACCGGCCCGAGTGATTGAGTCCTCGTCGCCTGGTGTCTGCTCACATGACGCAGGTTTCACCTTGTGTGATGGTGGTGGGGAACTGCGAACGCCCTGCAGCATCTAGTTGACCATGGATTTCGCAGTCATCGACTTGGTTAGAAGCAATGACGATGAGGAAGACTGTGACAATAAAAAGGTAGATAATGATACTTGATATATTTCCCGTGGTTTTAAAATGAGTGTAGCAAAGGAGTGGCAGTGAAAGGATTTAACAGAAAGTCAGAGTAAAATGGTACTTAGTTAGGTGTGTGGCACGTCTCCTCACCCAGTGCTTGATTATTGTTAAGGCCATGTGGTATCCCAAACCATATCACCTAAGAAGTATACAAATTATGTTTAATATCCTGTATAAGTTATGCGATTCGATTTGTAATTGGGTATTTTCGTAAGTATCAAAGAAATGTCGACCCCTGTCCTGGCGTCTCGTCCGGACATCCGCTAAAGCGGTGTTTGTTCGCTGTATATTATATATTAGTATGGGAGATGGATATCCCAACCTAAACCGCGCGAACATGAAAAGGGGAGACTTTCAAGTATTTCAAAGCGAGGGCTTCTCAACTGCGGAGCATGGCGGGCTATCATGAATCTTGGTGGTCTTGGTGCGGTTGAGCAAATGTACCAGGACGCTCTGGAAAATGTAAATTGCAGCCCTGGCGAAGGAGATAACTAGCCACGAGGGTGACTAAGTGGTTAAATACAGATTGTTGTGTGGATTGACTATGTGGATCACGAAAGGATTGAGCATTTGGGCCATTGGTGAGAAGCGCTTTATGCGTTGTCTTTCTGGTATCTGACCATTGCATACATACAACTTGGATGCGATCCCTGATGACCACATGCATCTTTTAATAATGTCAAGTCTCGTCACCCGAGTCGTCCGCCAGCTTGTTGCATGCGCCGGCGAACCAACTCCTGAAGACAAGGCCAGGCATTATATACGTACAAGCCGGCAACCGTCTTAGATGTTGGCGTAAGGGGAACGATGTCATCAAATGGGACGCAAGGAGATTCAATAAATATTCAAGCCTCAGAATTTTCAGTGTGAAATGCTCACATATGAGGTAAAACCTCGTCAAGTAAGTTTGAATTCTTTCATCATAGGCAACTGAATGAATAATGGTGCCATTGTTGAGACCTTAAACTTGGTCCTGCTGGTTGTCCATTGCCAACCACTAAGTCAACAACATGACCTTTCAGGGCTGTGGGCCCGGAATCGAATCTGCGGGAACAAAGAGAAGGAGAACACTAAGACGTCCCACTGGTAATCCGATCAACTCCAGCTGGAGAGGGACGGTAACTACCCTTATCGATAGCTTGGGTTTTCGACTTCTGGTTGGGGTTTTCAGGTAACAAGTCCAGTTCAAACTAGTAACAAGCCTCGTATTTTGCCATGTTTGCTGGTGTGGTGTTGTAATGGGGTGTTGGAGGAGTTTCCATCATTTAATGTCGGGACTTGGCCTTATGAGGTTGTTGAAATATGTGCACATTGCTGCCATTCAAGGAAGTTGGTGGTTGAATGTTGAACGAAAGAAGCTGAGAAATAATGCGAAGGGGCGCGACACGCAGAAATCCAGAAAAGTTACCTGATTGGTTCGAGCGGCAGCCCGCCCCACTCGCACCTTCCGCTCCGTTTGCCCTAATTACCCTAAGCGAATTTTTTGCCAGACCACCCTCCATCTTGAACCTCCAAGGTACAGTACTCCGCGATAGAGCAGCACGTCTCCCAAAGGCAACGATCTCGAAAGACAAGTTGCCCATCATGTCGCTCGTCTCGGGTGAAAAGACGAGCTTCCAGTTCGTAAGTCTACCTCGCTGCTGTCCTCGTTGTGTGATGCCTAGCCTCGCACATGAATCGATCATCTCCCACGCCGGCGCCAATCGACCTCGAAAATTTCCATGCATCAACACCAGGATACGGGCTGACATGCGATAGATCTTACGTCTCCTCAACACGAACGTGAAGGGTGAGGAGAAGGTTATGTACGCCTTGACCCGAATCAAGGGTGTTGGACGACGATACTCCAACTTGGTCTGCAAGAAGGCCGATGTCGACCTGAACAAGCGGTATGGCACTACCGAGCACATGGAAGCGCAACGAGGAACGCGGGGCTAATTAAACCAACAGCGCCGGTGAGCTCACTTCGGAAGAGCTCGAGCGAATCGTTACCATCATCCAGAACCCCACGCAATACAAGATCCCCAGCTGGTTCCTCAACAGACAGCGCGACATTGTCGACGGCAAGGATTCTCAGGTCCTCGCCAACGGCGTTGACTCCAAGCTCCGTGACGATCTCGAGCGCCTGAAGAAGATTCGCGCTCACCGTGGTCTTCGTCACTACTGGGGTCTCCGTGTCCGTGGACAGCACACCAAAACGACCGGCCGCCGCGGTCGCACTGTCGGTGTCTCCAAGAAGAAGGGTGGCTAAACGTATCGGTACGGAAGGGTGGTTTCATTGGCTGTGGTCGTCCATTGTTCAGGGAATGGCGTGAAGGCTGGAATGGAATTACGCATGAATCATTGACATCTGCGATTGCTTTGCGAAAAGGATATGGCCATCATGGATGTACTCTAAAAAGAAAACAGAGACGCATCAATTTCCCAACCTTCCTTGGATATTATGCGTAACCGTTCCGTGAGATCATCAACTCTGGGCTTGTATTGCACACAGCAGTCGACGTTCGTGAAACTGGAAGTTCGATGAATACCTTCGTTCGACGGGCACAGATAAACAGCTTCGACCTGGTGGAGCATTGCGGGATGCTATAACCTCGACATCGATATGGAAGACACAAACAGATTTATTATATTGCTTTTGTTGCGTATACAAGCTCTACTTGTAATGTGGAATGTCGCAGAAAGGGTTGGAGTAAAGTGCCTACTGATAATCCGCCCTATGTGGGAGTTAGTGTTATAATGCAACGATTCCGCTGGGATGGTGGATGATCTGGACGTCACTTCCTCGATGCTCGTATACTAATCATTTCTCTGGAACAAATAGCATATACTTGCCCCCAGGACTACGTGGGTGACACCTCCACTTAAGCGCACGGGAATAACATTATTGTGTCGGTCTACACTAATATTTCTATTCATACTACCGCCTTTTTTTTGTACTCGTAAACCATGAGCGCCATGCCATGCTTAAACCGGGGTATCAACTATCAATCCTCATGAGTTACAGCCATATCCAGCACCTCGACTCGACCTTGTCCCTTCGTCTCGTTGCCGAGGAAGTCGGAAAGACCCTTGAAAGCACCCGGTTCGACGAAACCCACAACTTCCCACTCTGATCCCATCACGTCTTGTGTTTCCACTTGTTCAATGTAGCTCAGGATCCTGTCCTTGACCGTCCCAGGTGCTGCTTTTTGTCCATCATCACCACCTTCTGCTTTGGGCGCCTTGACCGACTGCTTGAGCGCACTGGTGGTGCAAGTGATCCTCAACCGCATGCGTGCTCGCGACACGGGGATGGGCTGGTGAGCAATCAAAGCCTTCATAGCCTCTAATGCCTGACTCTTGGCGCTCTTCGTCGTGACCACCCCCGTCCAGTTGTGCTCCTTCTCCTTCGGTCTCGGCTTGGCCTCCCCGTCGTCACCAGTAGCAGGTGTGCCCGCACCGCTCCCCGCCGCAATCTTGTCTCCCTGATGCGCCTGAGAGCTCAGCATATCCAGCGCCTTCTCAATCATGCCCGTCGTGTATACTCGTTTCGTCCGCGGGTCGACAAGTTTGCTTGCCACGATGCTGATAACCTCGTGATGGGTCCGATCCATCTGCGCCGCCCGCTCTTTTTCGCCCACTTGGATCTCGCCCTTGTTGAGAATCTCGAGGATGATATCGTTGACGGGCTTGTCCTTGCCAAAGGCCTTGACCAGGTCTTCTTTCGGCGCGGTTTGGCCTTTGGACACGTTCAGGAAGACATTGGGGATCTGGAGGACTTCGTCCACATCGGTTTCGATGCCTTGGCGCCATTCTAGCACTTTGTTTTTGTAGCAGGCTATTTCGAAGCGCTTTTTGCCCTTCTTTAGCCTCACCATAGACACGTTGGTCAACTTGATTTGGTTGGACGGCTGATTTATTCGCGACATGTTGGTGGTGGTTGTTGTGAATTGTTGGCAGTCGAAATGCGCTCGGTGAGATGAGGGGTTCTTCGCAGGTTACCTTACTGGCAAGCCCGGACGGAAGCAGTGTCGTTACCGCTGTCTACAATCTTGTGAAATTGGGATAGAACCAGCGGTTTATCCAAGTTTGCCCGAAGAGGATATGCTCTTTTATTTTATCGGGAGCACTTATGTCACAAAATTTCTATTTCCGACATGGGTTGCCGTGGAGTCACAGCTCATCATCCCACTTGATGACTCTGCAGGTGCCAGGAACTAACCAGCGGCGGAACGCAGGAGAAGTGTCCGATCAGCAAAACTCTCCTGCAGCTCGTCGGATATCCTGGCCATCCCCATCTTTACTGACTCCACAAGACAGATGCCAACAATGGGAATTCATCAAGTAATATCAGATGATTACCGGACAACGAATTTAAGACTCGAGACGGCAATTAATTGATAACTCAGTGCAAAGCGTCTCTCAGTCATTAACGGAGCCAGCTATGACGCTTATCAGTCCATAAGCCCCTCCTCCAGTCGGGGAACTCATGGCTCCGTCGGCCTGCGCTGGCAAGGTCGGGCGCGTGAAGTGCCGCGTGCGCTGGCGTAATCGGAACCTAGATAGGAAGGTCGTTTGCTAACAGATGAGTCGCACACCGCAGCTGGTTGAGTGGAAGCTGAGCTCAGGTCCTGTTATGATGTGACTTCAATCATTTGCCAGGCACCGGGAACGCTAGTGTCGTTGTCAGGGCAGTTCCCCAAGCTTCCCAGCTCCTGCCCTCAAGGTGTGTTTCGAGGACGTCCCATCTACCAGCTTGGAACTGGTGCTCTCCCCTCCTTTCTCCTTCATTATCTTTATTAGTCCATTACCCAAATATTCATCTCATTCCATTTCCATCCATCCCGCAACTTACCATTGACCAGGACAACCGCATCGCACAGCTCCTTGATCAACTCAACTATGAGAGTAGCTACCTCAACGCTGCTGCTGGGCGCAGCTTCGGCTGCTGTCGCCCAGCAAGAGCAGCATGTGCTGGGTAGCGTCTACGAGACCTTCAAGCCAGTCGGCGACTCGGCCCAGGAGGTTCTCCAATCTCATGAGGATATCATGCTGTCCCTGCAAGACAAGTTCGGCAATATGCCTGCCGAAGCTAAGGGCCTCTGGGACGAGCTGAGCCTATTGGTGCCTGGCTTCATGGAGAAGGCACATAACCTTGTCTCCCTTCCCAAACCACACCAGCGCAAGCCCGACAGCGAGTGGGAACACGTCGTGAAGGGCGCTGATGTCCAGAGCCTGTGGGTCGAGACCGATGGTGAGAAGCACCGCAAGGTCGATGGCAGCCTCGAGAGCTACAACCTGCGTGCGAAGAAGGTCGATCCTTCTGTCCTGGGCGTCGACAAGGTCAAGCAATACAGCGGTTACCTCGATGACGAGGCGAATGACAAGCACCTGTTCTACTGTAAATTACTTATCACGAGTTCTAATTAGTGTGCCATGGCTAACCTCTGCACCAGGGTTCTTTGAATCTCGAAACGACCCCAAGAACGATCCCGTTGTCCTGTGGCTCAACGGCGGGCCCGGATGCTCATCCATGATGGGTCTGTTCATGGAACTCGGCCCATCCAGCGTCGATTCAAAGCTCAAGCTCGTGTACAACGACTACGCCTGGAACAGCAACGCCTCCGTCATCTTCATCGATCAGCCTGTGAACACCGGTTACTCGTACAGCGGCAATGCCGTCTACGACACCGTCGCTGCGAGCAAGGACATCTACGCTCTGTTGACTCTTTTCTTCCATAACTTTCCTGAGTATGGCACTCAGCCATTCCACATCTCCGGCGAGTCGTACGCTGGCCACTACATCCCCGTCTTTGCGTCCGAGATTCTTTCGCACAAGAACCGAAACATCAATCTGCAGCGTATCGCCATTGGCAACGGCCTCACGGACCCCAAGACCCAATACACTCAGTACCGTCCCATGGCCTGCGGTGATGACGGCAGCAACTACGGTCCCATCTTGGATGAAAGTGAATGCCAGTCGATGGACAACGCTCTCCCTCGATGCCTGTCCCTCATCCAGGGTTGTTATGATTCCGGGAGCTTGTGGTCCTGCGTGCCCAGCGCCATCTACTGCAACAATGCACTTATAGGTCCCTTCCAACGCTCTGGATACAATGTCTACGACATTCGTGAGAAGTGTGAGGACATGGAGAACTTGTGCTACACTCAGACCGCTTGGATTTCCCAGTACCTTAACAAGCCAGAGGTTATGAAGGCCGTTGGCGCTGAGGTCCAAGACTACCAGAGCTGCAACGGCGACATTAACCGCAATTTTTTGTTTCAGGGTGACTGGTCGAAGCCGTTCCACCTCCTTATCCCGGAGCTCATCAAGAAGATCCCTGTGCTCATCTATGCTGGTGATGCCGACTACATCTGCAACTGGCTGGGTAACCAGGCTTGGACTGAGGAGCTCGTCTGGGACGGCAAGAAGGACTTCAATGCTGCCAAGATGACTGGTCTCAGCATTAAGGACGGTGAGAAGTACGGCGAAGTAAAGAGCAGCGGGAACTTTACTTTCATCCGCATCTACGAGGCCGGACACATGGTTCCGTTCAATCAGCCCGAGGGCTCTTTGGATTTTTTCAACCGATGGATCTCTGGAGAATGGAACGCTTAAACGATGACCGGTAGTAGACTCGGTGTTGCGGCGGTATTGTATGGGACATGCATCAGAATGGACACGCGCATGGGTTGAAGATAGCAGATAGCATGATGTGCTCCTGTAAACTATAATGTGGTTGGAACAGATGAACATGACTATACAGGTATGTATCCTGCTGATGCTGTGGATTCCCGATTCAAATACTGCCGACTGGGGTGTGAGATGTGACAACAGATAAATTGCGAATTCCTCGATGCTAAAGCCAGGAGGTTCCGCACTCAAAAAGCGTTGTGATTTTCTCTTGTCTAGTACGCTCGTTGATGAGGTATCCGGCTCAAGATCAGTCGTGGAAGACGATGGCTGACCGAGCATGGCAAAAGACGACCCATTCCATCCCCCCCCCCCCCCCCCCCAAATTTTCTTCACTTGCCTTGCTTCCTTCCCCCTTGTCGACGAGGTGATCGCAACTTGGCGAGTCTCACGTAGACCTACCTGTATCCCGTTACCCTTGACGACTATCACGTCCTAATGCATTACAAGGATCAGGCGGCACACTTGTACTGACGCCCCGATTGCCAGGCATCAAACGTCGTTTACCTGTGCTCCCCCTACTTTGGAATATCCATTGATGCGGGCCGGCTGAGGTGTCTGCCTGCAACTCTCCACAGTCTTGGCTCATGCTTGCGGTGCCATATTGTCCCGTCGGCGACTTTACTTGCGCTCGCACAAGGCCTTGCGTTGTTGGTCGTTGGTGTTGTAGTTGGTTGGGGTCGTAACAAACCAAAAAAAAAAAAAGAGGAAAGAGTCAAAAGCAAACTTTTACATGTCGAGCGTGGAATTTAGGCCATACGCGGCGTTTGGGAGTCCCGCTCAATCAGCGCTCTGGCATAAAAATGATCCACCTTTTAATGCATTGCAGCTGAAGAGCTCAGGCACGAAATAAGGTACGCCAAACATTGGACTCTCTTAGTCAGCTGCACATACTTGTCTCTCAGGTCATCGGATGAGGTATTATTTAAAGGAGAGGTGCGCTAATTACAGATGGGGGTCCCGTGAGGATTCTGCCTTGAGCATGCAAATGCACCCCTCCCCGACTGCTGGTAGGCCGTATTGAAGCTCGCGTGACACTCTTCCTGAAGAAGGAAGGCCCTGTAATGATGGACAGGGGATCGCTGGACCGCTGCAATGCAGATCTCTCAGCGATAAAGAAACCCCCAGCATAGGAAACCCCAGTCGAGCCAGTAATGGGCAAAAACTCTGGGGCGGGCTGCCACTACCCAAAGGCCCCGGAGCAAACCTGCTTGGCCGGTTGTGGTTGCCATGTTGGCTGCTTGGCAAAGAAAACGACGTGGGCTCGTTCCTTAGAGCGTCGAAACACTCCTGTAAACTTCGTCATCCTGCGCGTGTTTTCTCGATCGTCGAGCTCGTCGTTATCTCTCCTTTTTTTTCCTTTCTTTTTCTTGATTCATGGCTCTCACGCATCGGCCTACCTTCACTGGCTAACGCTTGGTGCAACCTCTGACACTTCGCTTAATCCCCCGAAATTCCGCAAACCGCACCGTGCTCTTTTAACAGGAGAGCTGCCGCATGCAGTAAAACGAGGAACCAGCGGGACCTTCATTGTAACCAGCGGCAATGCCACGACTGCAGCAAAGATGGTCTGCACCTCTCGTTCGCTCGTCCAGATTGCTTGACAATGTGTGCAACACTGCGTTGTTTGCGGTGTTACTGGCAGCTTTCTACCAATATTACTCCTATGGTAAGATCTCAAAGTCCACCCACAACTGCTTGAATTGGTGTCGTCCCAGCGGGTCGTGTGACCAGCTACCCGAAATTGACATGGACTCAATCTGACTTGCAACACAGGCCAATATGATCCGTATGGCTGTCGAGCATTGCTCAACGATGGGTCATGGCCTCCTGCAGACTCCAACAGTCATTTGTATCGGGAGTTTGAGAGATGGGAACCCAGCGGATGTCGCATGAGAGAATTCTCACGGGACGATTTTCGTGACTGTCTAACCGGCCGCAGGGTGGTCTTCGCCGGGGATTCGACAGTTCGCCAGGTTTACTGGGCCGCAGCAGCAAGGCTTGATCATGTCAAAGCAGGGCTTGCTGTACTTGATGTCTTTTCCACAGGCGCCAAACAGCAGGACCTGTCGCTCGAGGCCGAAGGCGTGAAACTCGAGTTTATATGGGACCCGTGGCTAAATTCGACCAAACTCGCCACCGAGTTGACGCGGTTCCGTGCCCAGGAGACGCTCATCGACGTGGGAACATTGAAGTCCCAAGATGAGGAGTCTGCCGGTCTCATAGTGGTCAGCGCACCCGGCCTCTGGGCTGCGCGGCATGGCGGAGAGGACTACTTTACCCTCTTTCAGCGTGGTATCGACGACATCATACCGCACCTGCGCTCAAATTTGGATGGCACTATGACGGTCCCGACTGCCAATCTGAAGAAGAACTATGAGACGGCCCCGAATCAGATCTTATTGGCGCCAGTCCAGGTTCCCTTGTACGACGCGCTATCTCCTGGCCGAGCTGAAACCATCACGCCGGAGAAAGTTAACAAGATGAACAGTTACCTGGCAAGTCTCTCGAGCGATGAAACCTCGCACATAATGTGGTCCTACAACAAAATGACCCAAAACCACTGGAAAGCATTTGAGGAAACCGGGATCCACGTGACAGATAGCGTGGCTGAACGCAAGATCGATATCGCGTTGAATGCGCGTTGCAACGCTGCTGCTGTCGGCCACAAGATTCCCATGGCCCGCACGTGCTGCATGGCCTACCCGAGAGAGAGTCGAGTCCAGCCTGCGCTGCTGCTCATGGGCGTAGTTGTACTTCCAGTCTTACTTTGGTGCAACAGCCATATCAAGTCGATACGACAACTCATGCCTTCCAACGACGTCCTGCGAGCAACGCGAACCATACTCTTCGCAATGGTCTGGTGTTGGTTTATGGACAGAACGCAGTACTTCGTCAAAGTTGAACGGCATTACTATCAAGGCTTTTTCGTAGCCGGCTGTTTAGTGTTTGGCCTCATTAGTCTCCTTTTTCGCAGAAGTGCAAATATGCGGAATATCACCACGTCTTCGCCGATTCGAGCGAGGTCAGTGTCGGAGCCGCTGCGCCAGGATGACTCTGGATTTCTGTCCCGGGAGCAGTCGAATGAGTGGAAAGGGTGGATGCAATTTTTGATCCTCTTCTATCATTACAACTACGCATCACAGACTCTATGGGCCTATAAGATCATTAGGCTTCTAGTTTCCGCCTACATTTTCCTAAATGCCTATGGTCATACACGTCATCTACTTGAGACGGGGGATTTCTCCTTCCGCCGCTTGGCCGCTGTCATCTTCAGGTCAAACGCGTTGAGCGCCATACTACCCTACATGATGACAACCGACCACATGTTTTATTATTTTGCATCGGTCGTCACATTCTGGTATCTGTTTGTGTGGCTTACACTTCGGGTGCTCAGCAGGTGGAATCAAGATCCACTTCTTCTCCTGGCGAAGGTCTTGATTTCAGCCGTCTTGACCAGCTGCTTCGTCATGATACATGGCCCCCTTGAGGGCCTCAGCACGCTTTGTCGTGTTATTTTTCACATGCCTTGGGACTCGCGCGAAGCACGCGTTAGATTGTCTTTGGAGCGATATATCGTCTTCTTTGGGATCATGACGGCCAGCATCGTTCATCGAATCGCACTCGTGCAGACACGACAGGTACTCCCGAGCTCATCACTAACAGGATCTACACGGACCCACGGATCCAGCCGTCTTGATCCAGCCCTAGCTATCATCGCGTTCCCTGATGCGCTCACCCGACCCATAAAGCCCATTGTGTGCACCTTTTCGGTCCTGTTCATTATTTTCTTCACTGTGATGGCCCAGATGGCCATTGGCGACAAGGTTCAGTACAACCTTGCACACCCTTACATGTCGTGGATCCCAATCGTCGCATTCGCCCTCCTGCGGAACTCCTACAGGTCTCTCCGCAACACATACCTAGCACTACCCGCGGCGCTAGGCAAGATCTCGCTCGAAACGTACATATTGCAGTACCACATGTGGCTCGGAGGTGACGCCACAGCAATACTGCGAATTGGCCTTTTCGACCGATACGGCAGTCCACTGCGGGGTTTGGGGCTTGCTGGCCTTGGACGGATGCTCGAGACGTTGCTGATTGCAGCGGTGTTCCTATGCGTCAGCGCCCAAACGCACCGCGCGACGGAGACGCTGACACATTGGCTTTTTGGAACGGGAATCGTTCAAGGCCACGAGCGCACAACTTCCGTCACGATGGGCTCGCCTTTGGCCCAGACCAAGGAACGGACCAGCGAAGATGGTTATGAGCGGCCACTAATCAACCCAGGTAGCGTGGACGATGCTAACGGCGTTCTCTGGGTTGGAGGCCGAGAGGAACCGGGTATACTGCAAAGACCGAAACCTGTTGTGGCGCGAGATCCGAGGCTGCAGATCGTTGGGCTGGCGTTTGTGCTATGGATTGGGAATCTGGTTTATGGAGGATGAAAGGGTTCAAAGGTTTTATGATGTTGACGACCGTTGGTCTCTTGATGGTCTGGATGAAGGCCGGAGACAGAGTCGGCGCACCAGCGAGAGAATAGATATATGTGATTCGAGTGATATTGAAGGAAGTACTTGTTCATAATCTACGTAACATTCTGATACCCCCCTTTTGACTTATACTTTGTAGGCTATGTTAGGGCAAGGTAGTTGACGGTCATGCTAGAGAGGGAAGGCAGAGTAGGCTTAGTTTACCGATTCTACACTCGGTCCAAACCTGTGAACAGTTTATTCTCAAGTGCTTGCATACACCGGCTTGCATGTATCATCTCTTGCTGTAATAGAGCACTCGACGAGAAGTAGGGGTCACAGTCGCAGACATATGGCGTTGGGGATAACGATATTCTCATCCGTACGTACTGTCCGTACTTCAGTATCGCGCCACGTCGCTTACCCATCTGGTGGTGATTCCAGAGCCTCTTCTATCCAATGAAATTCATATTCTATGAAGCACCACCTTTGGCCGAATATTTACACATTTGGTGCTGTCACATTTACATCAAGTGTACCAAAGAATCGGCCACGCAAGATACCCATAATTTGTTCGTTCAATGCAATCAATTGTACTACGATTGCTAAAATTTTATTACCAAGCGATCGACAGGCGGTCAACCCATCCATGTCAGACCCGGACGCCAATTTTCCATGCCTGTGCCGTTAGATGAATGCGCGAGTTGGCCATCATATGGCTTTTCGGCACCGTACCAAGGGATGTGTGTCGTGCTTTGTCATGCTCCGAAGCAGATCATCTATCAGAATGCCGCCAAATGGTCAAAGCATTTTCCCAAGAGTCGCCATCCCGCCCGGGATTGCAGCGCAAGAACGTGTCGCCGTTATGACATACAGAAAGATCTTAATCCCACCGACCACCTTCTCGTTCGGCCTCGAGTTTTCTCATGCGCTCTTCCTCATCGCCGTAGGACACCTCGCTGCGTCTCTTGCGGCGCCCTCCACGGTCGTCGCCAGCGTCTCGACTGCGCTTCATACTCGCCATGCCCGCGAGGCCGGCCATGCGCTGTGCCTCCTTGAGTAGACGTTCGCGATCTCGTGTTTCACGCTCTAGAGTATGCGGGTCCTTGCCAGCAGACCCTGATTTGAGGTTGATGCTAATCGAGGACTGCGAGGGCCGACGGGAGGAGTCGGCAGTTTCGCGACGCTGGGAGCTAGATGATGATGGCTTGCCGCTTGCCCCTTTGATCTCGAACCCGCTTCCCTTCGAACTAGCCCCTTTGATCGAGATGCTACCTCGAGGGCCAGTTGGAGGCTTGAAGTCTTTGTCAGAAGACTCCACCGGTGTAGGCGGTTCGGTGGAGGTTTTGCGACTCCTATGTCGATGCTCGCGGTCTCTATCTCGCTCGCGGCGGTCACGGTCACGATCCTTCTCTCGATCTTTATCCTTTTCGCGGTCATGATCACGGTGAGACCGGTGGGCTGACTTTCTATGTCGATCCTTGTCGCTGTCTCTCTCCTTATCCTTCTCACGATCTCTGTCGCGATCCCTATGACTACGGTGGCTAGACCGCTTATGCTCTCGGTCGCGATCACGGTCATCAGGCGAGGCAGATCTTGACCTATCATCATACCTGTCATCCTTAGTCCTTCTCTTGTAATCGTCATCCTCCCGCGTAGATCTCCTACTCTTATGCTTGCGACGTCGATACTCATCCTCGCGATCATCCGTGACGGATTCTGAGCGATGCCGTCGGTGCCGGCGAGACTCCTTACGATCTCGGCTTCGGCTGCTGCGACTACGGCTTCTAGAATGTGTCTTGGACTGGTATTCTCGGTCCCCGTCCTTGTCGTAATCCTTTCTGGTTCTCCCTTCTTCATGATCACGGTCTCGGCCGTGGTCACCATGGCGGCGATCGGCATCTTTGCGCGAATGCCTGGAGCCACTCCTGCTCCTAGACACAGGTCGTTCCTCGACAGAGCTCTCCACAATGGAAACATTAGTACCTGACATTGGGCTTCGTCCATCACCAATGAAGCCGCGTGCACGAAGATGAAGAGCGCTAGTGTTAGGTAACCCTTGACGCATAGCCTTTGGTCCAGTCGGTGCATTCAGGGGTACATCCACGACGGCGGGCACGGCGCCGTTGCCATCTATCGAACCACCGCCAGAGTTCGTAAATTGACCGGAAGAAGAAACATTGCCATTGTACATGGTAGCATCATCATGGGCCACTGCGGAGTGTGGGGCATTGCCTGGGGGTACTTGTCCCGTGCTTTCATGAGAAGCTGGGTTCTCCTCGCCATTTTCACCCGCGTTATTATGTCCGTTCTGGTCGTCCGTTTGGCCTATTTGGCCTGCGTCTGAACGGACAGTCCTACCAAACTCGTCGGTGTTGGTGTTGATGGCTTTCTGCTCTTCACCTGTCTGCTCGGCTGAATCGGCGAAGTCTTGTTGAGCCATCTGCTCAGTCCACATCTGATTGCCCATGTTGCGAGGATTATATCCTTGATGATAGCCACGACTATACCCCCTGTAGAAGCCACGTGCTCGGCCTCTTCCTCGGAATCCGTAGCCACCTCGGCCGTAGTCATTGAACTGGTTCTGGTGGCCATAATTACCTGAATTGTAGCCTGTACGGAAGCCTGAGTTAAAGTTGCCAAAGTCACCATTTCCCATGCCAGCAGCATTTGGATTGTAATTATCTTGGCCGACATTCCACGATTGTTGTCCGTTCCAGTCTCCATTGAAGCCATTCATGCCCATGTTCATGTTCATGCCGCTCATGCCCATGCCTTGCGCTCCAAAGCCTCCATTCATGTACATGTTCTGCATTGTCATCGGGTCCATCCCCATGCCCATTCCTACGGCTTTGTTTAGTGATGGTCCAGGTTTGGAAGACGGGATTCGGGCACTCACCAATTACAGGAAAGGAGCCAAAAGCTGCTGGATTCATTCCGTTTTGCATGGCCATCATCATTTGCATCTGATTCATATCTCCGCCGGCAATGTTCATGCCATTGAATGCGCCATTCATGGAATCCTGACCAAAGCTCACACCCAGTTCTCCTTCTTTGCCTTCAACAGTCTCGACAGATTCGTCAGCATTTTCCATGTCGGCATTTTCTGATGTGTCCTGTCCGCTGGGCGCAAGCGTCTGCTCCTTATTGGCATCTTGCTCGCCAGATGGATTCACCACGACATCATCCTGAACAAGGTTAGATGGAAGGTTTTTCAGAAATGCATCTACTGATTCGGACTTACAGCATTCGAGACTTGCTGAGCCGCAACAGAGGCATCCTGTTGGGGCGAAGCTACTGCCGCGGACTGCTCATCTACAGCGTTCTGAGGTGCTTCGGCCACATCGTCCTTGACCTGGTTGATGGCTTCTGATGCAGATGGTGGCTCGGTAGGGTTTTGCGCCACAGTCAGAGTTGATGTTGGTTCGATGGGTGTAGGAGGAGCAGATCCATTGGTCTTGGGGCGGACGGCCTCTCGCTTCTTCTCTTCGGTTTTCAGAAATACTCTGATCGTAGTTCGGAGTGACTTGTAGATGGTGCAGTCGGCGCCAGAGACAGGCGAGTGCTCGCATACGGGACACGACGAGGGAAGAGTTGACTGGCCTGGGAAGCGTTAATGGTTGACAATAATACCCAAGTTTTCTTGCACATACAGCTCTCACATATGGCCGTCTCACAGCACGGCAGGCGGAATGCATTGACGGCGAGTTTGCTGCAGATCGCGCATCGAAGCTTGGTGGGTAGCTCATCCTGGGTGAGGGAACTATGGAACTTCAGTCAGCATCCAAACAACACTAATGCGATGGCCTGGCGAGGACTACGTGAACACATACTTTGCGAGCTCGATCTGAACGGGGGTAAGCGCAGCCATTTTGGTTGCGCTTCGTGAAGCTGGCGAGTTGGGATTCGTGGTACAGTGGAAGCGAGGCCTTTAGGAGAATGGGAAAAGAGTGCCGAGCCTCTAGATCCCTCGCAGATGTACGAACTAGGTCATCTCTCAGGAGTGAGTCGCCATATGTCACTTTGCGTGGGCAACGTTGAGGTAGTGGTGAATGCACGACAACTATGATAGCCGTGAGGAAATACCTTGACGCAGGTTGAGGTGATGCAGGTTTGAAATGCACGAATCTTCGAAGACGCGAAGTAGAGCGTCTTGGCGAGCGCAGGTGCTGAAGTCTGTCAACGTCTGTCCGCCAAAAAAATGAAACTTTTGCCGGAATAATGCGTGCCGATTGCCGCCAATGGCCCTGCCTATCTTGTTACTGCTAATGAAGCAGCTTCTGGCATAGGATTCCCATGCCTGTAACACATTGACTCTTAGTCTATTCAGCTCTTTCCGGCAATGGGTCTCAGCTATGGCTGATTCTAAAATCGGTTGTGTTTACATTGAAACATGAGCTCGTATTGCTCCAGGACTTTGTTCCATAGGATGGGTGACGTGAATCGTAGCTGAGCTGATTTTAGTCCCTGCGAATGGCTGCTTCAAGGAATTAAGGAGCTTGGGCCACGTTTGGCTTCCTAGGAATTCTATCAGTGACGACAATCTGTATGAATCTTATTGTGAGCAATCCAGCAATACATGGTGTGGAAAGAACACTGGCCAACTCGTCAAGATGCGTCAAAGAATCACATTCTTCCACCACAACGAGGATGCTATTGAGCCTTCGTCGCTCGTGGTCGCAGGCCGTTCTTTCTCGGGACCCGATATCAAAGCAGTTCGAGAGGACCGCTTCACGCTGGGGCTAGAGGAGCTGCCGCCAGAGCTTAAGGACCTGTTGCAAGTCACCCACGAACTTCATATACGATGGAGCAGTCCAGAAGGGTACAAATCACTCGGGCCTTGGAATTCGAGGCTGTCTCCGGGACTGCATGTATTTTACACGCCGCAAAAGGACGAGACCGCCACGGTCATTCCGAGCATGCAACTATGCTCACTGCTTCGAAGACTTGGAGTCATCGACTGCTCCTCTCCCAATGTGAGCGCTCTCTCATGAGGTCGAAAGTCGGCAATACTAAAACTGAACAGGAGTCGTTTACGCGATTACCTAACGATCGATTTTCCCATTCTACTGCGTATCAGTACTACCAACCTCTCGAGCACCTGCAGCCATTCTTGGACTATGCTGCACAGTATGCATGCTCCCCGTCGAAGACCGAATGCAAGTCAATTTTGCAGAGCCTATCGTTAGCGCCGTTGTTTGATTTCTCCTACGACACGATATCTCATGTGGTGAAGATCACGGCCTTGTGGAAACATGGACTACAGCCACTGTCTCTCAGTTCACATCCAAACCACAGAGTTGAAGTTGGCCTGTTAACACCGTATTCACCCCCGAATCTTGAATACTATGAGCTTGGCGCAACAGGTCTTCTCACCGTTCTTGGAGAGGATAAGGAGCCTGCCCCGACCTTATTCACATTTCCATCGCGTCACAAGCAGGCTGGGACAAGTTTCGTATCCCAATTTGTTTCTCCTATAGGCATGCACCCAACCATGCGAGTCCTGGTCAAGTCCAGCAAACCACCTGTGGATGACTCCTATTGCTCCCTGCATGCGTACCTTACTTTGCCGAGGACTATCTTTGCGGACAAGTATCAACTTGAGGACCCTCTCTTCTTGGCCTCTAAAAATTTGACGGCATTACGGTACACCAGCCAGCCGGTTAACTTGGAGGCACCAGACTATGTGATGAAAGTTTGGGGTTCAAGTATTCTACTCGAACTCCAACCACTAACCGAGGAGAACAAGCCATTTACCGCCGAGGTTCCTTTGCATCTGCGTTACAAGGCACCGCAATATGGTGGCGAGCAAACCTTTGAGGTCCCATACCCAGCTGTCTTCTGGGCTTGTGCGGCGGAAGAGGGAACGAAATTTACCAATAGCCCCTTTGATCGGGTCAATCTAGGCTTTGACGGCTTGTTTGGCCCTCGCACTGTGTTCTGGCACCTAGATCCTGAGCCCAGTGAGAGCAATGGGCGGCTTATGATGAAAGGATCTGTCCCAGTGTTGGATCTGAGTAGATCAGCTTCGATCAGCATGGTCACTGCTGCAGTTGTGTTGGCTGGATTTGCTTGGGTCGTGTGGAAGCTCGCTGCTGTCTATTTCAAGACTGGCCATCGCGCTCCTCCACCGAGCAAGGAAACTGAGAAAAAGACACAGTAATTGTGGTCTTTGGGGACACGAAACTACTCGAGTTGGCCGTATGAAACCGTCATTTGCCAGAAATGTGTACCCATACTGAAGTTGTAGCCATAGCATTGCGTGGGGCATTATGTAATAGCTGAATTGGTCCGGGTGCGGCACTGCGCAAATCCAACAGCTTGTCCAGTGCGCCAATCATTTCACGGCCAACTTTAGAACGTTAACCACATCAATTGCCATGTTCCCCTACGTAGTGGGAGGCATTGCATTCCTGCTCTTCTTTTACAACCCATTAGTGGAATATTTCTCCAATCAGCCCCAGACACTTCCGCGGACACCTCGCCCTCCCATTAATGAATCCCTCCTCGCCATTGACGCCGCCAATGAGACGGCGCCAAACTGTCCCCCAGCTACGCACTCAGTCCACATTCTCTCGAAGGCACCACTGGTGATTTACATAGAGAACTTCATATCCCCTGAAGAGCGCGATATTCTCCTCGACATCAGGTCTGTCCGCACCGAATTCTTGCTTGCACTCATCTGCATTCAATCATATGGCCAGATCCTGCCAATGAGACTATTGTGAACTCATCCCACAGTCCACCCACACGACTAACACCGCTAAACAGCGATCCCCTGTTCGAGTCGTCAACCATCACCGACGACGGCGAGTCCACACACCGCAACACCGCAATCCGTGACTCTGAAATAGCCGTGCTCCCGCGCACCGAGCTAGTCCGCTGCATCGAGCGTCGCGCCCTCGCCTTCCAGGGTTTCAGAGAAGACCTTTGGGTTGAACGGCTACGCACTCAGAGGTACGTAGCTGGTGGTCATTATTCGCACCACTTTGACTGGGGATCTGGGGCTAGGGGCTGGGGTAGGCTAAGTACGTTCATGGTCTGGGCAGCTAGCGAAGGCGTCGAGGGTGGGGGGACGGAGTTCCCGCTGCTTAGGAGGCGAGATGAGAAGGGGGATTGGTGTGGGTGGGTTGAGTGTCCGGAGCTTGGGGGTAAGGAGGGGGAGGAGCAGGGTGAGTTGGCTGAAGGGGAGAGGGTACTGGGGGTGACGTTTATGCCTGTGGCTGGCAACGCAGTGTTCTGGGAGAATTTCAGGCCTGATGGGACGGGGAGAGGGTGGGAGGAGACATGGCATGCGGGATTACCGGTGAGGAAGGGTGTTAAGGTCGGACTGAATATTTGGAGCTGGGGACGGCTTGATTAGGGATGGGCCAACCTGGGATTTTGGAGGTTTGGAAAGTCCCCTAAGGCCTGTGTTAGACCAACCCCGGTTTTCGGCAGCAATTTAATCAAAAACAAGCTCTGGTGACACACATCATGTAGTTCGTATCCGTTTACGTGGGGCATACGAGAAAAGGCGTTGTGGCCGTACTTAACATCATAACGGTCAATATGCATACCTGTAGCTACAGACAGTATAGGGATATTTTCAATCCATATAATACTAGTAAAAATATCCTGAGGCACTCCAGACTATGTGATAATTGCAATAACAAATCCGTATCCATATATGGACCTTTAATAATTTCACCATGTTGAATCTTGTACAGGAAGCTGCATGTGAGAGACAATTACTTAAACAATCAAGCATATTAGATGATCGGCTTGAGTACACGACTAGATTCGCAAGTACATATCCTACGCACATTAAAGATAATTTAAAATTCATGCCAGGTCCATATTGCCCTTTTGTAGTATCGTCAATAGTACACTAAAGTAACGTTTGAATTATCCCCACAATGGGCTTCTGAATAATCTTCACACAGCTATTCATGTATACATGTGATAAACTCAAGTCCTAGTCATTCCATGTACAGCTGTAAACCTAACAGAGTCCTTGTAGGAGGTGATGTTACAATGCCACCTAGATAGGTCTATTCAAACATGCGTGCCTGGAGTATCGGTAAGATCTTGAGGCCTTCAAATCGCTTCTCCCATTATCTCGAAACGACGTATCTGATGAGAATGTCCCTTTCGTGCTCTGGTACGCTGTAACTGCTGGAGCCGTAGATCCATACCTTTAGGGCCACCCTAAACATATCGAAAATTGTGTGGGCAACAACGACTTGGGTTCGATCGTACCTGCCGAAATCGAAACCGCGTCGTTCCTGGTTGCGCTTCAGATTAGCAGAGTCTGACCCGGGTAGCCGGTGAGCCGGTGGTGACCATATAAACTTTTAGAACTGCTGCAGGGTTTCCAAGCGTCAAGAGTTACCCGCTTGCCGACCGGTCAGTCGGTGCCGACAACCGTTAGGTGATCTCTAGGACCGGCAGCCGGTTGTTCAAGAGAAGATGGCGGCCGATTCCCCGAAACGGCAGCATGTTGCGGCTTGCCGATTGTGATGGGCGGTTCGGGAATGCCAAGCTTCGCATACGCTCGTATTGGCATAGTCAAAATAATCCTTTTCGGGCGGATGCCGGGCGGATGCCGGACAGATCACACTGAAACCCGAAAATCCCTGAAGCCTCCACCAGAGTGGACATACCAGTGATGTCATTGTGATGGTGGGACCTCTGGTTTGAGTTTCCCTAGTTTGAGTTTGCCTGGTGTTAAGCTTCCCGCTCAGCTTCTTGAGCTTCTACTGGTGCATCTCGCGATCTTCGGCTTGTGCAACCGACCAATCGCCAGTTGAGAAGCTCTTATCCGCGGGGTAAAACGCTTTTGAGCATGGTAAGTTGACCAACATCCAATACATTCATTTGCAAAGCAAGATGACCTTAAAGCCGATGAATAACGTAACTGCAAATCCCATGACCGATGCAAGACGACATTAATTGAATAGCCCACCCTGTTACTCTATCTCGGCATCCGAAGCGGCCGCCAAAGATTCGGCAACTTCTCTAGCCGTCAATTTTCGCCTCCCTTGGACAAGTAATTGCCATTCTAGCCCCTATGCCCCTGTCGACAGCCACCGAGCTATTCAAGGTTGCCGTAGTCCCAACTTCCGTTTCCTGCCTCGTCTGCAGCGTACAGCTCTTGGCCACAATTTTTGACAAGTCTCAGTGGGCAGGGGGTGCTCTTTGTACATTTGCAAACGTACAAATGACGTGCAAGTTTTGGTCACGACCCAAACTCCTCGCTCCTGACGTCTGAAGAGTCTGCCCATAGGCTGAGACCAGGTACAGAGTTTTTCGCAATGCGACATGAAGGTTGTTTAGTACCGCCGCGCGTGGGGTGGTCGATGTTCCATATTTCCTTCTGCTGTGCTAAGTACCTAGTTACCTTCCATCGTTCCTTCTACTTACTGCCCGTGGTCCAACTGGCTTCTCTCTTTTCCAAACACTATTTATATCTGGTTCTTGCCTCTGCCCAAGCCCAAATTCCGTTTCGGTCAACTTCAGTTTCCTCACCCTAAATCGAAGATGTCAGGCATCCATCTCTAAAGGCATCCATCGTAACTTCTGCTGTGCTATATATTCTCCTTCAACGTCTCACCTCAGTCACCATGTCTAACAAACCTATTTTTGTGGCCACACACCCGCGTGCGTGCTCCACGGCCTTTGAAAGGGTTCGTTCGAGGCGTATTGGCAGCTTCCTGCGACTTGTTACTGACCACATCCAATAAACAGGTTTTCATGACCCGTCGGGACATCCTACAGTGTGCGCATGAACCATTCGGAGACAGCTTCTACTATGGACCCGAAAGGCTCAGTGAGAGATACGCCCAAAATGAGGCGGCTAGGGAAAGTAGTGGCTTCTCCAAGACGACCTACAAAGATGTCGTAGATCGTCTCGAAAGAGAAGGCAGCAAGGTTCGACACCATCTCCCTCTCTTGTCTTCTGATCTCTTCAATACGATGGACCTCAAGTTCATTGCATCTTCGGGCTCTCGTGTTCTCCTGTTGTCGCAAGCACTGTCAACCCGTTATTCCCTTGATTCTAAAAGCATACAACATCCGGGTTGCACCTGCATGAGTGCCATAAAGTCCTGCATACTGCACAGCACCACATATCCCGGAGGAATATTGCAGAAATTGGGTCAGTTCGTTGACCATCACGGAGTACTCAGTTGGCTTGACCAACTCCTGGAGGGCTAAGCGATTTCACATGTTGACGTCGGATGACTGCTCACCACATTCCTTCCCAGTCCTGTTCCATCACTGTCTGAAACCAAACCAAACCCGAATGATATCGAAGCTTGCTGTAGAACATCTACCGAATAATTACCTCAACTTGTGACCAACAGAATGGAATTACTCACCATTTAACAGGGGAAGCGTGTCTTAATCAAAGACATGGCCTACTATTTAATGCCACCAGATGGTAAGGCCGCGACTCTTGCTCCCTCGGTCGCCACTGAGAAGACAATGGGGTCGGCCAACGGCGACAAGCAGGTCAACGGCACTGCATCCAATGGTATTAAGGCAGATGGCAACCCAACAGTGTTGCCTTTGGACGTTCTGAGAAAGTATCACTTTACATTTCTGATTCGCCATCCTAGACGCGGCATTCCGTCCTTCTACAGATGTACTGTTCCGCCTCTGGACGAAATCACCGGCTTTGCCAGCTTCATGCCGAACGAGGCTGGCTACTTAGAGCTCCGTACACTCTTCGACTACTTGCGCAAGCAGAATATCGTTGGGCCGTCTTTGGCCCCGGGAGCCGAGGCACCCATGAGCGGCGCAACCAACGGAGCCACTAACGGTATAACTAATGGGGTTGCCAAAGACCAGATCAACATCACCGTCATTGATGCCGACGATCTCTTAGATAAGCCGCAAGAAGTTATCCAGGCATTCTGCCGAGAGACCGGCATTGAATTCCACCCTGACATGCTGTCCTGGGACAACCCTGAGGATCAAGAATATGTTGAGCGAGCCTTTGAAAAGTGGATTGGCTTCCACAATGATGCCATCCAAAGCACTTCCTTATCTCCCAGGAAAACACACCACGTAAGTTTTTGGCAACTTACGGCCTGCATTCTGATTATTTCTACTAACTACACTGTTCTTCACAGAAGGTATCATGCGTGGTAACTGAAGACAACGAATGGCGTGAGAAGTACGGTGAGGAGGGACAAAAAATCATCCGTGATTGCGTGAATGAAAACATTCCGCATTATCAATACCTGAAATCATTTGCTATCAAGTTCTAAAAAAGGTTGTCGGGTATTTATGCATTGGTTTTTAATGCGTTTACACCATATAATACATGTATGGTACATGAAGTACAGTACATCTCAGAACGTCCAACTAGACAGAGCAAAAGCAATGGGATATAGTCAACCTTTCGGAAATATCGTAGCTTTATACACAAGCCTCTCTCCCCCCCTTTTGCACCTCTGTGAACATTGTATACTTACGGGTTCCTTGGTTGTTGAGCCCATGGTAACTGCTCGATGCCCACTTCAGCAGGTGCTGTCGTTTGTTTCTCCTGGTCCTCCTGACCCTCCTGGCCCGCTTGACCTTCCTGTGTATCCTGCTGTGCTTCAGCCTCTTCTATGAATTGTTGAGTAGACCCGGCGAACTCGGCGTGTGACACGTTTGGCGGCCATTCCAAAGCGTAGTTCCTATCCATCGCATCGCTCCAAAATATCGTCGCCTTGACCAGACCCAAAGCAGCTCCCGTCTCCCCGTCCGTCAAGTTGAGGGCTTTAGTCTCGACGTTGTCGCCCCCTTCGGCCACGGTCATCCATATCTTGTTGCCCTTGCCGGCACCCCCCAGAACAGCGGCCATGTCAGCAATGGAGTTGGGCTTCTGGTCGTTGAGCTTGGCGCCCCGCTCGTGCTTGGTGAGGGTCCGTCCCGTCGCGTCGTCGCGCAGCATCTCGTCATCCCAGCTCAGCTCGTGCGCCATTCGGAATTCGCGCATCAGGTGATATACGCTGCGGCCGACATGGCCCATGCCCTCGGGGAACTGGATCATGGCCATGGGCCGCCAGTAGTCTTTCCGTAGCTTGGCCGGCTTGAGTTTCTTGCCGTTAAAGGGAATTTGTTTCAAGGCTCGGTTGGACTGGAAGATGGTTTGATTAGCTTCCAGGGTTGAACCTGTTGGCTCGAAACTTGGTGCACACCTTCATCACCGGTTCGTGGCCGTACACTGTCATGCCCCGGACGAAATGGTTGAAAACCCATATCTTCTCTCCATGGCCCGCCTTGAAATTAGGAGGAATGGGCGCCCTCTTCTTCTTGCTCGCACTTGTGACATAGCGTATACTGGTCCTGGATACACCGATTGGTAGGTAGCTGAGCTGCACCGCTAACGAGCGGGTTGAATTGATATTCATGGCGGCGGCTGGGGAGTGTCACGCTCGCTCTCCCACGTCTTCGCAACCCGATTGAGCTTCGAAAACTTCCAGCTTGTACAGAATCACGTGGCTTATCGATAGGACCTGTAATCTCAAGTCTCGGGCCGTACTCAGTCCGCCGATCCGTTGGAGGGGTCCAGGTCCACCCACCAACATCCCACCAAGACTTGCCCAGAACCTTCTCCAAGCACCGGGCAGCTTCCAGAGACGTCATGCACCATCGGGCATGAACAAGCAGCGACTCCCAGCGCCTTGGAGCCACCAGACAGGACACTTAATCAGACCACCGGCTCGTAAGGCATAACCAAGTTTCTGGTGAATTCCACGATCCACTGCAGAGTGAGAATAAAGCTTCCTTCGAGTTTCATGCTACTTTCTTTGTTCTCTCTGTTTTCCTATCATAACTAAACATCAAGATACCCCAATACAGATTCCTCTTGTTGAAGTAACACTCTTCGCATTTTGCTTTGCATTGAAAGCAAGACACACACCTTTTGTACTGATCTCGCTTTGAAACAACACACACATTACGCACGCTATCACAAGTCACAAATCACAAACACCCCAATTGGGTTTTACAGTGGAAAGACACTGTTTGTACACAACTCATCATGAACAAAATGGAGTTCACAGACCGGGGCAAGAAGGCCTTGGAAGATGCCATGGCTCTGGCTGAGCAGTATGCCCATTCTCAGCTACTTCCTATCCACCTCGCAGTCTCACTTCTCGACCCACCGCCAGACCTCTCCAAGGACCAACAGAACCCGACGCCCGGAACGCAAAACAGCCTCTTCAGACAGGTCATTGAGAGAGCACATGGCGACCCCCAACTCTTCGACCGAGCACTCAAGAAGACGCTGGTTCGGCTGCCAAGTCAAGACCCGCCACCCGAAAACGTGTCTATGGCCCCTTCCTTCAGCAGCGTGCTGAGAAAGGCTCAAGAACTTCAGAAGACGCAGAAAGACACTTATATCGCAGTCGATCATTTGATCACGGCGCTGTCGGAAGATCCGACGATCACGGCGGCGCTCAAGGACGCCAATATTCCCAAATCGAAGTTGGTGCAAGATGCGGTTCAAACGATCCGCGGGACGAAGCGAGTGGATTCCAAAACAGCTGACACGGAGGAGGAGCATGAGAACCTCGCCAAGTTCACCATTGATATGACTGCCATGGCGAGGGAAGGCAAAATCGACCCAGTCATCGGCCGAGAAGAAGAAATCAGACGCGTTATTCGGATTTTGTCCCGCCGGACCAAAAACAACCCAGTATTAATAGGTGAACCCGGTGTCGGTAAGACAACTGTCGTTGAAGGCTTGGCCCAACGAATCGTCAACGCCGATGTTCCCGACAACCTCGCTGCGTGCAAGCTCTTGTCTCTCGACGTTGGAGCTCTGGTTGCCGGAAGCAAGTACCGTGGTGAATTCGAGGAGAGAATGAAGGGAGTTCTTAAGGAGATCTCCGAGTCGAAAGATATGATCGTTCTGTTCGTGGATGAAATCCATTTGCTTATGGGCGCTGGCTCTTCGGGCGAGGGTGGTATGGACGCGGCAAACTTGCTGAAGCCCATGCTAGCTCGTGGGCAGTTGCACTGCATTGGTGCGACCACACTCGCCGAATACCGAAAGTACATCGAGAAGGATGCCGCATTCGAACGACGTTTCCAACAGGTCATTGTCAAAGAGCCTACCATTCCCGAAACCATCTCGATTCTTCGAGGTCTCAAGGAAAAATACGAGGTTCATCATGGTGTCACCATTGCCGACAGTGCCATTGTGGCGTCAGCGAATCTGGCAGCACGATATCTGACCTCGCGCCGACTGCCAGATTCGGCCGTAGACCTGGTGGACGAAGCCGCGGCTGCTGTCCGAGTTGCACGAGAGTCACAGCCAGAAATCATCGATTCCTATGAGCGTAAGCTGCGCCAGCTCAAAATCGAGATTCACGCTTTGAGCCGAGAAAAAGACGAGGCTTCTAAGGCTCGGCTCGCCCAGGCCAAACAAGACGCCGAGAACGTTGAGGAGGAGCTCCGACCACTCCGTGAGAAGTACGACAGCGAGAGGCGGCGGGGTAAGGAGATCCAGGAGGCGAAGGTGAAGCTAGATCAGCTCAAGGTTAAAGCGGAAGATGCCGCAAGAGTGGGTGACCACGCCCGAGCCGCCGATCTTCAATACTACGCCATTCCTGAGCAAGAGACCGTGATCAAGCGACTTGAGAGGGAGAAAGCTGCTGCGGATGCTGCTCTTAGTCATAACGATATGGGCGGTTCAATGGTAACGGACGTCGTTGGACCTGATCAGATCAACGAGATCGTTTCTCGATGGACTGGTATCCCCGTCACGAGACTCCGGACGTCGGAGAAGGAGAAGCTCATCAAGATGGAGCAGGTTCTTAGCAAGATAGTGGTGGGACAGCGGGAGGCCGTCACTGCTGTGTCGAACGCCATCAGACTGCAGCGCTCTGGTCTGAGCAACCCGAATCAACCTCCCAGTTTCCTGTTCTGTGGTCCTTCGGGAACTGGTAAGACGCTACTCACAAAGGCTCTTGCCGAGTTCTTGTTCGACGACCCCAAGGCTATGATTCGCTTCGATATGTCAGAGTACCAGGAGCGACATGCCTTGAGCAGGATGATTGGTGCACCGCCAGGATACGTCGGACATGACTCTGGCGGTCAATTGACAGAGGCCCTGCGTCGCAAGCCATTCTCCATTCTGCTATTTGACGAAGTGGAGAAAGCTGCCAAGGAAGTTTTGACGGTGCTCCTTCAGCTCATGGACGACGGCCGCATCACCGATGGTCAAGGCCGTGTCGTCGATGCCAGAAACTGTATTGTTGTCATGACGTCGAATTTGGGTGCTGAGTTCCTTTCTCGCCCTACTGGCCGTGACGGCAAAATCGACGGGACCACACGAGAACTGGTCAACAATGCTCTGCGGAACTACTTCTTGCCCGAATTCCTCAACCGTATCAGCTCCACGGTGATCTTCAACCGTCTGACACGCAAGGAGATTCGCAAGATTGTTGACCTGCGCATCAGTGAGATACAGAAGCGGTTGGCAGACAATGATCGGAAGGTGCTCATTGAAGTCAGCGACGACGCTAAGGACTATCTGGGCAATGCGGGCTACTCGCCAGCCTATGGTGCCAGACCGCTCGCACGGCTCATCGAGAAGGAAGTACTCAACAGGATGGCCATTCTCATCCTGCGCGGCAGCATCAGGGATGGTGAGGTGGCTAGGGTGACGCTGGTGAACAACAAGATCCACGTCATGCCCAATCACACGGACAGCGACATTGACGATGAGGACATGTTGATTGATAACGAGGATGCTGTTGACGAGCTCGTGGGAGATGACATGGACGAGGATATTTACGACTAAGGGCTCATTGCGAAGCGTTGCGAATTACGAGGCACGAGCATTAATAATGGACGTGGCGTTTATGGATCATGTAGCAGGCATTTGTCTGCAGGAAACAAAACCGGGCGCATAACGTACAACACCACTTTTCCGGCCACCCACCTTTTTGGCCACATATTGCAATCCAATTGAATGTATTTGAAACAGTGTATTCAACGTACTATTATAGCTATTCAGGTACAACCAGCTCTAATAGAAAGCTGTGCTCTAGGGCTTCCTGAGGTATGATCTGATAGATTCTGACGCCTTAGCTAGGTCCAGTATTACCTGATTCCGACGTTGTACCTGGTCTCGTTGCCGTTCTACTTCAAGGGCTCGATCCATCGCTTCCTTAATCTATACAATGTTACCAAATCGTTCATTAGGCCCTAATCGTACCTTCTTACGTGGTTTGGGGCGTAACGAAGTTATAGGGTAGAGCGTGGAACGCCCCATCGGAGGGAAGCCTGGCGCTGGGATATCCCTTGATTGATATCGTTGAGAGCGCCTTGAATCGAATTTTCTGAATATCGAGGCATTGTATAATAATAGCCAATACCGACGATAATCTGTTGTGCCGAAGGTTGTTGTAGTTGGCAGATTAGTTGGCCAGAAAGGTGGGTGGCCGGAAAGGTGAGGTTGTACGTTAAATAGTGGCTAATTTTGCCAAAGAAAGCTTTGGTTACTAATAATGAGATGGTTCATATATTTTTCTTGCACATTGTCACTTAGTCCTATAAAGAATATATGACAGCTTAGTGTCCTTCTATGCCTCGTACGCTCCTGCATGCAAACATATTCACTTCGCAGCCCTTGCTTCATAGCACCTAGGTCTGTCAAAATGTAGATCGACCGGGTGTATAGGATTTACTTATTTGCAGGCACGCTATGGCGTACCTGAAGATCACTTCGGCTACGTCATTGACTCTGAGCTAGGCATTTGAGGCATGAGAAATAGGGAAATAACCGAATTATAAGACTTGCAGTTCCCAATAAGCGCAAGGTAGGTGAAGCACAACCTCACATCATCCCACCACTAGATGCCTCCGAAAGCACAATTCCTCGCCATCTTCTTCCGTCCCACCCTGACCAAACCCGCTTGCACCACCTGCGCCTTCTCATTACAATCGAGCAAAATGGCAGGCCAAAAACATGAGCGATCACCATCTCAAGACGTCCTGAAGCACCCCTCCACCAAGCGAGCGAAGGAGATTAACGGTCCCGACAACCCGTACGACGAACTACTTCAGCGCATAGAAAAAGCCAATAAGGCGGAGTCAGAAGTCAAACCTCGCAATATCCTCCATTGGTTTCGCAGCAAGGATTTGCGCGCAGAGGATAATCGTGCCCTGCACGCTGCGTCGCAGACAGCCAAAAAAGGGAAAGGCGCGTTGTTGACGTGTTTCTTATTCTCGCCTCGGGATCTCGAGTGGCATGGGACGAGTCCAGCGAGGAGCGATTTCATGTTAGAAGGTCTAAAGCTATTGCAGGCGCAGTTGGGAGCTTTAAATATCCCGCTTTTGCAACTTACTGCAGAGGACAGAGGGGAGAAAGCGGCCAAGATTGCGAAGTTGGTTAGGGAGCATGATGTTAGTCATGTATTTGCGAATATTGAGTATGAAGTCGATGAGCTGAGACGGGATCTGGATCTGTTCGAGAAGCTGGGGAAGGAGGATGTGCAGTTAGTGCTACATCATGATCAGACTATTCTTGAGCCGCGGAAACTGGTCAATGGCTCGGGGGCGCCGCATAAAGTGTTCACTCCTTACTACAAAATGTGGCTCAAGGAAGTATCGGGGGATCCAAGTCTCTTTGACACCGTCGAAGCACCAGCGGCAAACGATGAAAACATCAAGGTGGATTACAAGGACTTTTTTGATCAACCTATACCCGAGCTTCCCAAGGACAAGCAGTTCGCTTCTGAGGATGAAAGAGAGCGTATTCGCAAGCTCTGGCCCGCCGGTCACGCAGCTGGGATGAAGCGTCTGCAAGACTTCCTCGGCAACAAAGTCCAATCCTACGCTACGAACCGCTCCACGCCCGCGGCCGACAACTCGAGCCGCCTCTCCCCCTACTTCGCAGCAGGCACAATCTCGGTCCGAGAAGCCCTCTGCGCCGCCCATACCACCAACTCCTCCAGTGCCGACTTCTCCTCCGCCGCCTGCCCCGCCGGGCTCTCCTCCTGGGTCCGCGAAGTCGTCTTCCGCGAGTTTTACCGCCACATGATGTGCGTTACCCCCCACAAAAGCCTCAACTTGCCCCAGAATCTCAAATTCGACTTCGTCGAATGGGAGGACGACGAAGAAGGGTGGAAGAAATGGTGCGAGGGGAAAACGGGGGTGCCCTTCGTGGACGCGGGGATGCGGCAGTTGAACACAGAGGCGTACATGCATAACCGGCTGCGCATGAACACGAGTAGTTACCTCCGGACGAACTTGCTGATCGATTATCGCCGGGGGGAGAGGTATTTTGTGGAGCATTTGGTGGATTGGGATTTGTGTAACAATACTCAGGGGTGGGAGCCGAGCTACACGGTTTTTAACCCCGTGGTGCAGGCTGAGAAGTGCGATCCCCAGGGGAAGTATATCAGGAAGTGGGTGCCGGAGTTGAGGGATGTCAAGGGGAAGGCGGTGTTTGATCCATTTGCGCGATTGAGTCGGGAGGAGTTTGACAAGTTGGGGTATCCGCAGCCGCATGTGGATTATAAGGAGAGCAAGGAGAGGTGTATTCAACGGTATAAGCACAACATGGCCGATGCAGAACCGTAGGCTCAGGCTATAGAAGTCCAGTTTCGTGGGAGCGGGAAAGTGGGAAGATCATGTACAGGTATGTTGAGCATCACGTCGAAGATTCGACCTTTGCGAAAGTTATAGATGGAATATTTAAGCATTAAACATTATAATTGTATCCCCCTCCACCCTTCTCATGCAATTGTACAGTTAGGCAATCCCGCCTGGAAAAGATCCGACGCCTTCACAAATTCGGCTAGGTAATCCTGCGTCGTGAAGTTGGCGCTGACGTAGTAATCTACATCGCTGTCACTGTAACCGGATCCCAAGATGGCTAAGACATCGCTTTCGATACTATTCGTTCCGTCAGTCTCAGCACTTCAAGATGGACGGTCGGGGGTAAAGGGGTAAAACTCACAAATCGACAAACACCAGGTCAACCACATCCGTACATCCATCCTCACCAAACCCGCCTTCTCCCTGGAAAAAGTCGGGGATCTCGTAATATGGAATCTCGCTGTGCGCCGTATCATCCCCATCCGTGCCAAAGTCGTCTGTCGTAGTATACCCCGGCGTTAAATCCACAACTTGGCGTCTCGTGACTTCCGAATGCGCATGAACATGCCCATCCTCATCCCTTACCTCCAACCCCATGAAACCTGTCGTCAATGGATCAACACAAATGTCCCTCTCCACCGGCACAACGCCCAACCCTCGTTTCTGGCTCGCCCCCGCATTATTTAGCCCATTCAGCACCGTACTAGCCAAGCCGCACGGCACATCGGGGACATACAAAAACGCGTCCCGAAACGGCGAGACGATGAAATTGTCATCGTACGTGAACGGGCCCTTGTGCATATCGAAGCGGATCCCGCCCGTGTTGGAGATGATATACCGCGGCGTGTCGGTCCTGTTCTCGTTGACCACCGTCTCGGCCAATGCTTGCGAGAGCATGGGGAAGATGTTATTTGAGCTGGTGAAGGGGGCGCAGGTCATGCAGTAGTCTTGCGGGACGCAGCCGTAGAGTTCGCCTAGGTGGAGCTGCTCGCGGTAGGTGGTGATTTCTGATGAGGTGGATAGGCCGCTGGGGGAGTCGAAGGTGGAGGAGATGGGTTGGGAGTGAAACTCGAAGGTCTTGCGGTTCCAGTCCAGGTAGCGCCGGGCGTATTTGAAGGGTGATGTTGAGTTGGATGTTGCTTTGCGCGTGGGATGGGGCACGCCGTGCGGGAGGGTGGTGTTGCCGAGGCCGCTGTTGTCTTTGTCGAAGCCGGACATGGAGAGCCAGCCGAGAGTCTCGCAGTAGCGGCCTGATTCGAGGGAGGTGCTACTGGAGTCGAGCACGGCAAAGTCGCGGATGTGGCTGTGTCCTCCTGTGCGGTTGTTAGTGGTTACTCATGAACAAGATTGCCAGAGGGCAGGCATACCGAAAAATTGGATAGGGGTTCTGGGATGGACCTTGCGGATCGTGTCGTGGAGGAGGCCAAAGGTGCTTCCGTCCGCATCCGGTCGGGCCGGGTTGTGACCAAGAATCAAGAAAAGGTCTATGGGCTCAGCATAGTTGACAGCATCTACAAACCAGTTCTCAGTAATCATTGTGGCTGCTGGGATGACCTTCGTTGTGTTGGCATTCCCTACGTATCCAGTTAGTGTCCTACTTAGACGGAGGGAGTACAGGGGTGGTTCCAAACCTGTAAAGTCGAACAGCACCCCGAAAGCCATGATGCGAAGGCCTTGCTCCGTCGTCAGGTACTTGTGCGTGTTGCCAATGTACTCCCACCCATTAGTGTCTGAGTCGAGGATTTGCACGTTTGAAGTGAGGTACTTATCGCCCCAGTACGCGGCGATCTCCTTGGCCGTCTGATTTGCGACTTCGGCCAGATACAGCTCGTGGTTTCCTACGTGGTTGGGTTAGCAGCCAGCGAAGTACAGCCCGGTTTTACGCTAAAGATCCAGTCTTACCAATGGTCAACAAATCATAGTTGATTTTGTCGAAGATTTTCAGCGATATCTCGCCGTCCACAGTCGTTGCGTCGCTCAAGCCAGCACCATCGTGAAGGTCGCCTGTATCCTCGTCGGCTACTCATTTCCTGGTTTTTTAGACGAGGGAGAAATACCTGTGTCAACCACGAGAAGATCTGATCCTAGCTTAGCAGCGTGCCGCTTAAGCTGGTTTGAGAAAGATACAAAGTCCTACAAGCAGGTTTCAGTATGAAACTCCCAACTGACAAGAAGGCACGCAGTCTTTCAGCTTACACCCCAATCCGCTCCATAGTTCTCCTCTTTCAGATGCCCTTCCAGCCAACCATGGGTATCTGTCTGTTTCGCTGGTCAGAGTTGGCTCCAGTCTACCATGAACATCTCATTGAACACTAACGGTATGCAAGAAATTCAACTGTCCCCATTCGAGCGCCCTCGTCGGTCCATAGGTAGCATTTGGCGCACCAGGCTGCATGCGCTTGACGTGCCGAACGTGTTCGACATGATTCGTGGGGCCAAAGCAACTATCGCAGCCTAGACTGCCTGGAACGGCAATAACAGCAATCAAGCTGGAGGTGATAAGAAGATGCTTCATCTTGGCACAGAGATCAACTAAACCCAGTGTGACCTGAGAGGAAGGAGACCAAGGAAAGCCAAGGAAACGCACTGAAGCTTAGTTTTTAAACAGCCGAACGAGGCTCACGCAGATCTCTGGTACAAGGAGATGAATGACGCGTGCAGGGATTGGTCGACTTAATTGGACAGTCAGGGCCGCAAGGTACGCGTTGAAGTTGTCGGTTAGCCATCACTGACTGTCATTGCGAAGTTGTGATTCCTCCGCAAACCGTCGGTACTTGTAAGATGAGTTAAATTGCCCCGGAGAGGCTAACCGCCAATTAAAAGCTCGCATTGCGGGCGGTGATGGCCTAATCGGGCCTGATCAGACGACGTTGTAGTGTCTGTGGGCAACTATAACTCGGCAGCCTTCCCGATGCGGAAAGTGTTTGGAGGAGGGGGCTGACATCCCTGGCTCTCCAGGTACACTATCCCGACGGCGGCGATAGGAAGCAACTTCAGCTTCTCTCCAAGCCTCCGGCGGATCCGCTACGGTTGCGCCGGCCGAGTTGCCCGGGTTTCAAGATTACGACTTGTTCGTATAATATACTGTAACAAGTCTGCTCTAGGTGAGCATCTCCCCGATTTTCACCCTCACATCCCAGCATTGATCCAGCAACCTCCCAAAATCAAACAAACAGCACATCTCTAGATCGCCTACAGTGAGCAACTCGACGTCCCCGACCACCTCAGCAAGCAACTGTCTATGCACCCCTGACCAGTCACGAGTTGAGGCCCCCCGACTGCAGCAGTTGGCCTCGTATACGCCCGCCATATAATGAGCGGACAGGCATATCCAAATCAAAGCCGCTCGGGAGGCTTCTCGTGGAAAGTTCGGTACGGTCGATCCGAACACAAGACTCGAGTCTATTGCGGCATCGAGCGCTTGAGATCGCATTCTGTTCAGTATCGTCCGCATGTGCTTTGTGAGCAATTTGACGACATTGACGAAGCCAACAATGCCATCAGGGTAGGGCGGATTGAGCAGTTTAAAATACAGATGTGCAGTAAGTCGCAGTGCGATTTCTAGCGATGTCTTGCATTCGACCGAGGTTTTGTCGGTGGCTGGGGCTGCAGCCGAGGCGTAGGTAGAGTCCTCGCTGCCGCACTCAGATGAACACACAGACGGGTCGCCGGCGTAAATCATAGCTGTGGCCAGCTCCTGACTCCGCATTGGTCCTGGAAAAGACATAAGCGAGTATTCGATGAAGAAGCAGTCCTCGACCATTTCCTCGGTGTCGAGATTGAGTGTACCCATCGTGCTCACAGCTAGCGTGATGGCGTTGATGAAGTTGGCGAGATACGAAAGGATGACGATGATGGGTTTGCTAATACCGGAGCCGGATAAGGTTTGATAAACCGCATGGCTCGTCTGGTCGCGCTCTTCAATACTAAGTACGTATAGTACGGATGGGCGGCATCGTTTGAACTCGAAGAATGGCTCTATAGCCAGCTCGAAGGCCCCTGTTAGATCTGCCCTAGCAGCTATTCGTATTAACACCATCAAGTGCCGGCCACCTCTTTCCTGCAACTTACCGCCGGATCAGCGTCAGCAGACTGTACGATAGCGCCTCCTGTCCACCACAGGTTTTGACCAGGTGATTGAGACCCCTCATATGAATAAGCCAGTCGTCGTGTCGACCGAGAAACCCCTGGCCGAGCCATGTCAGACTTCATGAGCGATTGTATCGATACCGAGGGAACTCACAGCCAATAAGGCCAAAAAAGATATAGACTGTATTTTGATCATCTGCGTCGTGTTGGATTCACCACCAGAGTTAAGCAGTCGTCCGACCAGTGAGCAAAGCTCGCCATAACGAGCGGAGAAGGCCTCCGTAATCCGGTCTCCCTCCATGGCCATTCGATGAAGGTGCTGCATCAAGAGAACAATAGGTTTGATCAAGGTCGGACTTGCAGCAGTCGCAAGAATTTTGGGCAAGTCCCAAGTTGGACAGAGACTGCTACATGCGAGCATGAATAGAATGCTTTCCTGGGACGAGCCGCCAGGATGTGCGGCGGCTACCCTGCTGGGCATGTTTGCATATATGCTGTTCTCAAGGGGGTGGTCCGATCCGCTTGGGATCATCTTGCCGGGATCCAATAAGGACGAACCCTCGTCAGGCAAGTCAGGCTCGCACGTCGCATGTATTTCTTCTGTGGGTACAACAGAGGCGTTTTCAGCCTCGCCTGATGCTTTCGGGGGATAGACCTCGGTCTTTGCGCGCCGTCTGTGTGATCTGTTCGAGGCTAATCTCGTATCGCTGTCTGTGTGTGCACCTATAGGCCCCTTTTCATTGTACGCTTGGGTTCTGCTTCTTCTCCGTTTCTGGCCGGCTGGGTTCTTCTGTGTCACAAATTTCATAGATGGCGGCTGCGGCTTTGAGAAGGTTGACCAGACTTGGGACTTGTTGTGTGCAGATGACGAGTTGACAATGGTTAATCCCCGATGCTTCTGTCTGGTGATGTTGAAGCCTCGCTTCGTGTGGACAACCCCATCTCGGGCGATTTCGTTGTTGTGATCCATGTTCATAATCCAAGGGTGACGCTTGCTTGTTGGAAGCTTCAGGACTGATGATACGATTCAACGATACATCCGTCTTCCTCGTCACTCTTTCCAAAGATGGAACTAAGCTGCCCATCACGACCACGCATAGATAGGATATCAACCAGGTTTGGGCAAGAACGGGTCTGACCAAGGCTCCTCGCAGGACTGCAATGAATCATGCGAGGTACTTTGGCCATCGGCCCAGCCCTTGGTGCTAGCATGCATTGACTTGTGTTGGGTGGGTTACAAATCAGAATGGCAGCTATGTATGAAATTTAGGTAAGCGGTGTCCAAGTTTTTTTTGGGGGGGAGGGGGGTGGTGCGGGTTTGACGAAGGGTACTCCGGCACTGGAATCTTCAAGGCTGATTGATAGGTATGCAGCGGGTACCCCTACAATTCTGACCTGAGAACTCTATGATGGCTGGACTGGCAAAGGGACTGTGACGCTTGCCCCACTGCTCGACTATCCAGCTGCGAGCCAGATCCCCTTGGAGAGACTACTAAATGAGAACGAACGATGCTGAGTTCCCAAAGCCATAGCGAGTAAACCATAGTGAGGATTGGCGAGGTGGTTGGTCGGTTAGCGTACAGCGCTTAGCGGCGTCCGTCATGTTCATGTGGTCTGAATGGTAAAACCCCTCTGAAGACATGGTTGGGCCAAATCTTGAAGCAGTCTAGAATGTCCGTCAGATTTAGGGCTCAGGTGCCAGAGTTTGCATATGGAATATAACCTGGTGGGACGCTTTGCAGACTAACTCATCGAGTGTTGCTGTTTTCTCATTTTCCAACCGCCGCGCTTCATTCGGCCGAAGTGGTCGCCGATGACCTCTGCCCATAAATTTCGGTCAGGAATCAAAGCCTGGTCCCATGACCGCATTAGTGACCTGTCTATCGCTTACTTGGCTGTCCGCCGATGTGAATGAAGAAGCCTGGCGTTGCATCTGTACTGTCCTCACACCGAGAACCGGATATGGCTCCATGGGACGATCCGAAATTGGCATTCATATTTGATTGGCTTGGATCATGGGCGGATTGATGGATGAGCTTCTGCAGTCGCGGAACTCGTTCAGTGGTGCAATAAGAAGTGGAAGCCGCTGTCGTCGTTCCGCACCTTCAGCCCTACAAGATAGGCATGAACCGCGCAAGTGGGAGGTGGTCGTAAAGGTCCACCTATCAAATGCCTTACATTCAGCTTTGTGGTAGTTGGGTTCAAGGGAGACCCAACCCAAGATCTTGTTCAGACCAGACTCAACTAGACCCCAGGCTCCGATCCTCGCCGTTCAAAGCTTCCGCGAATCATTCGAACATTGGGAGCCCGCCACTAGTTCGAACGTCTCAAATAATCATTGGTCCAAATCCTTAGCAATATACGACGCCCTCAAAAGGCGGTGCCGTCAATAAAGTACAAGCCTGCAGAAAATCACCTCCCTCTCCTAGAACCTAGCCGCTTAGCTACCCCAAGTGGCATCTATTGTCCCGGCCCTACGAGCTTGGATCTGCTACATACTTCGTCATACATGAACAACTGATGATAGGGTGGTCGGGATATAACCGAACAGCAAACAATATCTGGTATGTCTTGGTTCAAATAACAACTCCCACTTGTCCAGCGAAGCAAGGATCTCGTTCTTGTTCCGCCATCATCCTCATGGGTTCGTGGGTGCTCCTTTATTGGGCAACCCGTATGCACTTCGTCTCACCGTGCTTTAGGCAGTTTCTACAGAAGACACACTTACTATGGCTCCTTACCAGCCCATTTTCAGGACTGTTTTCACTTCTTGTTCACGTAGGCTTCCATCCGTCGGCCTAATACATGTTGCCGCCGTTTACTGCCAGGGATTGAACCACCGACAGATCTTGGACATCGGAGTCAATTCAGTGGACGTCAGTGAATTGTACGACATGTGTCCCTAAGCCTTCAAATGATAATGGAGTTCATGGCTCCATTCAGCTCTTCAATGATGTAAAGGTCGCATGTCTATATAGCAGTCCACAGGGCTTACTCTGGCAATCATGTCCATTTTTCATCTTCCCAGTATTTGCCTTTCATGGCGCAAAAACAAAGACGGAAACGATGACTCGGCGGTTGAGGGTCTGACTCTCACAGAACTCCTTTTGAAAATTGGTAGTTGGATATGGCCAATTTTATCTCAACTATGGCAGGCTGATAATCTTGCTCCGAAGTGATTAATCCATCGATGCATGCTGGTTGAAAAGGGGCAGTGTGGCAGCACAAAAGCCTTCATCACAGCAGAGTACCTCGAGGTGCGTGGATCATTTTCATACACTGGCAGATGAAGTTGGGAAATCCACACAACTCGGGGATTTGGAATAGCAACCAACCCATGGGTAGAAACAAAACAACAGGAGTATGTCAGGCAAGGGAACTTAAGTTTGCTACTATAGGCGTTGAACTTATACTTTCAATGCTGTTGGTTCCACGGCAACGCCAGCCACCGCAAACACCGGATTTCAGAGCAAAACTTCAAATTTTCTAGTCGTAATCCAGCCCTGCCCCGAAGCTATGTGAGACACATGCAGTTTTCCTACTCACATCACGTCAGGTAGGGAAAATTGAACCGTTAATGGTAACTATCATATGATTTGGCTGGGTTTTAAGCCAAACTAGCTGGTTGTTTTTCCGAAATCCAACCCACGCTAAATACGCCTGGGAATGGGACTGTAATGCATAGTGAATGGCGCTTCGTCGGAAAGTCTCCAAAGTCGAGCCCCCAGCCCGCAAGGCGCCTCTCGAGCCATCGTACTGTTACACAAATCACTCATCATCTTCATCAACCCCTGCGTCAGCCATACTAGTGTCCGCAGCAGGCTCGCCATCCGAGCGACCATTGGCTTCCGGAGCAACAGCACCTGAGTTCTCATCCTCGTCACTATCGTCCAACACTCTGCCGCGCCGGCGCCGACGGCTGGTCGCTGTCTCCTCGTCTTCATCGTCGTCTTCTGCACCATTGGCGTGACTGTCAACATCCATTTTACCATCGTCGCTGCCTGCTTTCGACTTGTCCTGCGCGTCCGAGACATGCGAGTCATTGCTGATAGCCCCGCCAGCACGCTCAAGAGCGTCGTCGTCTGAGTCGCTGTCGACCACGACCTCGGCAGATTTGTATTTCGTCGTGTTCTCCTTCTTGGCCGCCAGACGCCGCTTCTTTTTAGGCTGCCGTTCCTCCTCAGACTCCGAATCATCTCCCTCGGTCTTCTTCTTCCGCGAACGGCCCTTGGACTTGCCCTCGCCGCTTGGCTTAGACTTCCGCTTCCGCTTGATTTTCTCGCCCGTCTCGCTATCTGTGGTGAATTCTGCTGCCTGGCGCGTCTTTTCCTCCTCGGTCCGTTGTTTCGCCAGTTCCAGGTCTCGTGCCGCAATTGCCTCGCGTTCCTTACGGATCTTCTCCTGCCTCTCGCGTTCCGCTGCCAAAGCCTTCTGTCGTTCCTCTTCGCGGCGCTTGAGCTCAGCTTGCCGCTGTTCCAAGGCTGCCGCCAGCTTCTCCTTGTTCCTCTCCTCATATTCTTTCTGGCTTTCTATTTGTCTGGCAAGTTGCTTTCGTTGCGTGTTTCGAGCCATAGATGCACGCTGCTCGAGATCTGACTTGGGATAGGGCGGCTGAGGAGAAGCGGCAATCTGGTCAAGAGCCTCAATGGCCGCCTCAAGTCCTTCTGAGGCATCTTCAAGCTGCAATAAGGTGCGCTGCGCATCGGGTACATTCATGATGTGTTGTACTTGTTGAATTTGAACAAATGCAATATTGAACTTGAAATGAACCTGATCCGGAGCAACTTCTAAGGCCTATGCATACATACAGTCAGCACAAGTGATAGCACGGCAGGATGACTCTTCGTAAAATTACCTTCTTTGCAAAGTCCAGCGCGGTTTTGTAGCCATCTAGGTCTCGATTCGACTTGGCCTTGTTGAGCCAAGTGCGACCGAGGCAAGCCAGAATGCCCGTATCATTGGCCTTGCCTTCTTTCGACAAAGCCTGCTCGTAGCTCTCAATAGCCTTCGAGTACTGCCGCAGCTCAGCATAGATATGGCCCAGATTGACATAAACATAAGCGTCTTTGATCGTCTCACGGACCTTCAAGAAGATTGGCAAAGCGGTCTTCAGGTCTTTCTTGTCCTCGACGAGCGCTATCGCGATTCCTTGTGCCGCGTAGGCATTCTTCGGATCCAGTTGTAGCGCCTTATCGAAGAATTCTACAGCACGACTGTACATAGCAGACCGTTTCTGTTTTTCCTGGTCGGTTTCCCTGCGCATTTCTCGACCAGCCATCATGTACAAGTTGCCCATACCAACCAGAGCATATCGGTCGTGCTTGTCGTAGTTCTGAAGTGTGTGTTTGTAATGGCGCAGCTCAGGGTCCTCGTTGACATTGGCAGGTCGCTTTCTAGAATGAACTCTGCCCAAGTACCACCCGTACAAGGCACGGACTTCAAGATCAGATGGCGTTGCTTGATAGAGCTTTGCCACAGCATCTGGGCCTTCCTTGTTTGGGTTCCTCCGCAGCTTAATGTAAGCAAGTCGGGCCTGCGCATCAGTGTAGTCATCATGACGCGCCACCAGCTTTTCGTAGACCTCGATGGCATTTTCCGTTTGCCCTTGCGATTCGTAGCTTCTGCCAAGATTGAAGCTGATTGTGGTGATCAAAGCGTCGGTATCCATATCCTCATCTTTCTCGCCAATCCTCACGCAGGCGCTTAGGGCAGCTTCGAACATTTCGCTCGCCGCTTCATGCTTCTCGGCCTGGGCATAGAAACAACCGATGTTGTTCAACAACTGAGGTGGAAGAAACTTTCGCAAGGCTTTGCGTATCACTGTCTCATCTGTGACGTCAGTCGGACGCTCAGAAGCAGGAACCTGGTCCAGCTCCAGTTGCTCAACCTGCTGCAAGCAATGAAGCGCCTTGTCTGGGTGGTCGTTCTCGTAGAGGCGAGCGAGATTAAGCAACACGGAAGCGTCAGGCAACTGGTTCCTCTTCGGGTCCTTCCATGCTCCGCGGACAGTTTCAAGGTACTGGATTGCCTTGGTCGTCTCTGCCGATTTGTCCTCCTTGACCGCTGCATACTGGTTCGCAAATACCTCTTCGGCATACAGTGTGCCCAACAGAGCCATAGCCTCGGTGCTCTTGGACTGCTGGATCATTTTCTCCAAACGCAGCTTGGCTTCGCCAAGATCATTGTTCAACACCGATAGTTGGGCTACGCCAAATTTGGCTGGCAAGTAACCTCTCTCTAGGCCGCCTCTGGCTTCATCGGCACGCCGGTAGTAAGTCGTGGCCGTATCTATGTTGCCGCTGATGTGTTCCTTGCGCGCGAGGAGGTACCAACTGTCACTGGCGATGTTGTTGACGTCGGTAAACTGAAGGGCTTTATGGGCCAAAGATTCCACGTTGGCAAGCTGCTTCCTGGAAAGAAAGTATCCGGCAAATGTGGCACAGGTCAGCGGTTGGTTCTTGTCCATCTTGAAAGACTTCTGTGTGAACTCGGTCATTGCGGTCTTGTAAAGCCGAATAAACTCTGGGCTGTTCGTAGGGACCTTGGCGCTAGAGTCAAGATGGTAAAGCCCCAGCAATATGTTGGCAATCTTCGACTCCGGGTTGATCTCCAAGCACCGTTCCCAAGCGGACTTGGCATCGTCCTTGAAGCCCAGTTGCCAGAAGCAGCAACCTATGCCGATGCGAGGGTCAGGATCTACCATATCGGGCATCTTCCTCAAGACTTCCTGATACAGGCTCAAAGCCTCGGCATACTTGGTCAGCGAGAAGAGAGTCCTAGCTTTGCCCATGAGTGCCAGCACGTTTTTGTTGTGCGAAACCCGGATTGCATCCTCAAAAGCCCTCAACGCATTACGCAGAAGGTCGGCTTTCTCTGGGTCGATAGCAGTGGGCCCAGGCGCCTTGGAAGGTGATACGAGGGAGGCTTTCAGGAGGTATATAACGCCGCGGGCCAGGAATAGAGGAGGGAATGCTGGGTTGATTCGCAGCGCCTCGTTAAGAGACTGGGTAGCTTGGTTCAAGTAGAATTCTTTTGTCTTGGCCTCAGACACCAGGACTCCTTCCGGAGCAACACGTGGTGCCTCCCGACTCTTCCATAAATACATCCAGCAAAGACACGTCACCATGCTGAGCTTCTCTTTCGGGTTGTTGTTCTGCATCGCGTTGCCGCCGCGAATCAACATCTCAATGGCATGGTCAATCGAATTCTGCTTGGCATAGGCAATCGCGACTGTCATCCAGTATGTTCGCGCAACGCGCTCGTTCTCGAAGAGAGTGCATAGCTCCGCGGGGTCGTCGACTAGGTCTTCGAGGTTCAGTTCGACTGCTTCGTCTTCTTGATCGCCTTGTACGGGAATATCGATTTCTCTGGGGATATCGGAGAATCGCTTGCTGACGGGCATGTGATTTTCAGTGCCATCCGCGGCACCATTGAGGTGGCTATTGCGAGCTGTCGCCATATTGAAGTCGAGTGGCGCGATGAGAGAGGGTAACGGGGAGATTGCGAAGGGATCGATTGTCGCACCGCAAGGCAAAAAGGGAAAGATGGTAGGCACAGACGCTAATATTTAGCATTCATTTCCAGCCTTTTTGTCACCCTTGAGGTGATGCTGGTGTTCAGAAGGCTGTTGGTGACGGATCGAAGTGTGAGAGTATGGGCAGGACAGTAGCCTCACTGTGTAGGAGTATCGTCGCGATCCAGGAGCAACGGCATGAGGCTCAAGTCGCGAAAATAAAAATTGGGCCTTTAGACCCCTGGCAAGCTAGAGCTTCGCAAGCGCGAGGACGCTCAGGCCATCTAGTAATCACTTTGATTGGTCGTTTGGGCGTGCGCTCCTCGGATCGTATGTATTGACATAATGGGGGTTTCTGTCGCTTTAATGCATCCTGGCTTAGACCGGGTTCTGCTGGAATCCGCAAGTGGCCCTAGGTAAGGTGAGAGTTGATGATATCGGAATGATGTGGGAAGTAGAGATGAGTCACGAGGGGAGAGGCAGTAGTGAAGCTCCGTCTTTACAAGTCTTGGGCAAGGTAATCAGCCAGCCATATGTTCACCACCGGAGTAAAGCTCACGTTGCATCGTACAACCCCCGACATGTACTTCTTTTATTTGTATCCTTCGTGTCGGTTCCGGGTATGCGCCACTACCAGAAATCTACCAGAAATTCTAGTGCATCGGACTGGGGGCCATATATGCGGCCCGATACGGTGCTGGAAGGTACAGAGTGTTCAGCCGTCACGATGCCCTCTCTGCTGCCGATGCTACGCTTATAGCTGGCTATACTTGGTTGGTACATCAGATCGAGGCCAATAATATAAGAGCAGCCATTTCTCCCTCTGAAGTCTCATGATAATCTTGCTACTCTACCTTTGAGGAACTATAACCAGATCTTTAGCACGGTTTCCTCGCAACTTTACCTACCTCGAGAGGCCTGTACATTTTCCTTGCCCTATCATATTCGATCCATGATGTAGGCTACAGGTCTCATTGGCTTTTAGGTGCCTTTCTCCATCCTATGTTCGACCACTAAAAATTAGCACCGGACAGCCCCAGACTCGTATGTCAATAGACAGTAACCATAGATGTACTTATCCATGGCAGACCTGAGTATACGGCAGTGTAAGCGAACACTCAGAATTAACGTTTTGTTCTTCTAGTTAGGAGAAACAAGCTAGGGCATCCAGCGATCCTCTGAGAGCGATGGGTGAATTTGATAAACTCGAAAAGCGCAAACCACAGCCTCGGGATGGCTGAGATTCTCTGGGGCTAAAAGAGCAGTTGCAGAAAACGATCCCGAAAATTCATCATGTCATGAAATATTGACTGACGGGCTGAATAACTGATACGCAACACGAGATGGATATAAGTCAAGGTTAGAACAGGAGTCATCAACCACCAGCCCCCAAGGATGAATAGTATGATACCAAGTATGCTGCACCTAATTGCCTCGACTTCCTGAAAGGTCCATGTTCGTTCTCACCTCATTTCATAAAGTATTACGAAGCTGCCCATTGAAATTGGAAGAACTCAACCCTGTTATCCCGACCTTTCACATCCCATGCCGTCCAAGCACGCATCAACCCCCCCACCCGCTGCTCAACACATACGGGAATCAAGTCTTTAGCCCATATTCAAGCGCAAGTGATCCAATTCTAACAACTGTTTCACCGTCGTAATCCCCCTCAAAAATCACCTAACCTGTCGCAGCTGAGCATCCTCGACCCGCGTATCATTACCCCTAATAAACTCATTCTCGTAGTCCAGCTCCTTCATCTCCCCCAACAAGAAATACTCCGCTATCCTGTGAATCAACTCGCTTGCAACGTCAGGTTCAACATCCCGAAGAACCTGGGCGTGAACTTGTCGAATATGCGCAGCATAGTCTTCCTCCGCAACAAACCCCAGAAACACGCCAGTCCATCTGCGCAAAATAAAGAGCCAGCGGTCCAGCGGGGTATACGACTTGTGATGCAACAACACCAACTGGTGAAAGACGCGATATAGGAGCCCTAGCATTTTCCGAGCCTTGGGATCCGGGTCAATAGGGCCAGACCGAATCGCCTTGATGATGTCGAGTCTCTGCTCTATACTCATCGAGATTTGACACTTACTACAGAGAACATCGGCGCTTGATCTAGCAGCCCAGTACTCAGCCATGATGGCGGTTATTTTGTCCTTGGGTAGCTTGTGCTCGCAGAGGAAGGTCACGGAAGTGTGTTTGAGTCTGATGTCCAGGTTACGAAATTTATCCTGTGGCCATGCAGCTAGTTGTTCGGCGGCTTGGGATCTTTGGACGGGTGGCCACCCTTCGGATATTGCTGGACTACAGCTTCAGGAGCTGGGAGAGAGGTGTATGGGTAGTTCCTCCTCGCAGACTCCTACTTTATGGATGCGGGGGCGAGGAGAGGGAGTCGGAGTCGTAAGCAGTCTTTCTTCAGTCGCTTCTGGTCACTTCTGGTCAACCGTGTTAGGCAAGAGGCGACGTCTGCACTTTTGGTCTCTCTTCGGAGACTGTCCCTTGACACTTGGTCGTTCGCCATTCACAGAACCTTGGAGGTTTCAATGTGACACAACCACCACATTCGTGTTCCATCTGTAGCTCTTCACACCTAGGTTGTCTCTAATGAGGTCAAGAATTTAGTGAACTAGGTAGCCCTCAGCCAGTCGGCCGGAACCAAACACCCAGCTGTGAGAGAACAAGGAAAAGTTGTGTTTTTTTGGGGTTTTTTTGGGAGATATCGAGGAAGCTGTGCTTATGGCAAGAAAGGAGCCCCGATGAATGTTATTCTTCACTTGCCAACTGTTGCAGAGTAAGCCAAAGGCTGAAGAACATCATGATTTTGAATTGCAGGTCTATATTAGTCTGACTCAATGCCCCCAATCCCCCCACACTTCACAACCGTCAACCCCTGACACGTTATTTAACAATGTGCGTAGAGACCTTTGTCCCTAGTATCCATCCCATAGAAAACATCTATGCAAACAAGAAGACCTCTACCCCCCGATGCTTTGAATTTCTGTCTTGTGCCTTACAGCGCAGCAGCATAGATCTGTCTCATCACGTCCTGCACTAACGATTTGCGGCCTTATTCTTCAAGGCATGCAATGAATTGGTGGGTACAATATGGAGTTTCTAGTTCGTTCCAGAGTGACTGGCATCTTTTTTCCATGCACGTCAGTTCTCAAATTGATGAACCCTGGCCCGTTCCCTAACGCCTGGAGGTGAAACCTTTCGGTGAATATGCACGATAGTTCCAAGGTCATCAGGGTAAGCCCTCATCTCTTACCGTCTGGAGGCCAAGAAGTCAGACATCCACAGAAGGAGGGTTGTCGTGTAGGCAAAATTTTGGATCGCCTATTTGGCGTGCTTTCGGAAGGCGAGCAGCTCCGAAAGGCTGCCGAGTGGGCAACCATGCTTCAGGAAATCATGTTGCAAGAGCTCCTCAGCCGATGCACGACTCTTGACGTCAACACAGAGACAGACCGACAAGAAAGCTTTCAGCTCTTTACTGAGCTTCTCCGGCTTCTTCAGGCGTGGCGTTCCGTTAGTCGCGATGAGGTAAAGAGCCTTGAGGGGTTCTTCGTTCAAATATGGAGGCTCGGATTCAATCATCTCAATGGCCATGATACCAAGGGACCAGATGTCAACCTTGGGACCATATTCCTTCTGCTTCACAACTTCGGGAGCCATCCAGTAAGGTGTGCCCACCATGGTAGCACGTTTTGACTTGCTCTCCGTAAGTTTGGCGCAGAATCCAAAATCGGCTGAAAATGTGTTAGCCACTGGTTTCCCAGTTCTATATGATCCAACTTACTAATCTTGACATTACCCCGGGCATCAAGAAGCACGTTGTCACTCTTGATATCACGGTGAATGATCTGCTGTGAGTGCAGATGTTGCAGTCCTTGACAAGTCTGAAGTACGTTGTTAGTGAAGCTCGTTATGACCGATGTGGAGTACACTTACCTCGAGACAAATGGTAGAGATCTGCTCCTCGGTGATGACAGGGTTGTTGTCAATGACATCCGTCAATGCACCACCCTCCATGTACTCCATGACGACCCACAGCTCAGCATTGTTGTTACGCAAGAAGGCGTCGAGGAAATTAACAATGTTCGGGTGTTTGCTGTCCTTCATCACCATAATCTCATTGACGATAAGTTCCTTTCGAGGCTGGTGTGCAAGATCCATCTGCTTAATGGCAACCTGGGCCCTGGGACCCTGAGCCCGTAAAACATCACGCGCGACACCAGAGACAGCTCCTTCCTTGACCTTGGCGACGTAGACAGATCCAGAAGCACCTTGACCAATCTTTTTCTGTTTGGAGTAAGACAAGTTGGGATCGTCTTTTGAGACAGCCTCGATAAGCTTCGTCATAACTTCCTTCTCCGTCATAGTGGACATGCGCACGTCCTGTTTTCGCTCAGCCGCAGTGGGTTTAGAAGTGAGAGCTGCCTCCGCAGCCTTGACACTGTCACTTGCCGCCTGGGGCTGGGGCTTGGCGGGTACATTGAGAGGCTTAACTGGTGCTGGAAGCCGTGAGGCAGGTTGTGCCTGGGCTGGGGGATTGGCGCGGGGTTGAGAAGTGCCGCTGGTTCCGTTAGGGTAGCGCGGTGCAGTGCTGGAGCTCGACGGCTGATCGTTGCGTGGAGGCATACGTTGCTGTTGAGGGGGGGATCACGCATGTTCATTGATCCTGAGCTTTGCTGTGAGGTTAACGGAGGTCTAGTAGCCGAGGACGGGGAATTGGGTGCTGGCGGCGCAGGCCGTTGGGCACGGAGGCCCGCCACTTGAGGGTTACTAGGTTTCGGTGCCGGAGGAGCAGCCCGGCTTGGGTTGTACCGATCGTTTGCAGGTACAGGCACGCTGTAGCCGCCACCGCCAATCTCTTGCTGTGCCATTGGAACCTTGTTCTTGGGCAAGGACGCGTTGTATTCCTCCATCTCGCGGCGTTGTTCCCGTTCCCGTTCCAGTTCCAGTTCTCGCTGTCGCTCAAACTGTCTCTGTCGCTGCTCATCCTGAGATGGTTCCGAGGAAACGTAGTTGGATGCCATGCCTTGCATCTGCTGCCGTTGCTGCGAGTTTTCCGTCTGGCTCGGCCGGGTGGCGTTTGCCATGGACTGGTTCGGATTGATCTGGTTGTAGCTGTTGTTGCGCTGCTGAGCAGGTGGTGCCGGCCGAGGCGGCGCGACAGACGTTCCAACGCCATAGCCGAGTTGCTTGTTCGCTTGGCTGCCGGGGGGAGGAGTTGGGGTGAGGCTGGGGTATTGGGCTGGGTTCTCGGCTCTCTTGGTGAGATCGGAATAGAAATCCAGTACCTCAAAGACGGCCTGCGGATTGCGCTCGTAGTCCTCCTTGGTGATGGCCGACGAGTTGAGCAATTTTGACCACTCTGGGGGCAGACCAACAAATTGACCCGTCTGAGGATCGAAGCCGACGTGTACGGCGTGGGAGAAGTTGGTGGGGTTGCTAACTCCGCCCATGGTGGGACATCGACCATAAAGCATATCAATCCAGTCATAAAGATCATCGTCGCTCTTGGTCCTGATCTGCAATGTTCGAATAGAGCCATCGTCATCGCCGGGACTGTTCGACTGGCCACCCATCTGGCGCTTGATCTCGAAAATGGTGCCAGCAGCTTCCACTCTTCCGACACCCACAACATCTTTCAGGTAAAGGGTATATGTGACCTTGCCACCCTCAGTCTTGTGGAAGTCGAGCGCCTCCTTGCGTAATATTAGGAATTTTTGTTTCCATGGCTGGATGAAGTTCCTGCTTTCTTTGACCTGTGCCCAGCCTTCTTTGATGACAGCAACACCTCCCATGCCGTCGGTCTGGTTAGATCTTTCACGGGCCAGTGGTAAGGAGATGGTGGAGCCTGTATATGTGGAAGTGGCTGTTCGCGGAATTGGGGATATGACCATGTTGGCCATGCTGCCGGGAAGGTTGGTATTAGGGGTGAGGTTGAGACGCGGTCGGTCGGTGGGGGTCGAGGCGCCGGGCCGGGATTCATAAACTGGCCAGATGAGTAAAGGCTTTTGTCGTGGGCCATGGTTAGCTTCTTATTTGATCAAAACGGACACATCAGGTGTTTTCAATGTCCAAAGCCGGTGGAGCTTTGTGGTGCAGCTTGGAAATGTCGGCGACCATGGCAAGTGGAAGTGGCCATGGAATAGGAGGACAGGGGAAGTTGGAGCGGGTCAGAATGGGAAGTCAAATTCCCCGCCACCACATTGGAAGGGTAGGCGCTAAAGCGGATGGACTCCCTAGGTGCGGGACAGTGGACAGCGGACAGCGGTCAATTGTGAATCGTGAATCAAGGATCAATAACACAGAAAACCTGACGACATACCTCTGGCCGGCCATGTTGAACACCTTTAGGAATTAGTCAATCAGAGCAACGCGCAATGATTCGGTAGTTAGTAGGGACTGGAACCCTTGGGGGCAATGAGTTTATTGGATGTTCGTCGGCAGATCCCCAGTCACTTAAAAGGGCCGTCACCATGTTAGTCGTGGATGCTCACAATTTGAGGGGTTCTGGTCAAAGCGACTCACCCAGAAAGATGGTGATAACCCTAAGGGACTGAGCTCAGCCAGCGGGTTGCTCTCATTGACCCAAACGGCGTGAGAGCAGTCGTGGCGATGCTGTGAGCAAGTCCTCGGTCGTAACTCCTTAGCTGTCAATCAGGCAATTGAGGCTGGCCAAAGTTCCAACTCGCCCAAGTTCGCCAACCTCAAACAATGGCAGCCGATCCAGAAATGGGTGCCGTTGTCGTCGTTCTTCCAGTACGAATCAATGGAATGCTTAATGGGACCATATGCATGACACAGTGAAAAGACGAGGGCATGTACGCGAGCGGTGGATACAGCTCGCGATGACGGTTTGCCCTTCCTTGTCGCAATTCTTAACAGTCGAATTTGACAGATAGATTGCTTGCTGGACTTGCTTGCCCCCTTTTGGCTGGTCCAAGATCAAATTGGGCGTGATGTTGTGCAGAGGGGGGAAATCGGCAAGTTGGGCCTGAAAGAGATGATAAGCCAGGCAAGGGAGCGCACGCATGCACACCCAACCAAGGTGGTGGTGCAAGAGGAGATAGGATTGGTTGGCAGGCGACCGCTTGGAGCGTTTAGACACCGACTGCCTTGCACTGGTGGGATATGCGCCCATCCCTTGCCTTCCTGTCCGTCCTTCCTCTTAATCAAGTCCTGTCTCCAATCGGCTAACAATATTGACTAGGCCGATACGGTGCAATTCGACGTGGGCACGGCCTGGCCAAGAAACGGCTACTGAAATATCTGAGGAGCTCCGGCGGTCCTTGTCCCTGGGGGTCGGATATGTGGCCACCACTCCTGAAATCAGGCCATTTTTTTCTATGCTATTGAGACGCTGGGCTGCACTGGGTTTCTAATTGGAAGCAACACCCTGATAACCTTCCCTTCATCAACATAGTGGTGCAGCATCCCGCGTCCAGAACATCCCACATATCGATATACTGTAAGTAAGTCTGATCCTTAAGTTGTGAAGTTCCATACTATTCCACTTGTTCGTTACAGTGGCAATTTCCATGGGAGCTCGACTCTCTACTTCCATACTTCTGGCCAACCAGAGTAGTTATAATTGCCTCTCACTGCATCCTTTAACCTTTTTTCTAACTCCTGCAGACTATGCAGGGACCCAGAGAGCCTCTTTCTGCGTCCACTTTCATGACAAACATAGTATCCCTTACACACAGTCTGCACTCCATAGTGGCATTCGGTGTATCATTAGTTACTAGCCGCTGGTTTCCTCATGAGTCGCAAATATCTAACAAGTCGGGGTCAATTGTGGTCCCATGTCGTCGAAGTCGATTCAGATCCGCGTACAAGTCATTAGGATAGTGAGGCCTTACACTGTCTTGCCGCTCAGACTTTGAGTGACTTTTCGATGGCTTCTCGCGTCCATACAGCAGTTAGCCAATTGCTTGGATGCCTGTAACCACTTCAAGTGGCAGTCGATCCACTAGCTCACACGGACTTGGGGGACTTCTTCGGGCATGAATTTCATCTGAAATGCGAACTAGATGCATTGGACTGTGCAACCTTCGCATCACCTCTTTTGACATAACATCAGGTCGTCCACGCACCCTTAGTAATGAGTCCCTAGATATAGATTCATATGTCACCCAAACCACGGGCAGAACCTTATACAATTGCCGTTCAAGTTAGCACCCTGCCGAGAGTTTGAACGTGAAGAGGCTTTCTAGCGGCCAATTTTCAGGCCCCGAGTTCGAATCATGACAATCTCAGAGTTAATGGTCATCAAATCTCTCTTGCTTCTCTTCGCAACATGTGGACTGCTATGATTCTTTGAAGCCCTTCTTGACGTCACCACCAAGCCGCTTGTCCATCGGAAGAGCTTCTAGTTCGATGTATCATACACACTTCGACAACGTTTCATGTAAAGCCTAGATTTATCGAGTCTAAAACAAGGTAATATTTCATCGGCCACGCATAGGAGAGACGGCCCGCTGCGGGGCGCGATTGGACCATCAAAGCACAGCCAGCCGCCCGCGCCCGCTGTCGTGGGAATATCAAAAACCACCGCACAGTGACGAAACAGGATCTGGAACACGCACCCAGTCATTTTGCTTTTGTTTCCAAACTGCGGATCTTGTCACAGAATCTGGCGCCGCACGTCTGCCCTTGTGCGTCTGCCTCTGTCAGCGCTCGCATCGTCAGGGGTCTCGCCAGGACACCCCCTGGACGCGCCTTGGCCTGCTTGCAGCGTGGCTTTCCCGTGCTTCTAACGTCTTGGTGCGAGTTCTTCCAAAATGCTTGGATCGAGTCACTCGCGTCATCGTGTTACATTCTTGTCGAGAAATACCTCGGGCGTTATAGCCGGTACCCGCCTACTCCACAGCTTCTGGTGCTAGGGCACATATGCTTCTTGTTTGTAATTGTTTCTGGATTTGAGTAAAAAGCTGACCTACAAATACGCGGCAATTTTTAGTGTAACCGTATCATAAGCTCCTCTACTATCTCCAACCTTCTAGAAGCTCAGAACGCCACGCCGTACAGTGCATGGTAACTATTGGTGTTAAGAGTCGCAGCTTGGCAGTTGTAGATGACAGGCTACATCCAAGTCCTCTGTAAGTGATTACTTTCAGGACATGATCTAGAATAAAACTCTCTAGACCCTCGGTCCCCAACCCCCCCATTTCGACGCTGCGAACTCTCCTACAATCCCCGTCACCGTTCCACGTATCTATTGTCGAATGGGAACTTCTGCCTCTTGGCCTTCGAAGATGGGCAACTCGGCCTCAACATCCTGCCAGGTCTTGTTGCCGTCGACCATTGACTGGATCGCCGCAATGATCGTATCCTCGTCGGCACGGACTTGTTTCGTCGAGTCTCGGTCACGAAGAGTAATGGATTGGTCCTTGACGGTTTGGAAATCAACAGTGATGCCCAATGGCGTACCAAGTTCGTCGTTGCGACTATACCGTCTACCGATAGTGGCAGAGGAATCATCGATACGATTGGAAATGCCCATCTTGCGCAACTTCTGCGACAGCTTGTAGCAAAACGGTTTAAACTGCTCGTTGCTCGAGAGCGGCACGATGAGCACCTTGGTTGGAGCAACTGTGGGAGGGAAAGAAAGAACCTGACCCGTTAGCTTTGTATAAAATGATAGTGGAGCTCAAGACTTACACCACGGGCCTCGTCGCCACCCTCACTACCTCGGCTCCAGTAACAATGTTCCACCAGAGAGTATAGAATTCTGCCAATACCGAAAGACGGTTCAATGACGTTGGGAGTGAACTCTCTGGTGTGTACAGTCCTCGTGCGCTTTTCGACTGTGACGAGCTCTTTGGGCACCACAACTTTGCCGTCACCTACACCAGGAACGTCGAGCGCCAGGGAGCCGACGGATTCTAGGGCTTTCGCAAACGCCTCTCTTTGCTGTTGCGTAGTAGTAAGGATTGCGGCCTCGACCGTCTTGCCATTTTTCTTGAAGTGAGGACCAAACTTCTTCCTGTCCAGGTCAACCTCCCACTCCTCGACCTTAATAGGCTCGGGCAGACGCTTGCGGACAATCAGGGGCGCGTTGGTCTTCTTTGCATGTACAGTCAAATCGTAGGCGCTACGGTCAGCACAACCAACACACTCAACCCAACCGTAGGAGGTGAAAAGTTCGGCGTCCCAGCAGTCACAAGCGTAATGGGCCATCTCATTCGCCATGTGTTGCCGGAAACGAACCTTGCTCTGGTCCACACCAATCTTTTTCAAGAAGAGGTGGATGCGAGCAAGGAAGTAACCCAGAGTCTCATTGTCTACGGTGCCGTTCGCAACTGCTTGACCAATTGCCACCTTCTCAACGTCGGTCTTGCCCGAAAGCTGCGTCTCTTTGTTCAGAAGCACCAGCTCGATGTCCTTGACCTCCTCAAACCGCGGGTGCTTCTTGCCGCCGTTGGGATCTACGTAGTGCTCGATCTCGGCCATCAAGAACTCGCGTACTCGTAGGAGACCAGCTCGTGGGGAAATCTCGTTTCTGTAGGATCGACCAATGGAAGCCGAAGCGAAGGGCATCTGCTGCTGGTTGAACTCTAGCAGCTTTGAGAAGTTCAGGAACTGGCCCTGGGCTGTCTCTGGTCTGAGATAGCCGGGCAGATTGCTGCTGGGGCCGATAGAAGTTTGGAACATGAGATTGAATGCAACAGGGGGTGACGGCTGGACACCAGTGGCTGGGTTCTTCATTTCGTACTTGACGATAAGTTCGCCCAGCTCTTCGCCGTTGTAGTTGTCGATCTTGGCCAGGATCTCCTCATACTCTTGTATCACAGCGTCGTCAAGCTTGACAACCTCGATGGCACCCTTGGCCTTGCGCTTCTTCTTCTTGGGATCCTCCTCCTTTTGCTCAATCACCTGGCCTCGTGCTTCCTTGTCACCTTTCAGTCGGTTCTCGAGTATCTCCTCAACGAAGTGGTCGGCGCGGAGAATTTCGCCGTTCTTCGGGTCCTTGCACATCCAATCCGCAAACTTGTCCACATGGCCGCTGGTCTTCAAAACCTCATGGGGGGTTAGAACGCTGCAGTCGAGCTCAAGCATGTCCTCTTCAAGAACAAAGTGTTTGCGCCAAATATCGACGATGTTGGCCTGCAGACCGCAGCCTGGCGGACCATAATCGTAAAGACCCCCAACACCACCATATATCTCGAAGGACGGCGTGTAAAACATGCGCCGGCGCAACATGGAGTCCAAGGCCGGACGATCGAGGGTTTGACCCTTCAGGGTCGTTGCTTCTGTCGTCATCTTGCAAGGCTTGGTTGGTTTCTTGTTTGAGATGAATCGCAGTAAGGCTGGTATCGTAGTAAAATTGCGATACGGCAGTGCCGTGACTCTTGATGATACCAAGTTTCGAAAATTCCCACTTAATAATGGTCTTTGCTGTAGAGATATGACCCTCATTCACGGAACCAAGCGGAGAGACAGAGAGTGAGTCACTCGAAAACAAATAAGCTTATGCAGGCCGGTTGTGGGGTGGAAGAAGTCGAGGTTGGTGAGAGGGTATGACTGTTTATCCTGAGGGCTTCGGGCACCTCAATTGAGTTGAGTTCATAGCAGCGCTTCGAAGCCAAATTCTTCTTAGCGAGGGGTAAAATCAAGCTGAAAACCCGGAATCAACTTTGCCGATCAGCCCCTCCAAGCCGGGGGCTGATGTGAGTTCCCAATCGTGCCCCGCCAAAAAGTTTTGGAGGCTTTGAATCCCTGCTAGACGCTAAACCAAAAACTTTTGAGATTTCGACAGTCCTATCGCAACTCTCCGTTGCAACGCCTAAGTCGCAAGTATTCCACGTCTATACAAAGCATTGTTTCGAATCAGTCATTATTCCGTCTGGCAACTTTGCAACTTTGGTCCAAGTCCGATACGAGACATTTCGACACCATGGGACCACAAAGAGGTGGCAGTGGAGGCGGCTCCCTGACCAAGAGAACCGGCAACAAGCTGTTCAGGCAGTCTCTATACGTCAAGCAAAAGCAGGATCGTGAGAAGGAAAAGCGTGAAGCTAGATTCAGAAGGAAGAAAGAAGAAGATGCAGACCCCGAGTCTCGGCGCGCGCGACTAGAGAAAAACCAGCCCATGACAATTGACCGGAAACGAGTATGGGATGATGTGGACGATGATGGGCTGGGTTCGGCCGTCAATATGGAACAATTGTTGAAGCGGAGACGCATGGAACAGGCTGAAGCTGAGGAGAAAGAGGCTGCTCTGGCTGAACAGGTCGAACAAGGCGGGGACGATGAAGAAGCGGACTGGAAAGACGACGACAGCATGCTGGGCTCCGACGATGACGACGACTCTGACAATGAAGCTGCTGCTCAGGCGCGCGCAAAACGGGCGATGCGAGACGATAGCATGGCACCGTCCACAACCAGTACAAATCTCGACCTGACACCAGAGTCGCTCGTTGCCAAGTTCCCGACGTTGTTCTCAGATGACGCTCCAGCCGAGCCTAAGGTGCTAATCACCACCTCACTCAAGTATTCGACACACATTTCCTGCGCGGGTTATTTTCCGCTGCTAATATCACGTCTAGTTCCACGCTCCACGACCAAGCTCAGTTGCTTTGCACGCTATTTCCCAATTCATCCTATATCCCTCGATCCGCGCATAAATATGGCCACAAGTATTCTGTGCGCGAGATTGCGAAGTTCGCGGCGAACCGTGATTACTCTGCGATCATGGTCTTGAAAGAGGAGTGCGTTCTCTTCTGTCAGCTTACCTCTGAATAGTGCAGCCTCCGGCTAACCCTTATGTAGCCAGAAACGCCCGATAGGATTGGATGTGGTCCATCTCCCGGCAGGCCCAACCTTTCACTTTTCGATTTCAAACTGGGTTGAGGGCAAAAAACTGCCGGGACATGGCAATCCTACAAACCACTGGCCAGAGCTACTTCTGAATAATTTCCAAACGCCTTTGGGCGTGCTGTAGGTCAACCAACGCACCTCTTAAGCTTTTGTCGTCTTTCACCATTGGCACACTCACTCAACGTGGCGGCTTGTGGTCTTAAGACGTGATCTGCGACTTGCCACTTCTCATGAGATTAGTTGTAACTGACTCAAACATTTGCAGCACGGCTCGGCTCTTCCATTCGCTCTTTCCTAAGTCTCCAGAGTTCCAGGGACGCCAGGTAGTTACGTTACACAACCAGAGAGGTGAGTAGCGGTCTGCTCTACAACGTGGGTCGCAATCGCTAAGCTGAGTCTAGATTATATATTTGTCCGGCGGCATCGTTACGTATTCAGGGAGAAGCGTGCAACTGAGGTATATGAAGTCCTCGGGCCCAACCCCCCGGAAACTGCTAGCTAATAAGATGGTAGAAAAGCGTTGTTGGGTCCGATGGAAAGGAGCTGAAGGGTGTTGAGTCAATCCGGGCTGGACTGCAGGAGCTGGGCCCTAGATTTGTAAGCTTTTCAAACCCTCCTGATGATTCTGACCCGTTGTCCCATTTGAAGTTCCCATAAACTGAATTTGTTGGCTAACATCCACCCAGACGTTGAAGTTGAGACGCCTCGACAAAGGTATTGGCCGGGCTGGCAGTGAAGGGGATGATGCTGTGCAATGGGAGTGGAAGGCCAAAATGGAGAAGAGTCGCACAAGATTCAATCTATAAGTCTTCTTTGACCTCCATTCGACCGTACAATATGTGGAGAATATAACCCTATAATGTTCAAGGTTAATACTCAGGCTTCATTTTCTCAGACAGCTTCAATTGGTTCACTGTTAATGGCAGTGACTCGTTCTCTGAAAACGCTTCACCACTTACTTTTGCTAAACAAGTGATATCCCAGCTATTGCTACTCCAAGACTGTTCAGCCAAGAGACAGCGATACAAACTACCCGGCTTTCACCTTTTCTTTCTCTTTCATTGAGTTAGTTCTCTCCGCGTCCAATCTTCGCCAAGGCACATTGTTCCCCTTTAGGATGCTTGCTATCCGATTCCTTACAATGCCTCATACAGGCTTGTATTACTAATTTTGCCAAGTTTAGGACCATATGGGGGTGTTCGGTCTTCTGCATTCTCTAAATACAACGCGATGTTGATACATTTACCTCTAGGTGATCTACTTCAATCCACTCCTCCGAGTGCAATCCATCACTTGTGGGACCGAACAAGACAACGGGAATCCCTGCATCAGCCAGCAGAGCACAGTCGATCCAAAAGGATCCTCCCCGAAACATCGCTGGCCGTACAGTGATAGTTTCGGCTTTACGAGCCACCGGAGAAACGAACGGGTCGTCCTTGGATATCGAGAAAGGAGAGTGGGAAAAGTTGAGTGTCAGGCCGTGCGTGAAGTCAGGCAAGCTCTTAGCAAGTGCAGCCAGCAAATCGCCCATCTCTTCCAGGACCGATTTAGTGGTTTCCGCTGGAACCGTCCGTCTCTCCACAACAATACTGCACTTCGCCGTGTACAATGAAGTCGCTTCATCCCCCTTGATGTTAGAAGCATGCACAGTCGCCGACCCAAGCAAGAGATGATGAAACCCCTTTCTAAGCCGCTGACCGTACTTGTGAAGCTCAACCAGGAAATACCCAGCCTTCACAATAGCATCGATCCCCAAGATCCGGTCTACTCCCATGCACGGAAACCCCTTGGATATCAACCAACGGACATGCAAAACCCTTATGCACAATATAGATGGCCAGCGAATTGGATTCACGTACGACCGCTGCGTCGGCGGCGGTAGTGAATATCACCTCGCCCCTGATTCCCGCCCTGCCCTCCTGCTTCTCTCTCTGCAACTGCGCAAGCATGATCATGCCGGTCGCAACTCTACCTTTCATAGCGGCCGACCCATGCCCGTATAGATTGCCATTATAGCCAGTTAGCGTCACGGTGTCGATATGGCTGTTTAGCATCAGGCTCTTTCCTCCATGGCCGGAGGCCTTGACAACGCCGATGGTGGAGGATCAACCCGGGGTGGGTTCGAGTCAGTGAGTTTTGATGTTGCGGTGTTGAAGCCAGGCCTCGATGTACCGCGCCCTTGTGTTGATTAGCTTTTGGCCCCCATTTTCAAATTTCAGTATTGTAAGACGCTCAGCGGATGTTTGCAGCTGCCGTTGCACATTCCTATCTCGACTGACTGGGGACTTAAAAAGAGATGCACCAAACATATAAATACTTGGAATAAGTTATTCAAGTAAGGATATTTAACGATCACCTCTGAAGTCCGACCGCTCGACTTTCAAGTTCTTATTCCATTCAGCCAAACTACCGGTTTAAATCGCATTTACAGATACCTAGTTAGGTACACTATGTGGAACAGACTAGTATCAGAAGTCAAATCACTTGGTCGATTCCAGACTCGTTCTGAGAAGGCAAATAGTGACGGAATGTATACTTAAAGAGCAGACCATACAAGCTATTCAAGTACAGGGGATGTCACAAAACCCCAGCTGCGCTTCTCTGAGAATGTTACATAAATTCGAGGATCATCTGGCCGCCATCACAGTCGAAACGGAGGCGTCCTGGCTTGCACTCTCGGCCTCTGTCGCCTTGATCCCTCGGGGCGGACATATCCTCGAGGGAACGAAGCATGATCCAGACACCTGGAACTTAGCTTTTGTACTTCATACGCGTTGCAGGTTTTGCAAGTTCACCTATGGATGAAAACCTGTAAAACAAAAGATCTCAAACTGAGCCTGAAACTCTGTACAGAAGTTGAAAACTCATTTTGGGTGATTGAAATATATTTGCTGAAGCAGCTTATATATTCCGCACATGCTCGGCTATTGAATTGTAAGTACCTGGGACTGAACTAAGTATTAGTTAAGATTATTTATGTACGCCAGGTCGTTACCGAAAGGCTAGCCGGAGATCGTACCGATAGTTGATGTGGGGGCCCGCTGCAGTAGCATCGACCTGACAACCGGGCGCAGTTCATTGGTGCATCAGGTCATTGTCTTGTCTTATCGCATCCCCCATGATATATACGGATGACCTCGAAATCGAGCACAGTTTAGAATTCACCACTTCTCCATACATGTACCCAACGCGGAATTGAATTCATCTAGTCACTCACCTTGCTGATGCAACATGATTGATTGAATACTGTCTCAGATGGTGCCCCCGAACGGCCAGCTGCCACTCCTTTTGAACCCGGGCCTTCCCTTCCGCTGCCCATCATAACGCCATCGACTCCAGGGTGATGCGAGACGTACGTCGACAATCTGCACCATCTTGTTCATCGCCCATAGCCGCCATGGACCGCTTTCGATCGCTATTTCAGAAGAGAGATGATGAGCCGGAATACGAGCCTCTGAATGAGGATAGGGAGGGACACTTCCGGGAAGCTCGACATGACCACGACAACGAAGCGCCCTTCTCGTGGGTCGAGTATGGCATCTTCGCGTTGCTCGGCGTTGCCATGCTATGGGCGTGGTAGGCACAGTTCCTCTATTGACGAGTTTGAATATTCGAGCTGATCATTCGCTACTACAGGAACATGTTCCTCGCCGCAGCACCCTACTTCCAGAGCCGATTCCAAGACAACGATTGGGTGCTACAAAACTTCCAGTCTGCTATCATCTCCGTCTCGACCATCACGAATCTGACTGCCATGACCATCCTTACCAACATTCAATACACGGCGTCATATCCATTCCGAATCAATACTGCGCTGTACATAAATATCGCAGTGTTTGCACTTCTGACGCTCTCGACTATGGCGTTTGTCGACGTCACGCCGGGCCAATACCTCGGTTTCTTGCTAGTCATGGTGGCAGGCACTGCTTGGGCAGCCGGGTTAATTCAGAACGGCGCATTCGCCTTTGCGTCAAGCTTCGGCAGGCCAGAATATATGCAAGCGATTATGGCAGGCCAAGGTGTCGCTGGTGTGCTTCCACCTGTTGCCCAGATCATCTCGGTGCTTGTAGCTCCCCCACAAGAGGTTAGCCCGGATGCACGGGGGGGTGAACGAGAGGCAGGAACAGCAGCTTTCATATACTTCCTTACTGCGGTCATTATATCCGCTATTGCCATCCTATCATTCATCCCGCTCGTGCGACGCCACAACCACATCGTCGAGAACCGCATGGTGGACCACATGGCCGCATCTATGAACAACATCGAAGAGGCCGAGCGCGCAGCGCGCAAGGTGGTCAGCATGACCACGTTATTTAAGAAACTGCGCTGGCTTGCCGCCGCCGTGTTCATGTGCTTCGTAATAGCCATGTTCTTCCCTATCTTCACGCCCAAGATCCTGTCCGTCACGCCGCCGGAGGAAGCCGGGTCGCTACTGCAACCGGCTGCCTTTATCCCGCTGGGTTTCTTCTTTTGGAATCTAGGCGACTTGGGTGGCCGGTCGAGCTCGCTGATCCTGCCATACAAGGGACGGCCGGCGGTGCTCTTCGCCGTCAGTCTTGCAAGGACTCTGTTCTTGCCGCTGTACGCGCTGTGCAACATCCATGGAAAAGGTGCAGTAATCAGAAGCGATGTGTTTTATTTGCTGCTGGTGCAGTTTCCATTCGGGCTGACGAACGGATGGCTGGCGTCGAACTGCATGATGGCTGCCGGCGAGTGGGTAGATGAGGGAGAGCTGGAAGCGTCGGGAGGCTTCATGGGACTTTGTCTCGTTGCAGGATTGGCGTTTGGCAGCTTGTTAAGTTTCACAGCTGCTGGTATATAGTGATGATGAAAGGAAAACATGTTTTCATAAGTGCATGGCGTTGCATTCGGAGTAGACATGGATGGCACTGCGGATATAGAACGTTCAATTCCACATCACTGGAGCCTTTTGACTGCTTCCAACCCTGAATTGATTGCATGTTCCTTGTTTCTACTTCAAATCGCAACCAGTAAACTTGCTGTGAAAATGAAATACCTAGGTAGTTTTTAATCTGAATTGAATCAATAAACTGTTTCACTTCTAGGCTCCCTCTGCCCTGTTGAGTTTTCTTGTTCGTGTTTGTTGAGCATCTCGTTGATTGCGACCCCAGTTAAAAGTTGGGGTGTTCTATGTTCGATGAGGTATTACCCAATTGGAATGGATCTTTCGTCAGTCACATTCGAACTGCTAAAATTCCATGTCTATAGAGTGAATGAACGGCTTATTAGCAAGTGACGCGCATTTTTCTCTTGTCGCCCCACGATGCCTCTTTTTACGAGCTGGGCCGCGTATTGGCAAGACCCGGCACTGCCACACTCAGATGCCGGGCTGGCTCGACCGGTCAATGGTAGGTTAAAAAGGGGAAAGTTCTGGCTAACTCAAGCTTGCAAGTACCTTACTCACGAGAAGTTGCTGCCACCCGTTTCAAGTTTCACATATCATCGTCCTCATCTTATCGCACAACTCACTGAGAGAATATACCATCATCATTTTTCTTACAGGTATCTACTCCGAGCCATCTTCGCTCTCGATCTTCAGATCCTTTCAGGTTTCCTCCACTGTGTCGTTCATTCTGGTTATTTTCAAACTGGAGTACTCACTCAGCTCTTTTGAATTGTGTGCTTTAGTCTTCTGGTCATTCCGCTATAGAGGTCACTCATATCCTTTTGGGCTTATCACTTCCTTTTGAGTGTATGTACATGTGAGGCAGGGGGCTGGGGATTCAGATTGATCGTGTGATCATTAGCTACAAGAACCAACCAAGAGGGCGACCAAGGAGGCAGGCAAATTTTAGAAAGACGACCGATCAAGCACAACGAAAACACTATCTATCACCAACTTTTTCCATCAACTTAGACATGGAAGACATCATGACTCTAAAGACATCGCGACGACAGGTGCTCGAGGACCTCTGGGACCTCGTCGGAAACCGGACATCGAAAACAGGGACAAGTCCCGAGATGGATAAAATTAACGTCTACCTAAAGAAATCCAAGTTGCGCTACTTCACTGAGGGCCGGGCGAACGTAGTTTTCAGAGTGGAGGACGAGCAGGACGGCAGCTTCACCGGGGCCTTGCTCCGAGTCCCCAAATCCACCCCGGGCGCCGATCCCCACAGCTACAAGCGACTGCAGGACTACCGCGAGAAGTACATCGAGCCCGCTGTCGGAGCTCAGTTTCTGGTTCCTCAGTTCCTCATCGAACTCACCGAAGAGCAAGCCAAGGACTTGAGCCAGAAACGCGATGAGAAGCTCGACAGAAACGATGGGAGCATCATCCCTCCTGGATACGCCATGTTGATCCAGGATATGTCTCAGTGGCCCGGGTCTAACCAGATTACCCTCGAGTTCAAGCCCAAGTGGCTGGCCCAGTCTCCCATCGCGCCCGAGGACGCAACGCGTTGCCGTACTTGTGCGCGCGAGGCGCACCGCAACCAGGTCAAGCTGAAGGAGGGCAAATCCTTTACTCCCCCGGTATGCCCGCTAGGCCTGCTGCACCCGAACCCCGACATCGTGACGGCCACCATCCGAGACCTGGCCCCTTCGTGGTCAGAGGACGACCAAAGGCGGCTCAAGGATGCATTCACGGAGACCAAGATCCTCGAGACGCTACGGCATCACCAGGTCGCAGGCGACGAGGGACGGATCATGTTCGAGCACCCAGAGAAGCCTGAGTTCGGGCTCGCTATGACGCTGAGGGATTGCACGTGTTTTGTGAGGCTGGACAAGGGCACTGGCAAGGTCGAGATCAAGCTCGCGGATGTGGATGAGAAGAATTGGAAGAGTAAGCAGGTTTATTGGCAAGAGTCGCATGATATGTATGTGGATGGAGGGTTTTATCATGGCAGGGAGGAGCCAGGGATGGAAACGCATTGTAAGCTCAAGACTGAATGATTGGACTGCACGGGGTGCGGCGTGGGGTTATGGATGGGTTGGTTGGAACGGTTATCGGGTTATATTCTATGGAGAAATGGTAGAGGGAAGAAGAGGCAATGTGGCTGGCTAGTAACGATGCATATTACACGATAATCGCGATATTATATATTAGCTTTGGGGGTGATTATAACCGGGATACCACACGTCTCAGGATAATAGTCAGGTAGTGCAAAAAGCTAGCGATGATGCGCTCATAATCGGTATGTATATTACAAGACTAACTTTTAAGGAATCTAAGTTAGGTGAGAGTGTCCGACATCTCCTCATTAGCTATGGCGGATCCGCAGGACCGGATTGGGCGCGAATCCTCTCCCCCCTTCCCCTCTCTGGGGGGACACAGCAAGTTGGTAAAATATCTAATAGGTCTAGGAGGACAATATATATATGACACTTGAGAGCGTATCGGGTAATTGTGTAAGGTATAGCGGTGGAAGAAGCGCTAGTAAGAGGACGAAGCGGCACTATAGAGGTAACGTAACGTAATATTATTACGGGGACCTAACCTTCGGGCCATACTATATATAACCTAACGCCTAACGCCTAATGCCTAACCATACCTACGGTATACCCAAATTCCCATATTATCGCCGCCCTACGCTCGGAGTAAAGGTTTCTAGTATCTTATTAACCTACTACGGGTCGCGAGGGAACTCCACCCGTAGGACCTCCTAGACCTTCTGACAAGAATACCCCTTACGTCAGATATTCACGTATCTTGCAGTGGAACCTTGATATGACGGTGATATGACCTCTCTGTGCGATGGCTATGACCTTGAGGTAGCTAGTCCAGTTGATTGGTATTGTTCTGTGCTCCGGAAGGCCCTTAGGGTGACCCTAAGTAGCTGGTAATCTTAGCCCTATACTACTGGTTAATCACGTGACTCATTGTATCTGACACATCCCCTTAGGCGACTGCCCTGTTGACTATCGAATGTGGACTTCCGCAAGGATCGCCCGTCTCGCCGATCCTCCTTCTATATATCGAGCCCCTATTTAAGCTGGGCACCTGCAGACCTGGACGCAAGCGCTCGCGATTCGGCTACGTGGACGACATAGCTATACTGTCAAGCTCTAGTTCCCTAGAAGAAAATTGCACTATACTGGCCGAAGAGTGGAAAGCAGCACTCGACTGGAGCATGTCTGAGGGTATCACGTTCGACCCCGACAAGACGGAGCTAATACACTTCACAAGAAGAGGGAGAGATGCAAACCCACCCATTACCACTACGCAACAGAATGGAACGATCCACACTGTTCAACCCATCAAAATCGGTGCTGCACTCAGGTGGTTAGGCGTCTACTTCGATAGAAAGCTTAGCTTTAAGGCCCATGTCAAATTCGTCTCAGCTAAAGCTCTACAGGTTGCTAACGGACTCCGGTCGTTAGGAAACACAATCAGAGGGGCCCCAACACGACTACTCCGTCAAGCTGTAATCGCGTGCGTGCTCCCCGTGCAATTCTACGCCTCGGAAGCATGGTGGCCGTCTGCCAGACAGAACAAGAATGGACGCATTATCTCAAACCGGGTCCAATCCCTAGCTGACCAAATGGATCGAACGCAGAATACCGCAATGAGAGCCATGCTTCCTGTATATAGGACCACGCCAATACCGGTCCTGCAACGGGAAGCGGCACTACCGCCAGCAGAAATCGCACTCGACGCAAAACTCTATGCGGCTTCTGTTAGATTACACAAACTGGATAGCCGCCATCCCTTACGCAGGAGGCTCAGACATCCTACGGGCCCCGATTCGAGGTTAAGGCGTATGGCGAGCCTAACCCCAGATACTGCAGAATATATAGATCCTCTGCAAATACCGCCCTGGGAGCAGGCTGGCGAATGGTCCATCACCCTCGCCAAGATCGGTTATATCCCAGGACAGTCAAAGGAGGAGGCTGCCCGCTCGTTTCTACAAAGGATAAACGAGTTTTCAAAGCGCGATATAATAATCTATACAGACGGCTCGCTGGCTACCCATAGCGACAGGACCTTAGCTGGACCAGGCTGGGCTGGTTATCAGGCCGGTAAAAGACTACTCTGCGGGTCCGAACTACTGGGCTCTCAGATAGAGGTATACGATGCGGAAGCCCACGCAGCACTACGGGGGCTTCAGGAGGCTGTAAAGCTTCCGTCCAACAGCATGGCAGATAACGTCCACATCTGCCTCGATAATCTCGCGGTTGCGGGTAGGCTCATCTGTCCAAGTCCCGGAAGCAGTCAAGCAAAATTCACCGCCTTCCAAGAGCTGTCCAAAACCTGGTCACAGAGAGAGCGAAAACCCTGGACATCCCCGGGACAAGTGTATATCTGGTGGTGCCCAGGACACGTAGGCATCCCCGGAAACGAAGAAGCAGATGTCCAGGCCAAAGCGGCCTGTGAGCAACCACCCAAGACACAACACCCGGCGTCATTCGCACATATAAAGAGAATCGCGAGATCCTACACTTGGAAGAGTTTCAACGATCGATGGGCCACTACCTGCCCTCAACAGTATCGAGATCTAGGGATCGCTATCCACCCGCGACCCCCCGAACTTGGCCTGCCCCGGCAACACCTAGGCAGATTACTCGCAGCGAGGTCGCACCACGGGGATTTCGTGACCTACCACGAGAGACTCCAGCATCGCGACGCACTGCTCAACTGCGGGTGTGGAAAGACAAAGACACCAGTCCACTTCTACTTTTGCAAGCGCGGCCGCAAGGCCACGCCCGGTCATCTAAAAGCGCATATGGCCAAGAATAGTATAGATTCCCTCCTAGGCACGGCCAAGGGAGCTCGTTTGTTTTGTCAATGGGCGGAGGAGACCAATTTCTTTACTGAGATCTGCCCATCGCACTGAACAGGAATGTTAGATGAAGACAGTCCCCTGTAACATAGATTCGACTAGCATAGACCATGCCGGCACTGCGCCCGGCACGTCTCACGTGATGAGACGTTAAATTTCAATCAATCAATCAATCATATAGAGTTCTATGGATATAAGATTTATTATGTCTTCAAGCAGACCTCCATTCGGACTCTCCTCCATACAAAAGCTCTTCTACTACGTCAAAGTCCTCCTCGCACAATTATTTGAGCTGCCTGGCGTCGATCTTTCCCTTGATATCTACTAATCCGGCTTATCTTATAAACTTCCTGTTGCGTGCCCCAGGCACACCGCCTGTGTGCTGGATACAGCGATTGGGCCAATTACCCATAGATAACTCTTCCGTAGCTGCAGCCTCTGGGACTTAGTCCTATTATCATCACCGATACAACCCTCTTGCCTGTATTTCCAGCACTTCCTAAAGCTCTCAGATGGCAGCACCTTCGTTGAGTAGTCGGCAAGTATATTCCCGGTAGGTATGTAGGAAACCTTAATCTGCTCTGTTTATACTATATATCTTAGCTAATGGTTATAGATATCTATGTATCGTAATTAGTTTGTAAAGCGGCTATATCCGTATTTACACGCCAGATAGTTTATTAGTTGTCACACTAAATATCTAAGCACGAAGAGTCTGGCGTGATACTAAACTCCTTAAGTAATTGGGATACGAATAGGGTCTTTTTAACGGCCTATGTAAGGGATAATGATTCCGCCTCTAATATAGAAGTAGTAGCTATATCGTACTTATTCGCGCGCTAGATAATCACTCCTCCGAATAGCTTTATAATATAGCCTTCCGGTCGATCGGATTATGGGTAAAGGAGGTATCGCTCTAGGCCTCGAAGGAATCGCCTCCTCTGTGACGCCTGTCATCTGGACGATAAGCAGAGCAGGGACACCTCAGTAGGGGCTGGCTGTCCCACCTGTAGACACCCGTCCTCTTTATAGCAGAGGAACGGATATCTGTACTTGAAACCCTTTCTCTCTTCTTCGGTTTAGTATTCGTTAACAGAGATAGACTGATATCGCAACTTTGATTCGTACTCGCAGTGCCCCTGCCTCGTCACACCCTCTAAGCTAAAGAGCGTACTCTTTATTACCGAGAAAGTATCGGATTAGGATACCTATATTAATTTATACTTACTGTCTCGAATAATTTCGATACCTAGGAACCACTAAAGGTTATTACGTCTAGTCAGCGTATAGACAGACTTGGTTGATCCTCGGCTTTGTTATAGTAGAGCCTACTATCGTTACATGATACTCTAGACCTCGTTGAGATGATAGAAACCTAGAACAATTGTTATTGTAGTTATATAAAGAATTCTATATAATCCAGACGTCTATAAGTAGGTCGATCTAATAAGGGAATCAGCCTGTATTTTAACCTGCCGTAAATCATGGTTCACGAAGACACGTATCCGGTATGATATTAGTATTGTAAGTAATACCCGGGATTTCGTTTCTAGTAAAGGGTAGTTGATATATAAGACTTACGATAGAGCTTGTCCTTCACTATACCGATAGTTATTCTGAAGATAACTACCGCGTTTAGATCTACCCCGGTAACAAGCGTTCGCCAAGGAGAGGTAGAGGCTGGAAACTTTCTAGTACTCGTAGATAAGGCCAAAGAATCCATAGGCGTAGGTGATAGTACAACGTTCAGTATAAATATGCTCTTTATCGAGTTTTCTGGACGAGCTTGGCTATATTTGGTAACCATCGACTTGCCTGGCTTATTTCGCGCCGGAAATAAAGAATATTCAGCTGGTAATACGAAAGTAGTCCGTTTAGTGGTATGCGTTTATATTAACAACCCACTCAGTAGACCGTCTCAGGTTTAGGCGCTTAGATCAGCGGCAAGGGCACTCCCACGCCTAATATTGGCCGGCAGGAGATCTAAGCAAATACGAACAGGGTACGAATCAAACCTTTGGAAAACCGAAACCTCTTCTCTACTACCACCAAGCATATCCATTCTTAAACTTCTGCTCGCTATGATCCTCTCTTATTAGCGACTGGGATAGCGACTGGGAAAACAAAGAGAGGCAAGCTATCCTGGTCTTGTAATACACTGGCGGGGATAGATCATCGTATCGGGGAATTCATGACATAAAAAGACCGATGGACGCCTCATCGGAAGGTTTCCTCTTGATCCTTGAGACAAAGTCTCACCAGAACCATTCGTCCAGAAAGATGATCGTATTTAGCCGTTCAGCTAACAGCCCTATCCGAACACTGAGTAACTTCTGCAGAGCCGCCTTCCTCAGCGATCTTTGACGAGTTGAATGCTTTTTGGTTTGGGCTCGATTTGTTGGTTTCCCCGCACCTGGGCCGTATATAGAGTAACATGTGTGAAATTCGCTGACCGTGATCCCCGTGTCTCCAGAGTACTACGTGCACAGAATGTCCTATTACCAAGTTGCATGGACTTGAATCAGCCGCACTAGTTTGAACGATGCGTCCTTTCAATAGATTCCCAGGTACAGCCTCCTTCGGGGCAAATATCAGCGCCCTTAAGCAGTCGATCTGCAGTCCCCCATGCCGCTGCGAAGACTGTCAGACCGGCTTCTACATGGAAGAGGAGCAGTGGAAACCCGAGTTCTCATATCGCCGTAGGTTACTGGACAAAGAGGCCGAAGCCATCACCAACGACTACATTGAGCATATTGCCCAGAATAGGGAATACCTGGCCCAGCGCCTTCAATCTCGTGCAGATCTGCTTATGAGCCGATGGCGAAAGCGAAGCACCGAGAAACGGCAGGCTCTGTTGACGGAAGCAGCGCCAGATATAGCACTCTTGTCATGGACACTCCCTCGGTACAGCTACGACCCCGAGCGCAAACTAATAGATGCTAGAACTCTTACCAGACGGCGGCAACTCTTGGCCCCATGGTTGAATATCGAAGTGCTGAAGAACAATCCCATGGTGCTTTATGCTCTTTTACACTACAGAGTCGCATACCCCCCACAGGACTGGGCTGCTTTTGATTGCAGACAGCTTACACTGAGCTGGGCATGCGGGTGGATTGATGTTGACTACTCACCGAAATGCGTGGTGATGTATGGTCCACGGTACGGCGAGCTCGTTAACTGGTCGGAAGGACCGGCTCATCGATCTGATATTCTGGGCTTCCCTCGAGCTAGGCTTGTGCTCGAAGTCCAGGGATATATCATGGCAGTGCTCAGGTCTGTTGTCGACAAGATCCTCGAAGGCGCAGACGAGACACTCGATCCACGTGCACTGAATTGGGCAGCGCTTACGGGCAATGCTGGTTTTGGGCATACTGGCGAAGTTGAATTCTGGTCACCTTACACGAATCAAGCGTTCTCGGCTCCACCGAAACTGGAACTGAACTATCTTCTGTCCCTGGCGAAAACTCGGCTGGATTCTACAGCAGATCACCTTTGGAACCTTCAATGTGATGTCGCATATATGCGTCGCTACCTCAAAGTCCTCGGCGATATGACCATCTTCAAACTTGCGGAGAAAGAACATGCAGCTAGTCGAATTGCGGACGAGCTCCTGCGCGAAGTATTTGATCATTTCTGGTGGCGTTGGCTTGAGATTGAGTGCAGACACGTTGCTGAGATACAACATCGGTTTCAAGATGGTATCCATCCTGGTCACCCGCTCCCGACTCCATACGATCGGGCTTTGAGTGGCCTAGAAATCATTCTCGTCGATCAGGTGATATACAGGGCACAGCGACTGGGCGGACAGATCCCATTCAGCAAAGGGTTTTCGAGACATTGGACGCTCAAGCGCGAGTCTGGTATACCCAAGGGCATGAGTCGATTGACACGAACGACACCGACGAATACACAAGAGTCTTTAGAGAATGATCAGCTTGATTGGATATTGACACAGCTGCAAGGGCACCCGGGCCGACAGACACATTTCGAACACTCGCTTCTATTCAACATGCTGCAGAGTCATCTCGCTAGCAACAGCAGAGAAAAGTCGCGGCTTGACGAGCGTATGTATGGAATCCTGTCCGACCTTTCTACTTGCCACGAGATGCTTGTGGCCATTCTTCTGAATCGACCGCAGAATAAGAACGGGAATATGGACGACTACTCCGCAGAAGAACGTGGAGGTTGGAAAAGACTGCGCAATCATTCGAAAATAGCCCCACAACGTGATCTCGAAGCGGCCGGATCGAAACTTTTGGATGACTTTGCTGCGACAAAACTGACAGGCGTTCCCAAAAGCATGAAGACGCTCCAGTGTTTTCGCGACGCGCATGTTGCCATGAAGGAATTCTGGTCATCTATGCGAGTAATCGTGAAGAACATGCTCGCCAACTCAGCCTTTTCAGACCATGAACTCCGATCTTTGCTCAATGTCATGGAAGCAAACGAAAGTCCTGAGTACATCAAGGCCATGGAGCTGAAGATTCGAAGCTATTGAGAGAAATTGAAGGAAAGCAGAAGTTCACTCAAGGAACAATTTTCTCCTCCGCGGAATCTGAATTTAGGGCTGAGATTACGACAAGAGCCCCAAAGAACAAGATCAAGAACCGCCCTGAACCGCTTGATGATACCAGTCAAATCGAGGTGGCAGAGATCACGGTGATCCCAGAGGACGAGCCTTCTGCAGTTCCCAGCCTCCCGGTCTCAAAACGGGCATTTGACTTGATCAGATTCATGTTTCCACGATCCCCAGACGAAGCAGCTAGATCGGTCGGATGGAATGAGTTCGTTCACGGTCTCCACGATGTCGGCTTCACGGCTCGAAACAGCGGGGGCTCGGCTGTTATGTTCGAAAGTCCGGACAGTGGTAGAATCGTGTTTCACAAGCCACATCCCTTTCCCAAGCTTGATCCGATAATGCTGCACTCGGTGGGCAAGAGAATGGCGAAAAGTTTTGGTTGGACTAGGGATGCGTTCATTCTGGATGAGAGCCCCAAGTAAAATCTTTGATATGTAAATGCTGACATATTGTTCCATCTACGTTGACATATCCCGCCACAAGCAGCCTCACTGCTAGTTGTCACTTACGGAAGAGTCTCAAATAAAAGCAACATAAAGCCCCTGAAATGGTACTCATCGCCTCTCTAATCAAAAAGCAGGGCACTAAACTCTGAATAGTAAGACCCATGCGATTTAGTGGAAGTTGAGATAGATCAAAGGCAAGCGACTGGATTGCCTGAAACTCCATCACGACCGCATAGCCAAGGTTCACTTCTTTATCGAGGGACCAACTATGGTTAATGTTTGTGCCTTTTATTCCAGTTGGAATGTGTCGCCGTTAATTGTAAGCGATCTCGTACGAAACCCCGTCCTTCAGCGTTCTCCCCACTAAACAGTACAAGAAAAAGCGGTACCCTCAGCCGCCGGCGGGAAGGATTGGCTAGCACATCGTGGCTACTATTAGATCTTGCAGTCCCAGGGCCTCGCGTTCGGCATCGGGTCCGGCGGTGTGTTTAGAACAGCACTGATCTGCGTGGCCCAGTGGTTCGACCGCCGCCCAGGCCTGGCCGTTGGCATTGCGTGGGAAGCAGTGTGGGAGGTGTGATCTTTCTAACCTTCATCGTCCAGCTCTCGAAGAAGATCGGCCTTCATGGTGCAATCCGTTATTCAACCCTCATAATCGGTATCCTTCTCGCCTTGCCGTGTTTTTGGAACCGGGCACGCCTGCCACGGAAGAAATGGGATCCCAGCCAAAGGTGGCTTGACCTCACCATGTTGAAGAGAAGCAGTTCGCGGTTTGCATTCTGGGAAGCTTCCTCATTATGTGAGTGTAATCGAATTCCCTGAACCTAACTAAACAGGACTGGGCTAACATGTAGTCTGGCTTCACCAAAGGTGAGGAATTTGGGGACCCTTCAACTTTTTGTCGAGTATGGCTATGAAAGCTGGCTTCCCCGACACTCTGGCATTGCGCCTCATCTCGATCGTCAAATATGTCTCCCGGGCTATTGCAAAATTCTCCTTTGGCTTGAAGTCGTACCTCGAAGGACATGAACCCGAAATATTTGCCGACCGTACTCGTTGCCTTCGATTTAGTGCTAGCATGATCCCAGGCCGTCTTCTGCTCCATTGGGAGGTCCGAATCAGATAATTCAACGTGGCAACCGCCTGCTGCTTTCTGAAACCCGTGTCTATTCTGGCACTATGGATGCCAGTCAACTATTATCCCTCACAAGCCGGCATCGTCCACCCAGTGTTGGCCGAGTGTATTGTTATCCCCTTGAGCAAGGAGGATTTCGGCAGCGAAGTCGGCCACATAACGCTTGCTAGGAGCCCGTCCACACACTTCCTCGTGTAGGATCCAGTTCACGATAACCTCCTCTTGCTCTGGAGTCAACTTTTGTTGCCTGGAGGCCGCGTCGCGATGCGAATTACCGTGACGAATACGGTAGGACAGTGTAGTCCCCTTGATACCGTACCGATGAGCTGCTACGGCCTGGGAAGAGCCCTGACGGACAAGCTCTTTAGCGCGTTCGATTCGCTGCTCAAAATAGTCCAGACTATTCTCCACTGGATTAGCCATTTTGTACGTAGATAGGGAGCAATTGCGAGGTAAATGGAGAGACGTCGTGTTGTTGAGGCGTAGAAATTCCCTGCAAAATGGGGGTGCATGCAAAAAGGTGGTCAATGCGGTTAGATCTTTTAGTCTGCGGGGCGGTTGGCTACGGGCGGCTATTCCTGAAATTCTATTCTTCACCCCACAAGACCAAGGCAATTATATACAAATACTCACTTATGAAGTTTGTTATAGTAATCTATCTTACCGGTCATACGATGCTTACTTACATCAGAAAATTCATGTATCTTACGCCGCTAGATTATAATTGCACAGTTTAACAGGACAAATTTGAATCAGATCGTTATCTAAGAGGGAGGAAGACTTGTGCGAGAAGTTGCGGTGTGCTCTGGGCTCACTTCTATCTCGACGTTCGTTGGTCAAATGTTCTGGGGAAGTATGTCTCCAAATGGGGAAAAGAGCGAACAGGTTGGGGTTGATCGGACCACCATGATCCGATATTGCGAATTTATGGCACCAAATCGGCAAATCGGTGTTGTCGGTATATCTTAACTAGCCCCGAAGAAACGCTAATTGGTTATAAGCTTAATATACCGGAGAAGCCCGGGTAACTCAGCCCTATTCAACAGGATGGTTGTATCGGCCCTGCTATAGACACATTCTGTATGAATTCTACAGCTGGGCAGTATAATTGTAGAACTTTGGCGACATTTTTTGTACCTGCCACTTCACCGATGGGTGAAATTTTGACGGTACTCTGAAAAATGCCGAGTAACTGTTAAGGGTGTTATTAGTGACATCTAGAAAACGACTTCAGCTACCCGATGGTCTTGGAGCCTCAAGACCAACGCTTGAGGGCACATGAAATAGATAAACATGGCTAACATCTGGGTTGAAAACTGCGAATGACTACTCAAAGAATGCTAAGCCACCCATACTTACAATTGTTGATACAGAAAACGCTACGCAGAGACATCTAGATATCTGGAATGGTTGAGATACAGTCCAAGAACTGAATCAAGCTGGGGTAGATAAGGCCATTATCTTGCGACAGGCACAGCTCGTTTACACGAAGGAACAAAGAGTGCTGAATGAAGCCATAGACTGGATTATACCTTGAACTGACGGTGAAAAGCCACGAATAACGGTCAAATCTCATCGGGCGCTGCCGATTACCATGTCATCTGAGTGGGGTGGTTTTGTGTCTCAGGAAGCTGGGGAATGGTCGTCACACAAGCACAACTCAAAAGCTGCCCTGGAAGTGGAGCTCTAACTGTCAAGCTGTGCACCAACCAACTAAGGCAATCTCTGCTAACCGTTTGCAGTATTTTTGTGGTACCACGGCGCCAACCTGCGACGAAAAAAATTCGCGGCGCAGACCACTTGCACCTGCATCGGAGCGCTGTTAAAAAAATACCCCGAACACAAAAGCTCCAACGCGCATAGCGTCATCCTCCGCACCGCCTTTACATTCAAGACTCTTTATCCTTTCCTCCGCCAAAATCCAGCGACGCCGAACCCACAACGGCTCCGACTCTTCTGATATTACCACTTTATTTCTCTCCATTTCTCTCGACACATCCTGCCGCATTTCCCGAGCCACTACCTTTGCTTGCCTGTCGTCGTCCTTGCCCTACCGAACGCATCACAGCGGCCTCTCGTGCCTCGCGCACTTTCTAAACAGTTTTCCTACGATGCGTGACTAATGCAAATTCAACATGGCCTTCAATTTCAACTGGTCGCCGCTCACGGCCGACGAAGAATTCTACCAACGAGCTCAAGACCTGCTCACAACGGCCCTGAACAAATCGCCGAAGCCTCCGATTATTGTCGATGACATCCTCGTCACCGAGTTCAACCTTGGCTCCGTGCCACCCGAGCTGGAGATACTAGAGATTGGAGACCTGGCCGAGGATAGGTTTCGCGGCATTTTCAAGATGTGCTATTCAGGCGATGCCTTCTTGACCTTACGGACAAGAGTCCAGGTATGTGCGGTGTGGGTTCAATACGTCAACTACACTTCATTGGGTATTTTCTAGGGCTCTATTATGCGGAAGTCCGTGTTTACGATGGAGCCCCCCTATCTTGCTTGCCCTTCACCAGACCGACTTTCCGTCGATCTGGCCCACAAGGTTTACTCACTATCGGACAATTTCCCCAGATTGATCTCGGGGGATACCAAAGTTGGAATCCGGGGTTGCTCGATTACTGTCTTATCGAGAGAGCAAGTACTCATCTCACTCAATACCTCGAAACTCCAAGATGTCTCCCACTCCCCTCCCTCCATCCCATCTCCGTCGTGTTGTGTCCACAACACAAACACCAAAAGTTTCTTCTTGTCACGCGTTGGTGGATTGTGAGCATGATCATGGAGATTGAACACAAGGATGCGCGTTCGCCTCATGTCTACACAGAGGACCAATTCATGCACGTGCCTCATTAGCACCGCTAATATAACAACACCGGCAGGCAAACCCCTTGAACACATATCTTTCGGCTAAGCCAGCATTCACATCACCACAACCACTGGCAGCGGCAGCAGGACTCACAATACCTCTGTCTATCACTCTGTCTGAAATCAAACTTTCCGCCTTTGTCATTTTGGTCTTCTCGAAACAGAAGGGCCTGACGCTAGTTTTCAGAAATGACCCTCTCGAGTCTATCAAGGTCTCTTCGACCTTTGACTCCATCCAATTTGTTCGGGATTACTTACAAAGGACTATCGAGGGCCAACTACGCACCCTGATGATGGAAGAGTTGCCAGCCATTATTCACAAGCTCTCGTTGCGGCTCTGGTGTCCTGACCAATTGCCACGCGAAGACGAGGCACCGAGGGAAAGCGCCGATGACGAGGTCGCTGTTGATCCTTTTGCAGCTCCACCCTTGGATGCAGTGGATGCCAGCGGCCATGTGCTTGATGCCAATGAATTGTCCTCACTTTCACTTGATGGTGGATTTGAATTGCACCCCCTTTTCTCTCAAAAGAACCTGTTACGGTTGGCGGCTCTGAACGACTCACATCGGACCTTGTCTCTATTCACACCAGGTATCAAAAGCGCCATGTTCAGAGCCTGGGCTGGACCAATGGATCGCCTCGATGCCGGAAGGTCTACACCACTTGCAGCTCAAGGCCTTCTGCGAACGCATTCGGTTCTGGGGAACTCCACGACTTACACATTTACGGACGCTGGAAGTTTGGACAACGGTCAACTGCCGTCCCGATCGTCACTGAGCAGCTTGAATTCAACTACGATGGGTCTGTCCGTGGGGGCCGGTCGTCACCCGCGTACGTCAAGAAAGAAGAAGACTCGCGTAGTGAATCTGCGACGCAAGACGGACACAGCAAGCGAAGCGACCAGTGATACGGGTGAAACCATGTCTGAAACAAGTTCTATGGCGGGGCCCAGTTCAGAACCGATTAACGCAACTTCAATTCCCGAAGAACCGGAAGATGAGGAGCCTATTGGCTCGTCGAGCAAAGTACGATTCGCCAAGGGACCAGAGACGGAGCTCTCGAAGCGTTTGCCGTTAAGCATGGACATCTTTACGGACCCAGTAGATTCTGTAGAAGCTGTGGTCATGTCGGTGGAGGAAAAGACCAAGGTACCCACAGGTGGCCAAGCGAAGGCGCTGGAAGCTGGTGCCATGACACCTATTAGGAACCCGTTCAACCTCGACCGGAAGAGACCCAATGGATCCGATACTTCGTCTGTGATACTTGAACAAGCCTGGATCGCTAGAATGGCAGGCGAAATCGCCCGTCGGGTGTATGACGAGAAGCAGAGAAACGCCAATTTCTGGGCCGAGCGCAACGACGCTCCACCCCCGGCCTACGAGGCCACACAATAGAAGTACAAGCACATCCACCCGGCCACCTCAAATTTCCTATGTACATACCACGGGGAAGGACGGCAACGGCGTTAAGAGGAAACAGGATACGCGGGTCAGGGGTGTGTCCAATGTTCAATATGTATTTGAATGGTGTTCTGGGTGATTATTACCTAAAATGGGCTGGGTTATTGACGAGACTCTAGATTTTATGGCGGTGTGGCCGACTCGCCCAAAAGAGGAGGTGTACAAGAGGCGCACACCGGGGGCTTCCGCTCGCTCATTGGAACTTCTTAAGTCTCTTTTGTCACATGGTCCCTGGAAAAGGGCAACAACCCGTTATATAAACATGAGTTGCAGAGGGAGGGGAATGAGGTGGGGATGATTCGCACAATGTCTCCTGGAAGATCTGGAATTCAACCGAGGAGACTCACTCGAGGCAAAGACCTTTAGAAAGAATCACACCAATCTGGCAAACGAATTAAATTTTTGCACGCTTCAGTACGCACAACCCATGTTTTGTGTGTTCTATGACCGTGAGAACGGATCGCATACAGGATTCCAGACATGTTGAATCATGCTTTCCTCTACAGGAATGATCTAGACAATGCGAATAGCTACAGTAGAAGGCCAGAGCCGGCTATACCCTCCTTTACACCAGAAACGCCATTATCATCGGGTATTCATGACCAGCAAGCAAAATCCACACAATGTCCCCTTGAACCTCTTTTCCATGGTTGCCAATCAGGGGATACGTGTAGCAAAACTCGAACACTGACCAAATTTCACTGTCCTCCACTCCTGGACATCCTATGAGCATTGATCGTCGCCGTCTTCTTCCCCCCCCGCTTGGCCAGGCTCTCCTTTTTCTCCACCTTAAGGTTGACGAGAAGACTCCTCTTCCTCGTCTTACCGCCTCCGCCTCGGGCACCCTCGCTGTCTCCCTACGCAGCATTGGCTTCCTTCAGCGCGGCGAGCTCCGCCTCCTTGGCCTTGTGCGATCGCGTCATCTGCAGAATCATGTCCTGCACCTTCTCCTCGCCCTCCCGAATCCGCTTTATCTCGAGCTGTTCTGCTTCACGGCTAAACGGTTGCCCGGGCCGCGTCTGCAGAGGGATCATGGCGCTGCGTTCCTTGACATCACCTTTGACGTTGTTCTCTTCAGCAGCGGCAACCTTACCCCCTTTGCCCTTCCCCTTGCCTCCACCGCCAGGAGCAGGGGTACCCTTGTCCCGAGCGCCCGTGGTCAGAATCTTGTAGAACTCCTCGTAAGGTTCATTAAAGAGTTGCTCCTCGTACGTCCAGGCCACCACTTCGCCCGTCCCATTATTCCGCATGGCCTCTTTCTCGGCCTCGGTCCGTCCGTAAGGGTGCAAGCGCAAGTGATGATACAACGTCTGGGGCTTCTCGCCGCTCTTGCTGTCGTAGTACAGCTTGATGGTGATTTCGAACTCGCCCCATCCCGTTTCGTGAACCGCGAAGCCCTTTTGTCGCTTGGAGGGCGGCTTGGTCTCGTTTTCTTTGCTGATGGTCTCTGCATCAAGGGTGCGTAGGTGGTTTGGGATCGATTCGTGAAGCTTGAATTGCACGCGGCGAAGCCAGTAGAAGATCTCGGTGTCTTCGACGCCTTTGACAAAGACAGTCCATGAATGCGTATGGTCGGCAGGGACGCCGGGCGGGCGCACGTTATCGGTGTCGTTGAAGGGGCGCGCTGTGGTGCCGTAGATAAAAGGCCGGTGGATTTGGACGCCCTTGACGCGCTTTCCGGCGTTAACGGGCGCCATGTCGAAGGGTGTGGGCGTTGGTCACTGTGGACGGAGAGAGGTGAAAGAGGCTGATGAGACTGGGATGGAATGAAGAAGCTTACATTGGAGAAGCTCACCAGCCTTGCCTACCAGAGGTGGGGCTCTGGACTGGGATACTGGAATTGGTCCAATCATCGTAGCTGTCGGAATGCAAGGTACCGTGGGGTTTTCTAGCCTCCTAGCTATGGGCCGATGATGACATGACTTTTTGAGTTGTGATCGCATGTTGTATAAGTGGGAGACACAATTTCATAATACTGCCACGGCCGTCATTATAATCTGGGGACTCAAGTACCGATAGGTGGTCACAAATTGTGCACTTCTTCGAGGGAGTCCGCAAGCGTATAACCTACATATACGTGCTTTTGACATCATCTCAACTCATTCACTCTTCTGTCACTGGAGCTACGGGGCTTGGTTCCAATTCAACAGTCTTCAAGCGGGAAGCTGTTTTGCGTTGCACACTTCAGACTTATCAACACCGAACGTTGCATTCCAACAGCTTCTAGAAAACGAATCACTTTGAGACACAGTGATCTAATCTTTCATTGATTTGGAGAACTGCTCGTCAACATAATTCAAGATGTCGTCGGTTGCGGCAAAACGCATCATCGTCTGCGGTGGAAATGGGTTTTTGGGTTCGAGAATCTGCAAGTTCGCCGTCTCACGAGGCTGGGACGTCACATCCATCAGGTAAGAACCCGTAATCCCCCTCGAAACCCAAATACTTACATCTCTTGCTAGCCGCTCCGGGGAGCCCCAATGGCAGAACGTAACAGCCTCTGCCGCTCCTCCACCCTGGGCCCGTAAAGTAACGTGGGAACGCGCCGACATCATGCGGCCAACGACCTACATTTCGCTCCTCAAAGGTGCCGACTTCGTGATCCACAGCATGGGGATCCTGTTAGAAGCCGACTACAAAGGCGTGCTCCAGGGCCGGGAATCGCCCATATCAGGCCTCAAGAAGGCTTTCTCGGGCGCCCAGCAGCCGGGCAACCCGTTGGAGCGCGATGTCAAGGAAAGCGAGGATATTCGCCCTTCGGAGACCAAGGAGCAGTTCACGTACGAGAACATGAATCGCGATAGCGCCATCATGCTGGCCAAGGAGGCCAACGGTGAGAATGTGGATGCGTTTGTGTATATCTCGGCCGCGGGGGGCGCGCCCGTGCTGCCGACGAGATATATTACGACGAAGCGGGAGGCGGAAAGCACGATTGCGAGCGAGTTCCCGAATATGCGAGGTATCTTTATTCGGGCACCGTTTATGTATGACAGCTCGCGGCCTATCACTATACCGCTGGCCGCCATGACTGGCGGAGGGGTCCTATTCAACAAACTTACTGGCGGGGTGTTGCGTGGGTTCCTCGGTGCGGCCGCTGCGAAACCCTTGAAGGCGGACGTGGTGGCAGAGGCGGTGGTTGAGTCTCTGGACGATGGTAACACGAGGGGTCCGGTGGAAGTGGAGGAGATTGAAGAGTTGGCAAATAAGGCATGGCGAAAGCAGATGCTGTGAGGGGATCATGGAGACGTATCATGGAATTCTGCGAGTGCAAAGTGGGGGAAAAGTCCGCTCTAATTGTTCGGCGCCTGTATCAATTCATGCACCCCTGATAGACTGTATGATAGCCCCAACGCCCAGCTGGTATCTAATAGTACCCTCTCAAACCAACCCACACCCAAAGCAATCGCTCAAATCATGGTCCCCCTTTCAAAGCTGTCCCTTATCTCAGCCGTGTATTTGTTGTAGAACCGATTCAACTTCTGGTTGAATTGCTTGTTCTTCTCGTTGATGTACGTCACATCGCCGTCATCACCATTCTGCGCCATACGTTCCCTTCTTTTGCGCATCCTAGCATCCTCGGCCTTCTTCATCTCCGCCACGAGGCGATCCACAGCGCCCTTGTCGGCCTTATGCTCCACGAAGGACGTCGAGTCGGCCGTAGAGTAAAAGCTCCCATCCTTATCGACCGCGATCAGCTCCCCATCCTCCGTCTCCACAATGTCGAGCCCACCCGACGCGGCTGCCTTCTCAATAGCGGCCATCTTGTCTTTCTCGTACTTGTCCATATCAGGTGCCATGTCGCGCAGCTGCCGCTTGTACACCTTGTTGCCCTCAACGCGGTAGTCCTTGAAGGCATTATTGTCGCGCGCGGCCGCCCGTTTCTTGAGCCGCTTATCCCACCGCTCGCTCTCCTCCGCCGTCCAATCCCACGCTCGCTTGCGCTCGAAGTCGTCCCCGGCCTCCTCCGTCTCCGCCTTGAGCAGCTTATGCTGCGCTACGTCGCGTTTGCGGTTCAGCGCCGTCAGCGCCGATGGGTCCGTCGCCAGCCGTTGGGATTCTTTGGTCGCCTCAGCTAAGTTTTGGTCCGACGACTTTTTCGCTCGCGCTTGCAGGGCCCGGAAGCGGGCCAGACGGTCTTCGGCTTTTGCTGATGTGTCGGCGGCGGCTGGTTTTGGAGATTTGGAAGATTCTTTCGCTGCGCTATTGGTGTCTGCTGGGGCCTCGGGCATGTCTGCATCGCCATCTTCGGTCGGCGCTGGGCCTGAGACCTCTGGTACCTCTGCTGGTTGCGAAGCTTCTGTTGGGGTCTGAGCTGATGCTGAGGCATTTGCTCTTTTGCCGGTCTTTCTCTTTTTCGCAGGAGGCATTGTAATGTGAGATGGTGCTGCTGTTGCAATATATGGTATGGCTGATGTTAAAAGGGTTGAGGGCGTTGGCTGGTGTTGAGGCGTAAAGTACCGCGGTCTATTATTTTAGCGGGAACGTAAACATGAAATGCGTGCTGCACGACGTCAGGTAGATTGATTTAACCACCTGGAAAAGGAAAATCCTAATCGCCGAGTTTCCGACCTGGCACTGGCCATTAATCAGAATTCAGGTGTCCAAATTCTACCAACGCCCACGGGCCTCGGCTTAACCGCCCCGGTGCTTGGTACCCCAGATATCAAATCGAACCATTTGTATTCTTGCAGTTTGCTGTCTGGGGTAGAACCTCCACAGAGCCCACCCTCTCCACGCGTATCCACAGCCCGCGATCAATCGTTATCCCCGAATTCGAATCACAACCAACTCGTTCTGCATGGCTACGAGGTCTCTGCGCAATTGAGAATACAAGAACGATGTCAGATTGGATTCGAGTACACCTTCTCCGGAAATGCAGCGTTTGGGAAATCCGTGGTCAGTCTACAGACTGATGCCAAAGAGAAGACTGTGGGACTGTCAGCTGCGAACCATAAAGTGGCCGCGAAAGATACAGAAAATACCGATGCGGAACACTTTTCCACTTTACAAGATATCCGACTTGGTACTCGACCTCGATGCCGAGGACAGCAAATGTGTGAGACAGTACGACGAAACCGTCGACGGTGTCCTCGAAGAAGCCGCGGCGAAGGAAGCACGCGATCAAGCACCACTAAGGCAGCGAGTCGCCCAATTTGAGCAAGAGTACCATCGAGATGACGCAAATTTCCGGACTCTGTCGAGCGAAAAGTTCAATCCGTGGCACATCTCCGATCTGGATATTCTCTCCGCTGCGCTTCGAGATCCATCGCAAACGCCGTCGTCAGATGATGGAAAGCGGAGACATGCACCACCAGTAGATATGATAAACCTGAACAAAGATCAAATCCTGGAGACGATTTACGACTGGAACGGCATTCCACTTCAAGCGCTGGAGAGCACATCCAAAACCATACCGCATATGCTGCGCCGCCAGCAACTCATGAGGCGCAAGACTCCCCAACCAGACGAGGAGAAGTTGGTTCACGCTCAACTAGCCAGCTGCCGCAGCTTCGAAGAGCTCAAGCGGCTATTCGCTCGCCTTTCTCAGACGACCGAAGGCTCTAAGCTCGCAGCCTCCAAAGGTCGTTTGCTTAGCTTGGCATGCCGGCAGAGAGCTCGATATGGAACGGCAGCAGAAGTCAGAGACGCTTTCGTATTCCTCAACGACATCTTCATAACCTTCGTCAGGAAAGGCTTGGAATTTGACAGTATTCTATGCCGTACGGGGTTGATGCTTGCGATGCAATGCTCCGCTTATGCCTCCGCAAGGGAATACTTGGCATATGGGTTCCCAAAATCCACCTATCGGCCGCATCACCACGAATTCGCGCCTAATCAACTTGAACTTGCAAAATGTTTGTACAGGGCTCTCTGGTCCATAACTGGGGATCGGCAACAAGACCGTGATTTTGGTGTACTTTTGGACCCCAAGGAGCGCCGGATTGCGTTATACAACCTTCTGACAGGTCATGACTTGTGTGGGCGGTACGTTGAACATTCCTTCGACACTCATCATCATCGGTATCGCGACTGGAAGAATTATGCCGTACCGTACTTACACATTCTTGCTGAACTGGGGGCACTTCGGACCCTTTGTCATGAGTTTTCCGGTCATGTTGCAGGTACCGGCTTACGGGAGGCTAAGAGGTGGAGGGATGCGCGTACGCAACAGTGGGCTTATCGAGACAAAGTGCCGAACCCAGTGGTACGCGTGATTTTGCGGAGGAATATACCACAAGCCACCACCGACGTCTTTGTGGCTGCCGTCGCCCGTCTTCTCAAAAATATTCAGAGCGGTCGGTTATTGCTGCCAGAATCCAGCCTCGCCAGTACTACTGGTAATTATGAGAAGGACTGCCGACTCGATTTGATAACGATCTATCAGTCAAAGCCCAATTTCCCGGAAACGGACGCCGACTACAACCCTCCGCCTGACTTGTACGAAATTACTGAAAAGGAGAAAGCCGCTATGGCCAAAGAACACTCACAACCGCTGGCGATTGACGCAGCTCTGAGGGAGGAAATTCTGGATGCATTTTGCCTGCCGGTGGTCGAGGAATCTGTGCAGGCGCTCCTATCCATCTTGTTCAAGAATAGGCTACTTGAACATGACGTTTCTTGCCCGGTTGAGGTCCGAGGACTGAGGAAGGCCCTGTCATCCAATTCATCATAGGCCACATAGACTCGAGCAGTTGTAGCACCAAAGTGCCTAGTCAGTCGGAGAGACATGGGTACAACTCCAACTCAAATTGGGATATGTGATGCCGTTGCGCGACAATAACCAGGATCGCTCCCTATTTGTCTGCCCTTGTTGAAGTACCTACCGCCACCGAATTTCCGAATTTGCAAGTGAGCGTTGGCCACTTGTCGTGCTACCCGCAGTCTGGAGAGTTCCGGGCATCTGCGAGCCGTCGGACCGCCCCCCAGCGATGACATGTGGCCAAGAGGAGCTGAGGAGTATACCCTGCCTCGCGTATGTCATTGGCCGTCGCGGTCTGCAGGCAGGCATCAGGGTATGCGTTGTTGACGTCCGCCCGATGTCAGATGTTCGTTAGTAAGGTTGGATTCTTCCGCTGGCTTCTGATGGGTTAGATGCAGCCGCCACTGCGCATTTCGTACCGTTGAGATAAGTGGCGGGTCGCGTCCTCGGGAACTACGTGCTGCTTTACAGTCGTCTGACAGGGTTGTATCTCCCCATTGACTTTGCTGGTGACGCAGGCTCGGGTCAGCGCCGGTCTCGTACCAATCAGCTTCAGCCCATGTTCAGCCCACAGTCGAATCCTCCTACTTAGTACACGAGATCCAAACCTTACAAGGAAACTTGCCTCGCCATTTGCCGGCATCAACATGGGCTCCCCTCCCCTCTCCCCCCCGCGATTCTACTTAGATAGCTTGGGCTGAACTTTTTTCCCTTCCCGCAGAAACCCAATCGAATCGACAAAATGAAGTTTCCAAGTAAGCAGTTGTGTGCTGAGTGCTTAGTGTGGCGGTCGTGAAAAGAGAGGCCGCAGTTATCTTCATCTCAACATACCAAAGGGCCCCGACCTGGCTGGGCCTGTCCGGGGCTTTGTAGATTCTCATGCCGTGAGTGCTTCTGCCTTGTTTTTGTCTCTTTATTTCACCCTTTTTCTTACCACATTTGGTCACTGTATCGCCTGATCTTTTCCCCTCTTGTCCACTCTGAGTGGTCTCGCTCTGCTGTGGGATGACTGAAACATCTTACTCTCAATTCTCCTCTCGTTCTCCCCAATCCCTCCCCTCCTCTTCATATCGCTGGGTTGCCGACTTACCTACTATTGCCACAATCTAATTCATCCAATTACTCTCCTGTTGACCAGAAGAGCGAAAAAGTGCAATTATGACCTAACATTTTTGTTGTTAGTCGTCAACCAGTCTGTGTCGATCGCTACCCACCACCATGTTGCAGTTGCTACCGCCGTTGAAACGCCCACCCAAACCGATGGAAAATCCCTTGCGTCCGGCTTGGAGCCGGGCGAGTCGCTCCACCACGACGCCGTTGCAACCCCGGCTTTGGACTTGGGTTGCATCGGTCATAACGTTATTGTGTCTATTGACGGGCACTGCAACTGGAGAGAAAGATCAGGTGACTAACTTTTGCAGGAGGTTTGGACATTCGACAGCTTTGATTGATCGCAAGCTTTATATTGATGGTGGCTTCATCAATTACGACCCGCTGCCAAGCAATCCAACAAACTACACCAGTATGGCCTCCCACGTTCTATTACTTGTCTGCCATCGTTTCATCCCATTACACACGTAAATATATGTCTGGACTATATGAGGAAGCCATTAAGATAGAAGGAGCAGTTATTAATTGATTGATTGATCCTGACCAACCTCAACAGACACACTCCTCTTATACCAAAACCTCGATGTCAATGGGCCAGAAGACATGCCGCAGCTGTACGCCAACCTGAGCAAGAACGCGTCCATGTCGAGCACGCACGGCGGGACGCTGTGGGCCGACGAAGTCAACAAGAAGCTCTACGCGTTCGGGGGTGAGTACTACCAGGAGCCGCCGAGCGACCTGACGCTGTACTCGTATGATGTGCTCAACGACTTCTGGGAGAAGCACGAGTCGCCCCCGTCGAGCATCCAGGGCGTCAGCTACGGGGCGGGAGTCTCGGTATCGGAGAAGGGAGAGGGGTATTACTACGGGGGATGGCTGAGCAATAACTCGGTTCCCTCGTGGTCGGGGAGGCGCATGGCGACGGCCAACTTGATTAAGTACGAGATGGACAAGGGTAAGTGGAGTAATAACACGGGGCCCGACGGTGTCGGGAGGGCCGAGGGCGTTATGGTGTATGCGCCTGTCTCGGACGGAGGCATGTTGATATATTTTGGTGGGGTGCAGGAACTGGCGAATGGGTCGACAATTGGGCAGCCCATGAACGAAATTATTCTCTATGATTTGTCGAGCTCGCGATGGTATAAACAGACTGCGTCGGGGAATGTGCCCGAGATGCGCGCTCGGTTTTGTGCTGGGGTCACTTGGGCCCAGGACAGGAGTAGTTACAACATGTAAGTGATCCCGAGGAAGAAGAGGGGGAAGGAAACATGAGAGGCAGAAGAGGAACCAAAATGGGCTTACACGGAAACACAGTTACCTCTACGGTGGTCTCGGCATGCCACCGAATACAGCGGGCTTCGACGACGTCTACATCCTCACAATACCCTCCTTCCAATGGATCAAGATGTACCCAGCCCCGGGCAGCACCGCCCAGCAATACCCGCACAACACGCTCACATGCAACGTCGTAGACGGGGCGCAGATGATCATCATCGGGGGCTCGTTCCCACTCGACCAAACCACGTGCGACGTTCCCGACCAATTCGGCTCCCACGGGCTCGATATGGGCCGTCAGAATCCCGACGCCAGCCCCTGGTTCGTCTACCGCAAGAATATAACCTCCTACATGGTGCCACGCGACATCACATCCAGAGTTGGCGGCAACGGCCAAGGGGGTGCCACCAAGAAGGCCCCCGATGGCGGCTTCAACGAGACAGATTTGAGCATCCTCATGACGCGCAGCTACAACGCTCCGCCACGCGCAGCGACCCGCGACGTGACGCCCGGCGATGGCTCCTCCCGCGGCCTCAAGACTGGCGCCATTGTGGGAATCGCCATCGGCGGCGCCACCGTCTTCGTGTGCCTGATCGTAGGGGGCTGGTGTTGCGTCCGCCGCCACCGCGGCGATGGTGGGTCCGGAGGGGGAGACCACGGGCCGGGCCACTCGTCGTCTAATGGGCACATGCACCAGTATAGCGGCGACATGGCGAGCGCTCCATATTCACCGCACAGTTCGCACCGCACCGCGTCAGGATCGCATCTTACCCCCGCCTCACCCTACCCGCCTTGGTCGCCCTTCCTCGGCCGAAGGGCTAGCATCCCGCAGCAGCCTGTTGAGCTGGCCAGCGATAATCATCCCAGCGATTATGGGGCGCATGAGGTGAGCCCCAATTCCGCGGTGATATACAGCAGTTTCGTCAAGCACGGGTCGTATAGCACTGGAACCGGAACCGGAACTGGGACAGGCACAAATACGGGGTCCAACACGAACACGACGGGGACGTGGAACTCGGCCGGGACACCGGTGCATGAGATTGTTACCACTCCAGGGATGGGTAACCCCGTTCCGAACGTGGTGTATGCCAGTTCTGGCTTTGGACCCTCGGAGCTGGGCACCGATCGGAATACGCGTGCGCCGGAACGGCAGTTGCTGCGCGAGATGAAAGGGGCAGGGGAGGTAGGGACTTTGGGGGACGAAAACAGTCCGCGCCTTCATCAAACGTATTACCATAAGTGAGAGATATGGAGTGAGGAGTGATAATTTACAAGCTGATAATGCGGGATGGGACGATATGACCCCAACACATAACGCAAGGATTGCTGCATTATGTGCTGGGGTCATATATTTGTTCTTTGTTATTATTAGGCGGCGTGTGTTCATGACCGGTTTGATCGGCCTGGACGGGATTCTCGGGCCCGAATCAATGGGATATATGGGGCGTTGAGGGGTGGCTAAAAGCGGGAGACGAAGACGACGACGACGACGAACACATGACAAAGCCTCCCTCGTTCACATCAAAGGCGTTGGAGACGGAATACGGGAAAACACGGGGGGAAAAGTATGATCCAAAGGGGAAACAACGGCAACTTCCGCAGTTGAAGCCTGGCAAAGGACAGGAACAGCGAATCGATGGCAAGAAAGGGAGAATCCACCCTCAGAGGTATTCCTCTAGCCTCCGCATCAGCGGCAGTGCAAAATGCTGTTATATTACTCGATGCTAAATTTAATTCGGTGGATGTCTGTCTTGTGTTTACATACAAATAGCTCCAGTTACACGCAAACGCAAAACGTGCTCATCCGTACCTTGACCACGATCTAACATCGTCCCCTGCTTCGTGCTGCAGTACTTTGTCTATGTGTCAAAACTCAGGAGAGAAAGCAGTATAGTTGTTGAGCTGGCAAGTCTGGTTGGGCGCTGCGCTGGATTTGTTGGCTCAAACTTGTACGGATGTACGTAATGATTTACCGGCCCGCCCCTCATCTCCCGCCCCTGCTAATGTGTGCCCGGCGCCCTGTGCAGCCCAGAATGCGGAGCCGGAACGAAAACCTGCACGTTATTTCGAATAGCGGAGCAAGCCGGGAGGGAGGAAAAGTATGGGGATGGAAAAGGGGGAGGTTTCCGGAGTGGTGTGTTTGGCATGCAGTTTGCTGAACCGAGTTCAGCACTTCGGGGCAGGGGAAGTTGCTGTAGCTGCTCATCAAGGTATTGAATGGTATACCAATGCAAGGTAAGACTATACCAGGGTGGCTTTGAAGCTGTACTGCGTAGCTCAATTCTCACGTACCCTGATGACACGTTGAACATTTGGGCCCCATGGCGAGCCCACACCCTATGTACGACGATACCTATTACGTTAATAGAAACCTCGGAGGCGGTCTGGTGTTGAGTGCTGTGAGTGTTGCATTATATCGAGCCATTGTCACGCACCATCACGCCTTGCAGCGCAATGTGATTTCGTCACGGCCGTTCCGAGTGAGGTAATCAGCTCCGTGACGCTAGGCTGTCACTCTAGGCTGCAGAATTTCGATGTTGTGACAAGAGGCACTTGGCCCCCCGACAAAGCTCAGTCTTCGCTTTTGCCGCATCATGCAAGCGACAACTTGCTCCGGGAACAGCTCGGGGAGTTTTCAGCTAATGAGTTTGGGAAAATGGATTTTTTGACTGCCGCGTGCATGGATGCTGTGACTTGCCGAATCGTAACCGAGTATATATGGATATCCACCACATCCACCACATGTGCAGTAAATCCGTGTTGAGTCCTGTCTGTAGTATGATTCATGAAGACAATTACCGATGTCCTTGCCGTTCCCGGTATCACAATCGCACAGATCGTGTCTTAGATGCCTTATCCACATCAGCAGGCACCAACGGCTATCCGAGTTTCGCGATAACTGCCGGAGCGCGCTGTGCAACCCGCGACGTCTTCCTCGGAGTCCTCGATCGGTCACCACGAAACCAAAGTCTTCACAGCCAAATCTAAAAATGGTGTTCTTGACCAACTAGCAAGAAGAAGTGGTGCTCCGACAAAGGAGATATCCAGCCCTCGCAATCCGACCAGCTGATTAGCCTAGTTTGAGTTGTCATGATAGCTTCGTCCATCCGTGCCGATAAGGGCACGATTCCGACAACTACGCACTTAACGATACACAAGCTTGACAACCTCGACAAGCACGTTGGGGTACCTGCAGAACGCCGACCGAACGAACGTGACGATGGGGTCGCCGGATCCGAATATGGAGTCCCTACTTGCTAAACTTGCATGCTACCCAATCTGCATGCCCTTATCTTGCATGGAAGAGACTTCAGGGTTCTACGTCCTTTAATGTAGGATCCACTAAGAGACATAAACCCCGAGGGTTGCCGTGCATGGAAACCTCCAACACAGCAATGTTGGAAGAGTCACGGATGAGTAGGTTTTTGTTCCCTTTGGCCCGGTAAAGTTGTGACGATGTTTCAAGGTCATGATAAGATGATAAATGGTTGAAGACGACGGTTTTGCACATTGAGGATGACTCGAAACGAGACTACTGCCAGCAGTTCCAATGTTTCCTGCGGTCTAGCCTTCTAGTGACGGCCATGATGCTCCACCAATTCAGAATTTGCAAAAATAAAAAAATTAAAAAAAATAAAATAATATTAAATACGCCGTAGGTGTTAACCCTCGGTACCTCTACAAGTACTCCCTTAAGGGGCTATAGATGATATAGCGGGCCCTTAAGCCGCGTCGGGCGGTTATACAGGTAAACTTGTAGCCAAACGACTACTAAACCTCCTGTCCCTCCCTAAGTCTGTGCTACAACCCCTGCCTGAACTACTGATAAGTGTGGTAATGTGGCACTTAAATTCGTCCTCAGGGGTGGGATGCTGCTGATGTGCAGAAGATGCTCGACTATTTTTTGTCGCGACAAGTCGTAGTATCTGCTAATTGGGGTTCTCGTCGAGCGTATACATCTCAACCATACGCTCAAGTGGATAGACCGTAACGTGGTCTAGACGCTCGCAAGAATCGCTGCGAGAGGGGGTCCGATAAGGGGTCGGATTAACGATTCGAATTCTGGACCGGCTGTCGAGTTATATTCCGCCGACGTAGTGCTTGACGGTCGACTGGCTAGGATGCTCGTAATCCTAAACTGCACCAATCTCCCTATTATCGCTAGGTAGGCGAAGTCAACAAGGTGGGCAGCGCGCCGTAAGGGTTGACTAAACCCCCTTGTGTGTCAGCTGCGGGATTCGAACCCGCGACTCGTCACCGACCCAAGTGGGCGAGGCTCAAATCGGGACTTATCTACCAGCGAAGTGACCAACTACACCAGCCGACAAAAAATTAAAAATAAAAATTAAAAAAATTAACAAAAAAAATAACAATAATAAAAAAATCTTCGGGGCGAGCTTCTCACCACGGGGAACATGCCAGACGGATATGATTGTGGTTCTGTGAAGGGCGATGTGACGGAGCCAGCTGGGTTAGCTAGAGAAACCCACAGCTTGTGGGTTTTTCTACAAAATCTCGTAATGGCAGCCTGTGCTACCATAAACGTGGGATGACAGTCATTAATGTTGTGTAAATTGATGAGAAGGGTATGCCGCGCGGTATTGCAATATAAAAGCCAGCGGGATGAAGATATCGCTTCGGCAGCTCGCAACCAGGTTCGAATGGTTGGTTCGGTTCATTCAACACGACGCCGAAGATAGTTTCACCTGAAAGCCAGGCTTAAACCAACTCCCTGGTGTCATTTTCCCCGAACACCGAAGCACAATTGTTCCCGACAATGAAACCTGAACCCCCACGAGTGAGTTCGTAATGTGGCACGCAATAAACATGAGGAGGGGGGGTTAATTAATGAACGGCGGTATCGTGAACGCCGGGAGGAGAAATGGGATGCCAGAGAAACCGGCGGCAGCCGGCTTTCTCACCGGACCAGTACCCAGCGATTTCCCATTCAGCCAAGAGAAATCCCCGGTGGTAATACGCACGAGCTGTCGTTGCAGCGAAGGAAACGAAACTATATGCTCCGGTCACCTGCTCAATTGATTGTTGTTAACGGTTGATGTCGATCACTTTTATTCTGGCCAACGACGACAAATCGGCTTCGGGACTTTTTCCGCGAGGCGTCTCGTTGATGGCTCACGAGGGACATAGCCCGTATCCTGGAACGAGAAAACGCTCGTTAAAGTTTGCCGGATGTCTGGGACTTGGGTTGAAATAAAGAGACAAAACGGATGTCAGTTGACAAATGTCTATGACTCGTCAGAAACGGGTCTTATGGTAATTGAAGATGATAATAATTCAGTCATGAGACTACGAGGTGTCGAATGGGCTCATCAATCCTATGAAGCAATTCATTCTGACGATGACGCGTCGGGCGGTCCAAGATTCAAGACTGAATTGTGGCATCGAAACTCTGCATACTAGTATACGACTTCAGAGACTCCACCTTGCACAATTCTTCGTCGCTGATCGGCCGGGGAAGCCGTAATAAATGCCCGCGAGCTGCCAGGAACTGCCACGAGAAGCCAAAAGGCTCTGCAAACCGTGCGTTAGTGGCCCACGATCGAAACTAGTAGATGGGAATCTTCTAGCGGTCAGGGCAAGGTTCAAGGCTGTTAAAGTAAAAAGTGTCGTCCGTCCGTGGCTTTGATGCACGTGTAGGCGGCTCTGCACTACTATAGGCGAAGAGGTGATCTGCCATCCAACCTTCTGATCTTGGAAACGTGCTTGGGGCGATGGATGAGGTGAGTTGGAAAAGAGAGGTTTGAGCGCGAAACAGAACGGGTTCGTGAGGTCGTCTCGTTTGGCCCAATTGGTAGAAACTCGGTCGACGGCAGGCTAAGCATCCGCGTTTGGAAAAGGGACAAAGGGACAAAGAGACGATGAAAAAATTTCACCGACAATGAAAGAGCTCAGCTGCTGCAACGTTATTGCGAGTCTGCCACACCTGACCTGATCTGGCATTCTCATTGGCCAGCCACTGTCGAGTCCGCTGTAGTGTCTGTCTGACCTGGAGGGCACCCCCCCCAAAGAGGAACCCGGCGGGGCAGTTTCGGGGCACAACACATTTCATTCTAATTCAATCCAATGGTGATGCAAAAAGTAAGGTACGCAACAGGTAGCAACCCAACGAGTCCCCAATGTTCAAACGTCCCCAAGACCTTGCAGGTGCAGGTGCAAGTGAAGTCACTTGTAAGTCAAGAGTGGAGAAGTACGTACCTACCTGCTCATTATTATCAGTGTGGACCTGTTTTTCTACCCTTACCTGCTAGAAACGAGTCCAGGTGCTTGGTGTTTTGGTGTTGGACCCCCATCCCTCCCCATTAACTGCATGATAACGGTCTTCAGCTAACTTAGAAAAGTGCACCATCAGGTGCGAGGAATTTCGTGCTTTCTTCGGTTCTCGAGCCTTCCCCTCAGGTTATCGTCCGCCATTACAACATAGTGCTTAAGGTACTTCCTAGGTTGGATCCTTGTCTGTTCATATCCCTCGTGCTCTTTTCGCAAGGCCATACAAGTATTGCGCAACCCCTCAAAGCCCACTGTGCTGCCTCTTGGCTTTCACGATTTCTCAACCTACTTTAGAAGCTCAAAACTCGACCGTTTCGCCCACCCTTCTGGATCTATCTGCCTAGCTGCTGCCACACACCAGACCAATTTGACGCCTCGCTCAGCCACTGAGATAGGACATTACGTCCATTTGCAGCTCTTTGTTTCTCTGCATCCCCCCTGTCAGCAAAAAACCACCTATTTCTACACGAATTCCTTGTCCCTTGTTGGAACCGTCGTCACTTGGGCACGTCGTAGGCATCGAACCTTGATGTCCGTGAACTCCATTGGTTGGCTCCATCGTCCTGCCGTCTCCGCTTTCGGCTTTCAGAGAACTTCTTCTCGGAGTCACATACCACAACCCGGCTGGAGCTTTTAACCACAGTTAGTATCCACGCATATATTTTTGGCGTCCTTTATCCTCTCCTCCATTTTCTGTCCTATGCGCATTCCTCCTTGCCTTCATTCAAGTCAATTACAGAGCTACACAAGACGACATAATCTAAGCTCCCCTTACTAACTTCCACTCGTTTCAATTTATGTTTCTGCGGGGCTTAATAGTTAACGAGCCTGTCTTCAGTCCAGGAAACTGACAACCCGGGTATCGACTAATAAGCGCGAGTTGCGACAACGTTCAAAAACACACGAGTCACACAGCAGATCTTTGGATATCAAGATTCAAATCAGTCGGAGCTAAAACGACACCGGCTTTGACCGAATTCCGGCCAAAATTGAGCAACCACAAATAAGCTCGATATCGTCATTCCAGCGGCGTACTGCATAGGAAGCTCAAGCACGCCATATCCCTTTGAACTCGATTCGTTTGTGTGAGCGACTACGACACCAAAAAAAACCCCAAGTTCGAAAGTAGAGATAAAAGCAGACACGGCTCTCTACTGCACAACACCGCACCTCGTTTTCAGTTATTGCCACTTCGAGACCACCACCTTGCACCTGAGAGATACATTTGGCGCGCATTTGTCGTCGAACTCTCCTGGCAGTTAACAGCCAAAACCAACACCCCGCTCCACATTGTTGCAACAACTGGAGGGGCCCTGACCACCTCGGCCAACCATCGTGAGCATTTCGGCCCAGGGGATTTGCCAAGCCCAATCACACAACGTCACAATGCACCACACTCGTCGAAAGTCTGGCCACGGTGCACCAAATAACTCTTCAACTGATGTGCGCAAGGCTGCGACTGTCTCAGATCTTCCACGGCCACGAAGGCCGCAGACCTTGATGAGAAAACCAACTCCTCAGACGGTCCAGAAATTAGGCAAGAACCCGAGGGATCGCGAGAGGGAATGGGAGGAAGAGCGGTGGTGGGAAGACGAGCGCGAAAGCTTCCCTCAGTTCTGGTACGTATTCGCTCTCTCGACCTGTCAGTCGTGTTCTAGATTCGTATTTCTCTCATTCCTCTTTCCCCACATGGAGGCGCTTTGCCTCGTTGCCAATACCGCTTCTGGCGAACTGCGTCATCACCTGATATGCACGCAAGCCATGGCTAGGGGGTGTCATGTGTGATGACTCTCATTCCCACCTAAGGATAGTCTTTCAGGGATGCTTGCTATTCGGCTATTGCTGTTCCTGCATCACTCCGGCCGGTCTTTCGGGAAGCAATTGCTGACTCGTCCTCTTTTTTAGCATGACTTGCGAGAAGCAATTCATCCCACAGAATGAGACGTTGTATTGTTCTGAGTCGTAAGTCATGCACCTCTCCTCAGCCAACAACAAGAGCGTACCACTAACACCTCAACTAGCTGTCGCAAGCATGACCAACATTCCAGCGCAACTACATCATCTTACCCACCATTAATGGGCTATGATGTTCTTGGATCAGGTCTGCCATTCTATTCGGCGGGCAACCCAGAGCCACGTGACATCATCCCTCGAGCATCGCCATCACGGCCCAGCTCGACGTATTTTTCACCACCCACCACTCCGACGAGCACTCAGTATACTAGCGCTGTGTCGGCCTTGCGATCATTAACTGTTCGCCCGCCGAGCCCACCTTCACCTACTATCGGTTCAAGCATTTGGCCATTCACGCGCAGTGCAGCGGCAAGCCCTAGCACATCTTACACGAAAGCAACCAACTTTTTCTCGTCAACTTTTGACAATGGCTACGGAGCATCAGGAAATGCGTACGGCTACACTACCGCCCCCGCCGTAACCTCGGACCGACCTTTACCTTCAAGAAAGTTTACTTACGGGCGACCTAAAAGCATCGAGTTGGTTACTCCCATGATTGGCCGCTGAACGGATTAGAGTCGGAACGTTCGCAGCCGGCACTTTCGCAGCCGGACTGCTGATATGAAATTTGGAGTGCGAAACTGGCTGTCTCGCAAGGTGGCTATCATTATGAACAAGCTCAGTTTGAGAGAAAGGCTATTACTCGATTGAATTTGGCGTGGGGGCTTCTACGTTGTTGACTGGTCGAATCTGCTGTTGCATCGAGGTGAAGCTCGGCAAAACGCGGGGTGCTCGCCAAAGTCCGGAGATAAGAACATCCTCCACGCCATGGTCCTTGCAATTGATATCATTTTGTTCTCGCAACATCACGCTAGAAGGCTCGGAATAAAACCTGCTTCTACATACGTCGCTTTTCGCCCCCCCCCCCGATGGCCAAACCCAGCTCCGTCTCGCTACGGTCCTACAAGTCTACAAGCAGCTGAATGGCCCGATTATCTGCTCTGCGGGGTATTTACGACCAAGGTTCATCGATCTTGAGGGTACGATATCCGCTCACTTTCGAATCACACGTTCCTTCAATCTACGAAATAGCTTCGCTTGAAATAGTTTCGCATATAGAACGGAGCGGGTAGGACATATACTAATGAGAGATGGTTGGCGCATCACCCATGGGGGGTTCCTGTATACTCTTCTTCATTCTTTACGCCTCAAATATTATGGGGAGCATTTTGTAATCAGCATTTCCGGATGCGGCATACCACTTTTTGCGTTTTCTTTCATGAGCGGCTTGGGACCCATGGGTATCGTTGTTGGGTGCATTACTGTTGCATCCCGGTAGGGTTGGGTGAGGTTTGTCAACCGGGATGCGTTGATAGTCGACAGCCGAAAATTATATGGCAGTCGACTTTACTTCGGCGCAGCTTTAGGCGCCGATCGCCTCGACTGAATCGGAGAGTTGTAATGGTTCTTGTGTCCATCGCCATAATTACGTGCAAGCAACGCCTGTACTCTCCTCGTTGTCATGACGGGCTGTGCTGTTTCCCGGTCACTCATTGGTAAGAAGACGGGTAAGAAGACTGTTGTAGATCTGACTATTTTACTTAACGCTGCCCGCTCTTCGGAAACCACCTGGGACCTGGTGTGCCCTGAGAATGCAGACCATTGCGAGATGCGGAACATCTGCAGTGCTGCTGCTGTGCTTGCCGATCTATCGTTGCCACTGCAGAGATTGAAAATCGAAAGGTCGAATCGTCCAATTGCGTCGAGACGCAGATGTTGTGCTCGCTGAGCCGTCATGGTTGTAGATGGAGGACGGTTTCACCACTCGCGTTAGCAAATCGTTCTTTTGCTGCATGGGGACTATGATTTTCTTTTCTTTTATCAGTGCATTTCCGCTGATGGAATGCAGGATACGCAGGTGGCCAGATGACTGACCGTAACAATTTCGTGAAACTGGAAGGATAGACCGAGAGAGCCCAAATGCCGTCATGGTATCGTATATGCGTTACTATATGCAGTACTGGAGAGCACTGCACTGCTTTTACTCCGAACTAAAAACGGCACTGGGGTTTTGTACCGAATCCGGATACGAATGGCGTGGCGAAAGGCATTCAGGGATGATCAAGATGATTACCGGTGTGTGCAATAGCGGGTACGCAGAGGATCACTATTGTGGGATATTGAATTATTAATCACTTTGTCACCATGTAACTTCATTGACGGTTGCGCAGTAAGGGATAGAATAAAACAAGTTATTAGTTTAGGAGCTGCCTTACATCTACTCGGGGTGTTGTAAGGTACACAGCTTCGTACTATCCTAGTCAAAGTAATAGAGTGCCTGGCGATCTAGGACAACCGGAAACTTGCAGACTTAAACAAGTTCTACACTGACATGTACATTTCTTAACAGGAATGCTCAAGTTCTGGCTCCATTGCGCCATGCAAGGGTTCTAACTCTGTGCACCCTGTCACTTGCCCCCTAAGTCAAAGAGCGATGTCATACCCACCATATAAGTTGCGTTACATCTACTTACCAAGACCATTTCTACCACCTTGATCCGAACATTACTTAAAACTTACCGGTCGACTTTCCTACATAGCCGTATTCATTCTTGGTGTCGTACATAAGATATGTACCAAGGTAAGATAGGAGAGCGTAAGCTAGGTATATATACCCTACTTAACCGTGCCTAGTGTTCCGAACAACTAATCAAGCCTGAATTTCCTTCGTAAATTTAAGACCGACAACTTCTTTAGGTTCAATAATATTGATAGAATAGACGGTATAGTTGCCGAGCGTACAGGGCTAATATATAGAAGTAAAGGGCTTTTATAACAGTTCTGGAAATAGGGGTCTATTATCTCTGCCGGTTCAAGCTCACTATCTAGTTTCTATACTAGAGCGAATAGAGCGGATAGAGCGAAAAGGGATATAGTTTCTAATATCTTTACCTACTATGTCTAAGTCGCGTCCCATGTATCTTGCAGAATCTGGCACGAGGTCGTATTATAGTCGTAGTACAGTTGGGTGCGGCAGACGATCACTTTAGGGACTTTTATAATTAAATTTCTGCTTATATATCGTTTAAATTTCATCCGGTCTATTCTAGTTAGCTATTGTAACGGGGTAAGGCCGGACATCAGGGAAATAGGTTACGGGGCTAGGAGAAAGTTTATTTTCTCTTCTTTAAGAGGCACAGAGGCAGAGTAGGACACGAGTCCCCCATCTTCACGCATCATCATCCTCATCTTCATATCATCATCTCCTTCTTATCTATATCTTCACCTTCGCTTTTCAGTCAGTTATTTAGTTATTTTAGTTATTCAGCTTATCTTTACGTTCGAGATCCTATTATCACGATACGAGTCTCAGAGGCACATCCGACCAACTCGCGCACCAGACGTGTAAGAGCTTCACTCTTATAACCAGTACCACGATCTTCGTCTGATAAGACCAACAGATGGGATCTATTGGTACTGGAGCCGTCTGTTCAGTGTGTTAGGTGGTAGGTATATCCTATTGACCGCCTGACCCCGTTTCACTATTTGTAGTCACTAGATAGTTCTTACATAAAGCTAGCGTAGTATTATATAAACTTAGGGCGACGAACATACCAGTAGCTAGCTGCGTAACTTGCTAAACGAACTATAGCTTCTACCTTGTCTTCTTTATAATCTCTTTCGAAAAGTCTTAAATATAGTCTTTTCTCCTTTATTCTTATCCTTTTAACTGGCTACGGGTTATATATTTATTTATTGTCGGCTGGTGTAGTTGGTCACTTCGCTGGTAGATAAGTCCCGATTTGAGCCTCGCCCACTTGGGTCGGTGACGAGTCGCGGGTTCGAATCCCGCAGCTGACACACAAGGGGGTTTAGTCAACCCTTACGGCGCGCTGCCCACCTTGTTGACTTCGCCTACCTAGCGATAATAGGGAGATTGGTGCAGTTTAGGATTACGAGCATCCTAGCCAGTCGACCGTCAAGCACTACGTCGGCGGAATATAACTCGACAGCCGGTCCAGAATTCGAATCGTTAATCCGACCCCTTATCGGACCCCCTCTCGCCGCGATTCTTGCGAGCGTCTGACCACGTTACGGTCTATCCACTTGAGCGTATGGTTGAGATGTATACGCTCGACGAGAACCCTAATTAGCAGATACTACGACTTGTCGCGACAAAAAAAATAGTCGAGCATCTTCTGCACATCAGCAGCATCCCACCCCTGAGGACGAATTTAAGTGCCACATTACCACACTTATCGGTAGTTCAGGCAGGGGTTGTAGCACAGACTTAGGGAGGGACAGGAGGTTTAGTAGTCATTTGGCTACAAGTTTACCTGTATAACCGCCCGACGCGGCTTAAGGGCCCGCTATATCATCTATAGCCCCTTAAGGGAGTACTTGTAGAGGTACCGAGGGTTAACACCTACGGCGTATTTAATATTATTAATATTATTTTATTATTTATTTATTTGTGCCAAATGGGTAACCGCGCTGGGAGGTCCACCGAACTGGCAATACGTATAGTTGAGGACGTGGTCTATACGGCGTGGAGACGCGGGGGCATCGCCTCGCTGCTACAGCTAGACATCAAGGGGGCATTCGATACGGTCAATTACAGACGGCTGATTTCCATATTAGCCTGGAAAGGCTACCCGGAGTGGGTTCAGGAGTGGGTACGCAGCTTCGTGGAGGATAGGACGGTACGCCTCCGGTTCGATGGCAAGGAGTCAGAGCCAATCCCCCTACGAGCTGGTGTCCCCCAGGGGTCACCGCTATCCCCGATACTGTTTATATTATACATTTCAACGCTGTACGAGGAGCTAGCGGAGCAGCACCCACTACTTTTAGTAGTCGGGTTCGCGGACGACACGAACCTGCTAAGCGTCGGCACCGATCCAGACACGACCTGCCGCCGGTTGGAGGGCGCATGGGCTACGTGTCAGCGGTGGGCAGTGAGGCACGGGATGGAGTTCGCCCCTGACAAGAGTGAGCTAATGCACTTTACTAGGGCCCGAGAGCCCTTGCCGCAAAGTATTCGCCTTGGGGACGCCACAGTGTCGCCGGTAGTCTCAGCGAGGTTCCTAGGAGTCTGGTTTGACCGCAAACTGACGTGGCACGCCCATGTTGAGCGTGTTAAAACAAAAATGGCAACTCAAAAGCTAGCCCTGACAAAGCTAGTCAATATGTCGTGGGGCTGCGATCTTATACGGGCGAGGCTGTTATATACGGTGGTTATCCGTAGCGCGATCGCCTTCGGGGCGACTGCGTGGCATACTATAAGTGAGGAACCGGCAGGGCCAGCTAAGAGCCTGATGGGGATACAGAACGAGTGCCTCCGGGTAGTCTGTGGCGCCCACAAAGCGACGCCGGTTCGCCACCTGGAAGCAGAAGCAGCAATCCCGCCACTAGACCTCTATCTTAGTGCCCGGGCTGCTAAGTTTGAAGAACGGCTACGGCTTAGCGGGAAGAGAAATCTGCTTCGCAGCGCGAGCGCTAAAGCGTCACATATACTCCGGCAGGATAGGCCGGCGAAGAGGAAGCAGGCGTCGCAGCTACTCCGACCGGCAGGGTCCACTATGGAGAAGGAGGCCCGGGGCTCCGAGTGGATGAGTGAGGAAAAGGAGGTCCCGGCTGCCCTCCTCGGCCACTGGAGGAAGATATGGCTCACCGGAGCAGAGCATCACGATAGCCAGCG